ATCGTGTTCTTTAAGTCTTCGTTTTACCGCTTTTTCTCTTGAGAATTAAAAGGAGGATGGGTAAAAGACCTCGATTTTTGCCCAAAAAGGTGCAAGTGAAAGTAGCATTGTTTTTTATAGATTTTGACCTGCTGAACACGATAAAACTATCGACAAGTTCATGGAGCATCGGGAACATTATGAAAATTGAGCATGAACATGGTACATTTACAGAAAATCGGTTGATGTATGGAGCAATTATAAAACTCATCCGTGTGAATTTTCGTTTTGGTTTGGGAATAAGAGGTGCATTGTGTATATGTGCAAGGGAAGGTGTAAGTAACCGTGTGTGTGGGGAGGGGGCTTGGGCAGGTAACATGAAATTGGCTGTAAGGGATTACAACAAAACAAAAATGCATCCGATGTGTTTGTATATGAAGAGGACGGTTAAAGAGGGGGATAACGAGAGTTGTGCGTGTGTGTGTGTGTATGTGTATGTGTGTGTATTTGCAGGGGAGAGAGTATGTGTGTGGGCCTAGAAGGAGGAATGGGGGTTAAATAGTGTTTAATTAGGAAACTCATTTAACATTTCATTACCTAAACTATCAATCGTTTTACAATGCTACTCTAAAAACCGACTTAGCCTCCCATTAGATAAATTGTTAATCTTATTACACTGCTACATAACAGAAAGACTAAATTGATTTAACCTCTTGCTTCTGTTAATCTCGTTCTCTGCCGAACCCGAAACCGCAACAAGGATGCGACGAGATATTAGTTCTATTTTTATGTATTCAATTTTTTATATTTTTTGTTTTTTTTTGTTCTATCTTTTTATATTTTGTTATATTTTTGGTTTTATATTTTTTGTTATATATATATTTTTTTTTAACTTTTTTTCTTGTTCTGCTTGTTTCCGTACGCTGAAAGTTGATTTATTTTTCAATTAATCTGTGTCACAATCGTTGATAAAAGACATATTTCTGGAAGATGCGGACACTTCTGATTGTGACACAGATTAATTGAAAAATAAATCAACTTTCAGCGTACGGAAACAAGCAGAACAAGAAAAAAAGTTGAAAAAAAATATATATATATTCAAAAAATATAAAACCAAATATATAACAAAATATAAAAAGATAGGACAAAAAATATAAAAAATTAAATACATAAAAATAGAACTAATATCTCGTGGCATCCTTGTTGCGGTTTTGGGTTCAGCAGAGAACGAGATTAATAGAAGCAAGAGGTTAAATCAATTTAGCCTTTCTGTTATGTAGCAGTGTAATAAGATTAACAATTTATCTAATGGGATGCTAAGTCGGTTTTTAGAATAGCATTGTAAAACGATTGATAGTTTAGGTAATGAAATGTTAAATGAGTTTCCTAATTAAACACTATTTAACCCCCATTCCTCCTTCTAGGCCACACACACTCTCTCCCCTGCAAATACACACACATACACACACACACACGCACAACCCTCATTATCCCCCTCTTTAACCGTCCTCTTCATATACAAACACATCGGATGCATTTTTGTTTTGTTGTAGTCCCTTTCAGCCAATTTCATGTTACCTGCCCAAGCCCCCTCCCCACACACACGGTTGCTTACACCTTCCCTTGCACATATATACATACACAATGCACCTCTTATTCCCGAACCAAAATGAAAATTCACACGGATGCGTTTTATAATTGCTCCATATATCAACCGATTTTCTGTAAATGTACCATGTTCATGCTCAATTTTCATAATGTTCCCGATGCTCCATGAACTTGTCGATAGTTTTATCGTGTTCAGCAGGTCAAAATTTATAAAAAACAATGCTACTTTCACTTGCACCTTTTTGGGCAAAAATCGAGGTCTTTTACTCATCCTTCTTTCCGAGTGAGTGACAAGTTTCAGTGGCGTATTAAAAATCAGTAATGCTACGCTCGGTCAACTCAGGTTTATGAAACAGCATCCAAACTGTCCGATTTCTGATATGCAATGTTCACTGTTATTTTCTGAGAGTCTATTAATGATTATAAAAAACTTCAAAGCTACAGCATTATTATATTTACAACTTTATTAAAACCTTCCCTACTATCGATGTTAGGATCCGTTAGTGTTCCAGGATATCCTATATCTATTCATGACTATTCTAACGACGTCTCATGTAGCTTAGGTTATAGGCGAATTATATAAAATAACAGCGTAATTATGCGTCGTTTTGGTTTTTAATGATCGTATGAATAAGCATTTAATAATCGTATGAATAACATGCACATGTAGTATAAAAAATTATTTAACATTTAAATAGACAGCGAATTAAAACTGAATTATGTAATTTCGACTTGTCGACCGATGAATTATTTATCTTCTCGATCTTTATACTTAACGATTTTTTATAAATAACGATGTGATTTGTAATAATATTATTAGTTTCTACTAATAATAGTATTCTAAAGTAACATCTAATAGCACTGCAAATATATATCATGATTTTATTCCATTTTTTTAGATGATCAGAATAAAAAGATTCTGCGTGGGAAGTACTGTCTAATAAAATAAATAGGTCTAATGATACACATATATATATATATATATATATATATATATATATATATAATAGATAGGTTGTGTAAATCTAATATGAAGATTCAGGCTTCTTTGTACGAGATTTTATATTATATTCCGCTCGCAACACCTGTGGTGATTTCTTACATCGCGATATCTATGAAGGTCGCTTCCGAAAGATATTCACAAATATCCTCGCACGATTAGATTTCGGTAGTCTGACGTAAAAGAACAGTACTGATTCCAATATGATATCATAAATTCGGAAGTCTCGGGACATTCAGAGTGATTTCAACCGATCGGTTTTCTTATCGAACTCATTGAGATATTATACAGATATAATTAGAGATCTTTCACAGAGATTTGAGAACACTGCGGTCAAGACGCCAACTAAATCGTCACACGTCAGAATATAATCGCATGTTGTGCGTAATAATTTGATCTAATCTAATCGCAATAATCTAATCTTTGGGAATTTCTTGACTTTATCGATGTTTGCACGTATGGAAGCCATCTAATTGATCACCGGTAATACGGATGTGGCATGTCGATTTAATCGTGCAGATATTTCTTGCAATAATTCAAATATCTGAACGTGTCGCATAAGAGTAATGGATTAATATAAAAAGTTCAGATTGAAAGAATTTTAAGGATTTCCGTTTAAAACAGGTAAAACAGCCGAAAAAAGAAGAAGTGAAAAACAGTAAAAGTTCAATTGCAGGTTTTAATTGCGTTTTTTAGATATTACTTCGTACACGTACACATAAATTTAATGTCAGAACATTTCGACCATACTTTCTGATCATCTTCAGCTGAATAATTATAAATTGTTAAATTTTTATTGTTAAATTACAAATTGTTAAATTTTTTTTATAATAAAGAAAATATTTTACTATAGTATTAATTTCATAATGCTATTTTGGGTAAGATTACGTTTTAGGATTACACGGCTCTCTCAGGGACCAATTGTCGTATCATCAATGTATCATCCGTCACAGAATATGGTGAAATTATCCAATGAATTAACAATGTGGAATAGAATTATGATATATTTATGGTTATTGACGATGTAAGAAAATTAATAATAGCCGACGAAAACAGTCGAACGGAGAAGCAAGGTAAAACGTCTTGATGTTGACCCTTTACATTCCGCATGTTTTTTACCACCGCCTACTAGCAATTCCGGTCTACTTTTGCACCGGAGCGTCTGGGGAAAAAAGTTTTACTTTAAAGGGAAAAAATTACAAGTATGATTGTGAATGTATTTGTTTTTATTTATTTTATAAATATGCTTTCCCTCTTGCAAATAAAACATAAATTTAAAATTTTGTAATTTATCATAATATGATATCTTTGAAAACACAGTCTACTATGTGCATTCATCTGAGTCTTCTAACGAATCTTCGCTTCCAATAACTCTCATTCTTCGTTTCTTTCGGGCTATAATTTCGCTACCACTACTAGAAATATCAGAATTATAATCAACATTGTCTTTAGATATTAAAATACTTAAATCACTAATACTTCAAAATCAAATACTTAAATTTCTTAATACTTCAAAATCAAATACTTCATTATCACTCAGCTTTAAATTTTTATCATAACATTCTTCTTTCTCTTTTCTGTTTTTAACCACAAAAAAGGTCAAAAAATAATTTAATCACAAAATTACGGAAATAGCACGCTTTAAGTACAAAAACAATTTCGAACGCCGCCAATGACAAAGGATTTTGAGCGTCACATTTATAGAAAATTTCCCCACAGCGGACGGAATTAGCAAACAAATAATAGATGTTTCTATAATAGAGCCAACGGAGTGCTAAGGATCAATACTTTGGTTCTGCATTGCAATTTACCTAAACTAGTTTTGTTTTTTCTCAGCAATTTGCTAATGACAACAACAATGATAAAATAGCAAAATATGACAGATTCACGGCATAATCAAGCCAAATTAATTTTTCATCCTCTTTTTTCCGTAATTTAAATATAATTTAGATATAAAAATATGTTCGAAACGTTTTGACAATTTACTCAAAATCGACGACTGACAATTATTATATAACTCATTATCTGATAGAAAAGATCAATAATTTGATTGATATTCGTTAAATATATAGATCTAGAACATTAGATAGATTATTAGATAGAGATTAGATAGATATTTAAAAAAATATTAATTACAGAAAGAAAAATACAGGAAAACTTTCTCTCTCTTTTTCTTGTAGCAAATTTCATATGGTTCGTTTTTTCAACTATTTTTTCATATGGACGATTTAGACGATCGAGTTAATTGTCGATTAGATTGATCAGTTTGCGACAAAAATCATCCGACCAATTGGTCGCGATAAATATCTGACTGATATTTTAAACTTCCTCCGGATCTCCTTCCCCCTTTCTTACTACTGATAGATGCAACGCAGTAGATATACATACTGAAAAACGTATAAAAGGCGATCGCAGACTTACCGCAACATTCCGACAACCACAGCTTACAAGAGCAGTGAGTGGACAGTGTAGAAAAAATTAAAGAAAAATCATCATGTTGGCCACACTCGTCCTGCTCGCCACAGCGGTAATATTCTTCTGCTTTTATGCCAGGTTAGTATAAAACTGCAATAGACAATAAGTATTAGTTCGCTAGAGAGAACTTGCTATTAAATAATTAGTTGTACAAGCGGTTAAACGCAACAACGTATTCATTTTATACGAATTCGCAGACTTCAATACTTGCAAAAGGCTGAAGCCGCGAAACGAACGCGAAGTGGCTTTATAACTTTCGTAAATTACATAATTTTTATGCATCAATGGTATCACATGTAATTTTTGCTTTTATCACATTTATTGATATTTATTTCAATACGTTGCTTTGATTAAATTTTCAAATTCCATTATTAATGCATATGCATGAAAACGTATTCCTCAAAATAAGAGAGAGAGAGAGAGAGAGAGAGAGATTTTATGATTCTGATCGAATTAAAAATTTCTTTCTGCTTTGCAAACCTGAAATACGTATCTTTACGTGACCACATTGCTGCTTATAGGTATAAGTTGAACTACTGGAAGAGACGCGGTGTCGAATCTATTCCGGCGGATTACATTTTCGGAAACTTTAAGGATGCTATCCTCTTCCGTTCAGCGCCGGGTTTTCATCTCGGCGAACTGCACAACGTGGCCAAGTCGGACGCGCCGTTTGTCGGCTTTTACATCTTTCACAAACCTTGCTTGCTATTGCGTGATCCTGAGATCATTAAGCATTTCATGATCCGCGATTTCGACAATTTCTCTGATCGCCATTTTGCTGGCTCCAATCAGACGGATAGCATCGGCATGAAGAATCTCTTTGGCCTGAAAAACCCGGCGTGGAAGTACCTGCGCACCAAGATTACGCCCACCCTGACGAGGGGCAAGCTAAAGCAGATGTTCCCGTTGATGATGGAGACCGGAGAACCCATGATGAAGTTCCTGAAGAACCAACCGGCTGACATGAACAATACGAAGATTGTGGATGCTCAAGATCTGAGTTACAAGTACGCAACCGATTTAATTGCCTCGGTTGCTCTTGGTATCAAAGTGGACTCCTTCCATTATCCAGATACTGAGTTCACCACTGCAGGTATTTATATATTTCACTTTAACCCTGTTAAGAACTTTTTGCATTCTGAAAAAGATTATATATATATTTTTGTTAAAAATAATTAATAATGTCATTCACATATCTATTGATATCTATGAATATTACTGATTTAATATATTACATATTATTACTCATTATATATATATATATATAATATAGTAAAATAATAAATTCTGGAGAATACGATATGATAAATTGCAATAAATTATGCAGTCGCCGAGTTCTTTCACGGATTCAAGAGAATGATCGCGTTGGTGACGGTGTTCTTCATGCCTGAGCTGGTGGAGCTATTCGGTACGAAATTGCTCTTCAACGCTTCTTTCATAAAGAAGGTTTTCTGGGATGTGATGGAGAATCGGGAGAAGAGCGGTCAGAAGAGAGGCGATTTCATTGACTCGCTGCTTCAGCTGAAATATGGCGAGCAGAATCCCGATTACAGTGAGTAACCTATTGTAAATGTATATTTTTTAACAAAATTAAATATTTTACTTCATAGTGATCTTCACAGTAATTTTCATAGCTTTCTAACAAATTCATTCGCTTTGTTACGAATTGCAAATTAAAGAACTGTAGCAAAGGATGGAATATGACGATAGAAACTTACGATACAACTTCAATCGGTTTGTCACAGAATTTGAAGGTGACAATCTACTATTCCAATCCGGAACCTTCTTCTCGGGCTTCGAGTCGAGCTCCGCCTGCTTGTCATTCACCCTGATGGAATTAGCAAACCATACGGAATACCAGGAACTGGCCAGAGAGGACATCAACAACGCTATCGAAAAGTACGGCTGGACGTATGAGGCGTTCCACAATATGAAGTACTTGGATCAGGTTATAGCCGAAGGTTTGAGGATGCATCCGCCCGTGTCCACGATCGACAGATACACTCGTCAAGATTACACGGTCAGTATCAACTCGCAGAATGTATCATCTGCAAATTAAAGTTTCACTGATGAAGAAGAAATTTGAAATTATATGAGAGAGGTCATCAACTTATGAAAGTCTCATTGAGATATCTCGCTAACTTCACTCACTATAACTTACTATGCGGAAATTAGTTTCGAGAGGAAAGATAACGTTTTTTCACTCGCAAATCAACATCCAATAAGTGTTTTTTAGCCTTTATCTATTACAAATTAAAATTTTTCTAATTTAATCATATTTTGTTATTGTTATATTATCGTTTATCAAGAACATATGTCAGATTCGGATAAGAAATTCACTTTGTCATAATTTCATGATATAGAGTTTCTAATGATATCGCGTCCCGTGAAAGATTTTTCATTCTAAATGTTACTTAAGTAAAATACATTCACAACTGAAGGAAGAGCAGGTATCTTATCTGCTCGAAATTTTGCGCGGATTACATTTTACGACGAGTCGTGCATTTCTCTAATCGTTTGTTAACTGGAAAGAAAGCTCGCTGCGCCCGTGGATTCCTTTGAAACCGAGACAATAAAATGACAATAAAATGACCGAAAATCTCTAAAATTCTAGATTCCCGGCACCGATGTGATAATCGAGAAAGGCACACCGATATACATCTCTCTGTATGGCCTTCACAGAGATCCCAGGTTTTTCGATGAGTCGCACATCTTCAACCCCGACAGATTCGCTGAGGGTAATCAAATCAACGACGCTTACATACCTTTCGGGACCGGACCTAGAATGTGCATAGGTGCGTAAGTGAGAGCATCGATCGCTTATGCGCAGATATCAGTTTTGAAATATATGATTATCTCATTATTAACATCACGTCACTGAATTGGAGCGCTATAAAGCGCTCGTTGTCTCTTCTTCTTCTTGAAGCATAGTTCATACTGTTGACTGAGAGAGAGAGAGAGAGAGAGAGAGAGAGAGGGAGAGAGAGAGAGAGAGAGAGAGAGAGAGAGAGAGAGAGAGAGAGAGAGAGAGAGAGAGAGAGAGAGAGAGAGAGAGAGAGAGAGAGAGAGAGAGAGAGAGAGAGGATATATATGTACACATTATATATCATTAATTTACATATAAGAGGAGAAATATTAAACTGAGTTTCTTACTTGCTGTTCGTAGGATCTAAAGCAGGCACGCTACACGCTAAAGTCGTTCTGTCGATGCTTCTACGCGAGTATAAGATCTGGCAGAGTAGTGACAACAAGACTAGCCTGGATACACGATCAACCTTCACCGCGGCGGCTGACGGCATCAAGCTTCACTTTAAGAAGGTCGTTCGATAAACGGATACCCGTTACATAGTCACAACTCTAAAAACGAATTCATAATCAGATGTAGTTGAGGGAAAATGGAATCTGGTTCGTCCAAGAACACCGAATGCACACCGAGTGTGCACACGGAATACACACTGCAACGATTCGGATTCTTCACTTCACTTGTTACAGTGTATTTTCCGGGTGCTACTCCGCTTTCATATCCGAATGTCTTCTTATCGTTAGCGGTAACGAAACTGAAAGATCATCCGGATATGAAAGTGCATTGCTTGCACGATGCACATATAGATACGTGCAACATACGTATACGTATATACATGCACAACGTACACAATTTATTAATTAATTTATTGATTATAGAAGTGATGAACATCTTCTCTTAGCTCTTGAAATTATTCTTCTCGCGTTTGTGATAGCGATCACTCGAATTGATTCCTTAGCTCTCACGAGCTGAGCTCGTTGGTCAGTATTAGGTCAGTGGCTTATTTAATTCTATGAACTATAATGAAAATATCTTTCTGAATTGGAAAGATACAGAGGTACGTGAAGCAAGAGGGTTAAGAAGAGTGTCGCGATAGTAAGAACAAGAATATTAACCGAGATATTAGGTATGATATTATTTAAAAAATTAATAGTATATCATATTTTGTAAATATAATTTATTCTGGAAGCGAAAAGGAGAAGGAAACTAGATACTCGTAGATCATCGCTATGTAGCTACCGGTAACGAATTCTTTGTGCGATTTTTGTTTGCTTCGTGTGTCGAATATAGGATTTAGAATGAGATCAGGAAGGAACATCGCTCGCACCTTAGTCGTTTCTTCCAAAGACTAACATCCGTGATAATCGAATATTATTGTACTGTGCGAAGTATCTGAAAATTTGCGCCTTAAAGTTGTACTCTGCGAAATGAAAAAAGAAATATCGTTATATATATAATAAAGCTGTTTTTCTTAGTTCTTGCGAACTTTATATCGCAACGTTGACGCGCGCGCGCGCGCGCCACACATACACACACACACACACACATATATATACATATGCGAGTTTTCAAACACTCGATGTAGTAAGCGTTTATTTAATATATAGTTAATGTTATAATCGTAAACTAACTCTTGTCCGTCGTGCGTGGCGCGCTTCATGCGAATATATGATTAAGATATAACTATTTATTTAACATTTCTTAATGTTAGTTTAGATTAACTTAATGAAACATATGTTTAATAAATATATTGCAAAGAACATAAAAATATGTGAATATGAAATCGAAAAATCCATTAGTCTCCGATTACGCTTTTTAATTTCATCCTGTTTTTCACTCAATTGAAAATTGTTACTTTTCGGTTCGTTAACGAATATCTTTCTTACATTTAATTACTTATTTATATTATTTCCCAATGAGCAAAACATTAGTGAATATCCTTGCACATAAAACATTTTTGCAACGATATTCGATAGCATATGACGTTTTCTGATGTGTACCAGGTGTGTCGGTAATTCCTTTCCGGTTTTTTCGCTAAAGAAAACACGTTATTTACAATGGATAGTTAAAATATATTTATTCAAAGTATTGGCCATTTGATTCTATACATTTTGCCCATCTCTCAGGCAATTTATGGATGCCATTCCAAAAGAACTGTTTCTCCTTTGAGCTAAACCATTCATCGAGCCATTTTTTAACTTCTTCGAAATCGGCGAAGTACTGCTCTGCAAGCGCGTGCCCCATCGATGCGAAAAGGTGGTAGTCGGATGGAGCCAGGTCTGGAGAGTACGGCGGGTGCGATAAAACTTCCCATCCAAGTGATTTCAACACTTCTTTGACTGGTTTTGCTGTATGATGTGAGACGGCGCGTTGTCATGCTGCAAAATCACCTTATCATGTCTTTGAGCGTATTGTGGACGTTTTTCGATCAATGCACAGTTCAAATTGATCATTTGTTGTTGGTAGCGATCAGTATTAACTGTTTCTCCAGGTTTCAACAGTTCATAATATACGACACCAACCTAGTCCCACCAGACACAGAGCATGGTCTTGCGACCAAAGCGATTTGGCCTTGCAGTCGATGGGTCGCCTTCGCCAAGTGATAACCATGATTTTTTTCGCTTGGGATTTTCGAAATAAATCCATTTTTCATCACCCGTTACTATTCGATGCAGAAATGACTTCCTTTCATACCTTTGAAGCAGCATTTCACTGACGATTTTTCGATTTTCCAATTGCCTGTCATTCAATTCATGTGGCACCCATCTTCCCATCTTTTGGATCTTTCCCATCGCTTGTAATCGTTCACAAATTGCTACTCGGCTCATATTCAACTTTTCTGCCAATTGTTTTTGAGTTTGTGTTGGGTCTTCATCCAATAACTCCTGCAATTCCGCATCTTCAAACGTTTTCTTCAAAAACGGCCTACCAGGACGTTTTTTGTCTTGAACGTTGAAATCACCACATTTGAATTGTCGAAACCACGTTTCACATGTTCTTATGGTTGGAGCATGCTCACCGTAAGTCTCTACCAGCAAACGATGACTTTCAGCGGCTTTTTTCTTTCGATTAAACAAGAAAAGTAATGCGTGCCGCAAATGCACGTTTTCAGGCACAAAACTCGACATTTTCAAAAAATTATTAATCTATAACGCTGTTATTTTGGCGGAACGTAACTTATGTAGTTTTGAGGTTAATGTCAGTAGAATAAAATGACATATGTATCAAATCATAACATTGCATACAAAAACCGGAAAGTAATTACCGACATACCTGGTAGTTTTTAATGTTGTATCAATATCAGCATAACACTTCGAAAAAAAATTTCACTAAAATAAAATACTTTTACAAAAGGATCATATTCTCTAATATCTTGGAACAAATTTAGAAATATCAAAGTTGAATTTACTTTTTATTTATTTGATTTACTTACGTTTATGTTTATTCTCTCGTTTGATCTCTGGTTATATCAATTACTTGCAATCGCAACGTAATAATGCGAGTAGAACAGAATGCGAGTTAACCCGTTTCGGACGAAAACGCCACTCTCGGTACACCGCTCTTTGGCGGCTCATAACTAATACTATTTGTGTCTGAAAAATTCGAGAGGTACATATTTTTATAGTTTAAGATGTGCCCTTTCTGATAGTGTCCATAAAATTTCTCCAAAAAATTGTTAATTATGGAAAAAAACAGTTTAAAACAAAAAAACATGATTTTTTCGCACTTTTTTTTTTTTTAAATCGAATTTTCAAAGGGTTTCCTGTCTGCAATGACCCTAGAACCCCACTAAACGGTGGAATAAACGTTTAAACTTTAATAATATGTGGTTTGGAGATCGATTTTACTCCTTAATATATTCAAAATGGCGCCTAAACTGCAAAATTTTCGTGAAAACATTCATGAATTTTTTATTGAAAAATGATGCATTTTTACGAAAAATTGTCAAGAATAAAAAGTTCTTAAAATCACTCAAAAAATGCACTCGAATTTTTTGAAAATATTTCGAGCAATTTTTTTGATTTTGTAAATAGTCAATTTTTGCAAAATTGAAAAAATTGCTCAAAAAATTCCGAAAAAATTTGGGTGCATTCTTTGGCTAATTATAATAACTTTTTATTCTTCACCATTTTTCTCATTAGTGCATTATTTTCAAGAGAAAAAGTCGGACTCCGACGCCTCTCGCGCTCACGTATGCGACGCGCGCTTGTGTGCGTTACCCCTCCATGCTACAGCGTGCTACCAAACGGGCCAAACGTGGGATCACTGGGTTCACCTACTATATACACGGGATCAGTTGCGCGATACAAACTTAAAAAATTGTTTCTACTATTTCAAAAAGCTATATTATTTTATAATCTAAATTAAAATGTCGAAAAACTGAATAGTAAGTTGATCACGTAGAATAAAATGATTCTAATGATTTTCGCCTGCTACAGTTTTGGTATAAGTGATAGATTATAATGCTGCTGGCTAATAAAAGTCGTTTTATTGTCTATTCTATCAAATATTTAAAAGACAGTGCTGTAAGTGAGTTTTTTAATGTTTGGAAATGAAAAGAAAAATTTTTCACTTTAATTATTGTATGTTTATTTATTTTTTTTCTTATCATTTGATAAGATGCGATGGATTTACTGCGGAATTTCTTGTCCCTCCCATAAGAGCTCGTGTATATAAAAACGAAATTTTGACATTAATTATCTCAAAAACCATCACGCAAATCCTTCTAAAATTTTAACGCAATGTACACTTTGTTTGCGGCGGATTGACGATAGATGTGCGAATATATCAAACCTTTTCATGATCCGATACTACTTTGACATTTGGAAGTTTTTTTCTTGAAAATAATGCACTAATGAGAAAAATGGTAAAGAATAAAAAGTTATTATAATTAGCCAAAGAATGCACCCAAATTTTTTCGAAATTTTTTGAGCAATTTTTTCAATTTTGCAAAAATTGACTATTTACAAAATCAAAAAAATTGCTCGAAATATTTTCAAAAAATTCGAGTGCATTTTTTGAGTGATTTTAAGAACTTTTTATTCTTGACAATTTTTCGTAAAAATGCATCATTTTTCAATAAAAAATTCATGAATGTTTTCACGAAAATTTTGCAGTTTAGGCGCCATTTTGAATACATTAAGGAGTAAAATCGATCTCCAAACCACATATTATTAAAGTTTAAACGTTTATTCCACCGTTTAGTGGGGTTCTACAGTCATTGCAGACAGGAAACCCTTTGAAAATTCGATTTAAAAAAAAAAAAAGTGCGAAAAAATCATGTTTTTTTGTTTTAAACTGTTTTTTTCCATAATTAACAATTTTTTGGAGAAATTTTATGGACACTATCAGAAAGGGCACATCTTAAACTATAAAAATATGTACCTCTCGAATTTTTCAGACACAAATAGTATTAGTTATGAGCCGCCAAAGAGCGGTGTACCGAGAGTGGCGTTTCGTCCGAAACGGGTTAAAGTGCGAGTTAGATAAGAGCTATCTCTGTTATACGAATATGTGAGAGATTATTCTGCCGCTCAGGCTAATGATTCAGCGTATATTGTTTAAGTATGAACATTATCGCTCTTACACTTTTATATTTGCAGTCGACTGCAAGATCTTTAGTGGGTAGTACCTGCATATTTTATTCGCGTTCACGAATTTTGCGCAAACGGAGGTGTCTGGAGTGTAAACGTAAAATTTCATTAACATGTGGTGATATTGACCAATTGCATAATGTGGAACGTCCTCTTGATATTTTCGGCGCTCCTGGCGGCGCTGTATCTTTGGATGAAATGGAAGCATTCTTACTGGCAGAGACGAGGCATACCTACGCTGCCCGGACACTGGTTCTTCGGACACTTCAAGGACCCCATACTGATGAGAAAGTCGCCGGGTATGGTGGCCGGTAATCTACATAAGCAAGCTGCCGACAATGACGATGTCTTGGGCATTTATATCCTACACAAGCCGTTTCTGCTCGTGAGGAATCATGAGCTCATCAAGCAAATACTTATTAAAGATTTCCATATATTCCCGAATCACCATTTCACAGGCCAGAGCATTGCTGACAAAGTCGGTTCCTCAAGCCTTTTCGGGATAACTAGTTCCCAATGGAAATATTTAAGGTAAACAACGTGTCACAATTGAAATCGGACCGCCGATGTAAATGCTAAAAATATTTATACTTTATATCAAGGACCATTCTAAAAATTTTCGAATGTTTTTGTTTACGCGAATTTGTTTTTCTAAATTACGATTTCACATCGAGAAGATAATCTCTTATGTTGTGTCTTCTTCCAACGCTTCGGCGTTTTATTTAGATCGTTGCGACACGAAATCAGAGAGAATGGCATAAAATTAAAATTAAGATTAATTTGAACGTACTCGTTTCTCTCTCGACATGTGGCCAACTCGCTGTAGAAATTTCCGAGATTTCCGAGATAATGAGAGATCCACATTTTCTCACACAGGGTAAAAATGACGCCGGTATTCACAAGCGGGAAGTTGAAAAATCTGTTCTTATTAATGATGGAGTCCGCAGAACTCACGAGGGTACATCTGCGTGAGCAATTCCAAGGAGACTCCAAAGTCGCGTCGTTCACTGTCAAGGATACGTTCTACAAGTACACCACCAACGTGATAGCCTCCATGGCGTTCGGGGTTCGCAGCAACTGTTTCGATCCTGCGACGTCATCGGAATTTTACAAATATTGTGAGAAATTTCAGGTTTAAAGATCTAAATGTGCGAGTAAAGTACGATGCGATTATTATGATTTTCTCATGAAATCTCTTTTACAAGATATTATTTTTCTTCACGCACTCATGTAGCAACTGAGGCTTTTCAGATGACTTTCCTAAGAGCCATACAGTTCTTCTTCCTTTTCTTCTTTCCGAATTTGGGAAAATATCTCGGTGGGTCTATGCTCAACACCAGCACGGATTATTTTCGCAAAGTCTTCTGGGACTCGATGGACAATAGAACCGTCACAAAGATGAAACGGGGCGATCTGATCGATTCCCTCTTGCAACTGAAAACCGAGAATGTTTCGGACGAAATTTTCCGTGAGTGGTCTTTAGAATCTGTAAAACATTTCATGCAGATATCTCAATAATGAACAGTAAAATCTTGAAAATAATATGAAGATATTCCTTACAAGTCTGCTATTTCAATAATGATTTTATAAATTGAAAAGAAAACAAGTTTCTACAAATGAAAAATAAGAAAGCTCAAGAAAAAAATCGACATTCAACGTCATATTACTTCGCATTTCTATTGGAGACAGAGAGCATCCGGGAATACTGGATGTTCGTTGAAACATTTGATTCAATTGCGTAATTACTTACCTATCGTCGTTGCATTCACTATCTATTCTCAGAATTCGAGGGGGATGCTCTTTTCGCTCAGGCGGCAATTTTCTTCGTTGCCGGCCGCGAAACCACCATAACTGTAATTACCTATACACTGTGTGAGTTGGCCAAGAAACCGGAGATACAGAAGAGACTCAGACAGGAGATTCTTGAGAAGATTGAAGTTGCGAACGGTATCACGTACGAAGCTGTCCAGGATATGAAATATCTGCAACAAGTGATCTATGAAGCGATGAGATTATATCCACCTGTGCCGATCCTCGACAGAGTTCCTCTCGAAGATTACACGGTAAGCTATAATAAAAAAAAATATAATATATAATACTATACTAATATAACTAATATAACGTTATGATAGTAATATAGCACATAAAAATAACTCCAAATAGCACAAAACGTCTTAAAATCGTTCTACATATGCCTAACACACTCTTCAGAGCACTCTCGACACATTCTGTATAATTTTGGAACATTTTGTGTTACCTGAGAACACTAACACTAATAAATAATTGAAATTACGCATGAAACATTTCTTCAGTAGAGGAATATAGTGATCTTTCTGATTGCAAAGAATATTCCATATTGTATGTACGAAAATAAAAATTACAGTTTCCCGGTACAAACATAACTGTCGAGAAAGGCATGCCGATATATATTGGAGTGTATGGTCTTCACACCGATCCCAAATATTATTCGAATCCTATGACTTTCGATCCTGACCGGTTCAGCGATGAAAGGAAGGGCGAGATACTACCATGCACTTATTTGCCTTTCGGCGAAGGTCCGCGGAATTGTATAGGTCAGTGGAACAAATCTATCTATATATAAAATTATATATAGAAAATATAATTATAAATAATTGCATTTTGTATAAAGATTTCCTTCTCTCTTCTTCAAGCAACGGAATCTGTCCATTTAATCATTTAACTACTAATAGTAATTGGTTCTCTTCGTTGACTTTCTTCTTTAATTCTTTAAATTCATTTTCGATCAGGCTCGCGATTAGGATATTTGCAAACTGCCGTGGGACTGATTACAGTTTTGCGCGATCACGAGATCGCGTTGAATCCTTTCTGGCAGTGTACCGTAGATGAAAAGAATGTGTTCACCAGTCCACCATCAGGATTCAAGCTGGATATGAAGAAGATATAGACGATACGCACTGTGATATATTCTTGATTTGGTCAAGTGGATTGATACCCCTGAAGACTCAAGAAACATTGATAATGCCAACTTATCGTTACAAAATTGGAAAAATGCTGAAAAAATATAATAAATATGAAATATTATTTTCTTCATAATTGTGATAATGTGTTAAAAATAATTACTACCATATTATTATATATAAAATAATAATATACCTTTGTTCACATAATGAAATACATGTTGGTTTATCAAGATTATATTAAAAATCATGTGATTGCGACGTAGTGGCTCTTATCATTCTCTTAACAGCTGTCTTTAAAATAAAATTCTTTGATCATTATCAAGGTACATCGATCACTTATTCTAGGGATCTTCCGGGGAATTTTTCGGATGTTGGTAGAGGATTCTTATGGGATCTTCCTGAGATGTCATTAGGACCTACGCCAATATTCCTAAAAGATATTCTCTTTACTATCTGTAAAAAGATCTTTATTTTGACATTTCATCGTCGTGCTTCTAAATTTGCTATATACATTATTGTAATCCGCCGTCTACAAATGTAGATCGTAATCTACATTGCGGAGGTGGAGGAGAGAAAGTACGCACACCTCGCATGCGCCCACATTTATAAATTAACGTAATTATAATTTCGATTTACCATAATTCCCCTAATAATGTAAAAAGACAAAGTGTAACATCGGCACGGTACATCACAGTACACGACGCATCAAAAACTAATGTTAAATGTACACGCAAAATAACATAAGCGAGACGATCTGAAAAACGAAAGAAAAATGTAGAAAAATGCAAATGCTAACGAGCCAATATTTTACTGCTGTTATGAGAAGTGAGACTGTTAACAAAAGATCCTAAAATCTAATTTATAACATCTGTATCAACTTCTTCGGCCGTGTGTATCGTTCTTCCAGTCCAAGAGACTCCCAATTGGTGGAAGAACGCGCTGTTACTACCATGTACATGTTCGCGAGATGTTCTGTTACACTTCGTCTCTCTTTACATCGTACTGATAATTTTAAATTAAAACATGATGCTGTGCGCTCACAAGCACAAAATCCAATCGAGCAGAAAGGAGGAGCAGAAAATGCCGGCAAGTTTACTTCGGCAATAACGTGAGGTATTTCTTGAATTCTGGCAGTACGCAGTTCCGCGGGTTGAGTGGCATCGTCGCTGTCAGATAATCGCTCAGGTACTGCGGCAGGAAGCAGAGGATGCCCTTGCTGGCCAACATGGCCCAATCTATCGGCTGATTCACTTGTCTGACATTCACGAAGCAGTGAGTGATCTTGCGCCCGAACGGACTCGCGTCATACGGCGGCCTGCGATTACGATGACAGATGATTATGATTAATCATTTTGCAAGCGATCTTAACAAATCTAATCTCCTTTTCGATCTATTTTAATGAATACAACGGAACTTCACAAAGAATCAATCATGATGATAAATTAAGTAAAGTATTCCAACTGAACGTTTCACCACGAGAAAAAACTAATGCACGAGAACCATCCGCAAATCGACCTTCATGAAGATACACACCGTGCTTGCATGACCGAACCACCGCCGGCTTCGATCAATCTCTTAAACTGATCGCACTTCTCCTCGGAGACCAGCAGTAGAGCCACCATGTCGGAGAATGGACCGTCCGGCTTCTTCAGCAATTTCAGTCTCCACCTGTAAGCTGCCGCCGCGATCCCTTGCTCGATCTCATTGTTCGGTTCCGGAATCGTACCTTTGCTTCTCGGGTTACCCCATTCGTACTCCTCTTCCTGCGAGACATTTCCACTCGCGATTATTAATCAATCGATTATTAGTGCTTTCCTTGACTTCAAATATAGAACTGCACATGTAAAATGCATGCCGAGTTGCAATTGACGATAATTTTCCGATCGTGCTATCGGACATCTATGTGATCACGTAATTATTATCGATCATTTAAATTTCATATCTTGATTTGACGAATTTGAGAATTTTATCGTATAAAATACCGTATTGACTTAATAGTCGCGATAACGAAATTATTCAATTATTATCGATGGCCTGACCGTCGCTCGTAACAACGTTCGTTATCACGTGCTCGTAGCACAAATCTAAATGAAAATTATCAGATCGACGTTGAGTTCTGTGACGAAATCGGCTGTTGCAATACGCCGATGTAGAGAGATATTCCCTTTCTTAACGGCGATATTTTTTATCGTAAAAAACAGCGCCAAGAGTTATCCAAAATTCATCTTCGCGCACACACATACACATAACGCATTGATCCGTATCTAATGAGATCTTGGTTGCCAAAGAGATTTAGACTACCAACGTTATAGTTTACATTATCGCAAATTGCTCACCGTCGTCGTTCAATGTCGCAAAATTTCTTGACGACTCCGGCATTTCGAATGCCGGGAACAAAGGGAAAATTCAAAAGGAAACGACTGCGAGAGCTCTCGGTATGGCAATTTTTACCGTGATGGATTTCGTTGACTTGATGCATGAATTCGCGGTAAAAGTTCGCAAAATCCTAAAGCTTAATTTATAGAATTTCAATTTATCTTGTGAAGTGCGCCGTGTGAGTCGTCGGCGATCCACATTGGGTTTTCATACGCTCGCTTGAAAAACATATTACTGCTATCACGTTATCAGCAACCCTTGTAGCCTAAATACCGAGTCACATAATAGCGCAGCATTCAACAATCTATTTTTAATTGCAAGATAATGGAGATAATGATCATTTCATCGCAATCGCGATGAACTTGAACGGAGTTCCCGACAAATAGCTGAAGCGATAAGGATGTACTAACGTCGAGGAATCTGTCAGCTCGATCAGAGTCGCGTAGATACGAACAGTGCAGCACCCACTTCCCGGACGCTATGCTGCCGAGCATCTTTTCATTTCGTGACAGCTTGGCGCAAAGGAGATGCGTCGCGCTGTTGTCGAAGTTTGCGTCCATCGACACGTCTCCACCGAGTTTCCGTATCACTCGCTCGTACTCGTTTCGGTCCTGTCGGGCATAAATTTATGTAAATGTACGTAGAATTATCACTATCACAGATAATTATAAATTTATTATAAGTATTATGATTATTACAAGTCGCTTATCTCGACTGAATATCTAAAAATTTCCTGACGACTTCAGTAACTTAAATATAAGAATACGAGTTGAAAAAACGCTATCGTTTTTCGACGATGCTCGAGTAGACGAAAAAAACTGGCAAAATTAAATGAACGTCAGGCGTTTGAGAGATACTTCACTTTTACACCCGACAGCATGAATTTTCGTATCGACGGTGGCTCGCACTCGTATTCTGGCGTTATGTCTCGTTGGACGGGTTCCTCCTCAGCTTCGCTCATATCGGTCTCATCCTTTTCGATCGTTCTCTCACTCAGTCTTGACTGTAAAGATACGAATCTCACGTTACAAAGAAAAAATAGGAAAAGGTAGATAGAATGGAAAGATGTATACGTAAGTAATTGTCACTCACTTGCTTCGTATGATTCGGATCTTCCCACACGATGGTGTCGGCGGGTTGTGAGTCTTTTACCATATCTGTTTGTGAGATAATCAAGAATTAATGGCTGAAAAATAGAAAAAGTATGTAAAGCATGATGAACACTCACACTTTTGTATGTGGTCGGAAGTTTCGTCGTCGTACTTCTTAGCATTTTCACCGGACAAGGAATATCTGCTCTCGGGAGTGCTGGACGTTCGTTGAAGCACTTGATCCAATTGCGCTATTTGCCTGTTTAGCGTAAAACGCGAAGTTACAATCGCGCGAAAATTATTTGTGCAACACCAATGATCCAAATTAAATGTGAGTACACGTACATGTTTATCTCGTTACTCGGCTTATTCGATACCGGAGTATCTTCCTGACTGAAGCTGAGCTTCCTATTAATTGGCGTGGACGGACTGTCTTCACTAAACCGATTATCGTCTAATATTTCTTTGACCTTTCCTGAAGAATCGCCATTCGATGTCGTTGGCGTTTCATCCGATGCGTTTTCCTAAGGGTGTAAAGGATATATTAAGAAAGATAAAAACAGGTTCAAGGATTGTATCAAACTGATTAATAAAATATATTTATGCCTCACCTTCTCAGATTGACTTGGGTTCTTCAATTTTTCCCACAACTGTCTCTTCAGCTCCGAAAGCGGCTGTAAAACGTGCTGAATTATAGCTTAAACGCAATTGGGAAAAATAATAGTCGCGTATAATTTGTCTGTAAAATGATTTACAATTTAGACGCACTTGTTGAAATCTTTTGAATTCCAAGAAATATCTTAACAATTAAATTTCATAAATTTTATATGTATATTCCGTATTAAATTTCTGCTAAGATAAAACTGTACTCACGGTACTAGGCGCTCGTTTTTTCAACGGGGGTTCTGTCACTTGTAAGTCAGGAAAATTATCAACCCACTTGACCCAGCCTTTTCTCGTGTCGGGCGACGGATCCGGTTTGAAAACCTGTCCATATGGAGTTTCCGGAGTGGAAACATGAAACGGTGACTGCGGCGTCTTGTTCATCACGAGACTGAGTCTTTTGTTTATTAAAGGAGTGTCGCTGGATATCTCCTGGGTCTGTGTAATGTTATCGACATTATAATTTTAATTCCGACGGATCTTACGATGTATTTAAATGACTCGAATTATTTCTTTACGATATCAAAATATCGTATTTTACTTTCTTTTTTTTTTTTTTAATTTAAAATACATCGTAAAGAGGTCACGATATCTTTTAAAGCATTAAAATTGCTTCAAACTGACGAGTACCTTTATCTGAGGCAAATGACGCTTCGGTGTGAGGATATTTCTCGTCGCGGTGGTCTTTTCTACCGTATTTATATCACTTTCACTGACATAAGCATTTGAGGACTTCATCTCTTCACTGACAGAATTCAAGGTCGATCTATCCGGTGCTTTTAACATAGGCACACGTTAGAATTATATAGTGAAAAGTTGTATTTCGAAGTGCAATTATACCAGCGGGGAACGAATCAGAAAATTCACGCAGGCTTCATTTAAGAGATTAAAAGAGATTATGCAAATAAATATAAATCAACTCACCCATTGTTTCCCCAACGAGGAACGACGTCTCGTCCACCAATGTCAGCTGATCTGCAGAAGCCCTCAGCCAGTTGGCAGTGACGGCCGGCAGTTTCCATCTCACCGCCGCACTGTACTTATTTCCCTCCGGAGTTGGGCAAACCAGATGCGTACTGCCGTGCACCTTCTTCTCCGTGTTCGCTTTCCGCGAGAATATGTCTTGGCATCTAAAATTGTTCGCGTATGTGAGAAGACACTCTTGCCATGAGTACGATGAGTTTCACGGATAAAGTGATACGTTACATAGCACCGAGTTCTGTGCCCAATGCCGACAGATACTTCCGTTCCACTCCTGTGTACATGCTCATTGTGACGACGCATCCTGACAACGGCTTGCAAGGTCTCCTAATCGACAACGGCTTGTGATAATATTTAATTTCGACGATTTCCTTCTGATTTATGCAATCTTCCTGTTGACAAGTGATTATCAGTAGTGTTTCAACATTTGTCAAGACTATAGTTCATTTCATGCTTTCATTCAACAGAAAAAGGGAAAGTATATGAGACGAACACTTACAATGAATAAGTCAGTGACAATTTCGTTGACCGTGTGCTTTAGTGGTGCGCCGTGAACAGGGACGACACCGTAATCTGGTACACCAGTATACGAGTTCGAGACCACGCGTCCACTCAAGGTTACAATCGTGTCCTCTATATTACCGTTCTCGCTGCTGTCGAAGCCAGTCACAACGAACGTCAGGCCTGCGAATGGATTTCAATTGATTACTTGAGAAACGTAAAGAAGAGTTCGTTCTTTGCGAGACATCATCATATGGTCTTTCTCGTTTGACTCCAAACTAGAACAGAATCTCTTCGGACGTACTTTGGAATAATTTGCTGTCCACCGCACAAATACTCTGACTGTTTGGCAGAGTATCGCTATTTTCCGGATCCTTAGCTTGCACGGTTTCGCAAAGTATACTAGGGCGCACTGTGTTCGTTGCATTATTGCAGTTTTCTTGGTTCTTCTCTTCAGAGGCGGGCGTGCGAGGCCTTGCGAATTCTTGTGTTGTATTGGTGCGTGCCGTGAACGAGTTATCTGTATCTGTGTAACGTTTATAATATAATAGTAACTACAGTTATTTTAATATGCCACAGTACATAATAGTTATTACAGTAACATTGTAATTTTTAATAGTTGGTTATTACTAGTAGTTTCCTGCAGATATTGCCGCACAAGATCGGGTTGTTGTTCTTCATTTTCAGGTGTAATATTTCGCTTCAAATTGAAAGGTGGTATAGGAGGCTTCTTTGGTTGTTGCAACATTTCCAGATTCTGAAAAAGCATGCGTTAACTTTGGTAATATATTAATTTTTCATATAGTAATATGAAAATTTTATATTCGCTGTTTGTAATCAAATAACACAAAGACAATTTCATTAATTTTGCAAATTTTCTCCCTCTGCAGAAATTGTGTTTTTAATATTAAGTATACCTTCTTACTGAGTGGAGAAGCAGGTGTCTCAATGTTTTTTTTCGGTGCCCCGCCTTTCGTTTCAAACAAGAAACGCTCCTCCGGTGCAGGGCGTTTTAGTTTCATGCTTTCTTCCAGCCATTCTATGCTCAATACGTAAGGACTGTCCGAAACATACGTAAAGATAAAATCGTCAATCATAAGTATGAAAAGAGAAAAATTACACAACGTAATGCCACATCTATGTATATTATTCGTAAATTACTTCGGAAATCGGAAATATTGTAAAGGGAAAATTAAATTAAGAATCAAACTGAAAAATATTGCAAAGCGAAAGCAAAAATTAAGTTAAATGTCAAAATATAATAAGTAATGACGATTCTATATTCTTTTCAATAATTCCTATAAACCGTCTATCAAAAAATGATCTCTTAAAAAACGAAAATAAAATAAAGATCAGTTCCTCAACCTGAATAAAAAATCTACTTCGATATAATCCGATAGATCAGAAAGGTTCATTTGCATTTTTTACCACGTCTAAAAGTCTCTAACTCGATTCACTCTTTTATTTGTTAATGTTATTATACCATAAACCTCTTGCTTTCATCGCTTTCAATTCTGCAGATGCCTTATTCTCATCGTCGACAATCACGTGTGTCACAGCGTCTGATATATCATCGAGGCGCGTCGCGCTGCCGACGTTTAATATTCTGTTTAGCTTATCCCTGACGCCTATCGAGAATCCAGCGAGATAAATCTGCAAAAGACACACGGTGATGAAAACTTCAAATGAGAGAAAATGAGAGAATGAGGTATGGTAGAAAATTGAGAGAGATTTACATTACATCCGTCCAGAAATGGTCCAGCCAATTTCGCCTTGCCAAAAGTAAGTCTATCCAAAATGTTGGATGTAGCAGCTGTGTAAAAGAAAGTACAATTTCGTTCTAGATTTCGCTACGATATATGAAGTAAATCGTTATGGATCAATACTTACCGCCAGGAAAATTATTAGGTGCCACATCTATTGTAGAAAAATTCGATATTGTAGTGCATACACTTTCATTCACATAATTGTTGTGATGTTTATCATACGGTATTGAACTGATCTCAGAACAATTGAATGTTATACGAGCTAAAAGATTTATCAATTATTTATTTCAATCTAATATATACATAAACTATTTATTACAACAGATCGCTATCGTTTACGTACTATGTGTTCTTTCTGGCGTCGAAGATGCTTTGGAAGACTCAATGAGGAAATTACGAAAAGGCAAAGCATATCCTACTTTGATACTTTCATATATCCAGTTGATTTTTAAGCATGCGATACCATTATCCATGGCATATTTCAATTTGTCACTCAATGGACCATTCTCAGAAGCTATGACTACTCGAACCTTTGATCCATCAAGAGGACCCATGAATGTCTGCAAGCAAATATAACATTCAGTCATATATAGCATAAGTCTGAAACCTTTAACGATTTTAAGCTTTTGATTGTTAATATATGTATCACATTGGTTTCAACTTACTCCACCATGACTGTGTATTAGATGTTTGACTTCTTCCTTCTGTCGCTTGGAGAGATTTGTCGAGGTGGCTATTAAATTCATAAAAACTGGACATTTATATTTATCAAACATTTTATCATCTGCTTTAACTATTTCATTCAAATTTGCTTCCCAAATGGCTTTCACCCAATCTTTTGTCATGATTGATATCTTCATCTCTATAGCACCCTAAAAATAAGAAAGCACATAAATTATATTAGTTCTGGGTATGTATACACATCCATACATTTAAAAATAAAGTAAAGCATACCTCATACTTTGCAGACATTACGGAGTCAGTTACTAAATGTGTGACAGAATTTCTCAACTGTTTTGTAAAGAAACCTCCCATGTATTGAACCCATTGTTGTATCTGATCCTGTAATTATAATATAATTAAAATTATAATTAATTACCAGGATCATTGCTAAAAAAGCAAATACCAAAATAGTACCTTGCTCTCTGGACTCAAACCTGATGCACAAATACATATTCCTCTCATTGCTGTTGTATAGATTGGACTATTTCCTTCTGGAATAGGTTCGTTATTGTCAAAACAAATGAGCAAGCAGTTTGGTGATACTATCCTGCTAAAATAAAATTTGTACTGTTGTAGACATATATGAGAATAAGCTATAACAATAAGCTGTTATATAATCCATTACAATAAGCTGTTTATATAAACTTACGAGCATTTTGACTTTTTTAGCTTCTCAAACAGATCTCCCTTAAAGTCCTCCATAACGAATACATCATTTTTACTTGGTTTTATTTTATCACAGAATTCCTTATTAATCCACTGCGGTTGCAAACCAAGCCCATCACATTTCTAACAGAGAAGCCAAATTATAAATATTAATTTATAATGGCAAATTACAAGCAACATTTGTATAGAGAAAATTTAATTTTTCTATTTTCAAACTTAATAACAAAGCTACGAAAAATCTTAATGCAAGCCGATTTGCATAATATCTTTTGACATGTTTTTCTATTTTTGTAATCAAAATTGGTTATTTGACCGCACAAACAATTAACATTAACATCAAAATATATAAGGAAAAAAATATACGAACATTGAAAGCCTGCCACATCTTCTCGCTGCAATCATTCTCAGATTCACGGTGATCTGGTATCACAAAATGCACTTTTACGTCGAATGTAGTCTGACTCTCTGGAGTCGTCATCCTGACGGTGGAATCTTTGTCAGAAATCATACACACGCCATATTCGTTTTCTTTTTTCGCAGATGCACATAAGTGCGGCACATATACAACACGTTAAAATATATGCGAATTAAAATCCAATAAATATACCGTTCTACAGCGAAAATCACTGAAGAAAACTGAAAATTCGGATACTTCGCATAACGTGTACGGTGTGTATACATGTAATCTCATTGGCGGCAAAATATAGTTTAGAAACGCCAGCTGTAGTCGCGAAACGTAAGTACTAAATTATTTCGGGACGGTTCGCTCGCATGCTTATCGCAATAAGTAACGTACTACATTATCGACGCAAAGCGCAGACCTCAATTATCTCGATGAGATAATGGCGGTCTTTACTATTGCTACCGACGTTAACACCATTACGAGCCGTCGAATTTAGGTAAGTTCTTGTTATATTGGTGTTTGGAAGGAACCTCAGCCATCCATCAGCTGTTACCACAAGTTTTTGTTATTATCGAGTGGATAAATAGAAAGGAATGAACGAGATTTTCTGATCATTTTCAGATCATTCAACCAACCAATCAACATTTTATATATTCTATAAGAAACTTAATCAAACTAGAGAACTTTGTACTCATCTATATTTCTTTCTTTTTTTCAGCTTTTCTGCCGCCTTTCCTGCCGACACCAATACAATAGGAGGGATCACGTAAACGGCGTCAGTGAAAGACGGATGTGGATAAAGTAACAATGGCGAAGATAAATATAAAGAATGAACAATCGCGTTCTATTGTGTTCGTTGTACGAGATAATATCTTCGTAAGTCACGTCAACGGCACTCGTGCGCGCGCGCGTGCGACAAATTCTCTCGCCGCATTCAACAGGTGGTACATTGTCGCGCAACTTTACGAAAATACCGTTTTCGCGATCAACACGAGATATCTCTAACGGTCGCGGGCTCCCATTGGCTGCCGCGTCCATGGAACATACGGAGCCGCCTTAATGCGCCGTCTGCTCGGCGCAGGCGCCACGCGCGAGAGCGGCCGAGCGTACACTCGACTACGATTGGCCGGTCAGTCGAACGTCTGCGGTGGTCATGCGCGTATATGCGATTTCAAGTTGACGCTACGCCGTGCGACGCTCGTGAGCGCGTTTGCCCGTCGAACGGTCACGGCGAAACCCGGACGGATTCAGAGCGAAAGCGCATTCGCGCCCGGCTTCGTCGTTCTCCTCGGCAGGACTGTGATCGCGAAGCTGGCGAGGAAGGTGCACCGAGTCGATAGGGTGTGCTCTACAGCAACGAGACGTCCTGCCGAACTCCAGCGAGTGTCTCGACGGTTGTGTGTATCGTGTTCGCCAGGCGTTGCCAGGTGTTACCAGGTGAACGTGCAACCGTTCACGCCGCGTTACTTAGTTGCACTCACTTATCTGTCTACAACGGGAATCCGTCGTGCACAGGAACAGCCAGGGAATCCCGTGTCAGCGTTGGAATTCTGTCTGGATCTTCCTCGCGGACTCAACCGCTTGAACTTCAGCGGAGACGCGAACACCGACGACGTTGACGACGACGATCGAGTGCAGTTGATTACGAGAGTGACCGCGAAGTTAGCCGCGAGTGAACTTGAAGTTGATCGCGGGTCAAATCGCGTCGACGTTCGCGAGTGATCTCAAGTGATCTCGCGCTAAGTGACCGCCCGTTCGGTGATCGAGCGAGGATCGCCGCGGAGAGACGGGGAAGTAGAGGAAGAAGGAGAACGAGAAGGAAAAAGACCGAGGAAACGGAGCCGGTCCGCCGGACGATCTCCGTCTCAATCGATCGATAGATCCCCGTTCCCCGGCATTTCCGCGAATCCTCGCTGCGCGCGTCGAAGCGCGGAGAACACGCGACGACAACACAGAGACGCGCGTCGCGTGCGCTTCTGCAGTCACGACGGATGAGGATGCGCGCGTCGGCCAGGGAGCGGATTCGGAGCGATTTTTGAAGCATCAACGAAGGGGAAAACCAGGGAAAGAGCGCAAAGTGTCAGATCGCGCGAAAGCCGCGGGTACGAGACCGAGGCGAAAGGGAGGAGTCGAGTCGCGGCAGGCAAGGAAGAGAGAGAGAGAGAGAGAGAGGGAGAGACAGAGGCCGGTAAAGAGAAAAAGAGAGTTGCATCGCGGAATGCACAGAGTCACGCGAGTGTTACGTGCGGGATGAAGACGCGCGAATCGCCGCGATCGTAGAGCTCTCCGCGCAGAGCTCCTGCGTGGTTTCCTTGACGTACGTAGGAACGAGCGGAGAGGAAGTGGCCAGTGACGAAGGAGAGTCGGCGACGGGTGAGACGGGGAGGAGTGGTCAACGTTGCAGCGGCGAGGCGGAGAGGATGGTGCGGTCGGCGGCCTCCGCGAGGACGCGGAGCTTTCTCGCCGGAGCTTGGCTCGTCGTATGGACCGCCGTCATCAGCAGTGCCTTCACTAGCGGTAAGCGGTGCAGTCTTTGTCGGTGTATCCACCTGAATTTTCTCAGAGAGAAACATTTCCGGTCGCACGGTATCGGCTCGCCGGCTCGCAATGGAAGTAAATAAATAAAACGCGGCAGAAGCTTCGCTGCGAGAGCAACTTCTTGTTTTGCTTGCATTTTTGAAGACCGCCTTTGACTAGCTCATAATTCTGTGCCGTGGTATTCTTCGAGTTGCCTTATGAATTACCTTATATATATGTACCCAGACTGCATAAATAGGGAGTTTTTGCAATACCGTCTCGCAGATACGGCAAACGTAAATCGTGAACGTAAAACGTTATTCGCTCTCAGAAATAACGTCGCCATATACGCGAATGCCAATAGCATCCGATGTTTACCGTATCTGAGAGAGACGGTATATTGCAAAAGCTCCCCAATATTTAAAAATATCTTAGAAACGTCTAAAAAACATTCTAAGATATACACGTGTTTCAGACCCTTCTTGTCAAATATCTTTCAGGCAGAATTGGACACTTGTGCATGTCGTCTGACTTGTCTGATATTTTTATCTCTTATCTCTTTCTCTCTCACTCACCAAGTGTCGAACACACAGCTATTTAATCTTAAGTATGGACGGTGCAACTTGATGCACTCGAACCAATAGACCTTACTTGATGCCTCGCGATGTCGCAATCTCTATTTTCATTTCCACGCGTGAATTGCGCTGATGTAATCTTGAGAATGAATGTAAGCTCGAGAATTGGATATCGCTCGCGTATTTAATAGTTCGCAGATTCTGATTGTGCGGTGCATTGTACGGCCAAATGGAAAATACCATGTCGCTGGTGTTGGGAAGGCGAGTTTGTCGCGCTATTGTTATCATGCGGCGAAGGGTTCTCCACGGGGAGGAGGGGTGAGTCAAAAAGCCACCGAGGGAAAAATCCGCGAAATCTCCCCCGGGGGCGGCCACGGCGCGCGCGCGCGAGTGCCGTATGTTGCTCAGGAGGAGCACGTCCCTAATTGAGATTTATTACGACGTTAATCCGGACCAATTGTGCGAACGAAGTTAAACCGTTGACCTCTCGTCTCGATTGCGGGAGACGCCACGAGCCGAGGGATAGGAGAGAAGAGAGCAGCACGTGCCGCGCACAAAGACAATTCCGAATTAACCCCTTCTTCCGCGCGCGATTTCTTTCTCCTCCTCATTTCCTCCCTCGCGCGCTTTTTCGTCGATTCGACAAAGGAAGCCGAACGTTCCATCGTCTTTAATTTCATTGAGAGCGCGCGGACTTTCAAAGACCGCTCCGATCGTTCGAGTTTCTCTCGATTAGATAAAAAAAGTGATCAAATAGATGAAGAGTCCTCGTTTTTTATTTGTGATGTGTGTGTGTGTATGTGTGTGTGTGTGTGTGTGTGTAAAGGAATGGGTGTATTTTTTCTTATATATGTATCCGTTGCTATGTACATAGTTGCAGCGGGGCTAAACAGACCGGCATTGATTAAATTCATTCTGTAACAACACGAGGCATTGATACCGCCGCCAACTAACCGACCAGATAAGGGCAGATAAGAGAACGAGTCAGCTCGTCCTCCTGTAGAAAAGTCTCATCGTTACCCCGCCAAGTACAAGGCGGCGGTAACCGTTATTTTTTTCACAGCGGACGAATGGCCATTGCCGTGCATATTCGGGGGGAAAAGGAATAATGTCTCGCGAATTTTCTGCTGTCGCAACTTCTATAAACTCCCATAAAAGTGTAGTCCCGACGATTTACACGACAGGAGGAGTTTGCTTTAAGAGGCTCGAGCGTAACGGTGTTCGCGTATCTCGTTACCGCGACTCCCGCAAACGCGCGCGGTCTGCGCGAGAGAGATTCAGGAAATAGTCTCTCGTTCTCTTGGAAGTTCGTGTATTCGATAAGCCCTTTAGCGTGGCCCGAAGTAAGGCACACGCGCTCGATAAAGCGAGCAGAAGACCCCTAGAAAATGGTGGAGCACACACCGGGGGCCAATACACCGCTGCCGGGGGAACCGGGGAGGGGAACGGGAAAAGAAGAAGGGGGGACTCGTCGAGCACCAGGTAAAGGCCCTTGTCCTCCATTGTACCTCGGTCGAGCTGACGCCAGTGATAGATAGATACCTTTCCTAGCGCATACACACGTGTGTACACGCACACACACACACACGTCACCACTACCACTGTCGCGGCTTTTACGCGCAGGTTACCGAACGTACGCCCTTTTTATACGCGCCAGACGGTGGATATACCGCGTGCACACGGCAGCGACCGCAGCGACCTGGAAACGCGAGAATTCACCGTCTCCCCGATCGAGACGACAGCGAGATCCAACGTGCCCTGTGTAATAATCGTCGTTTACACATTGTTGACCGATCATGGAGAAACCGATGTTTTACTGGTGGGGCATGCTGGCCGGTTTATGAGTTATCTTATATTTTGACGAAATGAAACTGGGAACAAAGGGCGATGTGAAAACATCCGGCTCGAGATTACCCAGATAGATTTTAGATGATTATCACGACATGAGACGACGATGGAAACCTCACGATATCTTTTTTCCATCATATTTATGAAGAAAATGTTCTGCATTGAGTTAATCGTTAAGGGGGGAGTTACACATGTGGAAGGCCGTTTTCAATTTTTACGAATTTTTTTTTTTTTTACAGAAACGGTAGGATCAATGGATCAATGGACTTGAAATTTTCACGGTGTATTTATTAATCAATTCAAAGTATAAAATAAATTTGTTACTAACTATATGGAAAGTACACATAAAACTTTAAACGCGTTCATCTGGAAACACTATTTTCTTAAACTGTCGATTACGCAAAATACCGCAAACTACTGCACCGAATAACTTTAAATTTTTACACAATATACAGTAGACATGTAGTTTTCGCTCCTACCTTAAACACAGTTCTATTATATCTTATTCATTCTTTTTATTTTAAATTTACGGCGTAAATGTAAATTCTCTTGTCGCTTCGACGCAGCAACAAATTTACTAAGAGTTAAGTCACACTCCGATTTCCATGTTTCATCTTATCCGACAAAATTTACATATACTTGTTTATCTGGATATTCGGTACCGGGTCAGTCACACAAAAAGCTCGGCCCGCCTTTCGGTCGAATTCGATTTTATCGCGTTCAGCGGGAACGAATTATTCATCAGTCAGGCGATCGTCGTTGTTTGTGGAATACCGCCAGGATGTTCCAGCGGTATTCGTATACCTATGCCGCGGTAGGTAGCTGATTTATCGTCGACGAAGACCTTGAAAATTTAACCAACGCAACACATGCTCCCATAGATTTTCCCAACTTCCGTCGGCCAATCAGAAATTTGAGAATCGTATGGAGTCTATCGTGGCGTCGTCTTTCGATCTCGTGTGGCCTTTGCCGATCCTGTGCGGCCTTTCGGCTATTATCCTCTTCTCGGATCCCAGCGTCCTTTCGCAAAGAGAGAGAGAGAGAGAGAGAGAGAGAGAGGAAGGGAAAGAGGGGCAAGGGAATACGTGTGTGAATGCCGATGTTCTCCGGCAGCCGCGCGACCGGATATACCAACCGCCACCTTTTCCTTTTACCTCTCCCGACCGCATCATTTTCATTATCGTCATTATCCTCCTCGAGCGCGCAGAATTGTCGCCTCGCTCGATATCTCGCGTTTTCTTCCTCGACGTGCGTCATCGATCACCCGGTATGCAGGGTGTACCAGATCGGCAAATCGTTCCTCCTCTGAATTCGTTGACTGATATTCCAAGCCGAGGAAAGAGAGAGAGAGAGAGAGAGAGAGAGAGAGAGAGAGAGAGAGAGAGAGAGAGAGACTGATTCTCCTCTCGCGCGCGTTATACCATATCACCCAAGGCCGAAGAATGAAAAAAATTGTGAGGAAGAAAGAACGAAGTCGTCGCGCTGGATTCTCCCGACATCACGGTGAATTCCTCAGCGAGGCCCCCGGGGTCGTTCGTAATAATGTCCAAGAGTAGCGCCCGTCTTTCGACGAGGACGAAGGAACGTTCATCATGTCGGCTGGCAGAGAGAAAGAGAGGAGAGCCCAAGCGTCGCCGCGCTACGCTGGGCACCGCTATTGTCCCGACCTCGTTACCCCGGGCCGGGCCCCATAGTTGCCCGGGTCTTACGAAAGAGCACGAGCTTGTTACACTTTTTTCGTAATTCTTCTTCGCAGAGAGCCACTCTGCAGCTTGACATTGTACGAAGGAAAAAAAAAGAAGAGAAAAGATGAGAAAAAAGCAAGAATGCGAAGGAATATTGCCGCGCTCGAAATGGGACCGACGTCTATATCTGAGGAAGGCACGAGAAGGGACGAGAAAATGCGCCCGGCGCTATACCATTCCCCGAAAAGATGATGGCGAGCTGGGAAAAAGGAGGAAATTAAGCGTGGAACTTGTCGACGCGATGCGACGCAACGCGAGGCAAGTCGATGCTATAGAACGCCATCGGACTTCATGGGTAGTCGGTGCAGGGGCCACTGACCGCCCCCGGCAAGGCTTTCTCGTCTTTCACGGCTTCTTCTTCTCTTTCTTCTTCTTCTTCTCTCTCTCTCTCTCTCTCTCTCTCTCTCTCTCTTTCTCTCTCTCCGTAGCTCCTTCGTTTTATTCCCTTCGTCCCTCCCTTCGTTCTCGTTCTTCCATTCGCACCGCGATATCTACGAGGACTCTCTCGGTCGCGAGTAGAGCGCGGAATCGCTTTTTTACAACTCCCAGCGCATCGACGCGAGCGCAAACACTCGCACCGAAAACAACCGGCTGATTAACGTACCCATGCGTATCGTCATTTCCGTTTCCGCGAGGTGCACTCGCGCGCGGTGTGTCGCGTGCATTCTTCGAGTCTCATGAGCGGCTCTCGTATTCCAGCTCGTGGCTCACCATTAGTTCAGTAAATTCGTAAATCTCCGGTCACCTCGCGCGATTTCGGGAAGTGCTGAACAACGGAGAACGCTCGTTGTCTAGCGGCGCTTCTCTGAATTTCCTCGTGGCGAGTGCCGGGGACGACGATTCATCGAGTGACTCGATGCTGTGGCATCTCTCTCTCCTCTCCTCTCTCCTCTCTCTCTCTCTCTCTCTCTCTCGCCAGATACTTTGGTGAGATAAAATCAACATTGATGATATTCCCGGATCAGAGATGAGATCGAGGGTATCGTCAGCTGCGGAAGAAAGAAAGCCGGTCTTTCGACGAGAATATCACTTGCATCGGGAAGAATTCGATCGCGCGATGAACACCGCGCGTTTCCAGCGGAATCGCATTTTCCTCGCGCGTTCTCGCATTACTTTTCCCGCGGCTGCCTTTGTTCCGCCGCTGATCACGCGGCGTTCTCCACAACGGGGGAGGAATCGCGGTGAAAAGTGAAAATATCGGTGAACGGAGCGTCGTCGCGACGAACGGCGCCGCGACGCGCGCGACGGCGCGGCCGCTGCGCCTCTCAAGGTCCTTATTGGTAACGGAAATTCTCGCTCACCTGAGCGCGAGTGCGAAAGGACGCGCTCCAGGTAGCGCGCGTAGCGAGTCGCGTCGGCATCGCATACCGAATGGAAGTCAGACGGAGAGAAAGAGAAACCGAGCGCATTCTCGAGAGGAATTTCAACGCGAATCCGCGTACACGTCGAAGCGCACCTCCTTGAAAGAAAGGATCGAGAACGAACGAGTCCTGAGAACGGTCCTCTTCCACCGAGAGCGCTCCTCTTCTCGTCTGTTCCTCTTTACTCTGACCTGACCGCTGTTTCCGGTCGTGCGAGAGAAATTAGCGCCGACGCGCTAAATCGTTCGCGCGATCGCCGCGTCCTCACTGCTCGTATCCTCTTTCTTTCTTTCTGCCTCTCGGCCAATTTGTACGTCCTTTCGCGAGAGGGACGGGTTTCCTTCGCGGCGAGAACGAGATTTGCAAGGAGGGAAAAAGGTGGTGGAGGAGGAGGAGGAGGAGGAGAAAGAGCTGGAGGACGACAACGACGACGACGACGACGACGTTGTCGTTCGGGCGGGGGACGAAGGACGTCACGCGAAGGAGAATGCTGTGAGAAACTGCCGCGCACCGATCCTCGAGACACAACTTGACCTGACCCAACAACCCCGCACTGCGGCGGGATTACACAGGGATAGACGAGAGAGCGCCGCGACTTTGGTCTTACAACAAAGGACCATCGGATTTTAGGGTGAATGATTTTAGGACGGATACGAACAAGATGCCGCTGTATCGGTCGAATTCCGCGTGCCATCGGCGGATCTTCGGCGGAATGAGGACCATGCTTCCGTTTTCTTCGGATTATTCTTAGAGATAGAATCGGCCAATGACATCATATTTGGCTAAATCCCTTGAATTTAATTCTTATGAATAAGGCGGTATTGTTGAAACTGATAATCTAGTGATTGAAACAATGTGTGTAAGGTGGATGAAGAATATTTTACACTCTAATTTAATGTGTCGATCAGTATTTAAGTAACAGCATCTTTTCTCGTGCACACTCGCAAAAAATATTCCGGCAATTTTGTAAAAAGGGCTGCGAGGGAGAAACCGAGTGGTTTATAACTAGGTGTTTATAATACAAGTATGTAGCTGCCTTCGGATGGTGTGTTGGTTTTACAATCGGCGCGTTTTACAGAAGAGGAACGTGAAACACAATGTCATATGCGCTACGGGCGCGTCGCTTTTGTATCATCGTCTTATCTCTTTGTCTCTTTTTTTTTTGTGCGTTCCATTACTCATCGGAGCCCAAGTACGTGAAATCTTTATCCTAAAAGCCTGTTTATTTTTTCTCGATGGTCTGCTGTTCAAGCTTGACCAATACTGCAGCAGATATTCTGATCGTAAGAGATTCAACACCCTCCGGCTCGTCGGCGGATGTTGATATCCGATGTCCGACATTTTTGCCTGAAACAGCGGAAAGCGCCGGTTGGAAGGAAGAAAGTCGCATAATATTACACCGCGACATGCTCTTACCTCGCGCTCGCAGCGGCTCGCGTCGTCACGATGATGACGAGGTGAAGCCGGGGTTCCTTCAAGGCCGTAAAATGGGCCAGGGCGGAGGCCCTTCGCATAACACTCCATCGCTTATGTCGTCGGGAACGTTCCTCCGCTGGCATGCATGCGTGCGTGCGTGCGTGCGCACCGCCCGAAATAAGTCAGCGTTTTTCAAGGATGCGTCCATTGCATGCGTACGTTCGTTCAGCTCGCCTCATCTCTCGCTGCGCTCCGTTCGCCGCTCATCTCACCGCGCTCTATACAATGTAATTAATATCTAACCAATGTAAATTATAATAACGGCGGGCCGCCGGCCGCCGCGACAAGCGAAAGAAGGCGCGTCGCTCGCGTTCTCGAGGGTGTTATTAATTAACACACCGTGCGTGTAAGCGGGTTGAGGAACCTCCTCTCCCCCTTCGAGGTGCATCCTCGTGCTTCGTGTTGCAGCACGATACGATGCGCACGAATTCCCATTCCCCTATTTACATACCGCGCCGTGCCCGCCACACATGGCCCGACAGCTGCCTCGTTCATTTTACCCCAGATTGTTCAGTGAACTTCGGGCACCGCACCGAGGCCGCCCTTCCACACCGTGTTTCTCCCTTTCTAGCCCTCCGTCTCCCTCGTCTCCCCCCCCCCCCCCCCCGGTGCATTCGCACGCACATAACAAAATCGCGAGCGTGGCGGTGGCGGCGGCGGCGGCGGCGGCGGCGGCGGTGGCGACGAAGAGTTTACGGTGCGACGCGTCGCTGCACTTTGCGCCGCGAATTTAAGTCTCGTCCCTCTCGTGCGGCTAACACGTGCCTGGCTTATTGTATAAGCGGGGTGTTCGTTAAATTCTCCTTAGGTCCGGGGAGACCTAACAACACAGCTTCGTCGTCCGCTTCGTTCTCGAGAGGAGAGATGCTCGCAAGAATTGTCGTCGCCTTTCCGCACCAATTGCACGTGCGTTTTTTTTTTGTCTTCCCGACAAAGACATCTAGCAGCAATATGAAGAAAACGTCAGTTTTCGTGGAACGGGCTGGGAATCCGATGAAAACTCGATGGCGCGATAAACGTGATAAATCTCTGTTATCACGGGAACGGAAATATCCGGTTGCGTTGAAGTCCATCCGAGACAGCTGAGAACAATTCGACTGCGTAGAAATCTCCTGCGGGAATCTTCCCGCTCCCTCCTTCGACCGAGTTTTTCGTCCGACTCGCAGCAACGGAAATTCAGTTACACGGACTAAATTTCTCTTCCGTGTGCGTAAGAGATTATCATCACGGCGGTAGCGCGCGCACTTCAAGAGAGGAGGCTCCTGCAGACTGTGATTGTTTCACTATGCAATTGCAGAGTCGCAAACGCCACTTCTTCTTCAGCGAAGCGCAGTGAACTTCGATAAAGCTTCGACATGTTGACTCGTTGGCCGAAGCTCTTTCTAATCGTATCGCATCCAGACAGGATGGAAACGATTAGAGTTTGCTCTGGCGAGCGTCGAGACACTTGATTGAAGCTCAGTGTGCGGACAAGAAGACGTTTCGCATCTCGCTCGTCGTCGTCGTCGTCGTCTTCTCTCGGTGTTCTCGCGCTCGAACGCGATCGCGTCCATCGCGTAATAAACAGTCGAAGACGCATCGTTGCGCGAAATTGCAAGTCGCCCGTTGCTGTAACGCCCGTCTCTCCTGTTATCGCAACGGTGCTGGCCAAGAGCGTTTAAGAACCGCTCGTTCAACGAGCCGTAACTTTGTATTAGCACACACAGCCACCGCGTATGCAGATTCCCACGAGAGATATGCGTTCTCACACACACACACACACACACACACACCACACACCTTTCGTTTGTCCTGACGCGCATCCCGTTGTTCCGTCCGCCTTTTCCTATCGTATTAAAAGCCCGCGCCACGAGAGAAATGTTACAGCCGCGGTGCGATCCTGCGAGCGATCGGATGAGATCGATCCCGATCCCGAGAGAGAAAGAAAGAGAGAGGGGGAGAGAGGCAGGGAGAGACCCGTGAACTGTGGAAAGTTTCCTCGACGACGTCGACGATAGCTCGTTAAAATCTACCGTGTTCGAGACGACAGGCTGTTTACGCTCAATGGAACGCACTCCAGCCTAATTCAATCCTGGCCTTTTTACGAGCGTCGAACGTGCGTCGACCCCATATTGAAGCTTTCGAAGTTTGCTCGATACCATGTGTGCGCTTTCTCTCTCTCTCTCTCTCTCTCTCTTTCTCTTTCTCTCTCTCGGCACCGAACTCTCGATGCACCACTCGTGGTCGTCGTCGCGGCGGGTGAACGGGGGCGGCCGGTTATTTCCAGACAAACCCTTGAAAAAGAAGCAGCACCACCCTTTCCTCCCTCTCTTACTGACTCACCGGCTCGACATTCGCTCGCAACGTAAATGTTCCGAAATTGATAAACGTCCGTAGTGATCCGTCCAGCGAGTTGGCAATTTTCGCGCGCGATCCTTACTGTGCTGATTTTCCGGATCGGAGCACAAATGCAAAAGAGGCGGACGGAGGGAGAAAGGGAGGGACGAGAGGAGAAAGTTTAGAAACTGAGGAAAAACCTAGCGCACAATTTGGACGATGCATTTCGCTCGGATTACGAAGAGATACCCCGGCCTGATAGTACACACCACCCGGGTGGGGGCGAGACTCCGCAAAACGTTGCGCATTGCGTCTTACTGCACGCAGCAGTGCAACTATACCATGGTGCAGCCGTCCGTCGCGTCGTTGGCTGCACGTCGACTCCCTTCTCTTCACTGCAGTTTGCAGGTGGTCAACCTCGAGCTCTCTCGGAGAAGGCAGAATGCACGTGCACGCGGTCTTGAGTGTTCCGTGTCGGTGACGGAGATCCGCTCATGTAACCTGGGAAATGTTTCAAATTTTTGTGTTAACCATACATCTTCATCACACATAAATTACAGGACAATATATAAATAAAGTAATTAAAAATTAGAACACCTTAAATAAAAGTAATTTCAGGACAAGCAAAATCATCTAAATTTTAGAGGTTTTTATTTTATATGACTGAACAAAAGAAGCCGATGTATTCAACATATTCCTCTTCATATAAGAGGAAAATTAATTGATACAAGAGGAAATCCTCTTGAAATAAAAGGAAAACAGTTAAAATAATATCTAATGAATTTTAGATGAATGGTTCACTTTGATCACTTTATCGAAAGAGGAATCCTTTTTCTGTAAAAGGCTTCGCTTAGAATATGACACTACAGGAAAAATCACTTTACAAATAGAATATTATTTTTTTGGGTGAATAATTCAAGAGGGAGTTAAGAAAAAAATTAGAGGGAGAATTAGTTGAAATAATCAGAGACTAATATATAATAATGATGATATATTAGATAATGATAATAATATTAAAATAATTCGTATCACAGTACGTAACTTATAATATAAAAATGTATTATATAAATATATATTATGTAGTTATAGACGAACAGACGTGTTTACTCATTAAATTATTTCTCGATGGTTTGTTTTATCTATACACCCCCGAGTCTACTGAGCGTTTATTTTTCGTTTTAGATCCTATATTAACTTATTCCAGCTCCTTGATTATGAATATAATCGTTGAATAATGGATGGGAAAAAGCGGTGAAAGGAAAATTTCGCAACGCAGCGATAGCTAAATCCACGTTTCGTTCGTGAAGCTTGTGGAATAATGAAAAGGAGCCTCATCCAGTTTATCACGAATTACCGTATCGGATCGTAAATCACGAATTAGTATGATTCATAATTCTGCATAATTACATGTGCTCCATATACGACCGACTGATAACTGAGTCACATCACGAGCACGCGCGGGCGCGTAAACGCGAGCGTAATTCACGGTGCTCCAAAAAGGTCGAGAAACGAGAGGAAAGAATGCGAACGAACGAACGAACGAACGAACGAAGGAACGGCCGGATGCCGAAGTGCCGAGTCACATGCGCGTAAACCGACACGTGCACCACCCTCCTTCCCGGATCTTCCATGCTCCGACGATCCCGGCGCGCAGGGCACACCGGTGTCACCCGTAGCGAACCTTTCCTCGTCATCGTCGTTTCGCATTAAACCACGATTAAATTGGAGAACGCGGCTGAACCGGCGATTCGAGCCGGTGAGAAACTTAGAGATCAGGAGAACTTTCTCTAGATCCCTGCGATATCGTCTTGCTGAAGCAGAAAACGCTTTTTTCTGTTTGCAGAACCGCTTCTGGAGCCGCGCTTCATCATCCAGCCGTCCAACAGCGGCAATATACTCAGTGAGAATCGCACCAAGATCCTGCAATGCCAAGCGCGAGGTGAGACGTACATTGAGTTGACATCCTGAATAGCGTTCGATTTTGGCAGAGGTCCCACTTCGACCGCTTTTCTGCTCGGCAGAAGAGACCTCCAGTATCCCCGAAAAGATTCGCTCTATTTGTGTGCTAATTCGTTAGCCCAATTTCTCGATTCCCTCACGCCGTTTCTCAATTCCCTCGCGCCGAACGGGAAATCAACGACATGTTCGATCGACAACAGCAAGATTAGAGCGATTAATGAGTGGCGTTAATTGAGTGTTTCAATAGGTGCGATCTTTTCGGCGATATTGGGAGGGCGCAGCTTAACAGGGGTCCCATTTCGATCGTTAGTGTGTTGGTAACTCGATGGTGGTGGTGAAAGGACCATGGCAGCGAGGATAAGGTTTGCGACGCTCCATTGTCCTGCTGAAGTATCGGATAACGAGCGGATGAAACGCTGACCAGATGAAGCCTTACCAATATTTTCCACTACCAGCACCACCACCACCGTCACCATCACTACCACTATCATGCGTAATTCGATTGTATGACCCTGTACTAATGGTATTAGATAGCTCGTGAGCTGTAGTTCACGTCGCCCGTGACTTTGCGTGACGAAATCTTGCGTTCGATCATTTGGTAGTCTATGTAAAATAATCTCACATGATATATCGAGTACCGTCGAGTAATTTTTCTTCACACGTCAAATTTCTCCTCGAGATTTCCATCGGATTTTCTCCCCGGAAATCTCGAAGAGATCCCCGGTCTTTGCGCCATATCTTTGTTGCGAACAATCGGACACGGGAATTTTACGGCGAAGCTGAGTTGTAACGACGAACTCTCCGCGATTCGGTTTGACAAATCAGGCTGATAAATTTATTTTGACTGAGAAATGCGATTTGTGCTTTATATCATCATACATCTCCCTTCTTGACCGAGCTGAAGTTGTTTAACTCCTCTTTTGGTTTTCACAGGCAATCCACAACCAAAATACACTTGGTTCAAAGACTGGCAGGCAGTCAGTCGGCCCAATATCGCGCCAGGATCTTTCCGGATCCAAAGTACGCGACGAAAGGACACCGGCGTTTATCATTGTGTCGCCACTAACGACGTCGGCTCGATATTCAGCGATCGTATAGCCTTCTCTGTAGCTTGTAAGCTGCCTTAGAATCACCAGTCTCATCTGTATAAACCAAGACCACCGCGTAATGTAGATCAAGAAATTTGCTATTCCAGCGATTCTACATAACAGACTGTACTTGCGATCGATTATTATCGTTGGATGAATCACAATTGCACGAATCTCTATGATTATCAGATATGATAATCACTGAGCGATGATCACATACACGTATGATAGCTACCAATCGTACACGATAATTATAGAGACTCTTGCGGCTATGATTACTCATCATCGAGTAACTGACTTATCTCGATCGTCTGTGAAGATGATTTAAATTCCATTTGCGAAGGACGAACGAAACCCTTTGAGCTGTAGTTTCGATATATCGATGATTCAAGGGCCATTGAGTATCTCGCGACATTATCGTCTGCGTCTTTTGCAACAGATACAATGTATACATTGAAATCTCCTCCACACAGATATGGGAAAATTCGACGACCTCACGGATAGGGTGGTGACGGTCGAGTATGGTAACGCTGCGGTGCTGGAACTACCACCGATCGAGAGTAATCCCAGCCCTGGGGTATCGTGGTTCTCTTCAGACGGGACGGAGTTGTATGGCAGAAAGTACGCTACGACGGACCACAAGCTCTTCATATTGGACGCCATGAAGAGCGATGAGGGTTCCTACAGGTTCGTACGATCGGGAGACGCTCCTTCACCGGCATAATTTCGAAATCGTCGTTTTGAACGTGAGATTCACCGATACCCACGTTTATTCTCCCTGCCGTTTGTTGCACAGAGCGAGAGCTTTCAATACGCAACTGGGCAAGGAGGAGAACAGTCCCTTCTTCAAGCTGCAGGTCACCGGCGATCCAAACGCTGAAGTGGCCCCGAGCATAATCGTGAAACCTCAGGACACGCTGATAATCAAGGATCAGAACGCCGCACACATGTATTGCATAGCGAATGCAAGGTAACAAAGAGAGTTACAAGTTGCGAATAGTTGACGGTGCTGCTCTTGCTTTTAACTGCAAACAATCGGTCAACCGCAAACGGTTACGTGTATGTCTCAGAGCGCTGCACGAACTGCGGATTTTGTGGATGAAGGACGGCATACCGATCGAGAACTCCCGAGTGGCGTACAGTTTCAACGACTCGTGGAACAGAACGCTCATGTTGATTTCCGCAAACATGACTTACACGGGAACGTATTCCTGCCACGTGGACTTGAAGAGCGGTGGTTATCCGACTTTGAGTGCGAGCGCCGAGGTTACTGTATACGGTACGCACTTATGGCCCGGTCAAATCGCAGATACAAAACTAATAAACCAAAAATTTGATACATTATGAAACTTTACATCTCATGATCAAAACTTTCTCAAATTGGCTCTGCAGAAAAACCGACGTTCAACACGGAACTGAAGAAAGAGACTCTGAGCGATTACGGATCTACAGTTACGTTATCATGCGACGTTGATGGTACGCCGGTTCCGAAGATTACTTGGTTCCGCAATGCCGAGTCAGTCGGGAATTTGAAAGAAAGCAGGTGCGTCTCTCGACAAATATCTTATCTATCTGCTCAACGTATTGCTCTTGCGCAGCGCCCGTACACAGTGCCATGTTTTACAGGTATGTGATAGAGCAGGACGGTTCGCTGACGATCAAGAAATTGACTATGGATGACTCGGGGATGTTTCAGTGCCTCGCGTCGAACGAGGCCGGCGAAGCGTCCAGTTACACGTGGTTGAGAGCGAAAAGTGAGTAACTCGCGTTTCGGAATATTACGAAAGCTAAATCGACTGTCGATGCCGTGCAGAGCGTTCGCAAAACCCGCGGTGAAGATTCTCTGGAAAATTTCTGAAAATTCCGTTTCAAGTCCGGTAGCTCAAAAGATGAAAAATTCGACAAAGGGATTATCGAGTTATGAAAGGGAAGGGTGGATTTATTCGCTAAAAGAGATTCGAGCCGTGTATCTTGCGAGCACTCCGTACAACGATGTTGCACGTGGAGTTAATATACAAATGACATGTTTTTTGTGGGGCAGAAGGATTAGGGAGCGGATTGAAAGACAGAGTTGCCCGCCGGGCAGCTGGGTACAATATAGTCAGAGTTCGCCAGTCTGACCGCCGTTTTATGTTCTCTCAATATCCAGACAGTAAGGACAATGCCGTTCGCCTTGCAGCGAGATTTCTCTTCACCTTCTTTTTTTTCATTTATCATTCGGCACATGCTTGCAGACTGTGTACATTTACATCTCGCCTCACGATTTTCGCTTCTATTGGTGACGATTTTTGTATAGCTGTCTCTTTCTCTGATAAGACAACTTGCACCAGACATATCAGACGTTGTCGTTTTAGATAGTTTATTATCGTTTCAGTTGCGTAGTTGATAAAATTCTAGCGGAGCATTTGTCCAATTGCAAGAAAGAAGGGAAGTGAACTAACGTCTAAATGCGATTCGTCGAATAAATTCAACGTCAAGAAAAATTAGAAAAATTGTGTTTAAAAGAATTAGCTATTTTAACTAACAATTAATCATCTTATTGTATAAACACATATAATTGCATTTGGCCTCCGATTGGCTTCTCCTCTCATTTCACAATTTTGTAATGGAATCTCAGTATCTTTATTTGAGGAATATATCTTCACGATTTATTGTGTAATTAGTGATTCAGTAGTGTTTGGAGATGAAATTAATTTCATTAGTCGTACAATTAACGTATGCCATTCCTGAAGAGACGAAACTTGATATTATGACGCATCCTTTGAATTTATAATCCTTAGCACACGTCTACAACGTCGCAAGTACACATTCTGATACGCACGTTTTGTACACTTATAGATATTACATGTCCAACGAAATTTGTGTCGAGTTATTACTTAGTCACCCAGTTTGCGTAGTTGTGCTATGTCGGATATATGTGTTTACGTTCGTGCTTGTCGTTTGCAATTCGAGCATCGCGCGACTCGAGGCGTGAGAATTAGGAATTGTGGGTTTTCCTGCGAGTTGCAAGCGACGATTTACGTATCACGCCTTTTCATTTGCATGTTTGTGAGGGAACGTCGGTTGACAAGTCTGCGACGAATTAACGGCCGAATCTGCTACCTTGCAGCGTCCAAGCCGATAATGGAGAACGGGCCGCAAAATCTGACAGTGCTGGACGGCAAGGACGCGACTCTAAGTTGCAACGCGGTAGCGGCGCCGAAACCGAATACCACCTGGTACTATAACGACACGATACTCGTGGAGATCGCCGGCAGGGTGCAGGTCTTGGATAATGGTGACCTTCTGATCGCAGCGGTGAAGCCGAACGACGCGGGCAAGTACACCTGCATCCGCGCGAACGAGGCCGGCTCTGTTAACGGATCGGGACTCCTTACCGTCATGGTTCGAACGCGAATCGTTCAGCCACCTGTTGACACGTCTGTGCTACTCGGGCAGACCGCTAAATTGCAATGCAGTGTCGTGAACGATCCCAGCGTCGTGTACGACATGGCGTGGTTTCACAATGCGCAAGTGATAAACACGCAGGCGAGCCAGAGAGTGAAGATGCGGCACGACGGCACTCTGGAGATCGTCGCGGTGCGAGCCTCTGATGTGGGCGAGTACATGTGCTCCGTAGTGTCACCCGGCGGCAATGAGACCCGCTCCGCTCGTCTCAGCGTGATCGAACTGCCATTCGCGCCAATCAATGTCGTGGCCACGCGAGTCGAACGGATCTCGCCGCGCACGATCAACGTCACCTGGGTGCCCGGCTTCGACGGTAACAGCCCCACGAAGAAATTCACCGTCGAGAAGCGGGAAGTGTCTGACTCGGCGCCCATATCCGATTCATTGGTGAACTGGGACATTGTGTGCAACAACGTGTCTGCGGACACCCGATGGGTGTTGCTGAGTAATCTGAAAGCCGCGGCGGCCTATCAATTTCGCGTTTACGCGGAGAACAGCGTCGGTAAGGGTATGTCGTCGGAGCCGAGCAACATCGTCGTCTTGCCGCAAGAACCGCCGAGCGGCCCGCCCGTCGGCTTCGTCGGCTCGGCGCGTTCGTCGTCCGAAATAATAACGCAATGGCAACTACCATTGGAGGAGTACCGGAACGGTCATATTCTGGGGTATATATTGAGGTACAGGCTGTTTGGATACAGCGTCAACCCCTGGATGACGCAGAATATCACCAACGAAGCCCAGAGAAATTATCTCATCACCGATCTGATCACATGGAAGGATTATGAGGTGCAGATAGCGGCGTACAACGACAAGGGAGTGGGCGTGTTTACCGACGGCTTGAAGATAAAAACGAAAGAAGGAGGTAATCGGTCGATTCTATATTATTAGAAATTAAATATATTATTGTCATTTTTCTTGTTGTATTATAAAAATTTGTCGAAGCATATATGTATAAAAATTTTAGAAGAGTCTAAATTAGAATAAGTGATTCTGATAAAATGTAACACATCACAAATTTGTGATACACTAAGATCCTTTAAACTATTACATTATTAGAAGTTGGTTAAGATACAATTAAAATTGAAATTTATGTTTGATAGAATTTCATTGTGCATGTTCTGTATATAACATATAATTCAAAATAATTAATTTTGCAGTTCCGGAAGCACCCCCGACAAACGTGAAAGCGGAAGCAGTGAATTCAACAGCAGTGAAAGTCTGGTGGAAGCCTCCCAATCCTCAAAAGATCAACGGTATAAATCAAGGATACAAACTGCAGGCCTGGATCGGCAATGTCCTGACGGAAGCAACAGAGTACAAGTCGATGACCGTACCGCCAAGCCTGTTCGATCCGCTCGCGGAGCAGAGCGCTGTTATGACAGGCTTGAGAAAGTACACTTCGTACAATATCACAGTGTTGTGCTTCACCGATCCGGGTGACGGCGAAAGAAGCCTGCCCGTCGAGGTTCGCACTCGCGAAGACGTGCCTGAAGAAGTAGAGAATCTGCAATTCGATGACATCAGCGACCGCGCATTGACGGTCAAGTGGGGTCCACCTAAAGAAACCAACGGGATACTCACGCACTACCAGCTCAAGTATATGATCAAGGAAATCCCGGATTCCTTGCAGGTGAAGAACTTCACGGCCGATGTATTATCTACCAAGGTGGAGCACCTGCAAGCAATGACCCATTATAAATTCGAAGTAGCCGCGTGGACGTCAGTCGGGCCTGGAAAGGCAAAAGTCGCGGTCATCCAGTCGGGTATAGAGCCAGTGCTGCCGGAACCACCGACGAAATTGGCATTGTCCAACATTGACGCGTTCTCCGTTGTACTGCAGTTCACACCCGGCTTCGACGGCAACTCGTCCATCACGAAGTGGACGGTTCAGGCGCAAACGGCACGAAATTCGACGTGGTACAACATCTACGAAGTGTCGGACCCCGATGCGTGTACCGTCACCGTCGACGGACTCACTCCCTTCACGCAGTACAAACTTCGTCTGATCGCGAACAATGTGGTCGGCGCGTCGCAGCCGTCCGAGCCGACGAAGGAGTTTCAGACAATTCAGGCACCACCGTCCCACCCGCCGAAGAACGTCACGGTGCGCGCAATGAGCGCTACCGAGTTGCGCGTCAGGTGGATCCCGCTACAGCAGGTGGAATGGTACGGTAATCCGCGTGGCTACAACGTCACGTACAAGGAGGTGCGGACGAACCTGTCCAAGAGCATCACTATCGAGGACCACACAGCGAACTCGTACGTCTTAGAGAATATGGAGGAATTCGCCGATTATGAGATTGTGATGCAAGCCTTCAACGACGTCGGCTCTTCGACGACGAGTCCCAAAGCCGTGGAACGAACTCGCGAATCGGTTCCTTCCCTTGGGCCGGCTAATGTAGAAGCAAACGCGACGTCGTCCACGACCATCGTGGTGCGTTGGGGCGACGTGCCTGTGGAACACCAGAACGGACAGATCGACGGGTTCAAGGTCTATTACGGAGCGAATTCTAGATCGCCGTTTCAGTACAAGAATATCCCCAGCAACACTACCTTCACCACCACCTTGACCGAGTTGCGAAAATTCGTTCAGTATCATGTGCAGGTCCTAGCCTACACGAGACTCGGTGACGGGGCTCTCAGCGTCCCGCCCGTGAGAGTCCAGACTTTCGAGGACGCTCCCGGCCCACCGTCCAACGTATCTTTCCCCGACGTGAGTTTCACCACCGCTCGCATCATCTGGGACACACCGGAGGATCCCAACGGCGAGATCTTCGCGTATAAGGTCGTGTTTCACTTGAACAGCAATCAAGACCGCCAGTTCTCGAAGGAGTTCCCCGCGTCGGACAGAACGTTCACTGCCACCGGTCTCGAGCCGGAGAAGTATTACATGTTTTCCGTAACGGCACAGACGAGACTCGGTTGGGGCAAGACTGCGTACGCACTCGTGTTCACCACGAACAACCGGGAACGTCCGCAAGCGCCGTCGATGCCGCAGGTGAGCAAGTCGCAGGTCCAGAGTCGCCAGATCACGTTCAGCTGGACGCCAGGCAGAGACGGTTTCGCACCGTTGAGGTATTATACGGTGCAACAGTCCGAAAACTCGGGGCCATTCCAAACCATCCCCGAGAGAGTGGAGCCTACCTTAACGTCCTACACAGCTAACAATCTCAAGCCCTACACGCTCTATCAGTTTCGTATTCAAGCCACCAACGATATAGGCCCGTCCGAGTGGAGCACCGAGACCGACCAGGTGCAGACTCTGCCGGCAGCACCGTCTAAAGGTGTCACCGGTCTGAAAGTGGTGCCGATTACGACATCCAGCGTCGAGGTCCACTGGAACATGATCGACCAGATGTACTGGAGCGGCGATCACGAGACAGGTGGTTATCGTGTCGTTTATCAGCCGGTCTCGGACTTCCCGACGGCGCTCCAAACCACATCGAAAGAAGAGATTCTAGGAATCAAGAAGACCAAGATGGTCCTCAGCGATTTAACAAAAGATAGATATTACGAGATCATAGTGCTGCCTTTTAACTCGGAAGGCGAAGGTCCACTGAGTCCGCCGGTCACCGTGTATGTAGGCGAGGCGGTTCCCACAGGAGAGCCTCAGCATCTGAAAGCCGACCCCATCTCTTCCACGGAGGTCCACCTGCGGTGGAAGCCGCCCCAAGCTAACATGCAGAACGGGGACTTATTGGGATACAAGATTTTCTACCTGGTAACCGATTCACCTCAGCAGTTGGAGAAGAAACAGGAGGAGGAGATCGAGGTTGTCCCGGCATCCTGTCTAGCGCACAGTTTAGTTTTCCTCGACAAGTACACGGAATACCGTATACAAGTCTTGGCGTTTAACCCGGCCGGAGACGGCCCACGGTCACGGCCGATCACCGTGAGGACGAAACAGGACATCCCCGGGCCGCCGTATAATCTGCAGTTCACGGAGATCACCATGACGAGCTTGCGCGTATCCTGGGAGCCGCCCAAGTTGCGCAACGGCGAGATTATCGGCTACATCGTCACGTATGAGACGGCGGAGCAAAATGATCGTTTCAGCAAGCAAGTGAAGCAGAAGGTGAACGAGACGAGTCTGCTGATCCAGCCGTTGGAGGAGGAAGTGACGTACACGTTCACGGTACGCGCGCAAACGATCGACTTTGGGCCGCCGATATCTGGGAACGTCACGACTGGTCCGCAGAAAGGCTCGCCGATGGCACCTAGCAAACTTAGCGTCAGCAAGACCGTCTCCAGCGTGGAACTGCAGTGGACGAACGGGGCGTCCGGGAAGGGTCCTATATTGGGCTATTACATCGAGACGCGTCGCAAAGGCAAGTATCCGCTTCATTCGCGTCGTCACCGCCAGTCCATGCAATTACTATTCGCAATTAGCAGGGGCGATGGCGTCGTACGAATTCATTAGCAACCTCCCTCCGAGAGCACCAGTTTTCTTCACTCAAAACTTACTTTTCTCTGAAACTACAATTATTACATATATTCTAGAACTCTAACTATACAGTCGTACGCGAAGAAATTCAGGTTGGAATGTTAAAGTTACGTCAATGTTTCAGTAGGATATGACATATACTGACAAAGAAGCTCGTGTAGTAGTGAATTTTGCCGGTAAGAAATCGGAGCGCTAGAAATTTTATCTGAACGTGAAACGTGTATATAATCTCTTTCGCGCTCGCGTCGATCTCGATTATGGGCTGCTAACACTAATACTGTCTTTTTTCATAACCGATATAGCGATGGAAGAGTGGCAGCATTGTAAGTGTCAACGCACGTAACTATGCCGAATCAGTCAGTCGTTGCATTAGATGGTTTTTCGATAGTGAGAACCCCCTTCCTCCCCCCCTCTTGTTAGAGTGGCAACATTTTTCTTGCTTCTCGTACCCTGTGATACGAGTCCATTGTACGTTATATACCGTTATGCACATTTGACACGTCGTGTCGACGTTTTTGCATTAACGATTTGCATGATAGTGTCCACAGCATGACGTCATAGTCAGAAATCCCATTTTAGACGTTCAAACGGGTTCTTCTCCTTGAATATTATTAACTCCCTTTATGATAAGGCTGTAATATAACTCGTCGCTGAATATATCAAAGACCCCTGCCCGATTGATTGATACACAGAGTGCGTCCCGCTCCCACCGTTTGATATTGCAGTATCCAAGTAATCTATGAGAAGATGGTCCCCCCCTTTTCTCTAGAAAGAATTATCGACGATTTATCGAAGCCTTGACACGTGTCACGTGCAATTTTAGATGACTCGCGTTGGCAGACGATAGTCCGCAGCAGCAATGGGCCGCTGATGGAGTACACTGTGTCTTATCAAAACTTACTGCCGTCCACGTCGTACCTATTTAGAGTGATATCGTACAATCGTTACGGAATCAGTTACCCGGCATATTCCACCGAAACGGTAAGAAGCTAATAACGATATTTCAGTGTATTACGCTTTTGCCGTTGTATCTAATTGTGTGTTATTCCAGATTTTAACGCCGTCGAAATTGTACCTGGAATATGCATACCTGCAACATAGGCCGTTTTACAGGCAAACCTGGTTCATGGTTACTTTAGCCGCCACGTCAATTATAATCATCATCACGGTAATAGCGGTGTTGTGTGTGAAGAGCAAAAGCTACAAGTACAAACGTGAGTTCTCTCGTAGTCTTTCATGCAACGTATCTAAACTGCATAGTTGTACGTGATAACCCAATTATATTATGTTACGACTGAATTGCTTACATGATTCACAATTACACAGAAAAGGCACAGAAGACTCTCGAGGAATCGATGGCGATGGACGGGGACGATAGACAGGAGTCGGACCTGGAGCTGTACAGATCGCGTCAGGGTGGCAGCTGTGCTGTCAACATGAGCAGCGGCACTCTAGGCAAGAGAAGCACGTTGGCTCGCAAAGCTATTCCGCCGCCTCCCGCGATGCTGGGAAAATCACCGCCCAGGCCATCTCCTGCGTCTGTCGCCTACCACAGTGACGAGGAGAGTCTCAAAGGATACGACGAGAATCCCGATGACAGCAGCGTCACGGAGAAACCCTCCGAAATTAGTTCCACCGACTCTCAGGTACGTTCACTTCTTCGATTATGAGACGTCAAGTTTCTTTGCAATCAAATATGTGTCCTTTTGTGATATTTAGAGATTGTATCGACTGCAATCTTATTGCATATTTACATAATTTGATTTTACTCTACAGGGTTCCGAAAGCGAGAACGAGAGTGTACAGTCCGATCCACATTCCTTTGTGAATCATTACGCGAACGTGAACGACTCGTTGCGGCAGTCGTGGAAGCGGCAGAAACCTGTCCGGAATTACTCGTCGTACACCGATTCCGAGCCAGAAGGCAGCGCGGTCGTCAGTCTGAACGGTGGCCAGATTATTATGAACAATATGGCGAGATCAAGAGCGCCGCTGCCTGGCTTCTCGTCGTTTGTGTAATTAAACGAGTTATTAACAGTTAATTATTAAGATAAGAAGAAACACTTTTTTTTTTTAGTGGAAAGTTTTATAGAACTTCTCAGCGAGGGTCTTCTCTCTATTTCTCCCTCGATCTGTCAATATCAAAACTATCGCCTCGACGATCTCACTTCGAGTGGCAGTGTATTTTTTTTCCATATATGAAAGAACAAATTTTTTTATATATAAAGAAGGATAAGTGTATATATTTTATTATAAAATTACATATAATTATATATATATATATATTCTAATTTTTTATGTATATAATAATTATATAATATAATTGAAAAGTATATAACTTTTTAATTACTTATTAATTAAAGAGTATGTATACTTCTCATTTATTTATATTCATTTTATATATTATCTCTTATCCTTCTTGAATGCTACGGACGTATATATACGTCTGATTTTAGCTTATACTGTCGACACAAGCAACAATCATCAAATGTTGCGATGGACACATCTTTAGAGATATTCTTTCACATATTTTAGCGACGGTGATGAATAAAATTTCATTCATCTCGGTTCGCCGCTTTCAATTGCATCTGATACCTGATGAGAAAATAGTTTATAATGTATTACGTGACTCATATGCATATGTATATAAAGCAAAAGACTTGTGTCGATGTATGCCGGCGTTAAAAACTTTTTGTAAAGTTTTAACGGTGAACTCGGAACGTCGAGGCATCTTCATATATTGTGATATTTGATACATATATACAGATTATATATATATATATATATAAATATTTATAATTTTTTTAGATAAGACACATTTGCATTTAATAGACACATTTGTACTTCCTCTGAACAGTTAAGAATTAGGATATTAGCGGCATATCGGGATCTCGTTGTGTAAGTTCCGTACCTGAGAAGTGGAGCGATATAAATACGAACAAAAATACCAGTTCTCTTTCTCTTCAGGAAGACGGATCGAACTTTTTCCGCTTCTCATGTATATGCAATATATGATACAATCATACACATTCTTCTAACATGACGTTCAAACATATTTATCATCGTACATATAAATTAAAGTCATAAAAAGGGTACATTAACGTCAGCGTAACGATGCAGGCGTTATGATGATATCACGGGAGTTCTGGGAGAAACGTCAATTTACATTCAACATTCGTTAACCATCAGGCCTATCGTCGTCATATCAATATATTGTTCACTGACTTTTCACGAAAAACGTCGAAATACCATATGAACAATACGTTTTCATTGCAGAATATTGAGAAGACATTTTTACAATTACAAGAATATACATGTAAATATTACGTAAAACCGCATATTACGTTTTTAATATATCTCGGAAGCGCATGCGTTTTGCGCTTATAAGCGATCTGCGATTTCCAACTTCAGCAGAACTCGAGAGAAAACGGGGTAGCTAATATTTGCTTTTATTATCGACTGATTTACTGCAGCTAATCCGTAAAATGTGTCATGAATTTTTTAAGAAACTTTTTTATAATTGCATTCTTCCACTTTGTGCAAGGTGTCGCACGACTCGCAGCTAAATAATTTAATTGAAATAGTTTTGAATTTTAGTTATTGTGTATGAAAAAGAAAATTATAGACATTTTTATTTATTCAACACGATAATAAAAACTTTTTTTATTTTTATCCGCGTTAAACCTTTCTTTTCTTTGTATTAATGAAATGAATTTTATTCGGAATTATAAAGATGCTTAAATCTAGATCTAAATTTAAGTCTAAATTCTAGATACCTCTTGGGTCGAAAAGTGCCTATTTGTCGAGTGTCGAGACATTTTTATGTATGATAATTGATTAAAGCGTACTTGTTTCAAACAGGGTTAAAAGTGAGATCGCGAGTCGTGACACACCGCGTGTATAATTCTATCTTTACGCGCACTCGTGTGTAAATATACTGTATATTTTCTATCTGTAAGAGAAAAAGAAAATGTAGATTTTGTATAAGGCTATTATATTATAGCTAACGCGGAGCTATCAATCGATTGCATTCGTTTTGTGATATACATACGCGTATGTTATTATTGTAGCTACTACTGAAACAGTATTCGTATCTTCTTAACATTCTCAAGTATGTCCAAAGTCGGATATCGAACTGAAGTATGATGTATTAGATTGGTACAAAAGATTCTATCATTTTTTCTATTAATTTTTCGTAGAAAATTTGGATATCAAAAAATGGTAAGTTTTCAAGGTGTTAAAAAAAATCTTGAGTCGTTTATTTTATTTGTAAAAATTATTAATCTTATGAAAAGTATTCGGATCATTTTGTTTTCTGTTTTATTTGACAAACCTTTTGCACCAATGTAACGCCATTTCCTTTTTATGCAACTTTGCGAACAATTAAATCTAAGATAAGATGCGCAACAAAGAGAAGCCTAATCTTAATTACCAATTAACGAGTAAGACCGCTTTTGATTCATATCCAATAAAATCGTTCGAGATGTACGAACGGTTTTGTTTGCGAATAAGTATCTTCTTCGGAAGAAATGTGCCCGAAGTTGTGTTTCTTACGATGACACTGCCAGCGAATTCGCTTAGTGCAAATCCATATTTATATATCTGTAATGCGCATTTATAACGACAAATACGAGTATAAAAATCAGCTATAGGTGTAATCATACTAGGATATCCAAAAGACTTTGTTAATCTTTCAATAAAAATTTATGCCGTTCCGGAAGAACTCGATCATTCAATGTACTTCTTTGTTGATTTTACAATATTTTGAATTTATCAATATTTTTGTCGTTAATATTGAGAAATTACTGAGTCATAGAACTTGTAAAACCAACTGCAATGCAATTGGATAAACACTGTCGTCATATTCTGTACAGTTAAAGACAAATACACAAATGGAATACGGGTAATCAATAAAAGTTCGTTTCTAGAAAGAAAAGAGGAAAAAATGGTTTATTAAAATTTTTCAACATTATATATTATATTTAAATATCAAAAGCCTTTGATCGAGATGGGGAAAAACATATTTAATTCTAACGACGCGAAGCATCGTCCATGAAAGTCTTTTCACAAATTTCATACCACCTTTGAATAATCTGTGGCAATCTCCTATTCGACGAGAATTGCTTTACGGTGGACCAAGCAGCCATATCCGCGATGCTAGGTTCGTCTCTGCCGTTCCATCGTGTATGCTCCAGTTCTTGGTACAATATGGACAATGCTTCGTCGGTCTTATCGCGAATTGTTTGAGAGCGCACACGACAACATAAATCAAGAATATTATCTATTGTGCACGCGGACGCAAAATCTTTCTCATAATTATGTGTTTTTATCAGTCTGCTCAGGTATCTGAGAAAATTTACTTCACCCAGCAAGGGATATCTGAGCAGGTTTGTAACAACTTCCACATCATTGACTGAAAGAAAATTCAAGATTTAAGAAAAGAAGGAGAAATGACTGGCAGAGTTATTGAACAAGACATTTTAAGAAATATACTTAATATTTTCCAAGAAAACTTCCTCCTTGATACAATGACTTAAAACTGACAAAATATATAGTTTTGACTTACCTGCTTTAAATATTATATTTAAATTCACGACATTGTTTACACCAGGATGAGTATTGCTGGAGAAATCGATAGGTACTCGTCCGACAATGGTGGAATGAACATACGATTTCACAATAATGTTAGTGTCCTTCCACAATTTTTGTAATGCATATATTGAATAAGGTGGCTTCCACGGATTTATATTTAACACTAGACTAACTTCAATCGGTTCCTGTAAATTATATATATATATATGTATTGTAAGGATGAAAATATCATGTGTACTTTAACTGCTTGGCATTTGACAAGATAAATGTAATGATGCAGTCAAGATTTAATGATAACGATAATCTTTCCTCTAGCAAAATATTCATTAGAGGAATATTTGCATAGTTGACCAATGTTTGATATAAAGTATTTGCGCTTTATTATGACTGCATCAAAGAAAAGTAGAATCAAGAAATATGTCCGAAGCATTTCTCATTGAGGATAATCAATTCAATTATGCAATTATCACACAGAACATATGGCACATTGACGCACTGAGCAAAACTTGTCCAAGGACAAATATAGTGTACCTGTGATTCTTGGTCTTCCATAACCTTTTCACATAGTATTTCGCTCAGTATCTTTTTTCTCATAGTTTCTTGACTAGATCGTTTCAAGAATTTACATAGTGTAAAGATCTGTGCTTTGAGGTCCGCCAGTTGTTTAAGAATTTCCTCTTGCCTAATGGCTAATGTATTGTAATCTGGCGAGGTGCTCTGAAAGAAACCAGTACCAATTACAATACAAAACACTTGATGTATCTGACATTTACCACATAGTGATCGCACGATTTGATATGCAAACGATACGAACTGCGAAAACATTCTCTAACATCATATCGCAAGTTGAGTTTCATCGTAACTGAGGTTAACGACAATGCGCGTCAGACGCGTGCGATTAACCACACACCACGTTTCGTCCGCGGAATCATACCTTTGACAGTTCACGTTACACCGAGACAGTCGGAATCGCTGTTTTTCGTGCGGTGGTCAAGCGCACACCTCTTTCCTCGCGACATACCGCTCGCGTCACCCTTCTCAATTAATCGACTCCGTCCTTTTTTCTCATATGCGCCGATATTTTCGTGTATACTGTTGCATGGAAAAAATCTCACGGGGAGGGGAGGAGGATAGAAGGAACATCGATCAAGAAGCCCCAACAGACGATAGAGGGAGAGAGAGAGAGAGAGAGAGAATGAGAGAGACGGAAAGAGAGCAAGAGAGAGAGAGAGAGGAGAGAGAGAGAGAGGAACCGCACACTCCTCCGCCCGGTCGATCGCGGATCAGTGCGCTCGCGGAAATTTTCGGGAGGAGTCATGGCTCGCATCGCGATCGCAGCCGCTAGCCGCGCGTTTACGTCCGCGTCCGGACCGTTCCCGAGTTCGCGAGCCGTACGCGCGACCGTGCGCGCGTACGAGCGGTGTATCGTTGGGCGTGCGTGTCGACCGCCACGTACGCAGAAACGAGTACGGAAACCTGCAGAAGGCGGATAACCTGCTCTGTGACATCGGGCATCTTGGTACTATCGTACGACGGCGGCAGCATCGTCGTCGTCGTCGTCGTCGTCGTCATCGTCGTCGTCGTCGTTGTCGCCGCCGTTATTGTTGTTGTAACTGCCGTCTCGGTCTCATCGTTGCAACGATATCGCAGCACTTCGTCATCCCCTTGAATATTTCGCATCTCGTACATGCTTCCCACGCACGGATGCGCGACCGTTGAGGTTACTATCGGCCGCAGCGTGTACATCATTCACCTCGTCGTCGCCTTTGTCCTTCGCACGACCGTTCTCTCGTTCGTTCGGAGATGCAAGCACGCTCGCCACGCTTCGAGTTCAGATAATCGACAAATCTACCTCGTGTCCTCGTTCGCTCTCACTGTATTAGCCCGGAACCACCCCCCGCTCGCGCACTCTCCGCGTGTCAACCGGCAGTTCGTCCGCGGCCATGCTTTTCGCGCGCGCAAGATGGCGGCGCGCGAGGACTGGGCCGACGCCGCAGTGGCGACCTCTGGTGCGGCGACGTGCACACTAATAGATGAAGCGTCTCGTGTCTGTGATTCGCGGGTAACGAGCCGGGGTGGGCAAGAGAGCTGTGCTTCGCGGGTACACCGTCCGTTCTACGTATTGTAGAGCGCTACGATTGCGCACGAGAGCGGTCGAGAGGAGACGAGAGAGAAAGAGAGAGAGAGAGAAAAGGAAAGTGTCGTGTGCATGAGCCTATCGTACGCAACAACGGCAAAGACCGCGAGCTCACCCGCCGTCGAGAATATTCGCGCGTGCATATTCCCGGAGCTCGTCTCGAAAGTGTGGTTAGAATTGCATTTTTTGTTCGCGCAAACACGCCATCTGTCGTCGCGTCGATCTGACAGAGACGACGGCGCCCGAGGGCTCAGTTACGGTGAAGGCGATTGGAGCTTGCGTGCATCCACGGTGGAGACGAGTAACCAAGTGTTTACACGCGTGTGCAAACTACGAGCGACTTGCCACGCCATTTTACGCACGCATGAGCACGTCGTGAACGATCACCAGGTGCGCCCAGCTCGGAGATCTCGCGCCCTGCTGGCTCATCGCTCGCCCTTGGTCGTGTAGCTGGCTGGCGGGTAGCCGACATGGCGGCGCACCGATGAGCCAATCGGAGCGCCGCTCTTACGGGCTTCCACCAACGACGACGACGACGACTACGTCGCCATCGTGCGGCCAGAGACGCTTCCGCCGCGTCGTCACTCACTTGCCGTCGAATTCGACGGGTGGTTTTTTTCGCGCACATTGCAGCCGACAAATTGATATACAAAGGTGAGCTATCGCAACGACGAGCAGCGGTCGACGGCTGGAGGTGTGCCCACGCACGCATCGATACGACACGCACACACATACACACACACACACACATACCCAGCACGGAATCCCGGTCCGCGTCGCGGCCGATTGTGTTTGGTCACGTGACCGTGGCTGCTGTGGCCGAGAAATGGCGCAAAGATCGGAGTGCGGACATGGGATCCATTTCGTTGCCGCGGCGATGTCACTTGTGTTTGTTTACAAGCGCGCGAGCACGCGCGCCACGTGCTGAATAGTGAGGAGGTGGCGAGGAGAGGCGCGGTGAGGACAGGAGAGGAGAGAGTAGGGTAAGGTAGAACGGACGTGTTAATAGGCGAAGAGAGGCGAGGAGGAGACGCGTGCGAGATCGGCAGGTAGGCCCTCCCCCTGCCCCCGGGAGAGAGCGAGAGTGACACTAAGACACGCAGGGGCCCCGCGAGGCCCGTGGGTGCGCGAAACGAGGTTGGCGACGGGCCCACCGGCGGCGAGCACGATCACGGAGACGACGTCGACTACAACGGACGACAACAATGACGGGGAGAGGCTCGAAAAGACGGGGGCGGCCGCCCAAGTCTGTCGTGATGGAGCGGCCGAAGAAGTTTCAGTTTCACCTGTTGAAGAAACCGAAGTACCTGCAGAACAGAACAGCAAGCGGTGCTGAGACACCAGGCTCGCAGCCGAGCACGCCCACGGCGTCGAGACCGACCTCGCCGTCGGTGGAGAGCGAGGAGAGCAACAACAAGCGCTGCACGCGAACGCGTAGATCCCGCGGCCAACGCGATCGGCATTCTCGCAAGGGTGGCCACAGCGGTTCTACGGGTGGTGGCGGCGGTGCGTATCAGCGTCGCGGTTACAACCCCAATGTGGACTATGGTGATTCTGAGTACCATTACGGTTCGGATTTTGGTGACGAATCAAGCGAGAAAAGCGAGCCCGACGAGGACCCGCTACACAGCGACGTCGACTCGTCCGAGAGCATGGAGGAGCCAGACCCTTCGAGCGACAGTGACTTCTCATTGTCCAGTTATAGCACCACCAGCGGTACGCCTCGCAAGACTCCCCTTGTTCAGCAGAGACCACCTAGTCCGGAGCCTTTATGGTTGCAGAATCGAGATCTGCCACCGTTAGTGTTACCCAAGACCTCGGACGACCTGTTGGTGCCCAAGGAACTGGTGATGCCGTCGTTGTCTATTTATGAAGTACTTCGACATTTTCGCACGCTTGTGCGACTCTCCTCTTTTCGCTTTGAGGACTTTTGTGCAGCCCTCATGTGCGAAGATCAGACTAATTTGCTTGCTGAGATTCACATGATGCTGATCAAAGCGCTGCTGAGGGAAGAGGATTCGCAGCAAACCCACTTTGGGCCGTTGGACCAGAAGGACTCGGTGAATGTCAGCTTGTACTTTGTCGATTCCATGACCTGGCCAGAGATATTGCGCTCGTACGTGGAGAGTGACAAGAGTTTTGATCAGGGTATTCTGCAAATACTCACCACTACTGAATATCCGTTTACTGCCATTGAGGATAGAATCAAGGTCCTACAGTTTTTAACAGATCAGTTCCTCATTACCAATCCAGTGAGAGAGGACTTATTACACGAAGGTATGATAGCATGATAATTGTATGACAAATATAATCTCGTTCATTGAATTGTACCTCTGAGCACAATTGTATCAACATGGAGAGAGAGCTTCTTGTGCCCATGTTGATGTTTAATTTGAATATCTGAATTTAGACTGATTATGAAATGATTTGGCATATTTTCATAATTTGGTATTATTTGATTTAATTTCAGAATTGCATAAAAATTTGTAGATACACAACATATTTAAATATACAAACGATGAGCCAGAAGTATGCATAAAATGTATATCACAACAGAGCCAAGTAAAGAGCAGAAATTTATATTGCAGGGAGTATGCATTACGACGATCATTGTAGAGTGTGTCATCGTCTGGGTGATTTGTTGTGCTGTGAGACCTGTCCGGCTGTGTTTCACTTGGAATGTGTGGAACCACCACTGGTGGATGTACCTACCGAGGACTGGCAGTGCAGTACGTGCAAGGCGCACAAAGTGACGGGCGTCGTGGACTGTATTCCCGACGTCGAGAAGAACGGATCATTATGCAGGCAGGAGCATTTGGGATTCGACAGACATGGCAGAAAGTATTGGTTTCTTGCGAGGAGAGTCTTTGTGTAAGGATCTAATAAGATTACTGCTTCTCTCGTTTAGTATTATTTTTATTTTTATCCTTTCATCTGTTCGTTTTATTTGTACACTGAGATTTGTATATTTTATAAAACATTTCATTCATCGTGTTTTTGTTTTCCAGCGAGAGTGAAGACGGCGAAGTGTGGTATTACAGTATGTCGTTGCAGCTAGAGGAATTAATGCTCATGTTGGATCAAAATGAAATGGAAGTCGCGCTGTATCGCGAGTTATCGGACTACAAGGACGAAATTGTCCGTCAAATGGAGCTCACGGAGTCAATCACGAATCAATTTAAGGGAAATAAGAAGTCGTATCTAGAAATTGAAAGTGGTAATTGCTTCATCATTTATCATACTTCTTTTTCGAGTAACATCAACGAGATTAATTAATGTTTCGTTGATCGCTCTTAAATGTTTCTCTTAATGTTTCTCTTAAAATGTTTCTCTTAAAACCAATCACATTCTAATTGAACTTTCCATTTTCAGGCAACATACAGAAGATACAGAAGGAACGAGCACAAGAGAAACAGAAAGAGGAGGAGAAGAAAGAGAAACAAAGGCAAGAGGCCGAAGAAATGGTACGCAAGATGCACGAAGATTCTCCCGAGGATCGTCTAACGACCGCAACGGAGCAGCAGAAAGACGCCAAAGCGTCGACGGTGATTGACGAGTCAGCCGCAAATGCTCAAGTACCTGATGTGGTCAGTGAAACTGTCGAAGTTGACGCGGATACGTCATCATCGACAACCGCGCCGAGCACGGACAAGGCCGTGAAGACCAGCGCTTCCACATCGTCGTCCGAAGATGTCGACGAAGAGATGTTGGAAGGTGAGGAAGGCGTCACAAAGATCGGGAAGGACGGTGAGTCATGAAACATATAATCAGACCGTAAGAGGTTTACGATAATAACCCGACATGAAGAGTCTGTTCGCAGTTAGCGTGTTAACTGTGCTATATATCGCGAAGATCAGTTTCACGCGGAGAAATTCAAGCGGTTTTTCACGAAATTTTTTACTCACACATTTCGACTTGCTGGATCAATTATATTTTCTTTATTGACCAAATATTGCATTTCTGCTTTCCAGGCAAGAAACACACCATCGTGACGAGGTCGAAAACGGGTTCGTTGCAGCCGCGCACCTTCAACATGGACGACCTCAAGCGACGCAGCTCAGCACCGTTATCCAAGGAGGAGCTGGAGAAACTGGACAAGAACGCGAAAGACACCGAGGCCGCCGACGGCACGACGGCACGAGTGACGCGGCAGAAAGCTCATCAGATCGCGTCCGGTACACATCTGTTCAAGTTAGGCATGGACAATAACTTCAAGTCCTACGTGAATCAGTACAGCACGAATCCGGTCGCGCTCAACAAGACGCAGCGGAACGAAGAGCGCGACAAGAAGCGTCACCTGTCGCACAAGTTCTCGCTCACACAGGCTTCAGAGTTCAAGTGGGTAGGAAGTCTGACCGGCACTCGCGCCTTGTTGGTCAGCACTCTGCGCCAGACGATACTGCAGCTGGAGAGCAACATCCAGGCACCGTTCATGCACACCAACTGGCCGTTGCTGCGGAAACCATGGACTGTGGCGGTTGGTGCGTGTGTGAACCCGCGCGACTTTGCGCGCGCTCTCATCGTGCTACAGGCGTGCATCAAGTCTGTAGTGTTCGCCAGCGTCTGGCACGATCAGCTCGGCCACGTGAAACTGCAACGCGTCACTGCGACTGAACGTGAAGAGAAGAAACGGCTGGACAAGAAGGAGAAGAAAGAGAAGGAGGACGAAGAGGAGCGTAATCGACTGTTCAACTTCGTCAAGTATACCCTCGGCCTCAAACATCAGGTGTGGAAGCAAAAGGGCGAGGAATACCGGGTGCACGGTCAAGGTGGCTGGCTCTGGGTGTCCGCAAGCCGTCGTTACCGTTACTCGGAGATGACGAAGCACGGCCTGCGCGCCGGAGCGCAAAAAATCATGGTACAGATACGCGATCAGGCCGGCGTTAAGATCCTCGCACTTGACCCGTCCACATACGAGTTCCTGATGCGAGAGTACTGCTTACCCAAGACGGAGAACAGTGTCGTGAAGCAGGAGATCAAGGACGAGAAGATGGAGAACGGCGATGACGCGAGTAACGCGATCAAGCGAGAGTTCAAAGTGGACGGTGTGAAAAAAGAGCCTAGTATGGCCGACGGCGACGCAGCGGGTTCTTCCTCAACCTCCTCGTCGTCGGTGAAAACGGAACCCCAGTCAGTCAAGCAAGAAACGAAGATGAATCTTTCGTGTACGTACCTTTCGATTTTGCAACTTTTTTTTAGCACGCATTTTAATTGATTGGAGCGAGTATTGTCGATAGAATTCTTCTTATTCGAGAAATTATTATCTAATTATGCAAAATTCTTATTAAAAAATCTTTGTCTGCAGTTTTAACTGGTATGAAAATCGAGAAAGTTTTTACTCCGATCGCCGAATTCGACGAGCTCGACATCACCAAGGCGCTGACTACCCCGGGAAGGCTATATTACCCCAAAATTGCAAAGAAGACGAGGATCGACGATTTCCTAGCGCGTAGAACACATTTAAAGACCTTGGAGGAAAGAAAATTGCTACAGTCGGTAAGTACACACACACACACACACACACATACACATATACATACATAAAATGTTTGGTTGCGGATGTAATTTCGTATTTGAGATATCGGAAATATTATACAAAGCTTCATCAAAAACATCTTTCATAGGAAAAATCTAAAGAACTCACGAACCAAGCGGCGGGTCATAAAGGAGGTGCAGATGGTGACACCGAGGTCGATATGGAAAATCACGTGGAGAACACCATCGGCGCCGGTGGAGACGGTCCTCTGTTGACCGACAAAATGACGACGAACAAGACTGTATCCGCCTCTACGAAGGAGATGCTTTCAACGATCAGCAAACGCATTCATCAATTGCGCACTCAATACGCGAATATCTCGAAACTCTGCAAGAACATGGGCTGTTATTCGCGCTACTGCAACATGACACCGTCACCGTCGGTAACAGGCGCGACGAAGAATAACACTGCGATCACAAACACGAAGAATCCTGCGTGCAATTGTTACTCGCCTCTGTGCATGCAGAAGGCGCGAATCAAGAACGACCTAATCGTGTTGTTGCGCAAGGCAAACGCTCTCAACAATAATCAGGTATCGTCATCCCCCGTCAATACTTCCTCATCGCCGCAAAACGCTGTGAAGACAGAAACCACCGAGGACTCTAAAAATGTGACCATCAAACGTGATCCGGACTTGGCGACTCCATATAACGAGAATGTCGAGAGGAAGCCGAAGGTCATTGGCAGTCCGCTCGTGAAGAAGCTTAAGGTAGAGCCAGACGCAGAGAACACGACGGTGGTCGACGTGACGACTACGACCACTACCACTACCACGAGCAACGTCTCAGTCACCACTACCACTACCACGACCACCACTACGACATCGATGAAAAGCGCGAATGGCGCGGTGTTACAGCAAGAACGTTCCACAATTCACAATTCCGTCACAGTCTCATCCACAGAGACCAACATGGTCAGCAACACGACAAGCAGCAACGGCCTGAAGAAGAAAGTGATAGTGAATCGTCGAGGTAGGAGCGTGCAACGGTGTGCGTATCGCAAAGAACTGAATGCGGATGGCAGTGAGAAAATCTACACAGCGACATCGGCGCAAGGTAGAGTCTACCTGAAGAAAATGGCGATAACCGACCGGAAGAAGAAGCGCACACCGGTCAAGTATCCGTTATGCTCCACCTTCTGCACGAAGAATAAGCACCGCAGCATACTGCTGTTACCACAGCACGAACTCAGGAAATTATCGCGAGTGGGTGGCCGTATACCAGTGCAGGGTTTCCATCATCAGGCTAAGGCGAATCTTTCGGTCTGGCCGTATCCTTGCCCGAGGCCGCTCTTCAAGACATGCTGGCTATACCGCACAGTCGGTCTCAAATCGTTAGCAGCCGCTGCGATTCAATTGCGCATACTTTGGGCATGTTTGCGCTGGGATGACATGGCCGCCAAGCCGCTCTCCACCGACGGCAAGAGCCAGGTCACCACCGATACCGAGCTCGTAACCTTGGAGATACTAGAGCATCGTCATGTTGGACAGTTCCTCGATCGCACGCAGTACATGCGTCGTAAGGTTGTCATACCTCTCGAGCTACCAAAGCAAGTTCGAGGTAATTGATTGATCTGATCATATTAATTATGAGATAATATAGAGAAAAATTCATATCACGCGTTCATGATACATTTGAAAATTTCGCAGAAGTAACATCCATACGAAGCGGTCTGAGGAAACGGAAGCGCCCGGAATCTCCGCAGAGCACTGAACCGCAAGTCACCGTGGAGTGGGTCGACGAGGACAAGTTGGACCTCTGGGAGATTAAGCAGTATGGCGATAGGTATACGCATCCGAAACTTCGTCTCCGACGATACGTGTGAACGTTTGATGATTTTTGAACCGCATGCTGTTGTTTTTGCATCGCTAATACTCAAGTCGTTCTCCCAAACATCCTCCTTTATGTCGCGCAATCTTTACGCCGTCGGTCGATCTCCCTGAGGCTGAGACCTCGACTCGAGTTTTAGTTGACGAATATTGAAGTGTCTCACATTATCGACGAGTTCCCAACAGTAGAAACGATTCAGTAGTAATTATCTTATTTCGTTTCATCTATTATTTTCTTTTTGCCGCCAAAGACATCGATCATTTTCTTTTTTAATTCTTTTTAATAAAATGTAGAGTCATATCAATGCTTGATGTAGCATGATATCTTTTATGTTAGTACTTCTCGAACTTGATAACTTGATAAATTTGAACAAATTTCAGAAAAGAGAAAGAACTGAAAATATAGATTTTCCATCTTCCTCGAATTTTCCAAACACCATTTTTCATTCCAAAAACTATGTCGCTCCATGCGGCATGTGTTTCTCTGTTTACGCTTTCCAGATTCACGCGAAGACGATGACAGTATCTTCGCGTGAATCTAATGCTGCTAATGACTTTTAACACTTCTGCTTGTCCTACCTATGTTCCTTCTCTTTCTCTCTTCTATCTTCGTCTCATTCTCTTTCATCAGCCGAACTAACCCTCTGCTTTGGTGTGTGTCCTGTCTCCAGGTTAGAGAAGGCTAATGCCCAGATTATTACTAGGAGTCGCTCGGGAGTACCGCAGCCGGTAGTCGTGAGCGGTAACAGGACGTCGTCAACCACCTCGAATACTACCGGCGCGGGCGATCAGCTTGTGAGCGGTAAAGCAACGCCGGAAGAGATCAAGGAGAAGATGGAGCAGCAATTACGTATGCAACGGGCGGCTCATCAGCAAAAACGAGCTCTGGAGACCCTCAAGAGTCCTGCAAATTCCACGTCCCCAGCAACCCAGCTGGTTAAAGTCGCGACGAATTCCTCTCATGGTAAACTTCCACAATTGTTGTCGCAATTACTCACGACAGGCGAAGATGAAGAATTGTAAACGTTGGTCATTTTATTTCGCGTAAGTGTAGACTCAAATCAATTTTATCCTCTTTCAGACGGCACAGTCAAGTTGGTCTCGAAAGTTGCGATCCCCGCGAATCCAAACAGCGGGACCAAATCCCAGTTGACTTCTCTTCTAACTACTCCCACGCAGAACAAGATTCTTGGGACGCGGCGAATTTATATGACGAAAGGTAAGTGCCGTACTGCTTATACTTGTCCTCAAACGTAAATGATTTGTAATTTCATATAAATCCTTCTCTTTTCCTTTCAGCGGCCGATGGCACGACCAAGGTGGTATCTGGCCCCACCAGTATTCTACCGAAAACAGCACAGAATCAGTCGAACCAACTGCAATCTCTAATCAGAGTGGCGCCAGCAAGTAAGTTTACTCCCAGCATTTTCCTCAGTAACAAATTATTGTAGAATATGTCGTCTCTGGAATCTGTATTGAAAATTACGGTGGTCTTCATTCTGCTTTTTCATCACTCGATGAGTAATATGAGCATCAATCTTTCAGCTAACTCGCCAGTGCAAGTGCAGCAAAGAGTCCAAATTTTGAGAGGACCCGATGGAAAGTTGCAGGTACGCGGCCTGCTGCCCACCCAACAATTGGTTCAGATGCCAGATGGAAAGCTACATGTGCTGAATGTGAGCCATACTAATACACATCTGACACAGTGTATCACGACGAATTCGACGACGCCTACGACAACCTTGCAGGTAATACTTGAATTCTCTTCGAAGACGAGACGAGAATTTTGAGACTTTATGAAATTTACAATTTGATGTCTTTATTCTCTTTTCGTAAAGCGCATATTGGGACGATACAAATGAAAGTGCAATATATGCAAACGAAATATTAAAAAATAAATAATAATTACGAATCAGTGTGATCGATACAATTAATATTTTTCAGGCGAAGACTGCTACAGTTAGCACGACCAAAGCCTCAGAGAACGCCACCGTGACCAAAGCTAGTCCGGTTAAAGTGACAACGAACTCTGCACAACAAGCGCAAACGCCTCAGCAGGTGCAAGTTGTGCAGGCCGTGCAACGTGTTAAAGGCACAGCTGTGACACTGGCACCTGCCACGTCAACTAATCAAGCAACGAAAAGTGCTATTGTAGTTGCCAGTCCCGGACAGACTGCACAGGTGATGGATGTTTCTGATTGTGATGGAAATTCTTTTTTTATTGATCAATTTTCTTAAATATATTTGTAATAAATATATATATATATATATATATATTTGTAATTAATCGTCAATGATGTGCTACAGATGATATCCACCGGCGGACAAGTGATAAGCGGCAATCAGATAGTCGTGACCAACGCGAATTTGGCGCAACAATTGGCCTCTGGTAAAGCCCAGTTGACAACGATTGGCGGCCATCAGGTCGTGATACGCGGCACGCCCACGGGAAATCAGATTGTCCATCTGAACTCGACGAACAGCGGTATAATCGTGAAAGGAGCTGTTACGCCTACTAAACAGCAACAAGGTCAGTCGTTTAGATTGTTCTTAAAGAAAAATTTACTGCAATCAGAGCCGGGTAGAATATAGTTAACCATACGATTCATGATGATCGGATAGAGCAGATTTTTTTTATTGAATCTTTATTGAGTAAGATATTTTATAGTATAATCCGAAATATATACATGTATTATTATTTATATGTATTAACTGTTAATATATTATAAGAGCAATTATTAATCAAGGAGATGTATTATCAAAAGGATTGCAATTATATATTTATGTATTTTATATAATTGTATATACTTTTACGTGTAAAAGAGAAAGGGAATTGTAGATTAATGTTATGTTAATTTTTATAAGCAAATGATAATAACGAGAGAACTATGTATTTAGTTTTGCAAGCTGCACCAGCTTCAACAGCGGCTCAATCTACCACAAGTACGAATGCGAGCGCGACGACGACCACCGCCACTTCTACCGCTTCGTCAACAACGACAACCAGTCAGAGCTCTGCCACAACGCCTGCTCTAGGAAGCGTAGAGGCATCTTTACTGGCTGGTCAGCCGCCTGGTACGGTGATCAAGTGCGTGACAGCGCAGATCCAAATGACTGAGGGTCCGCGAATTGTGCTGCAAGGCCTGCAGGGTGCGGAATTTACGTCGCAACAATTGGCTATGGTTCAGCAACAAGTGAAACAACAGCTTCTCAAAGGTTAACAATGCAACTGAATAAAAATGCTAGTTGCAAATGCCAAATTTCCTTGTATTTTACTAGTAATTTGATGCTCTGACGTTTCTTTATATACTGGGTGATCCGAAATTCCCGCATTCGAAGTACAGGACATGATACTTTATGCTAAAACAAATAACTTTTTTCTTTAGAAAAATTGCGTCCGACAAGTAGTTTTTGCAAGAGAGTATGTTAAATTTAACGAATAACGTTCTTGTCTATGTAGCGCTCAGGGCCGGCGCGCGCGCGCCTCACTCGCGTGTACCTAGTCCGTGATTAGTAATCATAAGTAGTATCTTTTAAGACGCTCATACGGTTCTGTTGTGATCAGTTTACGACTGTGCTTAAGACAATTTTAAATAATAAGAATCAATTATGAACAATATCCGGATTGGACCTGCTTTCGTATTTGTATTGCTTAAATAATGAAAAGTTAATAAAATAAGTACTACCTTTTTTACGTAATAAATGAATAAAATATTGTCTGATTGCACAATATTATCTGAAAATAAAGACAAATGTAAATAGTAATATGTTTTGCGAACTGTGAACGTTCTATTATTTCAAATATTGCACAATTACGTGATAATTAAGTAGTATCATTAAAATGGTCAAGTTGGTTAAGAAAATAAATCATTGAGGCTATAGCAATATTCCTCGCAATAATCGAAACATGTAAAGTACGTATTGAAAGGCTAACGTGCATAAGCAATAATAAATAAATGTAGCCTGTGATGTGAGTATATCACACAATTTGAATTTGAAATAAGTTCTTTGTATTTTCTATTATAAAAAAAATAAAAAGAGAGCTCTTAAAAGACGTTAATTCAAATATTTTACTTTTAATCACTGTTACAAATATGTATACTCCTATATATATATACTTGATCAGTAAATTAATCTTTAAGTTTAATGATACTACTTAATTATCACGTAATTGTGCAATATTTGAAATAATAGAACGCTCACAGTTCGCAAAACATATTACTATTTACATTTGTCTTTATTTTCAGATAATATTGTGCAACCAAACAATATTTTATTCATTTATTACGTAAAAAATAAAGACAGTACTTATTTTATTAACTTTTCATTATTTAAGCAATACAAATACGAAAGCAGGTCAAATCCGGATATTGTTCATAATTGATTCTTATTATTTAAAATTGTCTTAAGCACAGTCTTAAAATGTCGTAAACTGATCACAACAGAACCGTATGAACGTCTTAAAAGATACTACTTATGATTACTAATCACGGACTAGGTACACGCGAGTGAGGCGCGCGCCCTGAGCGCTACATAGACAAGAACGCTTATTCGTCAAATTTAACACGCTCTCCTGCAAAAACTACTTGTCGGACGTAATTTTGCTAAAGGAAAAAGTTGTTTGTTTTAGCATAAAGTATCATATCCTGTATTCTGAATGCGGGAATTTCGAATCACCCAGTATATATATATATATGTGTGTGTGTGTGTGTGTGTGTGTGTGTCTATATGAATTTCAGCGCATGCAACGACTGGCAAGCAAGGCGTCTTAGGCCCTACAAAAATTTACTTAGCTGTTCAACCAGTTCAGTCATCCAACAATCAACAGCAACAACAAGCTCAAACTCCTCAGGCTGCGTCGACGACAAATACCGCCACGACATCAAGCCCAAAACAGCAACAGTCTATAGTTTCTACGCCAACTGTTACTGGTATGTAATTCCCCGATTCTCCATTCATTTTAAATTTCTTAAAAATCATAAAAAGTATTTATGCATATTTATATTATATTCATATAATTGTCTAAATGTTTACATTTTTCCATGTATAAAATAAATGGTCAATAATGTGTGAATGAATGTCCTAATAATAAATATTTATTATTTGAAAATGTACAATAAGTTAGATAGAGTAGATAATTATTAGCATTTGCGTGCAATTTTGTAGGTGTAATTTTACATATATGCAGAAAAATTATAGATATATATATGAAGAATTTTGTTTACACATATTTCTTTTCTCATTAGAATCGCAAGGTTCTACCGAAACCATTCCAGAACTTCCTCAGGCAATAACAACAAAGTCGACAGACAAACCTAAAGTAGTAGTTCAACAAGTAGGACGTGTAATAAACACGACCGAAGATGATACACAAAAGACGAACATAGCTAATGGGCAGCAACCAACGTCGCAGTCGCAAAAGGATGGGAACGACTCGTCGACGAATAAATTCATACTCACGCCGGACTACATCCAACAAAGTCAGTAGACGAAATAGTATAATAAAAATATGAAAAGTGTGTCAAAAAATTCTTAACGCTCAATAAGCAGTCACTGATGTGTCGTTATGTCTATATAAAAAAAAATCTTTTCTCCTAAAATTCTTAAAGTTATATTGTAGGAAAAGATTTTTTTTAGAAATATTTTTGACATGATAAGATCTTACTTTTTGTATTGCACAATGAGATCTTTGTCACAAAGAAGAAAGAACCGTGTTCTTTCGAGCGTGCTCTCATTTATATATTTTTTTCTAATTTCAGCGATTAAAAACGCATTGAAACAAGAGAACCTCAATCCCGAGATAGAGGAGAAATTGTTGCAGCTACAACGGTATCAAGAGAAACAGATGAAAGGTAGCAGTGTGGAGAACTCAGTGGCTGGTAGTCAAACTCACAACTCGCCGGCTGCCACGACTCCACGTCCGCCGTCGCGCAAACGACCGGCACCCTCGAACATTCCATCGGCAGCGACAACGACGACGACGACGACGCCGACGAGTGCGCAGTCGTCTGGCGACGACAAGGACGACAAAGACTGGGTGGAGATACCACCCAGGAAGAGACCGACGCAGAAGCAAGAAAGTCGCGAGATACCAAAGTAAGAAACATATATAAACTTGGTATGTCGCACTAACAACAAAATTCCACTTCTACACATTCGATGTCGTTTTTGCTCTTCTCATTATTATTTTTTCTCTTGTAAGACACGGAAGTATAGCTGCTAACATTTTTAATTCCCATTATCAGATTTTATTCATAAGTTTCATGAATTTGTAGATACCTCCTTTCGATATATATCATGCAATTTTAAATTTTTATGAATCATTTTATTTTAGGATGAACATTTATTTAATATAGCGTACATGTACATATAACACGCATACATGCATATGTGTGTTGTAAAAAATCATGTTTTTATATGATGAATTTTCAAAAATTTTTTATATATTTTTTAACATGATCCAAGGGGACGTACAATACGTTTTATGTGCTATGCCTTATCGGTTTTCAACCGGTTTCTAACATTCCGATGATTTTTAGGCATTATTAAAGCAAATTTTTTTTAATATGAAATATATATTATATATTATAATTGAGTTCTATTAACCAAAGATCGATACTGTAATTCCTCTGTTTTCTCGAGCTCAAGGTAATATTTCGGCGGTGAAATTTATCGAAATTTCGTTTAATTATTTCGATCTTAGGTTAAACCGTGTGTCTCGTGTACATTTGTAAACGTCTGGACACACTGTGTAGAAAAAAAAATATTCCGACCCACAGCGATATTTAAGAACCTCTACAAAGAACATTACTGATCCATGACAGATAAGCCGTATCATCGTGTCTTCGTTTGGTGTGTATATCGAATTTTCTTGAAAATATAGTGACCAGGAATGAAGCTTTTCTCTTTTCTCGTGTTTAATCCCGTCTCATCAATGCCTAGGCTGGCTTTTTCAAATTGGCTACCTAAATAAAGAACAAATGCGCAGAAAAAGTTCAAGAATTGCAGGTCCTGTGTTGAAAGGACCGAGAGACTAAGGGAGGTTACTATGGGATAATTCGGAATTCGACGGATGACATCTTTTGAAGTTGGAGTAAATCAATTTATTTCGACGAAAATCTTCGACGAAAGGCTAAAAAGCTTTCATTTGCAGCATCGTATCTATCTTTATCATATAAGTGTTTCGTGTATACTAACTTAGAAACCGAATATGAAATCCAACGGCTATGTTTAACACCTAATTGAATAGAGACACTGAATATTCGAAGATTTCTTGGTCGATTATTTTGGAAAAAAGTATCTTTTTCCGAATAATTAACAATTGAGAATAATGGGTTTCTATTAGTAATAAAATTATATATTTCAACTAATCAATGAGTAAACTTAATATTTACTCGATGGTCATCCATTGTTGAGTTGAGTTGCAAATGAAATATCTAGGTTTCTGTACCTACACGAATAATAAATAAACAGATGGAAATTTATGTAAAATATATTTATGTTATACATGTAATATGAAAGAAATATAATTTATAAATCTATTTTGCGAATGAAAAAAGATTTATGTGATACTGTACGATGTAATTTTTACGATGTAAAAATGGTTTCGAAGAGCAAACATACAAAAAGAAAATTTTTCTATAATTTCATCAGAAAAAACTGCATAATCGGTGAGTTTTGTCCTTTTTTTATACATATTTTTTTACACATCTGAGTTAAAAACTTAAAATTCTAATTCTATAATCCATAAAATATTGACATTCTATTAAATAATATCAACTTTTTAAAGTCATTCACATTGTACATTGTATATTGTACATTGTACATCATCTCATTTCTTTTTGGATAATCAAATTTGAAAAATAACAACTGTCTTCTATTTTGAAAAAATACAAGAGAACTATTATCTCTACATTAATGAATGACACTGATAATGCAAGAATTTTTTATTTGTAAGTATTATTTCTCCTATAATAATGTGTCGTCGGATACAATCAAGTTGAAACATGTGACATACTTAAAACGACGTTAAAACTTTTTTCAGGGTGCCGAAACTATCAGAGACATTGGACAACGATTCGTCGCCTAAGAACCGATCCGCGAAACAAAAGGACAGCCAAGAGCAGCGGAGGAAGCAACAGGTGCATTCGCGAATGCAGGTTTTATTATTCCGTCATAAGGAGCTTCTCAAGAAAGACATCCTCAAGAAAAGAGCCTTGCTCGAAAAGGAGCTTCAAATTGACATACAGGTAAACGTGATTACGAACGAACGCGTTGTCTTATGACACTAAAAATGCATATGTATGAAAGTGATATAAAACTCTGTTCACACAATTTCTTTTTTATAATATTATAATCTCCTTGAAAATAAATAGTATCTCTCTATCCTTGTAAAGCACAGTATCACATAACGTTAGCGATGAGACAGTGAAAGGTTGTCTGTTCTTCTTTCTTGTACAACGCATTGACTCTTTAGAATAGAACCTAACTCTGCTCTAATCATCGTTGCAGAAGGACTTGTCTGCGGAGCTCGCAACCAGGACGAAAGCAGAGAGGCACAAGCAGGACGAGGTGAAGGTCGGTAGTGCGAAACGCAAAGCAAATGCTCAATTGGCGCAACAGGTGAGCCCATCGTCCAATCGAAGCAGCAGCGGTAGCAGCAGACCGAAGAAACACCACAAAGCGCAAGGAAATAGCGCGACACCACCAGGAGCTTCCTCGGCCGCCGCGAGTCGCATTAAGAAGGAGAAGCTCTACTGCTTATGCAGAACTCCCTATGACGAGACCAAGTAAGATCGACATTTCACAATCGAATTAATTGAACCGGATAAAAAAGACTTATCGTTTACTTTCTGAAAAGTTCTTACTCATGTGAAAACAGCACTTGTCATATTATCGTATATCGAAATTGATGATTCTCTCGTTAAATTCTCTTTTCAATCTATTTTTTTTTTTTCTCTCAAGATTTTACGTGGGCTGCGATTTGTGTAATAATTGGTTCCACGGTGACTGTGTGGGCATCACGGAAGAAATGAGCAAGTCTCTGTCAGAATTCGTGTGCACCGAATGCAGACACGCAAGGGACACGCAGGAGTTGTATTGCCTGTGTAAACAGCCTTATGACGAATCTCAGTAAGCGTTCGTGTTATTAATCGCGCAATGTACATTCCGCAATGAGCGATGTAACCGAGAGAAAGAAATAGCTCCGAAACTTTAAATAATGCAAAAAAAAATGTGGAATAAGATTTTTCTCGTGAGAACTTAAATTTTAGCCTTTTCTATTTATTTTCATATATAAAATCATCTCGATTGTATCACTTGTTGCAAGAACAATGCAGCTAACAATATAGAGCGTAATTTGTAACAATTATTATGATTTACTCAATTTGTCAAATGCAACAATTAAAAAATAACGTGTTTTTCTCCTTTATAGATTTTATATATGCTGTGACAAATGTCAGGACTGGTTTCACGGTCGATGTGTGGGAATTCTTCAATCAGAAGCAGATAACATCGACGAATATGTTTGTCCGAATTGCCAGCGAAACTCTTCTGTTAACTTTGCTAACATGAAAAACCTAAACACAAAAGACCTCGACCTATTGAAGAAATTAATCAAACAGATACAGGTATACCGATGTCTTTGTTGAAGCATTGCATGAAACTTGAAGAGGAAACACTCTTGAAGAATGTTTAACTCAACGTTTAATTATATAATATTCAGTTTGTGCAATTTGTTTATTTTAGGCTCATAAAAGTGCATGGCCGTTTATGGAACCTGTGGATCCGAATGAAGCACCTGATTATTACAAAGTGATAAAGGAGCCAATGGGTAAGTGTATATAAAATTTAGTTTATCTCATTTCCGATATCTTAAATCTTGCATCGGTTACTATCAACCCAAATGAAAAGATATCTTATTTTCCTCTATATTTTTCTATATCAGAAATCTGTATAATAATTGTATGAAAACTAGTAGACTCGTTTTATGGCACATTCTTCTGAAAACTGATTAAGACATTGATTAATTATTTCGCACACAGACCTGCAGACTATTGAGTTGAGGATAAATGACCGCTCGTATAAGAAGTTGAGCGAATTTATCGGCGATATGACTAAGATATTTGACAATTGCCGCTACTACAACCCGAAGGAATCGCCGTTTTTCAAATGTGCCGAATCCTTGGAGACTTACTTCGTACATAAGATTAAGAGTCTGAGGGAAAAATTCTCTGAAGGAAAGTAAGCTGCAATCAAAGAGAGACTTTGTGTGAAAAAACTATAAATCTTCAGATCGAAGTGAAATTGTGTGCACGAGAGAAAGAAAATTAATATACTAATTTAGTGCAGTGATCTTCGGTGCGGAGGACGCGGACGAAAAGAAGGAGAAGGAAGAACACATGTGCCAGTACACAGTACACGAAGACAAGCGAAAGAGGGGAAAACTGAGACTCTCTTGGAATTAGATTTAAGTGTGTATTAAAAATAGGAATATGCGCGTGCACCGGTCTCCGCTATTTATTATAGTTGTGTGAACATTCTCGCCTAACCCATCCCCCGAACCCCTCTACCCTTATCCATCCACCCGCGCGCAACGCGAATTTCGTTTTGTGCCGTATAAGATATAGAGAACCTTGAACCGAAACTCACTGTTCGCGATTCATTAGATAATTTGCAAATGATGCATCTATTGACGCCGTGTCGCCGTTGGTTCTGTCCGTGAAGATACTTCCTTTCGTTCGTTACGAAGGTAAGGAGAAAAAGAAAACAAATCGCACGATTGATTTTTCACTTCTGTGAACAATAATTTTAATGAACTTGTGGTTTATAAGAAACCCCTTTATTTGTTACGACATGAGCTGTTCAAATGTATAAAAACGAAAGGAACAAAGGATATGTTACGAAGCGAAGGTTGAGGAAGGAAGAAAGAAAGAAAGAAAAGAGGAGGAACCAACGGTCGAGTGTCATCCGGGGACTCGTTCAAGATAGTCTGAAGGAAGGAACAAACGCTATACTTTTCGTCCTAGTTTATCCCGAGACTCGAAGAAGAAAGAAAAACAGTTCTATGTCACCGCATAGCTGTAAGACTATTTTTTAGAACACGCATAATAAACAATAAATTGTACAAATTCGTTTATCTCGTGCTCACGCAACACGTACATACACTTACACTGACATATACAAGTAATGATGATTCTTCTCTATTCACTTACGTTATTTTATTAATCGCAAATAGATTTTCTATGAAATTGTTTATAATCAATTAAATATATGCACACACATATGCACACATACATTAACACATACACATTTAGATTGTAAGGGGAAGAGAGAGAGAGAGAGAGAGAGAGAGAGAGAGAGAGGGGGGGTCTGCTTTGTATATATAATCACAGGCAGGTGAAAGGAGATGAAAATACCAACAAAGAAACAGTTGTAGGATTCTTTGATTTGCAAGCAAAGCAAAAATAAAAACCGATAAAAAGAAAGCAACAGAGTTTGTTTCGATAAAAGAAACGAAAATTGTTGTTTATATTTTAGCTGTATTAATAATAAATAAGATAGAATGCCGATGTTTTATCTTTCTTAATTTTTTATTTTTTTCGCAGATTTACGAGAAAAGCATTTTGATTTTGCGAGAGAATACAGAGAGAATACGAGTACATTTTCCTTCGCATGTCGAGATAAAATATAAATAAAAAGATATGAACATATATAAATATATAAGTATGTATATATAAATAGAAGATTAAACAAAGGATTATAACAGAATGATAATACCATGCACTGAATTTATTCATATATGATATTAAATTCATTGGTAAAGTTATTTGGATTTTCAATCAACAACAAATGCTCCTATGCTTGTTTAAAAATGCATTTAACCCAAAAAAGCTTGATTATTATTGATGCAAAATTATTGACACAGTACCAGCCAAAAATATATTTAAGATGTTGAAGGATAATTTAATTTAAAGTGTATAGATATATATCAAGTCATAACATGTTTTAATAACAGATGCAACTTACTGAAGAAAGTGCTTTTAATCAAATGATATAAACAACTTGTGAAAAAATAACTTTATTTCAAATGTCGAAAGTATGTTAAAATAAATTGTAAACTTTGAATAGTCATAACTATGTTCAGTGTCAACAGAGCACCAGATTCATAATTTAAATGAAATAACTCTAGTATTTCATAGCAAAACCTTTTGCATCGATTATGCAATGAATACATCGATTCTAGCTTGAGGGATCTTTTTCTTCAAGTTGGGAGAATTTCTGGACCACTCTATTCGCGCCTTCCAATTCTTCGCAGAAATGAAGGTTTCTTCGCAGCTCGTCGACCATGCAGTCCTCCGTCTTGTAGGCGACAGCGTATGATACAGATAGACTATCCTGGAATCAATATTTTTTAGCAATGTCTGGCGCCGTGAGATGTGGCTTAAAACAAGATGTACGCATAATGTTGCGATTGACAAGAGAAGGTAGTATAACGCGGTCGGCCGCGAGTTTTCTTATTAACACAACCTTCCTGAACCTTCCTAAACGCTTAAAGGGAACTTGGTCCGCTGATTTAGAAATGCCAAACTGCTGGGCGAGTTCTTCATGCTTCGTCTTTATTTGCGATCCTCAATGTCCCATTATTCATGTGGGACCCACTTTCCTAGCTTCTGGATCATTCCCATTGCTTTTAAACGTTTACTAACGATTGATTCATCGACATTTAGTATATCCGATAACTCTTTGAGCGTCCGACATGAATCTTCTACCAGTAATGCCTCCAATTTTCTATCTTTAAACTTTTTCGGCTGACCAGGACGCTTTTTGTCACTCACATAAAAATCTTTGTTTTTAAATCGTTTAAACCAATCTCTGCAAGTTGATTTAGATAGAGCATGCTCCCCATAAGCCTGCACTAGTAAACGATGACTTTCATCAGCAGATTTCTTGAGATGATAGCAGAAAATTAATGCTTCCCGCAAATGCTCTTTTTTTGGTACTAAATCTGGCATTTTTCTCTTTGGCACTAGGAATGTACGTGACATGTTTCTAGAAATCTTCAAATTTCGAAATGATTAAAAAAGACCTTCAATACAATAAAAAATTGTATTCCTCGCACTACGATCTAATGTCACACATTGATTATTAAAGTCTATTGCCAGTACTTTCATATACATCAACGATCACTTTCGGCCATGTTGAAATACCACAACTACTGACCTCTATTAGTCAATAACGAAAATTAATTCAAGCACCTACGATAGCTTTCCGGTGTCATTCGTCCACATTTCGAGCATCACGAGAATACATAAACATAAAGCCTGTATCAGACTACGGGTTGGGATTGAGTATTAGATTGAAATTTAACCAATCAGGAGTAAGTTTACTATACTTGAGATTATTTTCTCTTTTTCAATTGGTCAAATTTCAATCTAATCTCAATCCCAATCCATAGTCTGATACAGGCTTAACGAGCACCGCGACAGAATACATAAACATAACAAGTACACTCGTGAACTAAAAGGTATGTGCACCGATTTTTTGTTGACTTCGGAACGCGCTCCAACTTGAGGAGAAAAACAACCACTGCTTCATACGTCAGCGCTGTCACTTATTACGAGAGCAGAAGGATGGCATATACGAGTGTCAAATAAGTAGTGATTGTGGCGTAGACACAAATGTCTTGGAGACTTTGAGTTATAATTGAAGAAATGAAGGAAACAAATAGTGATTGTGAAGAAAAGTGGCAAAAGGCTTCATAAAATTTGTAAAACAGCATATTAAAGGAGAGTATTAATTATCTAATAATATTTTAAGTGAAAAATATTTTTTAATTTGAATGTAAGTTAAAAAAAAGTTATAAACCATAATTTCTTTAATGTTAATAATTTTATAGCTATAAATTTGCCATCGACGTTAAATGAATATGTATGTAATGCTATCATTTACATAGGTGGAAAATTATGTTATTGCGCTCATAAAAAATAAGCAGCAGACCAAGTCGAGTGATATTTTTTTAACAAGATACTCATATCACTAAACTGGTCTGTTGCTTACTTCTGCTGAACACAATAATATAATTCCTCACCTATGGAAATAATAGCATTATATATATATATTCATTCAACGTCGATGACAAATTTATTAACATTAAAGAAATTATGGTTTACAACTTTTTTAACTCACACTCAAATTTAAACATATTTTTCACTTAAAATATTATTAGACAATTAATACTCTCCTTTAATATGCTGTTTTACAAATTTTATGAAGCCTTTTGCCACTTTTCTTCACAATCACTATTTGTTTCCTTCATTTCTTCAATTATAACTCAAAGTCTCCAAGACATTTGTGTCTACGCCACAATCACTACTTATTCGACACTCGTATATGCCATCCTTCTGTCTCGTAATAAGTGACAACGCTGACGTATGAAGCAGTAGTTGTCTTTCTCCTCAAGTTGGAGCGCGTTCCGACGCGTCAACAAAAAATCGATGCACATACCTTTTAGTTCACGAGTGTACACAAAGGTTAAACATAAACATAAAAAGTATACAACGGACGATTTTAGGACAATCAATAAATAGCTTTAAATATCATAATATATGTCGCCAAATTTTCTCATATATAAAGCCAGCGGCACACGGTGCTTGTTTTCGTGCTGAACCGCTTGCTGAATGAAAATACTGCGTTCTGATTGGAACATTTCCATCCATCTTCGGAAATGTACCAATCAGAACGCTGTATTTTCACTCAGCAATCAATCCAGCACGAAAACAAGCACCGTGTGCCGCTGGCTTTACACATAGTGGATGTACATGATACCAGCTATCTGTTGTAAAAATTTGAATTTAGTTTCTTTATTGTGAAAGAGGTTATGCTCAAAAATCCTAAGGGCAAGAGCACAGGCTTTTGCATAACGCATAATACATAACGCATAAGAGAATCAACCAATTAGTTTTCTTCATTTCCCTCCTCAGGACAGAAATGAAGAACTCTGATTGGTTGATTCTCTTATGCGTTGTGTATTATGCGTTATGCAGAAGTCTGTGCTCTGGCCCTAAAGGTGCCAATACATGGGAACGTCGAGCGTCGAGCGTCAAAGCGTCCAACCAATCAGTTTTTCATTTCTTATTTCACGGATAAAAACAAGGAACTTTAATTGGTTGGACGCTTTGACGCTCGACGCTCGACGCTCCCATGTATTGGCACCTTAAAGGTGATATATTTTTGGTCGATAAATGGCGCGTCAATAGCGTCGAAATAAGTATTTTCTGATCATTCCGAAATCTGGAGATTTTTAGAGATATATGTCACGTACATACGTACGTTCCCAGTGTCACCGAAGAGAAAAATTATTTTATCGTCAACCGTGTACATTATAAGTCTGTTTTTTTACTGCATATCCAACGTTTATAATTTTTCATTTCTCTCTTTTCAAAACCCAAATATTTATTTACACTTTTTGTACTTATAATTCAAACAGTTTCACACACACGCACACGCACACACACACACAACACACACACACGCACACACACACACACAACACACACACACACCATGTAAGAAATATTGATCAGCGTTTGTAGCGTCCTCTGGAACTTATACCTAGCACTAAAGATCAATATGGCGTCACCGGGTGTCAAGTTTCAAAAGACGCCATAGCTCCGGGACGGTTACGGGCCCCGGGGGGTGGTCCCGGGTAGGCGAGGTGGAAGAGACGAAGGGAAAGAATACCGTGACCGTGTGGAGGAAGGGGAGGAGAAGCACTTGTCGCGATCAGGATCAACTTTGTTGTCGTCGCTGAGAAAAAATGGCATACGGCGCGTTTCGTCACTGGTCGACGACGTCGCGAGGGTGGCGCGTTTCTATCACGAGGAGACGAGGCGACGAAGAGACGCGGTGTTTCGACCGGATGACGAAGAGTCGTGAAACAACGCCGACGACACGTTAAAATCGAAGTAAAATCATCGAAGGGCACTCGTACACGCCACAACTTGAACCCACGGGCGAAAAAACGTCCAGACGAGGCGAGCCTAGACAGCGACTGGTTGGCGGGCTGTGCCCAACATAAATAACCACCATGGCGAAGTACGATCGCGCAATCATCGTCTTATCTAATTAGAGTATACATTGTATACGAGATGTAGGGAGGGAAACAGATAGAGTAAGCATGGAGGGAGAAGGGGGCAGTACACACATATATGATAATGCTCTGTTTACTATTTTCCCGTCTGCCCCCTCCTTCGATCCACGCGCGTAATTTCATCGCGGTTGCGGTGTTTCTTGCCGTGTTGGTCATACGCAGGCTTTCTGATGTATGCGTGTAATGTAAGAGTTAGTTTAGTTTTCACAGATAAGCGCACGAAGGTAATCAGGAAAAGGCTCATGTGGGTATTTAAATATTTGCTCAATACACCTGAATTTTGAATGTTTGTCCTCTAGTCTTCTGTTATAGCAAGTTTATTAGAGCAATTAGATCATTAGATCATGTTACAGTAATTAAATGAAATTTGTTTATATGTGGTAATATCATTGGCAAACCCATAGGAAATGCAACACGCAAAATGTCTATGAAAGCATTTGAGATTTTTTCAAATGATCGCATTAAACCTAATATGAGCCTTGTTTGACTCTTGAGTCTCCTCAGAGAAGAGGCAACAGCGTCGAAATATTTGCATATTATAGCACACAGAATCGCTTCTGCTTCTTGAGCAAATAAGTTCCTCAAGACGCACCATGCTCATTGAAACTATTGAACCAATGCTCACATCCCGCGCTTGTAATTTTAATCTTATCTGCCCCAATGCCTTATCAGTACCGCCTAATCCCCCCGATCATTCGTTCATGAATGATTCGCTCGCTAAGCTCAGTCATGCGCCAAAACTGACACGTCCAGCAAAACGTATCCTTCGCGTTGTCCTCGTGCTACTTTTTACAATGAGAGGCATTCGGACGTACTTACGATCGCCGTCACAGTATCTAGGTAGAATAGATCTGAGTAAGCCGTGTGAGTATCATAGCTAAAAAGTCAAAAGATGCCTTGCTTAGAGTTACATAATGATACGCTATTTACCAGAATTCTATAAATTCGTTGTTTCCTTAAGTTTCATTAACTACATTTATGATATCTACAATTCTAGGATCTTTATTTATCTTTATGCTTTATCTTCTCCCCATATATATCTCGTGTACATTGTGTTTTACCATCTTCATTGTATCTTGAATAATTTTAGTCTACTATGAAACGTTTGTTCTGAAGCAGCATCTTCGTTTTCAGGGAGATGATGATAGTGTTCGTTTACGACACTGCCAAGTGTTGTAAAGAGGAGGATGACCCTGCCGAGGCAGTCATGTACTTTCATCCGGCCTGGGTGTCCCTGACGCAGAGACTGGCCCTGGCGGGACAGCTGATGGGTGTGTATCATTTTCTTTCAACGTCATTCTCAGCTCCACGCTCCATCACGTTGCAAGGTGGGAAGTTTGTGCTGGTGAAGCTCGGCCAATACGTGCTGGTGAGTGCATTATAAGTCATGTTTATCTTACTATAGTGAAAAACGGGATTTGAAGCAACTTAGTTCAAAGAGTACTACTTTAAAGAGAGAAAGAAATGACGAAAGAACGAGCATTATTTCAATGTAAATACAAACTAAAACTTGGATATAAGTGGATGTGAGCGATATAGTCACATCTCTGTGGTTTATGGTAATTGATTGATTGTAATAATTACGTGTGCCACTAAATAATCGTTAAGCCTTCTCTCTTTGAAAAAAATAAGTTTGTTTTAGATTCGGCTATTAATAGCAACTTTGAACTCTGTTCTGTTGTTGCAGTCGACTCCTCCATTGCTCACCCTCAAGACAGTTCAATGAAACATTGAATAAACATTCTATGCATGATATTTTTATTTGCGCGTATTACGCACTCTCGCTCCCCTTGCTTAGTTTGTATCAGAGGTCGAGTTATTATGAGTTATCTGCTGACACAATTCATTCATTGCAATATTTCTACGGGGAACACTAATGTACTTGTCGCGTGCCTACTTTATGAGATTAATGATTGTAAATTGTTCTCCGCGCTGATTAATTCCACAGGCGGTGGGAACAGACAGGAACATACAAGACTGGATACTCGAGAGACGTGCGGACATACTAGAGTCGTTGTTGAAGTTTTTTCACTGTGATCTCGTCAAGATACTGGAATCCCTTAATAATGACCGGAATAGATTCACTGAAAAACTGTATCAGATGTTCGAGACCTACCTGCCAATTCTGCAATATAGTGCCAATCTATTTTCGAACATTCCCGTTATTAAACTTCCAAAGGTGAATACGAGGAAAATTCTGGTTATCAGTACAATTGCATTAATAATTTACACATAGTTGTGTCAATAATTTATAGCTATTGAATCCTTATAATAATAGACAATTTTCAAAATACAAGTATCAAAGTATTTATGCAAAATTCTCTATCTCAGTAAAAATATGTTTCTTTTTAGAGTGCCAGCAACATATTCTTAGAGGCAATCCAAATGTTACAACATTTTCAAGAAACAAACGGTGTTTTGGGTGGAGCGTTGTTCTACAATAATAAGTAATGAAAAGTATAATATTTACAGACAGAATTATATATATTACTTTATTTATATTGCCTTTTATATATATTTCTGAGTTGTTAATGTTTTCACTAATTATATCCTATTGCTATTCTCTTTTTACTACATATATCTTATTTCTACTTATCTTCTTAGGATAGTTGCTACACAGCTGGGTGCAGATTTAACGAAACAAATTGTCATTACTGATCCTTACAGGATAAAGGTACTTTCTTCTTAATTTTTACAATCCAATTTAATCTTAAATAATATAATTCATGTACATTATTATTGTTAATAACATTTTAAAAAGAAGCATGCAAGTAATAAAATATAAATGCAAAATATAAATTTACAACTCATCCTTTATCCTTATTTCAAGGCTCCCGCGGAAAAGGTGCCTACGGAATTTCATTTACCAGTCGGTGTTCAACTGCTGCAAGTGTACATAGAACGGAAACAGCATGAGAAACTGGTACAAGAAGCGAATAACGAACGCTATTATCACTCATACTTGGATACCACGATGAAAAAGATTCCACAGAGGAAGGTAAAAATGCAATATAATAGTGAAACAGGATCAAATACTTCAGTAGTCAATATTAATAATTTATTAATTATTTATACACTTTTTATTAATTCCTATATGTCCCTTAAAATTTGTGCGAATATTCTAAAAATTGGCAAAGTGCCGGCTACTGAACATTTATCTTATATATAAAAAAATAAAATTCAATCGTGCAATATATAATTATGAAATTAATGTTTAACGAACTTTCAGAATACGATGCCACAAAAAGGAAGCAGCGCCAAGGAGCCTCCCGTCAGCAGCGCGTCCTCCGGCATGAAGCGAGACACGTCGCGTATCTTCACGGTGCTCGAAGAGGGTGAAGAAGGCGAACCGGCGAATTGCAACGATGATCTGGCAAAGTACGTACCGTTGGTACCTCCGGCGATCCACGACTCACCACCGCCAATCAGACGCAAGCAACAGGAGGTCAAGCAACAAGAGCGTCCCATCAAAGCACCCATCAGCGCTACCGCTAACTCGCTCACGCCTAGCGTGTGCGCGACGCCATTGAAGGACGTCAACCGGGTGTTGCACGACATGGCCATGCTCATCTGCGGCGCGCCAGACGAAGACGAGGATAGCGAAGAGAAAAAGGAGAACGATCGCGGTGATGGGAACGAGTGTAAGACGTCGACGAGTTCACTGCACAACCACGACGACGACGATATCCCCGACGTTGTCAAGGAAGCACTTAGGTAAACACAGTATTCTAGAAGAATGTCTTATATTTTCTGCTGTATCTACTATAGCTTAAATGATTTATTTCTGTCATAGTGCAGTTTTGCATTATTTAAGTTAATTTTGAATTATTACGTCAGATATAAACGTCTGAACAAGCTGAAGAATGCCACATCGAAAGAAAGGCTAATGAAGAGGAAGGATCTCGACAAAACGAGCGTCAGTTTACCAGATCTAACGTCAATCGACCCGTGCTCAGGCAGTTCTTCCAGAATTTGCCTGCCAGAACTGAGCAAAACGTAATTACCAATATCAAAATTCTTTATTTTAAATATCTTGAAAAAATAACTTTTATTTTATCATTATTCTATTAATTCCTATCATAATGTACGTCAAGTGGTATAATCAATTACCGGTCTGCTTACAGATTATCCAAATTCGACGAAGTTTCTCCAGACTATAATTCAGACTCGCTTCACCGGAAACCACGCACTCGCAAAAACGATAGACGGCATTCGCGCACCATCACCGATCCTTGCTTTCCCGTGTTTCGATACGATGGTCTGCCAGTTTCGCAATCTTTATACGAACAGTACGTTGCTTCTCGCTACGATCACGAGTTATGCAATGATGATGGTAACGGCAGTATCTACGAACATCGCAGTGATAAACTGCCTAAAGAGCAGTTACGGGAAACGTTGTCGAACGACTTGAATGCGAAATCATCAACAATCAACAAGGGTTCGACGATGAGAGATGCTCAAGAAGGTATGAATTTTTTCTAATAAATAAGAACTGATTCATTCTAAGTTCATTACATTTCAAAGTAAATACTATTTCCAAAATTTTTGACAATGGATCCATGACAATAGAAATATAAATGCAAATGCAAATTATCCATACTACCTACAGGTCTATTCTTTTTAGTTGAGATCTAAGTTGCAATTTTATCTTTGGAATAAAATAAATATATTAATTACTTAGCGTTGAAGAAAAAAGGAACAAAATTTCAGTCCAGTATTAGTTTAGTTAAAAACACCAGTTTTATGAACAGATTCTGTATTGTTAAACAAAAGAAACAAAAATCGCCTTTATCTCCGAGGAAATTAATTATTACTTATTATATACAATTATTTCGTTGTATTCTTATATTTTTGTGAGTACGAATTAGTCTTTCTATATCTGTATGTGTGTCGTTCTTATATATCTCGATAAGAAGCCTTATGAAGAAAATAAAGAAAATATGTTTACATGTTAAATTCCTTCAGGGACACACGTGATATATACAAAGTTAGAATATCTTCGTCACTTTCAAACATATCTCGCATTCAGATAAACGTATCGTAACTCGGAATACATACATGTATGTCATTTGATCTCTCGATCGGGTTTACGTATTTTATTTAGGCTTTATGTTAGCCTAGCCGGATCATACGCAATTATATTGCTTTGTGCGAATATATATATTTTTTTAAGTATATCGTGCAATTCATATTTATTTTAATCAAAATGTTTCGTCTGGATTATCAAAAATCGGAAAAACGAAGCGGAGTATATTACGCACCCTGTGAAATGTGTTTAGTACTCAACGACGGGCTTGGAACAATGGGACAGTAAGTTTCACGTATATATTTTCCAAAAGGATAAACTACCGAACGAGGACAAATAGCTTAATTATTTGGAAGAGAGTCATGTGTATAAATTCATTAGAGTAAAAATCGATAGCGATATAATCCTACTGAAATCAAATCTGTGAATACTATTGATATAATTGAGCTTACCGGTTAAAAAATTATTTGAATTCTTGTTTGAAAGACAACGAAATGATCCACAGATCAAGTAGTAATCTTTTTTTCCTCACTCCGTTGAATGTTTATATTCAGTATGCACGCCCGAGGATGGATGCGCTTACGGCCTCAGCAAAAGTCAGCAGCAACAGGAACAGTCCTGCCACAACAATCAGAACAACAAAAACAACAGCAACAGAAGGTCGATGAGGTTGCCGCTGAAGCCGATAAATCTAACGAACGAGGAAGATCATTGGGGAACGTGCAGTGGTTCGAAATCGTGCAACTTGACGTATCTGCGGAAGGATGGGTTGGACGGTCTGCAACTTACCCCGTTGATATCGAAGCTCAGCGTGCTTGCACACGAACAACGTTGTTGGGGCCCTCGGGACAACACGCCGAGCGACAGCCGTCCGGACGCAGCCTGTGCAACCTTTGCCTCAGTTGCGCCTGCCACAACCTACATTTCAACGGAGCAGCAGCAGCATCTAACGGAACAGCAGCAGCAACAGCAGCAGTACCAAGTGGAACAGCAACACCAAATGGAACAACAGCAACCTTTAGTGGAACAACAGCACGTAGCGAAACAGCAGCGGCTGATGGGACAGCAGCAGCTGACAAGTCATCCGCAACAATTAATAGGACAGCAGCAGCAGCATCTGATAGGACAGCAGCATCTACCGGAACAACACCATCCAACGGGGCTGCAACATCTGACAGGGCAGCAACAACAAACAGTAGGACAACAATATTTAATGGGGCAGCAGCTGCAGCAAATGGCGGAGCAAGAGTTCGAGAGGACACCAGATCCGAGCAACACGCAGACGAACAACATCAACAACGACGACGAAACGAACAACGACCGTTCCACGGGCCACGCGGACGAAAGAAATTTGTGCGCTCAGTCCACGAATTTGACCCAGACCGAACTGTTCGTTTGTGGCCAGCAGAATATGGTGCTGGTGCTGTTAATGGAGAACGGTACTGCGAACAACCCCGAGCTAATACACGCCCTCGTAAGTTGCTGAATTTCCTTGAATTTTAGTCGATTTGATACCTGAATATTATACATAATACCAAAGTGTATGTTATAAATGTTAATTAAGTAATATTTTGTACTAAATGTGCGAAGAATGTGTATCTCGACAGGCTTTATATAAAAACAGGTTTTTGGGTACTATAAAGTATCGTCTAAAATCATGATCTATGTGTACTTGATCACATGGGTGTATCATGTAGTATTATATAAAACATGTTGAAATCTTGTGAATATTTTAAGGTATAACAGCGTCGATACATGCATCTTCGTGATTTTAATGGTGATTCGTTCAACACACAGTGGCAAACCTGCGTGAGCACCCTAGGGAAGCTCGAAACGCGGCTGCAACAGTGCCTGGAGCCGTTGCCGTCCACAGACAACAAAGAGCAGTACAGCATTCTGAACGTGGACCCTCAGTGGGACACTATTCAGAGAGCAGGTTTATGGGGAATCACCGATCTAGATATCGTTTCCAGTCTCCACGACAGATTCCTACGTTCCCGTCGCCAAACGAATGGGTCGCAATACTTAACGGAATTAATAATCAGGTAAAACTGAAATTACAAATATCAGGGAGCTTTTCTCTCTCTCTTTCTCTTTCTCTCTCTCTCTCTCTCCCCCCCCCCTCTCCCCCCTCTCTTTCTCGTATTAGATTGTCGGAATAAATTTGATTTTCACGGGACAGGAAAGAGGACTCGGTGATTTACGGGAACCAATGCGGGAGAATGGAGGTGTTCTACCAGCAAACGGTGTCGCCGAGCAGCTTCGGGTCACTGCCAACTCCAGCGGACCTGATGGGGATAGTAGCCCTCAAGGCGAAACGTAGACTAGAGAGAGATCACGGGATCGTGCTGCTGTAAAACGGAATTGTATATCACCTGCGTCACAGTGTAGCGTGCGCAGCGGAGAATCCGTGTCACTTTTAACCCTCGTGTGATCGTGAAAGGGAAATATCTCGCACACTCAACGCGGGTGAACTATATTTGCAGAGAATATAAATCTTACGATATATTTGCCGACAATGTGTACTTCGCTGCTGACTAAGCTAGTAATAATAGCGCGTTTGTATCTTTCTCAATATAATTTGCGATTGCAAAATTTGAAAATATAATTTCTCAAAAATTCGATTTAAAAGCACAACCTTTTTTTTTTAAGTATGACTTTATAATAATGATGATGCGTTATAATTGAGTAATTGTTTGTTTCTCGCGAAAAGACGAAAATCAAGTTCTTATGATGTTTTCAGCAATAGAGTCCTTTTTATCAGTAAATGATACACTGATACATTGTTCCAAAATAGCTCCCGAAAGAAAATTATATAAATACATAATCACACGAGGGTTAATTATTTCTTTTTTCGATACAACGCACGATACGTTATGTTTCCGGCCACCATTTTGGGCACCATTTTGTACATATTTTTCCACGCTTGCGAATTTTAGTGCAGATCACGTGCATTAATTAACGCGCATTAATTAATTATTCGTATTAATTAACGCGAATTGCCGGCATACATTGTGAACGGAAAAACATTCGTTCCACCGTGTGTTGAGATGATTTCAACGGCAAGAAAAATACGGTTGACAGGAACGTTTTTCTACATATGTATTTTTGTAAACACAAGATAATTCGCAGAAAATTGGCCACAACAAGAGCTTTTGTATTGTCGCCGAAGTCCCGGATGGCACGGTATTATATCTCATGGAAAGTTTTTGTGTAAGCACGACAAGTGTACATTCGTGCTGTCTCTGGGGTATGTAACCTAGTAAAGTGTTTTTACCGTGTCACGGTTCGAGAAATTTTCTACGATATAACTAATCGTCGACATCTCGAGAGTCAATGCGTTTCCTCATACATATGTATCTCTACCGTTTCAATCGCGTAGATAGATGTTACAGCTTACACTATTTTGTATTACGCAAGGTGTCCCAGAATTGAGACGAAAAAACACACACACAAGGCCTTATCTTTTCTGAAATTCTAACGCCACTGAGTCTTGGACGTCTCTCTCGCCGTATTGAAAACGTCGCGGCGCCAGTGATTCTCGTAATTTTATGAATAAAAAACGAAGCGTTTTGGGAGCGTCATTCGTCACTTGATCTTACATTAATCAAACTTTACCTTAAGGTTCGACTAGAAGAATATTGACCGTTGAAACTCGAGGGAACCGTCGAGGCACGGAATATGAAAAGTCAAAGGATCGAGGGATCACAGTAAACGATGACATCCGACGACGTTTTTGCCGGCAAAAGAAATCGGTAAAAGAAACGAAACAAAAATCATCGAATCTCGCGAGGATCGCGAGTCACATCTAATTGTCCACCAATTCTAGGACATCTTGTATATAGTTGATTATTCTTTGTACATACGTGTGTGTGCATATAACGAATTAGTTTGTAATTTATTGTTTTGCGTCCAAGCAGGCGCTATTTTAGGCCGTTCCGGTTTTATTAGAGCGATCGTAGCAGTGTTGAGCGAGAGAGAGAGAGAGAGAGAGAGTCGAATGCACAGGTTGCGAAAAATCATCGATAGACACAAGCAGGAACGAGGCGCGATTCTCGGCGCGGAAATAAGTCTGGCTGCGATATTCTTTTCTCTATGAAGTCTTGTTTCCAAGAAAAGAAACCGATCCTCAGGATCCTTCTCGTCAACTCGAATAATGCGACATCGTCGCGTGGTTGCCGCCAGATTTATCTCGAGCCATTCGTCTCGCTTTGTTTCTGCATGAGAAGCATTCCCTCGTCCTGCAATGGAATTTTCACCTCGCTGCCCGGTGCATTCACACGAGAATATCAGTATTTCGAGGTCCGCGAAGGCGCTGCGTCCAGTATTTCTAGTCGCCCGGATTGCTTTTGTAGAAGCTGGGGAAGAAACGAACGATCATCGATGATAATAATACCGTAGGACACGATGATCATATCATTTGTCCGCCGCGCCGTCGATTTCTATGTAAAACTTTAGCCATTCTCCTGGCGCGACATCGAGTCGCGCTTGTGTACTCGGCGCTACTTAAATCCGCTCTTAAAGCCGTCGCGATAAATCTTTAGAGCGAAAATGTCGACGAGCTCGCGCAAAAGTCACTCGCGCGAGGCGAGTTTTGTTGTCCTCTTCTTCTTTTCTTTAACTCTCACCATTTTATCACAGTAACGACGATACGCGAACTGCAACCGCTTGTGTAAATACACATATATATTGCACGGATAAGGGGCTTTCTGGCGAGCGAAACCGAATCGCGTGATCGACGTCACCGCGCGCGCATACCGCCGGGGTGATCTCCTTTGTATTTTACGTTTCATAAATCCTTCCAGGCTTTCGTTCGAGAGACGAAGTGTAATAAAGAGCGATTCGTTGCTTTTCGAGTATCACGAGTGGATTGTTGTATACCACACACTCTCTCCGGCGTATCCTCTGCGATCCTCTTCCGTACCGCAACATTAATCCTGAATCACCCGAATCTATCCCGAATTGCTCGACCCGACCGTGCTGCTGCTATAGTAAGTTTTCAACACTTACAGTTTTCTTTCTTTTTATAACTTACAGTTTTCTTTCTTTTTATAACTTGACAAGAGGAATAAAGTTTCCAATATTCCATCGTTAAAAATGGTGATGTATAAGTCTTTTGGGTTTCAGTTTTTACTAGAGATAATTAATTTTATTTCTTTTTAATTTGATAAGGAGATAAAATTTTGCATATTCTATGACAGTAGATGGAACGAATCGACGAGTTGTAGTATGTGAGTGTAAAATGTATCAATCTTCATCCAAGCGTTGGGGAATACGGGAGCAAAGTGATTTTCAATTTGATTCTTTTTAGTGCCGCAAATGGATCAGCAGAGAGAGATGGCTCGAGGACGGAAATTCGTAGCTGCGTGACCAGACTCGATCTAGGCGAGCCTTCCGGTCTAGCCGGTTCATTATCATACCGGTGTCATGTAACGAAGAATTTAACGTAAATAGTGAAGAAAACGTTCGTTCCGACCTAGTATTATAAATGCATAAATGCATTACAGGGTGTGTGCACGAGGAAAACTGCATTCTAATGCCACACGGCGTAAATATGTTTTGCGAGGAGAGACGCGTTCGCAGAAAAAAGTTACTTGGATATGCGACGATGGCGATAAATATGGATTATGAAGATCGAGCTATTTCTCCAAACTCCACGAAGGAATGCACCTCGCGTCGAGGAGTCAGAAATATCATCAGCAGCCAGAATTTGACGTTCGAGTCGTTTTGTCGTCATACGTTATGCATATTGTCTTGGAAGTTTCCTCGTCGTGTAGATCGCATCCAATCAGAAATGGATTGCGTAGATTCGAAAAACGCGATTACCTCTGTGATTTGTTCCCAGTTATTTGTGTAATTTCATCTGTCTTATGTAAATCTCATGACTAAAAATGACCGATTTCTTGTTATTAGGTAGAACAAACGCGCGAGTATCGTGCCGGTAACATTGAGAAGTCCTCGTACGTGTAAATGTAGCTCGAACGTGTCGTGCGCTCGCATTTAATGAAAAACACATTAAACTATAAAAAAAGAAGCAGCCCGCTGGATTATGGTAATTGAGGGGGCCTCGGAGGTAGAGAACGCACGCCTCCGGAGCGTGGACCAATGGCTCCGAGAGAACGGCGAGCCCACCGTCCATCCGGGGTATTTAAAGCGCGCCACTGTGTGCGGTTCGCGATAAGGTACACTCGCGCGTTCGGGGAATCGTCGCCGAAGGTTTCCAGAAGTTTTTCCCTCTCGGATCTCTCCCGGAGAAGTCGTCACGATGGTAAGAGCGAGAAGCCAGCGGCTCGCACCGCGACTGGGCGCACGCAACTCCGTTGCGTCAGTGGGAAAAAATCTGCTTTTCTGGCTTTCCCGGAGAATATTTGGCATCGAGCGTGTAGTATATCTCGTGTCTTCTTCTCTGTTGTAGACCACCTACACCGACAAAGGGCCGAAGGTAAGCATCGTTGTGTCTCTTATCATCTGGAATTAAGTTACGAGTCAGATACAGTGTATGATGCCGCGCTTTTCAGCCTGTCGGAGGGAAGTTCCTCAGCTTCGACCACGTGAAATTCTGGGTCGGAAATGCAAAGCAGGTAAAGAAATTCGAGCGTAATACGCGTATCCAACGTGCGTTTATTTTGTCTCGAATGAACTGCACGCTTGATCAGGCTCTACTAAGACGTGAAATTGATCGCAGCGTGAAATTTTACGTGATGTAATTACGTCACAGGCCGCCAGTTTTTACCGATGCCGCATGGCCTTCGAACCTTTGGGATATCGTGGTTTAGAAACTGGTTCCAGACGAACAGCCGCGCATGTTGTGAAGCAGAACAAAGTGAGTAACGAATGCAAGGTGAAGTAAAAACTGCCCTTGGGAAAGTTATCGCACAAATTCCAAAAAATAGTTTCGTTCATTAATATTAAAAAAAAAGAATTTCGTTTATTAACATTTAATGCCGGTGGGATCCTTTGATGAATTACGATCGTGCTTGCAGATCATATTTGTATTCGAGTCACCCTACGAGCCTGACGATGAAGAGATGTCGAGGCATCTCACCAAACACGGGGACGGAGTGCGAGATGTGGCGTTCAGCGTCGAAGACATCGACACCATTGTGAAGGTAAAGCGAAGCTGGACGACAAGAACGTTTCTCATACTTTCTCGAGAACTGAAGAATAATTTTTCGGAATCATCCATGAAATCGAGGAGAAAGTGAATTTTCTCGTTTAACATTCGACAATAAGATAAGCGTGATGAGATTTATCGAAGCTAATATCTTCAATAATTGCAGGTCGCCAAGCAAAAGGGTGCCAAGATAATGCGCGAAATTTGGGAAGAGAGCGACGAGTACGGCATCGTGAGGATGGCTACTTTGAAAACCGTAAGTGCGGAGAACGCGTGGAAAGATCCTTCGTATTTTCTTCTTGCAAGATGTCGTCGAATACATCTAATGTTGTTCTTTCTGTTTCCAGTATGGTGACACGCTACACACGCTCATTGACCGAACAAAGTACAAGGGCTTCTTCTTGCCGGGCTTCATAAAGGCATCGGAAGACTGTCTTCTCAAACAATTGTACGTACATGCGAAAACACAGTCACACGTAGCTTGAGTTGCTCGGAGAATTCCGAACTGATCTCTTTTAGAGAAAATGCGAAATCAACACGTATTGTTCGTTAGATGTTTCGTAATCCTTCGCGCAGTCGGAAGATTCCTAAGCAAATAATCTATTCCCGCCAATATATCTTGGCGAAAACTTCCACGCACTTTTACGAGGTATCTGTCGTTCTCATCAACCTCTCTTAAATGATCGCAGACCGCGAGCGAACCTGAATTTCGTGGACCATGTGGTGGGCAATCAGCCCGACAAGCAGATGGAACCTGTCGCTAAATGGTATGCAAATCTATACGTGGCACCGTAAACACGTTTATGCTAACAAAAAGTAATAAATTATCGTAGTTCTCTCGGGAGCTACTTCGAGTGACGATGATAGTTCTGTCATGAATCATCGATCAAATATATATTAAAAAAAAATTTGTTAACGCACTCATCGGTATATGATACATAACACCTCGAAGCAGTTTCATTTCTATTGCGCGTCGTTATTTGATCGGCATTTTTCGAAGATGTGTGATAGTAACGCGCGTATGATACATTGAAGTAGCTGTTTATTTCATAAACAAAGTAATTTATAACGATACTAAACTATGATATGCCACATGGGTGTGTATATATCATAACTATGATATATTATTTGGTATTATACTAGCATACATAATTAGAGCTGCTTATAATAATATTATCGATAGGTAACGGTATTAATAGTATAACAAATCTATCAGTATTTACGCACACAGCTAATATTTCCGAGTATATACTCTGCTAAATCTCTTTCCTCAGGTACGAGGAGTGTTTGCAATTCCACCGATTTTGGTCGGTGGACGACACGCAGCTGCACACGCAGTACTCGGCACTACGGTCCATCGTAATGACGAATTGGGAGGAGACGGTGAAGATGCCGATCAACGAGCCCGCGGCGGCCAAGAAGCGCTCGCAGATCCAGGAGTACGTCGAGTACTACGGCGGTGCTGGCGTGCAACACATCGCCCTCAACACCAGCGATATTATTACGGCGGTGGGTATTACAATATAACGGGTATTATACATAACTCGCACGCGATCTAGGATACGATCTAGATCCAGACATTCCGAGATGCAACTTTGCGATCGCGCAATTTACAATCGTTCAAACCGTATCAATTCCAAATGGACCCAAGATTGAGGAGACATGAGTGTCTGATCGAATTTCAAGCGCCTGCAGTCCCTTAAGCTTGAAGAGTTACATCAATGTTCACGCTATTCACAATACAATAGAAGTCTCGGAAAATGCTCCGTTTCCGCAGATAACGCATCTACGCGCGCGGGGGATGGAGTTTCTCGAGGTGCCTGACAGTTACTACGATATGCTGAAGAACCGCCTGAAAGCCAGCGGCACGAAGATCGTGGAGGACTTGGATATACTGCAGGTATTATCTCTATCGTAAATAAATAACGACGGGATCTCATCTCCATTACGTCGAGTCGAGAGCAGCATTATAAATATTTTGATATTCACAATTACACTGTCACTGTCGCAGAAACTGAAGATACTGATAGATTACGACGAGAACGGCTATCTCCTGCAAATATTTACGAAGAATATGCAGGATCGGCCGACGTTGTTCCTCGAAGTCATACAGAGGCGCAATCACAACGTGAGTAATTGAGTAATTGAGAAAGCGTTCGAAGAACGCGGTTAATTGCATTCGCAAGCTCTATCGCTTAAACCTCGACGAGGCCGACGAGAGTATGGCGTGCCTTCTTCAAGCTCTCCCTTTCTTGTCTAGGGCTTCGGTGCCGGCAACTTCCAGGCGCTGTTCGAAGCGATCGAATTGGAACAGGCGAAACGCGGAAACTTGTAAAATATATATCGACACATTTATCAGACTAACAGAGCATGATCCATCGGCGTAAAGTCAGTTCTACACGACGCAGCGCGACGGTAACAAACGTACGCCACTGTTGGTCAATGTAACACATTAGCCGCTTCGTGGTGTGTGTATGTAAATTTTTTATCTCGACAAGTGAATTTTTGTATCAGCTGAACATTGGCCGGGCTTCCGTCGTATTTCGTGCCGGAGCCAGCCTCAAGCTGGATGCGCTCGTGGAACGTATAATAAACACGTCACTACCAATTAATTCCGTATTCTTGTATTTAATGGCCAACAGTCGTATTACAAAAATACACAGCATTAATGTAAAATATGTTACAATACATTTTGAAGCGTATTTAATAATGCAAACGTTACCTGCCGTCGAAAATCAAATTCTCCCGACAAGATTACCTAAATATACGTCTGTATGTATGTGTATTGTGCTACCGTAAATTCGCATATGAGATTAACCAAGTGACGTAAATCCTTTTTTCAGAGAAGTAACGCATATCTTCGTAATATATATATATATATATATATATTACGCCCGGGGCGTATATATATATATATATATCTATCTGTGTGTGTATGTGTGTGTGTATTTTATATTATATGGAGGAGAAGCGAGTTGGTAGAGATTGTGTGTAGATGTGTGAGTGTATACAACACATGATTTTATTAATCTCTTGACTTCTGTTTTCTTTTTCGTGGCCAAGATATAAGCGGACAAATATTCTTCATATAAAACTTGTGATATCTAGAAATAATGAAGGAGGGGGAGGGGAAACGGTGGGCAGGGGGTAGGTAGATGAGTAGGTATGCGATCGTGATGTAGAAGAAAAGGATCAATGGCGACGGGTGGCTGCGCTCACTTGGCTCGATCTCTTCGGGATGTCCGTCGCACGGCAACCCCCGCCCATGATGATTGGTTACTGGTCGCGGTGAACCAGCCCGATCTCTCATTGTTCACGCGGTATCATGAATGCCAAGGCGAAAGATATCGTGCTGACAGAAGTATGAATTCCCCATCGGCTTTAGCACAAAGGTCTGTGAGAAGGCGTGCGGTGGATCCTCGTCTGCCTGTGGATAATCAGAGATACTTCAAATAACGCACCTGATAACACACACACACACACACACACACACACACACACACACACGTAGAGTAGAGGCTTTTTACAAATTTATATGCTAAGAAACAAGAGGGAAGAAAAAAAGGGACTGTCGCGCTTCTAAAGGGGAGCTTTTTTCTAAGAACAGTCTCAAAGCTGCTTTTAGAAAAAAAGAAGCAGTCTCTTCACCGTGCTATTATACACAAATCAAAAGTAAGTATCAGAGCCGTACACATGTAAAAATAACTGCGTCAAGGCCTTGTGTGAAGTAACTGATGAAGTATCGATGTAGATTAGAAACATTGTTAGCGAAACACACCATCCGCGTCGGAACGCGATTGCCGGCATGTTAATGCCACGATTGCACTTGATTTCCCAATGATGTAAGATACGAGATAACATATGACTGTATTTAACGTAATTCACTGGACTAAAAGCATAGAGAAACGCCGTGGCTGTAGGCGTCGTTAACACGTGAGCCGTTATAGCTTGCGATCATCTGTCCCAATTTGTTCAGCAATTTAATCTCTATGCTACGTTTAATCGCTCGTTTGCGACACAATTGCCGAATGGCTGTAGGTTTAGTGCTTCTCGGGAGGCGCGTGCTAAGTCAATATGAGGTGGAAGCGAAAAGTGCGGCATATCCGATCCAGTGAGTGAAAAACTCGTGGGAAAGAGGGATACGCAACCAAGCCATGTTGTGCATTATGTAAAAAAGAAAAAGAAGCACCCGGATCTTGGATGTCGGGGGACATCTCGAGCAACAAGGCTTGCCTGTAATGCAGAGCAACACAGGGAAAGACTGGCGGGAGGGCAAGGAGGAAAGTTTCCGGTACCTGGTGCCTAAACCGTGTCGTGCAATGCGAGTCTGAAGATATCGTGCTGCACGTAAAAGCTGGTGCCGATCGGCTTCAGGACAAACGTCTGGATGTACGCATGGGGCTGATCCTCGTCAGTCTGCCCAAATCATCAATGACAATACAATTAGCGAGTGAATTTTTTCTCATCGCTTTTGTCTTCGAGGTAGACTCATGTATGTAGCGGCAAGTTGTATCGAATCACGAAGATCATTCGATCATACAGGTACAGAAGGTAGAGAGAAAGAAAAGTATTGAGGAAATAGGGCAGAATTACAGACGGGACTTTTAGACAGTCAAATTGATTACCCGATTGGTGCTCAATTTTCATATACAAATATTGCGGATACGTTGCACTTAACATATTAAGCTTTCTTCTCTTTCTGTGAATAATATGCTAGATATGAGTAACATGACAGACACTGAGAATTCAGGATACACGGGAATTAAATTACTGAACTGATTGGTTTGACAATAAGATGATACCTGTGAGACTCTGACTTATATTAATACAAAACACTGTCACTTTTGACGCTACCTCGACTACAGAATGTAGCTGAACTGCTAGGAAAGATGTCGTTCAACATCCCTCTCATGCAGGAGCTTGTACGATTAACTGATACAACTATTCGATAGTTCTAAAAATTCTTATCTTACCTGCAGCCTTCCTAATACATTAATGAGAACTCCACCATCAAACATGGGCTGTGAATCGATCGCTGTTATTATCCGATTTATCTTTTGAAAAGATAAGCTCTAAAAAACAAAAGAAATAAGTCAATAGCAGAGTGGCACATTTTGTCGCTAATATCTCAACTTCCTTAGTTAACAGAAACCGAAATGACATGATGTTTGGCAGCGAATAAACGTCACAAGGGCGCGTTTGATCCTTGTCACATCCTACATGCAAGTAACCCCAAAAGCAACAAGCTAACAGGAGCATAATAATGGAAAACGCTCAGATAAATTGGACAGGCATGACTCGAGCTTACTCACAGTTAACTTCTCCATTATCTTCATGGCGCCTTGTAACTGTAGGCCTTCGAACGTCATGAAAGACGTCTCCGTCTGCGAAAACAGGTTATGTCAGACGACAGAGTTATCGCGGATGGGCCGAACGGTCGGCCAGCTGGAGCCACGACGGTAACGGCACTTACGTTATACATGTTTATAAGATTCGGCCTCTGCGCGGGGTCGTCGAAGAGCATGTAATACTGCTGGACGAAGCCCTTACCGATCGCCTCATATTGCGCGTTCATCGCCATGATGCAGCGGGGACCCGGGGAATTTCGCCGAGACCGTTCCGAGTGATCGTCGATACGCTATGAAAAGGATTGCGTGGAAACACCGAGAAACGCCCGCGTGTCTCTCCGCTCTCTTCGTCCTCTCCTCCTCGTCGCTCGCTAGCACCCTCGCCTCGCCGACTCGCGGTGTTATAACCTTACAACTGCAGAACGCACGGTTATGTAGATGTATCACTACGTTCGGCGAATTCCAGCAAGTTCAAACGAACCAGTGCGCAGTACTGCTCCTTCCAACTGAACTTTTTGCACTGACACCGGATGCGTGGGCATATTAAAGCCCATATCCAACGATTTGGCCGTTTTCCAGCGAGGAACTTTGCGCCGGCCAAAGCTGTTTTGTTGGCTGTGTTAGCACAGAAATTAATTTAAACCACTAGTTTACAAGCTCATCAAATTTAGCTGAGACTCAACCCATATGGATAAACTTGTTTATATAATGGGTTTAAGAGTTTCGACCCGTTATTTTGTTTTCATATAAAGGGTCTACGGCTTTTATTAGACCCGTTATTTTAATTAGCCAATAAAGGGTTTACAGAATCATTAAACCTGTTCTTTTAATGTGCTAATAAGGGATTCGCAGGTTTATTAGATCAGTTATTTTACTCAAATTATAACATTCTCGAATGACATGAGTTCCGATTGTTCCAGGAGTGATTTAACCCGATTTGCGGTCGACAAAAATAAAAATTTATATATACAAGTAAAAGAAGCAAAGTCAAATCATTCTTTTGCAAATGTTATTCAAGATTTACATTTTGAACGCATTCAATAAACACACAGTGCGAAATCATCGACTGACTTCGATTGGTTTATACTTTCAGATCTATTGTATTTACTAACAGTCAATCGAATCGCTTAATTGTGTAAAATATGCAATGCAACGTGACTCATGATTGCATTTATCGTAAGAGTAAAATGTGATTTGCTATTTGGAATACAAGGTCGTGCATAATAATGAAGTGTTAATTATAAAAAAGAACGAAACGAATATACATATAGTCCAACTAGTCAGAATGACCGATCAAGATGCGAATAATAATACGCTCCCTTTACGGGAAAATTTAGTAAGTGTTACTATTGTTTATTGAACTATATTAATTCAATTCATATTATAAATATTACTGATTATTTATGTGACACTAACAAAACACTGTGCAGACAGTTGATGAAAAGTACATGAGCTTATTTCTAGTTAAGTTGAGCTTTTACATTTAAGGTACAAACTGCGGTGCAGTTTTTGCAGAACCCCAAAGTAACGCAGAGTCCAATGGATCGTAAACAGCAATTTCTCAAAAAAAAAGGCCTTACAGATGAAGAAATTAAAGCAGCTTTTAATCTGGCATCTATCAACACTGTGGTTGATCCTGAGACTCTCTATAATCAGAAAGTGTTACCATATACTGCTGTACAAATGCCACGAATGGCTGCTTACTCATGTTATCAAACAAATAATAGTCAATTGACACTTTACCAAAAAATCAAAGAACTTTTTAACTTAGCAGCATTGATTGGTGCAACAGTATACTGTATTTATTGGTTTTACAAGGTATACTATCATAGTGTAAAAAATTATAAAAATTACTCCGCATACCACATTTTAAGAAATTTTAAGAAATTGTTGGAAAAATTTTATAATACTGTTTCTGTATAATTTCTGTATAGTTTCCGTATAATTTTCCAGAAATTTATAAGACCCTTTCTATTTGGTCGGAAGAAGCCAAAAATTAACGTGGAAGATGCAGTTGTAGAGTTAAATGAAACAGTGGACAAATCTGTAACATCGACAAAAGCTTCTATTTCAAAAGTGAATGAATATATATATGAAATGAAGGAACAAAATAGAAATATCTTAAGCACAGTACGAGAAGTCAAAGTGGATTTAGTTAATTTAAAAGCTATGCTTTTATCGAGGTATATATATCTAATCTATACTATTATCATGTAGATTATAATTATTTGTTTTTGCAATAGTATAATATATATATTAAAATGTACACATATAGATCAGTAATAGCAATTTATTGCCATACAATGAGATTACTTAATTTAGACATTATTTGCTGTTTTCTTCTTATATGTGGAATTTGTTTATGTTATATTCTTTTTACAAGGGATCAATCATCAATCACAACCTCACACACGCATGCACATGTACAGGTTTATCTGAAATTGCTTAAAAAAATAATATATAATCACACTTTAATAGTATGATAATTCTTTTTAAACGAGAATTACATGATCTTACAAAATATAAAGTCCAAAACACCAAATTTAAAATATAAATTTGTGCTTGTTTTTGCTTTACTTACGTCTATGCTTTGACAATATATGCTTTTGAATCAATTATGGTATAAACAGTCGCATTACACGCATATATTCCTCTATATGGTGAAAAATTGACACATAAGAAAAATTGTAATTTAAAATCTTTACAAGTATTCTGTCTACAGTTGTATTTATTATTTATCATTAGCATCCGATTATATTTTAATGATAGCAAATGTTTAAAACAGTAGAAGGTTTCCCACTGCTCCGACATCTATCCCAGCATGGCAGTTGGATACCACAAATGAAACTCAAGAAAAAGCAACTGAACGGGAGGACGATGCTGGAAGTGGAAGTAACAATTCAGACAGTTCCTTAGAAATGATTCGAGAGGAACCAACCAAGGAATAAATTTAGGAATTCTGTGTCTACCATAACCACTTCTGTAAAGATAGTCTTCTATATGCTGATCCTTATCATCATATATTGGAGAAGAGGATTGTGGATTGAAATATTTATATGATATTAGAGATGTGTCGCGCGTTACTTTTATTATTAGCAATAAACATTTTTGCGTTCTTGATGAAATTGGTCACTTCTTAAATATTTTAATATTTAACAACTGCTGATTGTTGTACAAAGAGCAACTTTCTGAAGTTTCCAATATTATTGAAAAACAGTTTCATACATTGATAACGTCGTTTCTGTTACAATTATTAACAATATAATGAATTAATCGGTAAAATAAATGTATTGGATGAAATGTAATGGGTATATTTTTTTACTTATAACTTTTAATAAAATACGTTTTTCGTACAAGATCTAAACAGGAGTTATTAATTCCTAAAAGACTTAGTTTGATACTCTTCGTATATCTCATCGCTGTACATATATAAAAATCATGAACAGAGAAAACATAGAAATTATTACTCGGTGTTTTCAAGAATGTTTTCAGATGATCATATTGCTCAGTATGTGCCAAGGTATGTGATTTATAGCAATTTAATCGATGTTATTTATATAGTGTACATAAGGAACTTCTTTACATGTGGGAATTAAATTATTTAACGTGAAGATAAATATAAATAATAAATATAAAGATACATTTTATAGGAGACAATGATCATGAAACCACGCGATTCACGTCCCTTCTGGACTAAATATTGACACTTTAATCCATAATTGATTATCAACGATACACGGAAGTACCGTATTAAAGAATATCCTAAATCCTGTCGCATCGCAAAATGAGATATCGGTGTAGCTCCTCACCGATATGGACGCACATTATCTACCGGTAAACATATGTGTATGTACAGATATGATTTTATTGAACAAATAGATTAACATTACTTCCATTCAGAATACTATATGCATTGCCCATAGCTCGTGTCTCGAGCAAACAGCGGATTGTTATGTACAATAGAAAATACATAAAAGTCCTACAATATATAATAAATAAATGTTAAGGAAAAACAAAAAAAAAAAGAAAAGAATCTTCATTACAGAATAAATTATCGACGTCGTTAAATCTTGTGCACATGGGCGCGCATTTTTTTGTCTTTCTCAAAGAGAATTGTACGAATAACTTTTACATTTATATATAAATGCATGTGTATGCATGTATACGTGTGTGTATATATATGTATGTATGTATGTGTGTGTGTATATATATATATATATATATATATATACACACACACACACACATCTGTACATATACACACACATGTAGATATTAAATAAATCCCATATTTTACGTCTTATGTATTACTGTTCATTCATACAAACAGTCACACAATCAAACACATCCCAAGTAGTATGTACAAATCGTATGATATCCCATTATTACTGTAGCATTTTTCATGATGTATGGTTAAACAAGCAAACAAAATACACAAGCGTGTGTGTATGTGTGTAGGATTATTATCATCTTGCTATTAATTCACGTAAAGTGCGTTACCAATGGAAATCAATGATCGCAGATCATAGTTACACATATGTAATATCTCATTTCGCGAGAGATTGACGAGAATAGATATATTACTCTGTTTCCTGGTTTTACATATTATATTACATATAATATACATATATAATAATATATATATATGTATAGATATATGTATACATATACGCATACATTATTATAAATATTTATATATATTATATGAATATATACCACTTTATATATATATATATATATATATGTACCAGATATACCAGGATATAGCTGCCTCACTGATACAGTGAGTTGCAGCAAAGTCCTTTTGACTTAGTATATTTCTCTATATCCTAGTTTAATAATATACAGTAACAAAAGTATCTCATTTCGATTATCTTCCTTCTCGTTCAAATACACACGCGCACACATACACACACACTTTCTGCCTTTCTCTCACTCTCTCTTTCCCATTCTCATTCATACGTTCGTTCTCTCTTACCATGATGTGCCGCAAAAAATACATAAATAAAAACTTTAAGTAATCCTTACCTAAAACGAAAAGATCCTGCTGATACATAGCGCGATTCTATATTATTTTCGTACCTTGGTCTTTGGCAAATGCTTATGTAACAGAAGTGGTAAAGAAATTCGAACAATTTTGCACACATATGGACTGTATAATATAAAGAATTATACTAGGATACTTTGTGCTTGATGTAATTATTGGCTGAATACCATTCCTTTCAATATTTACTCGTTATTTGACAGAAAAAAAGGAAAAAAAAAGAAAAAAAATGAGGACTTGAGGAGCCTCATTGTTTCATTATATGAGCAGCGATTTCTAATGTTGTCCTATTATCAATAACAATAATAATTCTAGGCTAGACACACTAAATTGTTAGCAGCTTCATCTCTAGAGAATATCTAGCGTACCGCTCAATCCCAACTATGCTACCAAGTATGATGTAAGTGTAAATTCCTTGAAAGAACAGAACGCACGTCTTGCGTGAAGCGAAGAGCATCCAGTACTGGAAGTAAGCTTAATAAAGCAGTATCTCCTGCATCGCTGAACCATGACTTTATGGGTATCGCGTTATCTATGACATAAATAAAGAAACAATAATGCGTACAATAGCGCGTATCATTATTATTATCATCATCATCATCATCATCGTTATCAGCATGACTTTTTTACTTTAATTTTATATATGCCATTAAAACCAAATCAAATATGTATATTTCTTCTTTAAAGCAAAACGTATCGTGAGATGAAACGATTTTTAAATTGCTCTTTAATATCACATTTCTCTCTCTCTCTCTCTCTCTCTCTCTCTCTCTCTCTCTCTCTCTCTCTCTCTCTCTCTCTCTCTCTCTCTCTCATTCAACTATTTTTAACACATTGCATTCAAAAAAACCAAATGGAATTCTTTTTTCGTATATTTTACATTTCTTTTTTCATTCATTCAAGATAGAGAAAAAGTAATAAACAATACAAGATTGATTAAAAATATACATAGAAAATTCATAACATATAAATAAATAAATAGTATAGGATAGTGATATATTCAGAGCAAACTTAATTTTTAAAACAAATATAAAGAACTATCAATAATGTAAAATCTCGATCATTTAATTTTATCAGATTTGATTTTAACATATATTTAAACATAAGATTTGCTATTGCATCTTTTCATTTTATAGTTGTGTCTAATTATCTAAATGTCAAATGTATAATTAAAACGGAATTAATAATTAAATTTATGTACAAAAAAGCGCATATTTCTCGTAATTCTTAAGTCACTCACTTTTCAAGAATTGAAAATCTGCAAATAGGATATTTGTTTCAGTATTTGAGGAATGTTTCAGTATTAATTTGATTTCCTTCAATGCGAGAATTTATATGATTCGATTCGAAAATAGACTTTACCCTATGAGAGCAGTACCTGATTTACAAAAATTATTAAAACATTTCTAAAACTGAGATTGTATCATCACCGACAGATTGGATTGGAGTACAGTAACCCGTGCTTACTCAACTGGAGGAGTGTACCAGTGGTTGCTTTTATTTAGACTTATCCGTACGTCTCTGTATTCAGTGCTTGCTTACCGAGCATCAACATTAAAAGCTGCAAATAGATACGTCCTTCATTCGTCTTGTCCTATTCAATTTTTGCTTCGTCAATTATACAGTTAGAAGAGAAGATTAATATTTTATATGACACACGGAAAATGTAAAATTGCCAACTAAATATTATTGATAAGTAATGCAAACGTATCGTTCGTTAATCTCATATGACGCTGTTATGATATCACAGATATCTGCTAAAAGACTTATGATTCATGTCTTCCTGATTGTTATCAGTTATCATTGAACTCTATTATATCTCATCTCTACAATATAGCGACACGAACGACGCACATATCATATGGTAAAAGATACTTTTTACTAACAGAGACATTTTATTAATAGTCTTGTTAGATAATTAGGTAAGATTAAACACTATTTCATGAGGCATAAGAAGAGACACAAATAAAAGTAATAGACTAAAAGTAATAGACAATAATTAATCAAAATAGTAAAAAGTGTGTAGGACAAGTTAGTTTATTGCAATAAACATAAGTATTATTTAGTCGTCATGTGACATAAGTATGATATAAGTACTCGATTACTTCAAAAACATGTTTGACGACTGATCATTCTATCAACGAGTTAATACATAACTGTACATGGTTGTCAGCACTTGGTAAGCAAGTTCTGACTACAGGAAACAATACTTAACAGAGAATATGATATATATATTATGAAAGAGACTATAAAGGGTAGTATAAAGTCCGGATGGAAGATGATCTTATCGAAGATGATTCTCTCAAGGCTATTTAAAATTATTTATTTCTTATCACTCTCGTGTAAATCACGATCGAGATTGTAGTTCCTAAGATAACGTTTTTGCTCGTGCACACGAAAGATGATCATAATTAAAATTATGTATACTTACCCGGGTAAGCTCTATAGGCTCCTGGACTGTTATCAAGAATAAAGACTGAGGAGAGATCTGAACAAATTGCAGACAGATCCTTGGTATAGGAACCCATTTCTGGTGTACAATGTTGCCTATAATATCTGCGCCTTAATATACCTCTGTTGTTGTCTAGTTTATCCGCGACTGCTGCCCCATATATTTCCATGGATGCAGTGAAGACTACGAGTTCGTACCTGAACATAATATTGTTGTAGATAATAACATAGAAGTAATACAATCTTATCTCAGAATCAAAGTTTGAGTGTAAGAATGCAGTTGAATCCTGTTGGTGTCCTTTCCTCTTTAACAACAGTAACTTACCATTGACTAACAATGTCCAAGAAGAAATCTACATGTGGTCTTTTATGAACAAAAAACCTAACAGGATGTCTGTCTATCGTTACTTTAAGAACAAAATCTGGAGGTGTACCAGGCCTGACGGTTGGCCTCGCTACTCCATCGTGATGAGAATGAATTAATGTTTCATCTAAATCCAGTACTAATACCTTCCTCTTAACTATACCTGAAACATTCCTGTATTATAAACAAACCCTAACAAGATATTGATATAAGGTGATAAATAAAATTTATACATTATCAGTACTTACTAAGTCTGTGCCTAGATAAAGGTGAAAGTGGGAAGATCTCATATTTGACTGGCTGCATTTGTGATACCTACAAAAAAATATTAAATATATCATTTATATATCATGATTTAAAAATAAATTATGCACAATACCAACTGAGACAAATTACAGATTCTTATCATAATACAGCAATTGAGAAAAGATAGATATTTACTACAAAATAATAAGACTCATATTCTATACATTAGAAAACAACCAATACATATTACAGTGTGACTATCATAATTATGACCAAATCATATCATGGATACATATGAATAAAAATATAAACTACAAGTACACAATTTGCTTCACATCAAGATTAAAATCTATCTTATATAGACATTAAAAAGTGACATGAAACAAATTCTCATGGTCCATTACAGTCTCTTGGAGTCTGACAAAAAAGAAAAAAAATAAAATAAAACATAAAAATGCTAATTTTCTCATACAAATTTGGCTTATCATCGGAGACAATAGCTTTCGCTGTTGTACTCGCGAACGTTACCAGAGCGTTATATCAACACAAATGTCAATACATGTGCAGCGAGCGGAGAACGGCGCGAAGGAAGCGGAGTGACAAGCGGCTCCACGATAGGCGGTTGTCTAACGCAACAGGACTCTCTGAAGAAGGCGAATAGAGGCGCGAGGCACCTACTTACGGTTCTAACCTGCTTCTTGAGTAGAAAGCAAATGCAGGTCCACACACGGGAGGCCATTAAGAGGAAAGCTCTCATCCCCATCTGCAATTGCTTCAGCATCTCTACGGGTCTTCTTCACCGGGCCGAAGTCCGGCAACACTTAATCTCCAGTGTCGAATTCCTCTCGTATTACCGTTCTCAGTCTTTCCCTCTGCGTGTGTGTCCCTTTCCCCGTTTTGCACTCCGCTTCGCGTCGCAAATTGCGAATCGCGCGAGCCCCGCGCGCGGGCAACCGAAAACCGAAAGAGTGGACTTTTTACTGCCGCTTATCGTAAACAAACGATAACACCCCCGCGATCGGGAGAAAAGCCGACGTGAGTCCGCGTGAGCGGCGTTTTACGCGCGTGCCATGCCACTCACACGAGTAGTCACGTTTCGCGCGTGTCAATGCACCTTATCGTGTTCGCTCATGTTTTTTCCGCAAAATCCGACCGTGATCCCCCTTTACGCACAGCACGCAGCGGCCGCCATCTTCCGCGCATCGACCCAATTTTTCCGTGCTCCGAAGTGGCGCGCACATACGATGCTCTACGAAATCCTTCCCGATCTCGCTGATCTCACGACGCCCGTCTCGAGACCGAAGAAAGGAACGAGACTGATCCGCGAAGGTACTTGCAATCATTCTCAGTCGTGATTACTCTGACATCGTGCTCGTAAAAACCCGACGAAGTTGGAGCCTAGGAAAATAGCAACTTATGCAAACAGCTCTCGGCGTGTTCAAGGTAAACGTAAAAGTTAGTTGCTTTTCTATGTTACATGCGAATTAAGATTCTTCGAACAAGTCGCATTCGTGGGGCTCCGGGAAGCCGTACAAATTGAACGATTCAATGATTGAATATTGCTACGGATATATATACGCATATAATAGTTATTACAAGGATTCGTATTTCAATTTATATCTCATATCAGAGAGAAACCTGAGAGCGGCCAACACGGCATTTTCTGCGACATCGACTTTCCGCCCTGGGAAACGACGACGCCATCTGCATCCATTTTGAGAGGGGAACTACGATGTTACATCCACTTTCAGGTTCCGATGGTAAAATTTGCATGTGATGGGGAAATCCATGCTACATCCACTTTCTAGAAATTTCTCTGGTACGCTAACACCCATTCATAGTCAGGCCTTATATTTAAGGCTTCCATAAGGTTTATCTTTAGATGGTCTGTAGCCAATAAAATAATCCGTGCAACATCTAAAGATGGATGGCCTCAAATATAAGGCCTGATTATGAATACGGGTATTAATCCCGTAAGGCCAACAACAGTCTTTATAATATCTCGTTGGTGTCGGTATGCTCTCGGGTGTAGTTGTTCTTTATGTTTCATTTTCCGGCCACGATATTCCTAAGTGGGCGCTAGTGCACAGTGAGAATTCTCTGGTACGCTAAATCCCGTAAGACCAACAGTCTTTATAGTATCTCCTCGTCGATGCCTATGATAATAGTAGAAAGAGGCCTGAGATATGCTTTATCAGTTTTTCCTTCTGATAATAGGAATAATAATCACAAGAAACAATTAACACATTTCCCTCATCTTTGACAAATTGATTAAAAAATGTAAGATATTTATTTTCCGGCCACGGAAACATTGTTATTATTAAACATTGTTAAACAACTTGTTACATTTGAATCTATACAAGGATGATTCTGATGAATTCTTTTACAATTTTAGTTCCAGCGCACAGAAATCAATAATATTTTTGCATTTGAGCCAGTAAATTTCACAAGATATGAAACGAAATATGCGCGTTATTAAAATTCGTTGTAGCTTGTAATAACGTGTACCAGGAACGTTTGCTAGAAATAAATTTATTAATTACATTTAAATTAATACACATTTGTGTTCGCTAAATACATCATACATATTCATTATGTATATATAACGATAATTATCAAATAATATACAACAAAATGTACAAATTTCTTACTAACAAAGTACAATTTTTTATACAATTCTTAAATCCGATCAATTATTTTGCTAATACATAGCTTCAATCGTTTTCCTTATACATACGTTATCTTTGTACTTTACAACAAAATATACACAGAGTAAAATTACAAATTGAGTTACAAGAGAAGAGACGAAGTAACTTTATTCCGTATATAGCTACGCTTATAATTTACCGAGATTTATACGTGTATGTACAATATTCAGGTATATATCATAGATTTATTTATAGCACACGTTTCATCAAGGTTATAATTACACGAGTCAGTTTTTTAGAGAGTGACTATGATGCTACTCGCGAAACACCGTGCTCCTTCATAAATCTATGATATGCGCACATAAATCTACAAAAAACATTCTCATTAATATCGACAATGAAATGTCGGATAGTCTACCTGACCTGACCATCCTTACGAGTTCCACAAAAATCGATGTACTAGCACAAATAATTAATCAACGACGATCTTTCCAATTTAGATTTGATACGGAATATATTACAACGGTTTAACAAACATCGCACAAAGAAATATTCCAAGTTCACAAGTAACTCCACGAAAATTCAGCATAATCATTTCATTTTTATCCTCAATCACGCATTTTACACATTGTGTCGCATTTTTGATAACATAATGTGTTATTGTCCATGCGGCTCTCGGGAAGAAAAGTGTCTACAAAAGAAACATCTGAGGAATATATCGGAATACAACTCGCGATGAGATATCCAATAAGACGCATATCGAAAACGCTCTCTACGTGTACGTAAAAGAGTGAACGTAACGTTTAAATAACCTACGATTTCACCAAGTGTGTGCACTAATATTATTATAAAAAACGCCTTCTTCGTACAAATTCGTTAGCAGTTAAAGAACACTGTGATTACACGGCGAACAAAATCTACGTCTCTTTGAAAACGGTACGATATAAAAACAAAATAATACGCTATTATTATTATTATTCGTTCTATGATTATTTTAGTGTTCTTCGTTAATTATCTAACGTATTATAATAAGGCGTTTTCGATGTCTGGCTTTCCTCGCATGTAACAAAGGAAAGTGTCTTTCGAGTCTCTCGCGGGTGACGGATCCAACTATTACGACTAGCTCGACGATCTTAAAGGCACCTGCTTCTCTGTCGCTAATTTCTCATTAACTGAGCATGTAACGGTACATTGGATGCTGAGTAAAGCAAAGAGTATTGCGAAGAAAGAATGAAGGTCTAACAAGACAGGAAACATACTCGCAGATATTTTCGCATGAAATCATGGTGCTTATTCGGAATAAACTTCCGTATTTATATGTACACTTTATGTAAAATTCATTTTTCTTCATGTTTTGCTTTTCTTAAATAAAGAATGATCGAGACGCAGGTTCCCCGTCAGATCTCTCAGCAGGATGTTTAAACTTATCGCGTGTATTAAATCGCTACACTGAAACATACTTGTGTGTGTCTTACGAATTAAACAAACTTTAGTTAGCTAATTCATGCTACATTCGTAAATGATACAAACATGAACAGTTGAAGAGAATTCCGCCTCATGCTAAAAACATATCATTTAGTTTTACATCTGTACATACTTGTTCAAATAAATACACAATGAATATCATTATCACATTAATATATCGCGATCTCTTTCTATCGGTTTCTTGTCTTTATTCTTTTTTTTTCTTCATGTAATCGAAGATTACGGAATATCGTTATATTCTCATTTGCATGATACGATATTATATATACTTGTATCTCGTAGAAAATATCTCAAGCGTTATCATCAGCTTCCCAGAGTCAGGTAGAGCTTCGACACGATGTCTCGAAGCTGCCGGAAAAAAAAATGAAACTTCCGTTCTCTCTGCTACAGCTCATTATGTCAGTCGTAGTCGCGCAATATTATATTGCTAAATATGACGCTAAGAACATTAATGGTGTCTATCTTGCGCGATTACAAAGTTAACACTCGAGATTATTGACTCTCCTCTTCGCCCCTCAGCGATGTATGAAAGATTAAAATAAACAGACATCTACTCACACTATTCTGCTATCAATTTATCGACGGTAGAGGTATCACTTATTCTGGTACATTGTGCACAGACTTTTACCTTCCATATATATACGAAGCCGCGCATTTTATGTTTTCTATATATATATATATATATAAAAAAAATAAAAAAAAAGAAAGGAAGAAGTCTTTGTATAGACGCGGTCTGCCTATTAAATCCGTGGAAATATATTTCTAGGCCTCTCAAAAGCAAAATCCTCTTGGTTTAAATATAATGCTGGCCGAGCGTCAGCGTTGTCACGTTGTTGCTTCGCAGTGTATTTTCGTAGCTTCCTGTGTTCTCTCGTTAGTGTTATCTTCATCTAACTATCTCAGTGTTGCGCACTCGTGGGATACTCATGAACGTCAATTCTGTATTCCATATTCAGTCTACGAACGATGTTACGTTAATATCGTATTCTACGTATTGCAAGCGCATGCTGCAACGATATTTCGTATCACGTTGCTATGACATCATATCTGGCATCCACCAGAATTTCCTATAACGCTTTCGGCGTGCTCTCCCTTTTTTCCCCTCTCTCCCGTCTTCGACGGAATTTATGTCCATCATATGATTTGGTTCTACCCGACGATACTAAGTGTAACGTTGGATCGCGAATAAACAGTCTTCTAATTTGCCGAGCTTCTCTCGAAACCCGGCTCATGGCAGCGCTTAACTTTTCGAGTGTACATTGGTTTTCTGTGCCTTTTTCTTTCGTGCCGCCAGCATGTCGTAGAAGGGGTTGTGCGATATACTTTGTCTGAAAAATGTACAGGTACATTTCAAAGGTCATTTTTCCGTGATTTCACGCTATTCGAGTGCAGCCAAGCGTAAACGCAGACATACATTTTCTTTTCTTTTTTTTTTTTAAACTTACCGTACGCATTTGATCCACTCTTCCTTCTCCTCGTCGGTAGCTGCAGACATCCTGTACACGGTATGTTTTCCTGCAAAGGATCGCGGATGAACATCTGGTTGAGATATATCTTCTCACACACACACACACACACACACACACACACACACACACACACACACACACGATAAACTTGATCTCATCTCAATAATTGTGTTATTGTTGAATAATAACCAAACTTTAACAACTTCGACTTCAATCTGCTGTTGACTGTTATCGATCAGATTTCTTGAATTGTCTTACACATACCCTCAACGACTTTTCCCTCGCTGTCGGTCTTACACGCCTTTATGAACTCGGAACCGGCGGCGTACAACTCGAAGCAGTGCGGTTTGTGTCGGTCTTGAATCTCTCGAACCTGAATATTTTCTAGAGGAATGATGCCACGTGGTTCCTTGTCGGTTGTGTATTCAAAGTAGTACAAACAATTGTCGTTCAATATGAACCACCGTCTTTTCCAGCTCTTGTAACGTCCGCCTGCAACAAAATACGAGATGTATAGAATTAAGAGCCTATGGTTTCCGCCGAGATGTTATTTACCTGCTGTCTCCGTCAGGGCAGCAGAGGGACAAAGTAATACAATATAAGAATAAGCGTTCTGCCAACGATAAACGTGACAAAAATCGAGAAATATCATGCGAGATGTGCCGCGTTTCATTCAACCTTGCTCTCGTCTCGGGCTACTTTGCGAAATCAAACAAATACACGGAGGATTCCGAACTCTAGTGACGCGTAACGCGAGCTAATTTTGTGTCTTCCTAATCACCCTGCATGCGCATGAGAACGTGAAAACAAGTACTACTCGAAAAAAATGCACTAAGTGGAGAGAAACTAAAAATCGTCAGGAGACATTGTAGTCGATCTACAACATGTGCATACGAATGCGAGCAGACATTACCTTGCTTCCACAGCCAACCTTCTTTGTCGGGATTGAAAAAAGTGTGCATCAAGTCGTTTCCGTCGTCCTCGGGTATTTTGAAGGGCTCGGTTTTTATACTTTCATATAGGCTCTGAAAATAAACGACGACAAATTGACAGCATTCTGCGCGTTTCGAGTGACACGTATTTCCGAGATACTAAAAAAAATATATGTACATGTATATAAAAAGAAAGAGAGAGAAAGAGAGAGAGAGAGAAAGAGAGAGAAACACATACGTACAGACACATTTATACGAAATATTGCAAAACAGAGTAGTATAACACACACAAAATAGTAAATAATACAAAATATACAGAAACTCAAAGGACATTCAGAAATGTTTTGTTGTGTGGGAGAGCTCGAGAAAAATCAATTGATACATATATATTGGCGACACCAGTCACCGCAGTTACGCGTCGGGAGAGTATACACATTCTCACGTGAGCGTATTTTGTACGTAAAAATATTATGGGCGGAAAAAATCGCTGCCAATTTTTGCGTAGAGGCAAATTGAACCAAGGATCACTTTATACTCTCCCGATTGTATAACGTACATACACACGATACGAACGTTCGATCGTGCTGCGTATGTTGTTACATATTGTACACATAAATCAGTACTTTGTACTTTGAACTTTCGACCGAGAAGCAAGAGAATGTGCGTCTTGATGTCTCTCTATCGCACAAAGCACACCTACCACAAGCAGTTCTCGCGGCAGGTCTCCGCCGTTATTAATCCCCCGATTCATCGAAATAAACTGCTCCACGCTGGGTTTATCCTTGACGCTCGGATTATGCAACGACGTATTCAGCATAATGATGGCGAAGCTCAGCACGTAGCAGGTGTCCGTATTGGTAAAGATATTTGGATTTAGCTGGCAGTACCTTTGAGCGAAACACTCCATCATACGATCGATCTTTTGCGCTTCGCCGGGTAGCCGAAACGACCAGAGAAACTGACGTAGGGCTTGCACCAATATGAGATCCGTGAAGTCGTGCAACTCGACGAACGCCCTGAGCACACGCTCGTTGAAGTCGTGTCGCTCGCCGAGGTAATCGCCGATCGCGGTTTTGTTCAGGCCCTCGCCCTTGTAGAGAAACTGAGCAACATCCTCCGGCGTCGGTGCCAACAGGTTGTGCTCTATCAGGTACTCGATGCCTTTCTTAGGATCCATATTGAACTTCTTGCGACCGATAGACGTCTGCTTGGCCTTGTTGGACGGCTTCGTCTCGTCGGCCGTGAGTCCGCCGCCCTCCATCGCCTCCATCTCTGCCACGACCTCGCCCAGCTCATCTTTGAGTTGCTGGAAACGAAATTGCACATGGTGAGTCAGCCATCCACGTCTTCGATCTCGCCCCTTAGTACAGAAGTCTTTTTCAACTCGATATCTCTTTTGGGAGGAAACTTTATTATCAGTTTATACGAAACGAGACTGCTTCTGCTGATAAGGGGGAAAAAACGGGAAATTTTCGATAAGGATTTCCAAGTTAATAGAGAAGTAGCCGGCCAACGGTGGAAACCAACGATTTGGAGCGACGTGTGCAACACGACGGTAAAGGTCTCATGCACACACGGTGTGCAACGGCAGCTTCCTGCTTCGTGATACCCGCTTGAATACCGGTCGACACGTCCGCCTATTTCCCACCATGCATCTCAGTTCAACGTACATTCCTCGAATGCCAGCAATCAGGGTCGTATCTCTTTCGGTTTCGCGACGACGCACTCGCGGGCTACGTGCGACCTTAAGTGTTCATTTTTCGAGAGAGAAAAGAAACACTTTGAGAGACCAAAAACCATGTTTCTCTCTTTTTTTTTTTTTATTCAGAAGGATTAACGTGATCGAGCCAACGTACGATCGTTTCAATGACAAAATCTACCTCTCCTGCTACGTCCGAAGGTACGGGAGAGAACGGTTTTAATTTCCGGAAGTTTCCCCCTCGTCTGATCGTGTCGATCGAGATAGACATCGCGTGTCTCCCTTCTTTTAATTTCAAGAGATTCACCCGGCAGATATTAACGCCTTGCCATCATAACGCGACGCAACTGCGGTGCGTCGTGTCGCGCCGCAGAGTCGAGTCGAGTCGCGAAAAATCGATGAATGCACGCAAACGACACGATGCGCCTATTTGCAACATTCCGACTATTCATGGTGGAAGTGGCCTAGAAAACTGGCACGGCCACAGTATTATCGCGAAAACACTCGTCGAATTAGTCAGCGTTTGTCGAATGTCGAGCTTTTCGAGCTTAAGTTTTTTGCAAACGAGCAGAGAGAGAGAGAGAGAGAGAGAGAGAGAGAGAGAGAGAGAGAGAGAGAGAGAGAGAGAGAGAGAGAGAGAGAGAGAGAAGAGGGGGAAGACAATGAAGATTTTAAAGCACTAAACTGAATTTGCATTAGGGCGTCGTCGCATGTCCATTCGCAAAACAGGGGAAGGAAGGCTTGACCGGAAGTGGTCACACGTTGTTGTGTTCTTCCCTGATGGGCCTCGTTAACGGGTTACCGCGATAACAGCAAGGACAATAACTTAGTCGCCGCTCGGCCCTGAACGGTATTGTCTGTTAGGTAGAAGCATTTCTTTTGTATTTATCGCCGCACATCCGGTCCCACGACAGGAAGGCTGCTGACGATGCGTGAAAAACCGGTACGCCTTGTGAACCTAGAAATTACGGCTCGCTGAATGAGAGCCGCGTTCGCCGCGGCCGAGAAACTTTCTTTCGAGTCCTCGGCTTTTGTGCACGCACGCACGTGTGTGTGTGTGTGTGTGTGTGTATCGCGTACACTCGGAATCCGAATTCCTTCGGACTCGCTCTGTGTGTCTCTGCGGTCGACACGAAAATCTTGGGCGATCCAAGACGACAACGACGGCGACGAACTCGAACGCGGCGGAGTGAATGTCTGCACAGTTATATTTCTACACATCGAAAAGGTGCACGGCGGCGTTTAGAATTGCTAATTATCGCATTGTCACTAGCGAGGCGAGATATGGGCGAGGGAATTATACGAGTTCCTGCTGAAGCTCCCAATTGAGTCACCGCGGTTGTTATTCCCTGTGTAAGTCATTGCATAAAAATGCGAGTCGCGTCTGCATTGCAGAGTATCGCGCCGGAGTCGTGAGAAGATGAAAAGTAATCGAAAGCAGACGGTATAATATGCACATACACACACACACACACACACATACAAGAGACACCTACACATCGCGGTAAAAACCTTTCTCGTCGCACGAGACAATCGATTTCTCCCGCGCAGGGATCACATAGAGCACGCCGGCGACCACTGTAACTCTGTGCTCCACATTAACGATAAAACGCTATCAACGGTATCGTAACGTAATCATAGTCGGAGCGTCGTCCGTCGCCCACCGTCGTCCGCGGACGATGCCATGCATTTCACCTCGCGTCAGCGTCGCCGGGAAAACAACATCAACACATTGACGCTAGTATGAGGTCAAGCAGCGGCCGGTGGCGCTGAAATGTCACCGTGTTTCTCGTGAATTCATGCATAAAATGTACAACTGATGGTTGTACAACGAGTTGTCAAATCAACAGCTGACAGCGAGCCGACGAACACGCTTTTCATTCATATTCCTTTCTTTACTTTTCTTATCTTCGGTGACTCAGAATTTGTCAGCGGTCAACGTGATATGATACGAATGACATTAAGGGACATTAGGGGACAATAATGTCAATAATGTCCTTGATATGTTCACCTTCCAATCAGCGAGTCGTCTTAATACACCAATTAACTATAGCTATTTTTCCGCGGGACTCGCGGGAAAGAGAAGAAAGAGCTACAATGTCGGGGCATGCTGGCACGGAACGGGGGGAGGGGGATGGGGGAGATTCTTTTCGCATGCCAGCCGACTTAACTCCTGTTCCTTCTTCAGCAGTCGGTCGCGTTTAACGTAGCGCAATCACGGCGAGGTATCCTGTTGCGAGGTGGGCCAAGATCCAGCGCTGAAGGAATCTTGATCACGATCCGCGCCGTGCGAGCGGTCTTCATTAGCCGTGCGACAGCGAAGAAGAAAACGACGACGGCGACGACGATGACGGCGGCGGAGGAGGAAGAGGAGGAGGAGAGATAAGGCAGCACGAGCGCGCGACAAAGAACGGGAACGATAACGATTATGTGGAACGCATGTTCGTGCGAGCGTAATTAGCCCTCGAGACAACGCGCGACCTAATGAAGCGCTAAATCATCACACGCCCGCGCCCGGTTGCTTCGCGTTCGACTTTTATGACGCGGGTCACTTGCGAAACCAGCGCGCGGATGAAAAGGCGGCCGCGGGGCGTCTCATCGAGGAACTTTTGCTCTTCTCGTGGCCGGCCGATTATGTTAATGCGCTTGACAGACAGTCGGCGGAACGAAATCGCGTTCGCCGCAGATCACCGCTGTTCGAAAGGTCGAAAGCGCAGCGAGGAATTATGCGCCGCGAAGCTTGCGGTTCCAATCACGGCTCGTGTAATATTCGCGTCGGCAGATCTGTTTCGAACTGACAAATAACCCTCTCCGACGTTTCGTCGCGTCTCATTGTAAGCGCAAAACGTGAGCGTTCGCTCGCGTTTGGGGATGGGTGCAAATAGAAAAGAGAACATTCTTCTCTCTCTCTCTCTCTCTCTCTCTCTCTCTCTCTCTCTCTCTCTCTCTCTCGTTGCGTAAACGCGAAATAATACGGAGATTCCCGTGCGCGAAGATCCGATTACGATCTGCGCCGTTGGACATCGAGTTCAATTTTAACGGCAAATGCGGCAAAACGAATTATCCGCCGATGCATCGTATCGGCCGGCGACGAGTGGCTAAGGTTTCGTGCCCGCGCGAAGAAAAACGAACGTAAAATATCGTGTCACGGAAATCGCTGCCTTTTGCGCGCGACGGCAACACGCAAACGCGCCCTCGGCTTTTTAAAATTTTTCATCTCCGCGACGTATCCTTCTTGCTCCTACCTTGCCCGCGATAACGGCGCCTGCTGATGAAATATTACGCGCTCGCTTCGAGTGGACCCCGATTATTTTTTTCGCGTCTAAGACGAGGAGAGGAGGAGAGACCGCCGACATGGGTTCCTCGCGCACGGAGAGACTTTGTGAAGTTTCTCGAGTTTAAAGAAACGGAAAGAGGCAAGGGAGAAAAAGGTACTTGAAAAAAAAAAAAATGCACAACCCTCTGTTCCGGCTATCGCCCCCTCTCTCTCCCCGCGATAAAGTAATCCGGCGTCTCGCGAGCGGAGTTCAGAGGCCGGACGATAATCCGCCAGTTCTTTTCACGGACCGATATATGTTTAATGAAAATACCGGCGTTCGCGATACAACGGCCGATCTAATCTTGTTATTTCGGTCGGCCGGTCGCGCGATCGATAATTCAGATCAATTATAATCGTAAATCGCGAGATCAAAGAATTTTGTCGACCGACTAGGGGAGCCCGCTGGCGCGGGTGGGTGTGAGTTGTAATTGGAGGGTAGCCAAACGTGCTCTAACGCTACCGCGGATACCCCTCCGCCCCTCTGGAGGGTCGGAGAAAACCGAGCCGGCGGCTTTGGCCGTTACCCAAGAGTTATGAATTCGCGGAAGAAAAAGAGACGCGGCAGCAAGAAAACGCGCGAGCGCGTACAAGTGCCCCGGCGACGATGAGTTTTGCATTACTCCGATATGTAGTCGGACGACGACTCGACGAGCTCTTGCGGGCTTTCGCGGCTTCCATCGCGCGGCAACGGCGGTGTCTACCTCATTCTCCTCTTCCTAATTACATCGTGAGAAAAACCGGCGAGGTAATTCACGAAAAGAAAAAGAACGAACGCGCGATCACACGCTGCACTCGAGCAAGTGTTGCTCTCTTGCTTCGACCATTTCCCACAGATTTACATAGAATTTATTCGAGATGCATTCCGAATCTCCTAATAGGTTTCATACTTCAATCAAGGGTACTATAAAAAAAATAAAAAAAAAGTTGAATAAAATTCACTTCGCTTTCTACGGTGTAATTTTGGTAACATTCTTGAAAGGAGAATAAATTTTTCTCTCTTCTGGACACACGACAATGAGCTCTCTTCTACAAAATTTCCGCGACCAGTACATCTGAGGATTATTTTCAAGAGAAAATATTCCTTGCTCGAGATAACAATCAAGGAAGGAAAACAGCGACCGCTCGTTTTTTTTAGCACTAGAGAACGATATTTTTCCCGTGCCGGAAGGAAGGTGATGTGGCGTGGAAACGCGATCGTGAAGATTTCGCGAGTGAGACTCGCGATCGCGAATGCACAAGCGACGATAATAACTCCTCCGACACGATTGCGAATGAATCAGACTAGGACGTAAGCGAGGAGACGCGAGCTGCCGTTTAGTCATTAATTCAACAATGCACACCGATCGTCGGCGGCCTAGCTGCCGTGTTGTTGGTGCGGCATTAGGTAGCAGATAGCGAGTATCCGGTTGCTTGGTTCGCGAATGACGACTCGCGCGTCACTCACACACACACACACATCACACACGACATGCACACACACACACACACGCGCGTGCGCGCGCGCACGCAAGCACACACAGCAAACTTCGGTAACTTCTTCGGCTTCTCTCGGGCTGTTTGTTCTCCGAGTCTCCTACGAAATAACGATGATATGCGCGTTTATCAGCAAACACGGCTATTTACCGCGTTCCACGTGTGCGTCGAATGCTACAGCTCTGTGTATCATCGAGCGCGCTCGTGATGAACGCCGAAGAAGAGCAGGCTCGACGATGCGCCGCTGGCTGCTCTCTCGACTCTTCCCGCCGCGCGCTTTTCGACCCGCGTAATCCATTTTACTTGTTTACGCCCCGACTCTTTCTCTCTCTCTCTCTCTCTTTCCTCCTCCTTTTTTCCGCCGTGCTTTTCCTTTTCTCCCCTTCTTAATGGCACGCTCACCGGGGTATATGGGTCGAGTCGGTCAAATTCACCGTTCATCGCGCGCGCGGCAATTATATTTATCTCCCTTGAGCGTGCAAAAGGCGCGTAGCGCCGCGCGAAAGACGCCGCAGGTGGAGGCAGCCGGCTATTTAAACGTACTCTCGTGGCACGTACGCGACGCCCATCGATCTATTTTCGCCCTTAAACCGCCGGCGTCGTCGGCGTAACGCGCGTTATTCGTGTCATCGGGAATCCGAACGATTCGACCCGCCACTGACCCGGCTAATCTCTTTTGCGGCGCGGGGTAAGTGACACGAATCCCGCCGACGCCGACGCCGCGGCGGTGCCTTCTTCTCGTCGACGATGTAACCGAATTAATTGCCGCGAGACAGCTATTAATCCACGCTGCGCGATTTCGTGATAAATCGCGTTATCAAGCGGCGCGCGCGCGCGCATACACGTGCGAACTTTGCGCGCGGCAACGAATTCTTGGTGTCGACACGACACGAATCGCGAATGCGAATAAACCGCGCTCCGGGAATGCGAACGAGAGAGAGAGACGGTCCCGCGCGCGCGGTTCCTTCTATAAATAAGTCTCCCTGACTTACAATCTTCAATTCATGACGTCATTCCGCGACGTCGCCGAGTGTTACTACCTTGCTTGCTCTCGGACAGGACGAGAGCGGGTCCGCGGCTTTTTTCCCCTACCCTGGGACGTGCTGCTCGACACACTTCCGCGGACCGTCGTAATCGTAATCGTCGGATGCTCACGGGGAAGAGACACACCGCGGCGGGTTGATTGATAACGACGGCGACGCGGCGGCGTCAACGAGCGCGATTCATCGTCTGCGTCACACACGCTCGGCGTACACACACCGATGATCTCGCGTGCGATTCACACCGCTGGCAGTCGGCAATCAGCATCTATTTTGCATTTGATTCTTGACCCTGGAAAGCAGCCGCGGGGAAAGGAGTCGCGAGACGTTGCCGAAGGCGAGAGATGGAAGCGCGCTCGCGTTCGCGCGCGCGCGAGTCGTGATGAAACCTCAAGTTTAGCGACACTTACGAGCCTCATGTATAATTAATAAACGACTCTCCGTGTCTTTTGACGTGCGCTGATGAAACCCGATCTGATCGAACGTTAACTATCGATTAGCTTCTTGCCGCGCGTCATCCTCGTCCATAAATCTTTGATTTTTAATGACGGCGAGGACGACGCGATGCCGCCGCCGCCTCCTCCGATAAATTTCTCTTTCCACCGTGTCTCATTCGCGATTGATTCTACGAAAGAGATATAGAGAGAACGAGAGAGAAAGAGAAAGAGAGAGAGAGAGAGAGAGAGAGAGAGAAAGAAACCCGTCATGTAACGGACACGTGAACGCGTACAACGTCCCGACAGACCCGAGCATACCGTCAGATACGGAACAACGTTTTGAGCGAGCACGCAACGCGCGGTTAAGCACCGAACAACATCTAGAAATAAAACCGACCAGTTGGCACGAATCGTCGTCGACGTCGTCGTCTGGGAGCATCGCGATACTTTTAAACATCGCTCGCTCACGGGCTCGATTTCAACGTTCGCCGCAGGGCGTGTAGCAGCAGCGGTAGATGACACGGGATCTTTTCATTCTGTTCAATCTCCCGAATCTCCTCTATCGCGAGAAGCTGAATCGAAGGATTCAGGCCCGCGCGCAGGATCGCGCGCGTCGACTGACGGACGACTGACTAACCGTGGACGACAAATCGCTGAGGTCCCAGGCGCTCTTGGCCTGCTGCTTCTGGTGGTTCTTCTTCTTCTTGCCGGGCCTTCGCAGGCTGGAAAACCATCCGGCCGCGACGGCGACGGCCTTCATGTCTCGACGTCCTTCCACCTGGATGTCGGCCGCACCACCTGCACCCCGCACATCGTCCAGAGCGTCTACCGACCGGCCGGTGAAGATCATTCTCGTCTTTAACGAACACGAGCGCGCGGCCACTTTTTCTCCCTTCTTCGGCTCCAGCCCTCACAACCGCCGTCACACCTCTCTCTCTCTCACTTCCTCGCACTGGCCGCGCTGAGGCAACACGAGCAACACACACCTCGCGGCGCTCCACGTTCGCTGGAATCGCCCTCGCGACCGGGCGACATCGTCCGCGCCGACAAAATAACCGGAACGACGGTGCAAAGGTCGAGCGCGCACCGCGACGACAACAAACGCCGGTCACAGGAAGTGCAACGACCCTTGGCGAGCACCTTCGCCGCACCACGTCTCTCACGTTTCGCCTCTTGTAAGAAGACGCTTCTTTCCTGCCTGTCTGCTCTTCTTCTTCTCCGGGAGAATAAAGAACCCCTCTTCCCGTGTAAGGTAACACGTGGTGGATTCTCGCAAGACCGCGAGTCCGCGGGAAGAAAGAGACTCGAGTAGGCGAGAGCTCGCGCGGAGATCAGCACTTAGTGAATTCTTCAGTCAGGCGCTCTACGCCGTCGGTCGAAGGCAGGTAGAAGAATGCGGCAGCAGGGGCAGGCGATGCTGGTAGCATTCCCGCGGCGATTAGAGCCAACAGAGAGCCGGAGGGAACCACAAACAACACGAGAGCGCACCACCATCCACGGCGACGCGGCGCGCGCGTTTAAACCTAAAGTCGTTACGCGATCGCGAGCAACTGCGGGACTCCGCTCGTTCGCTTCGGTGGCGGCCAACGGCGGCGCGCGCCACTGGCGCCCCGCGCGGCCGCGATTTGTACTACTCGCGCGCATGAATATTCGGCGATCCCCCTGTGAAAACGCACGCATGTACACGCTTTTCCGAGCAGCGCGCCGACGACGAAGGGCCGATACCATCCCGGCGAGGATTATTGGCGACGTCGTCTGAACACGCAAATCTGCTCAAACGACGCCGCCAGGCCGCCGGTTGTAACGGTCGATTCTCGTCGAGTTCTTCTCGGCCCGCGAAAGGACGAGTCCCGCGCGCGTTCTCTCTCTCTCTCTCTCTCCCTCTCTCACGAGCCGACCGTGGCGTTTCCTTCTTTTTTTATCGGCGGGCTTTTTGTTTTTCGTTCAGGTTGACGCGACTCAAAGATCGTCGCTCGCACCTGCCCGCTGCACGTGCAAGGTGACCAGCGAGGATCGCGACTGCGTTCATGGCCAGCTGCGTGTAAGTCTAGTCCGGTGCGCGGACGACGAGTTTCGTCGCGTGATCGAAGCTCGCAAGAGCGAACCTTCGCCTCGAAAAATCCGCACGATCCGTGATCGATTGACACGCGCGCGTCCCGTGTGTCCTTGTTTTTATCGCTCCCTTACCGCGGAGCGAAACATTCCGCCCTGCGATCGATTCGACCCGCAGGCGTCTCTCTCTTTCGCCTGCCCCCTCGGCCGAGTCTCGTGCCGCCGCGCCGGTCCCTTTGTGTCCATTTCGCTGATTAATCGTATCAGACGATCGATCAATCAGACGGACACACTCTTTCTCCGCGGCTACGCGCGAGGTTATTGTAGCGAGTCGCGCTACTCTCTCTAAATCTCTTGCAGTGAAATCTCTGTGGAAACGAGTGAAAATGCGCTGAACACGTCGGTGAGGATACCGCACAGCGCTCGGTATCGCGAGAGCGAAACGTTTCACGCGGGCTTAGAGAGAGAAAGAGAGAGAGAGAGAGAAAGAGAGAGAGAGCGAGAGCGAGAGCGGATGCTGACTCTCTACGGGTGAATATTTCAATGAACCGGAGTGAATTCGCTCCTGCGCGACACGCCGGGGACACGTCGGATTCACTCTTCAATTTCGAGCGAAAATATTCACTCGACCATTCAAACGGCGAGGAGAGGATCCGCCGCGCCGCATGAATGAAGCCACTTGAGAATCTCCGGCTGACTCGGCCGGGCGCCTTTTGCTTTTCGTGTGAAATTTCACTCAGGGTTATTTATATATTACGAGATACAGCCGTGTGCAAACAGTACACGACGCATCGATCGTATCAGCGAGGACTATCAGGAAGCCCACCGGCGATACGGAGAGCACGCAACAACGCTACGCTATTCGATACGCGTTTGCTGATACGACACGAATTTTATCAGTTAACGATAAGTAAGTTACAACACGTGGGGGCGATCAACGTCGCTGATAATAGTCGATAATAGTCGCAGTGGTCGTTTGACGATTAACGCGCATAATGAGCGCCGCGCGCGGATGACGTTGCTCATTGATGTTGTACTACGAAGTGGATGCGTCAGCTATTGGTCAACTGCGACGACGACTACTTCCTCCTTCGACGGGAAGCCGTTCATGCCGAAGACGATTTATCGCGTATGTACGTCGCGTTGTTGCAACACCCGCGCCGCCGCCTCCTCGCTTATAGTCGTCCACCTAATCGTCCATCTCTCTCTATATCGACCATCTAATGTACAAGTCGATCGAACGAATTCCGAGTAAACATCACGTTTTACGTAACGTCTCTCTCGCCTCTTTACCCTTCCTTTTTAATCGCCGGCAAGGTTTCGCCTACATATTACGAGGCTCGTATTTTTAGCAACTCTGTTTACGCCTCAGGTTGGTTCGAGCTTTTTTGCTGAATGTTAATATACCGCCGTATGCGCGCGCGCGCGCGTGTGTGTGTGTGTGTATGTGTGTAGATATTACAGAAAATAATTTACGATAAACTAAATGCTAAAACAGCGACGATCATTCGATCGGCGCTTTTCCTCTCTGGGGAGTCCTTTATAGAGACAAGAATAGAAATTTGGAGACCAGTTTTCTTTCTGTACGATCGCGGCTCACGTCGCGGACTTTTGACGGACGCAAAAGCGATCGATCAAGGCCGGGGAGAAGTCGAGAGAGGGAGAGGACGCTAATCGTCCTGAGGATCCGCTGGCATGCTTCTCATCGTGATTTTCACGCTTATTATTATCAGCAGCAGCGGTAATGCGCGGCTTTCTACGCGATTCACGGCCGCTCACGGTCGCGAGCGCGACGTGAGAAGAGTTGAACGAAAGTTGGGACAACAAGGCGAGCGAGTGAAATCCTAGAAACACACAAGCAGCCGGCGTGATTAAACGGAAGATCAAGAGCCGCCGAGGCCGCGTTGAGTTGACAACGATGAACTTGTCGTGCGTAGGTAGGTAGGTAGGTAGGTACGTTGCCTCTCGAAACGGTCTGGACACTTTCTTCGCCGCGTAGCCGACGAAAGGCTCGATGAAAGAGTTCAACTTCTGGGGGGTTAATAAAGAGGCAAGTTCCGCCGCGAGTTCAAGCCACCGGTTACTTCGATTCCGGGAATTCTTCAGAAACAAGTTCTCTCGACGGACACTAGCCTAGGGTTGCCAAACCAAAAGTTAAAATTACACCGGACATTTCTTCTTTGCTGACAAACCCAAACCGGACTAAACCGGACAGAAGTAATAATCATAACGTTACATTAAATACAAAATATGACAAGAATTTATTTACAATACTTCAATTTCCAAACAATTTTATAAACAAGATTTGATTGAATAAAATAATAAACTATTATTTTTTCAATATATATGGAATGATGGATCGGTGGATCATCTACTAGATGGTTTTTCGTGGCGCTCGATCGTTTGTAGGCGCTTGAAACGGAGAAACGTTGATCTGAACTCTCATTCCATTGATTGGATATAACTTAAAAACCGAACATATAACGTCCGATTTGACTCATTAACCGGACACTGGACAAGACTTCCGAAAACCTGACAGTCCGGGTCAAAACCGGACAGTTGGCAACTTTACACTAGCCACGTGTCCATCAGAAACGAGAAAAAGAAAAGCGGCTGAAGTCGCCTCGGAAGTCAGCCATGACGCTTTTTCCAATTTTTCTCGTTTTCTGAGGTTACGACTGTGGCAACCGCTGCCCACGACCTTGCGTGCGCAGGGAAGAAGCCGAAGAGACGGTACTCTCAGTACTGTAAATATTGACCCTTCTCATGGCATTCTTATCTCTGACGGATAAGTCCGCAGCGAAGGTACTTACGCTTTTCCCGAGTCTTCCGACGACAGACCGGACCGTTTCTTCATGTACTTCGCCACTTCGGCTTCTGTCGCAGCGCTTTGGCGCAATTACAGCGTGAACAGCGATCGCTCTCTTCACCTTCTTCGGGGAAAAACGTGAGCAGGTCGTTGCGCAAACGGAAAGTCGTGAGCGATTTCGCAGATTCCGTGGAACGCCGCGGTAATCGACGTTTCGACGATCGGCCGGTGACGCGGTTAATTAATTGCATCTAATTAGACGCGCGGCGCAAATGGAGGAGCGATGAAACGAGAAGCACGCATGACGCGACGAGAATCGCGTCTGCCCGCCGCGTGTCCTTCATCGTCCCCGGTCTCCGGTTTCGAGCTTCTTGCTCCTGCGGCGGTCGACACGCGCCGGTACGCATCAACCGACCTTCCTTCGGCGTCGTGCGAATTTATTTACCCGACGATTCGCACTGCTATCGATGATACACGAGTTACCTTCCCACGGCGTTTCTTTCGTACGCCCGTGTACGTCAGGCAAGCCAGCAGACGCGACCAGCGTGTCCCGGATGACTTGCTGTCGTTCGACTTGGCTGCTAAGCGCGTTGACTCCCGCCGCGTCCTGGACATTGCAAGCCGGCGAGTTCAAAGTCAGATCGACGAGCCCGATGCCTCGCGACTCGCACACTGGACTCCTCTCATCTTCTCGTCCTCTCGTGTTTACGGCCAAGTGTGTACGCGACGGGCACGTTGGCCGCACTATCGTGCGTCTGTTACCCATCTCGTCTGGATTGATCCTGGACGTAACGCAGCAAGGATACGCGAAGAGCGCGTTATTCGAACAGACAGGTCCGAGTGTCCCGGAGAAAGGTCCTCGACGAGGTCATTCGGCGACCTTTCTCCCTCTCCCTCTCCCTCTAGTAACATTCGCCCAGTCAAAAGTATCTTCCGCGAGGTGAGCGCGACAAATAAGGACCATTGCGCGCAAAATGACACGCATATGCACAGCGTAAGATCGTCTCGGCCAATCTGTGCCTGGGGGAAATATTATAATCACTAAATAATATACTAAAATATAATTACAAATATTAATTACACTCTGCAAATCAATGTAACAACGTTTTTCTGGACGCTCATCGATCGAGGCGATTTTATTCTTCTTGCATACGCGGTCCGAGTCGTCTCATTTGTGCACGATGGTCCCAAGCGACAGGACGATTTTCGGAGAGTCCTTTGGCGACCTTTCCCGCGGTCGAGATATTTCTCTCGCGCGGCTGCTCGTGCATTCATCTCGCGTTAAACGGACATGCGAGCCTCGCGCGATGAGTAAGCGGCGGGTTATTATCGGGCACTACGGAAACGGCCTTATCGCTGAGAACATCCTGGAATTTTTCTGGCCGCCTGCACGCCTGCACTCTTACACGTCCGACGCGTTGCGTGTCCTCGCAGTGGGCGCCGCTCGCTCGCTCGCTCGCGAGCACGTATCTCCTGCGCGGTAAGGACGCTGCGCCGTCCTTATCCTTGTATTATCCGTCCTTGCGCGATAGATATTTTCTTCTTTTCGGGAGAGATACGTAGTCCGACGTTGTTTTTACAGCCGCCGATAACCGAAGTACGTCATGCCCCGTCGACGTGGAGGAATAACGGCGCGCGCGACCTAACGCGATTCGTCGCTCCTTCAAGCGCCAGGGATGTCCCAAACGCGACGAGATAACGAAGGAGCTTCGGGAGCTTCCTCGCGGCAGTCGCGTTGACGGACGTGCGTAATATCGCTCTTCTCGTCCTCAGTCCCGGTCATTGCGGACGCCGGTGAACCATTCTCTCGATCGCGCAGGAAGAAGCGGAAGAGTACGTGACGCGTGCAGGAGAACGCGTTTGTTTGACGGGCGAAATTAGGCCACCGACGTCTCGGACGATGAGCGTCCGAGCTATAACGCCCGTTATGGGCGAGATGACATCCGCGTGTATCTCGCCCGTCGAAGAAGCCCCCATCATCGAGCTCGAGACGCGCGCTCGCTCGGCGAAACTCGCCGTGTGAAAAATCAGACAGTACGCTCGGACGTCGCCCGCGATGGGAAAGTGCACCGGTAAAACGGCTTCGCTTCCGTCCGACGCTACATCGATGCGCGACGTCGAAGGCGACGATGTCACGCCGTACACGTTAGTCATTTCGCGTAGAAATTCCAGATGAGTGACGTCACGAGTCGTCGCTAGTTCCCGATGAAACTTTCCCCGCCGCGCGCGCGCGCGCGCGGGGCTCGTCGTTTCCTATTAAATGCGGATCACCGAGCGCGACGAAAGAGAGCGCTCGCGGTATCTCCCCCCCCCTCTCTCTCTCTCTCTCTCTCTCGTCTTGCTCGGTATTACGCAAATGACGGCGATCGACAACATCGCCGCCGATCCGACTGGCTCGTGGAACGGCGCGGCGCGGCGAGCGGGCGAGATGAGAAAACCTCTTACGAGATAAGCGTATACTCACTTGTATCTCGAGCAGCAACTCGGTTTTCTTCCGCCTTATGTCTATCAGGATCTTTTGTTGCTCGGGAGTCAGTTCTGCAAGCGTGCAAACAATCGTTCGATTAGAAAAACACAGTCGACTCGCAGCGGAATGCACATTGTGCCTCGCTCGCTTGTCTAGTGAGCATCGAGAGAGAGAGAGAGAGAGAGAGAGAGAGAGAGAGAGAGAGAGAGAAAGGGAGAGAGAGAGAGAGAGAAAGAGAGAGAGAGAGAACGTCTCTCTTCTCTTTCGAATAATTGCTCGAGCAACGGACGATTAAGCACGCGTCGTCGGGATAACGCGTCCCCGTTGTTAAGCCGAACGAAGGCCTCGTTAGCAGCAATTTACCGAAAGGTCTAAAAATAGAGCTTTCGAATTAAGGCTACGTGTGAGCCGCGGGGACGACGTTCGCCGCGCGTTAATCCGCGATTGTCGCGATCTCGCGGCCCTTCGATCAGCCCTGATTTCCGTCCGATTACGGCCGGATACGGCTCCAATAAAAAAAAGTATTCTTCGTGTGTCGAATGAAGATCGGAGCTTTTCATGTATTCAAACGCGTCGCGCGTCGCGATATATCGTATGGCTTCTGAAATCGTAGTTCACGTAGGCTGTGTTGGGTTAGGTTACGTTCGGGTTAAGGTTGAGTTACGTAAACGCGAGTACGCGCGTACACTTCTTTTTCTCCTCTCCTCTCGGGGTGGGTGGATCGGACTCGCTCGCCTCGAGCGAGGGATTTAGGTTAGGCTCGGCCGCAACACGCCGCAACAACGGAACGAAACAATTAAGACCGTCGAGACGCGTGACGGGCTATAACGGGCTCGATATCCGCGCGTCGTGCGCGGCCACGCTTCATTGATGATCGATGAGCCTTTTTCATGCAAGATCCGTCGCGTGTTATCTGCGTGTTCGGCTTACTCCCCGGGAATCCCGAGTATTCGCGCGATGACTAATGCTCATCGTACTTTCTGCGAATCCCGTTGGAACCGCTAGGTGGGAAGAACTCCGAAGGTCCAGCCCGGGAATACGACGTCGCGCGATCGACCGAGCACGGCGACGAAGTAACCGCGACGCGGCATCGATATCCTCCGGAGTTCCGCCTCGGCGGATCCAGGACGTTCCCCGTTTTGTTTACTACGCGTACGCCGTCGTCGTACGTGCGTACACGCGACACGTCCCCGCGCGTCCTACACAGATGCACCACACGGGCGCGTTGGGAGCATGCGCTTTACCGGGAAGGAAGACTCCTCGAAGCTTCGTCCGAGAAGTGGCGTTACGCTGGCTGTGAACGGCGCTGATACCGCGGTATCTCTCACCTGTCGTGCCGAATTCGACCTGATGAGCACCGGGATTCACTCCTACGCCGCCCAGACCGCCGAGATCCTGCCACATCTCCGAGTAATAGCACTTTCCGGGCTCACGCGCGCACAGAATCACCCACCTTCACTCGAGCGGCTCCATTTTCACTGAGACGAGATTCCCCGAGGCGCCAGCGCCATCTCACCTGCGGCTGCGCCAAACGGTCGGCCCGCTGCACACACATCGTCGTCCTCGCGTTAACAACGTCCGCCGATACCGCCGGACGATTTGGCGCTTTTTCAGGCCGATGCTCTCGATTTCTGGACGGCGCCGCAACACGTCCGAGAGGCGACCTGAGGTTGCGAGGATGATTTTATAAGACTAGCTTGCGACGCGACGTGAGAGCGATTGCGTCTTGACCTGCGACGTTTCGCGAGTATTTCGAAGCGAACATATTATTGACGTCTTATCTCGCTTCCGAGACAAGCTGCGTCGTACCTTTCGACGAGCGACGTTGCTGTTTGTTATTCGCGCGCGAATCCGTGCGACGAGTAGCGGTGCATACGAAAAAGAAAAATAAACGTCGCGCGGAAAAAATGACGCGATATTACGGAGGAATGAATAACACGATATTTGTACCTTGTCCAAATTTCCTTAAAATCTGCTCTGTTGGATGCTTGGACTTTTGACAGCGCTATGATTCAAACGGCAGGGGAAGCGGACTATTAATCTTCGATAAGAAGCGAGCGTTAACCTAGCTAGGTATTTTTGATCTTTTTTCTAAAGAGCAGATATCTGTCCGTTTACAACTTGAAGATAACGAACCTCTTACGCGTCCGGTCGCATTATGTGGGAATAAAAAGGACATCTGAGCCAATGTTTAACCACGTCCTCGACCTGCCGGTAGCAACAATGGCGCGGCTCTTTGAAATTGTGCTTTGAAATAACAAGCAATCGGCTATATATACTCCGAAACGCGTGACGAGTCACCTAGCGTCATCTAACGGTGCCGTGGAGTTTCGTCCCGACTTGGTTTGAATCTCGGCTGAACAAGGTTCGAATCTCAACTAAAGGACAACTTATGGCCTGCGTTAAAGTTAGACCCGTTATTTTTTTTTAGTTTCGAAGTCTCCGCTACGAGCCGCCACTGTCTTTGAATCGTCACTGTCAGAGAATCGAGATCGTATAATACGATTCAACCGCAATCAGACGAATTTTTATATTTTCATTATGTAGCAACATTATCCGACAATTGATCGAAGAGAAATTAATCCTTTTATTTTTCAGTAGCGAGACCGAACAATGTAAATTTGAACGTAAATTTTTCTTCAGTTACGTTATTTCTTCGTTAATTTCTCAAATTAAAGTCTTCTCTGTGAAATAATGTAATAATAATTAATAACAATGTTGCGTCAAGTGCATATGTGGCTTGCGTACCAGCGTTTCTCAACCGTATTCCGTTCCTTAATTATTCTTTAATTGCACGATAGATAAAAAATACGTTTGATGGATGGAAAATTCATTGGCGACTGCGCGTAGACTTTCAACACAACAATCTCGCCGCGTCAGTTTTTTATCAGCGAACAATATACTTCTACTCGCTTGGAAAACGCTCTTTTTAATGGTCAATAACGGCTATAAACAAATTGCTCTGACATTATCAGCTCGGCGAAGAAATCGCGAGAGCGAGATGCCAGGAGAGGAGAGGTCAGCTTCTTTGCGCGGACTCAAGGCGTAACGATGCGAATTTCGCGTTTGATATCTCGAGGAATGCTTCAATGTGCGTGCCGATACAATGTTCGAGAGAGCAGGGCGCTATCTTTTTTGCGACCGTCTCAACATCCGTGTTCATCCACGCGAATGATCCCGGACCGGCATTATCTTTCCTTCTCCCTCTCTCTCTCTCTCTCTCTCTCTCTCTCTCTCTCTCTCTCTCTCTCTCTCTCTCTCTCTTTCTCTCTCTCCCTGTCGCTCTTTCTGTCGCACGGCTACTTGTTACCAATGATAAGTCGCTTCTCTTGCTGCGACAAGCAATGACGACGGCAGATGCAAGAGCAGTATATCTTTCTCTCTTTCTTTCTAGCGTCCGCTTGGCCTTTTTTGCAACGGGTCGTAAGGTCAAACTCGGAATATAATCGTTGGGCGGACCGCAGTACGAACGCGGATGTCGCGGCTCACGCTGCGTGCAAGCCAGCTTACATCACCGGTCAGCAGCGGGCTGCCGAAAATTGCAAGAAGGGTGCGACTCACTTCCGGCCTGAGGTTCCTCTTCGTTCGACAAAATTCCGTTTTCTTGTCTCGTCGGCGGAGAGTTACCGTGTCGCGAAGCAGGTCATGATCGGCTTCGGTATCTCCTCAATGGTGAATCTCGGCTTCAGTCTCGCGCTGACGATACTTTTGGTCCCGCTCCTCATTATCGCGTACTTAGGTAATTAACTCTGATAAAAACACCTTGGTTAAACCCTCGGCTCCGCAAACGATGACGGACGACTACCTGATGAGTAATGGATCTTTTGCACGTTATTTTTTATAATTATCAATTTATTCAAACGTAACAAGTTCTCACCCTCGACGTTTCGACACTGTACTTCTGATTCTTGTTAATCCGTAATTCGCAACGAACGGTCACAAGATTTCAGCGTCAAATAATAAGCGAAGACGAGCTTTCGCGCATCGGTGGAGCTCAGAAGTGAAAATTTGTTATACAATTGTCCCACGTCGAAAGAGTATCAACTTAATTATTTCCAACGTGCCTGTATAATTCGCGTGAATTCGCGTACGGAAAAGAAAGGAAATATAAAAATTCCGAGCTCGGCTCGGCTCGGATTCTTCGCAGTGGCGCGTCCCTTCTGCTATGTATGTTCTGCTATGTATTTGAGTAGTGAAGTGGACGCGGAAATGTCGGGTACGCTTCGTGAGGTGGAAGTATCCGAGCTACGTGGTGGTGGAGCACAATAGCATCCGCAGCATCCTGGATCAAGGACGAAACCACGTAGGTATATCGGCGACCGGCTGGGTCCGACGGCCGCGAGCGATTTTCAACGATCGTCACGATCACGATGATGGATGACGCAGGGCATCTTCACGCTCCTCGTGCAAGGACGCTCAATCGCGGATGGAGCGAGGAATCACCTGGCGCATCTCGCTTCCAGCAGGAGACTCCTCAGGTCGAACCTGTTCACGCGATGGGGCGTATACGTGTGGAAAGAGCTCGACTACTTCTCCGTCGACAGCCACCTCGTGAAGTCCCCGGGCTTGTTCCGCGGTCGGCCCATCACCGAGAGCAACATACAGGTCAGCCAAACCTGAGATTCTCCTGCGGTAACGGCTCCGGACTGCGTAACTTTCCAAAGGACTTCTCTCTTACACGGAGAGAATACTATCGCGATTTTCCTATAAAGTCCTTTATAGGATTTCATCGGACCTTTAGTAGCTTAGCAGTTACAGGCTGTCTCTGTAAGGCTAATTTTACTAAGAAACAGTGAATTTCTCAACAATAAACTTTAGGTTGTCAAATAATATACAATGAAATGAAAGAATAAAAACGAAGACAGGATCGACAGGTTTCTCTCGGGTACAAAAATCTACAGTAATTTTTGCTATGAAATTCTGCCCGGTTGAGACATTCGACGTCGTCTCAGACGTCGTCGAACGTCTTAGAAGTTTGTGTTGTCTGGCTGGGTGACACGCGACTGCGTCCCTTGTCATAGGATTACGTAAGTGACGTCACGTCCAAGTTCCTGCCGGCGAGGCTGCCGCCATGGCAGGTGCATGTAGTGAATTGCCTCATGAACGGAGAGGAGTGTCAGGTGTGCCTGGTGCGAGTGCATCACTTGCTACTGCGACAGGAGCATCTGACCTTGGCGGACTTCTTGCCGTTGAAGTACTCGACAGACGACTGGACATGCCTAGAAAGCGACTCACCCTTCACGAATTTGTACACCGCGCCTTCCGCTTTGCCGCGTCTTAGGCAGATGCTGATTGAGAGCTTCAGCAACTATTGGAACGATTTCCTCTACAATAATGACCCCATCGAGCGGCCGGAGATCCTGAAGAAGCGGATTGGGCTGTTCCAGTGCGGCAAGATCGCGATGATAGTACTGGTCTGCACCTTGAAGGAGCTGGCCAGGTATTCGGTTTGTTCCCCCGCCATTCGAGTGTAACGACTTCATTTCATTAATCCTGCCTTTTCTCTCTTCCCTTTGCTTAACAATTCGTCTTCTATCAGAGAAAATATTTTACATCTTCTTTTCTACAAGGCATTCTATAATTAGAAACGCCAAATAATCCATCCGCGGTAAGAGATCAAACATAAGAGAAATCATTTTGAGCGACATTAAGCCTCTTATCTGACACTCGAAAATAACATAGAGGAGTTGGCTTACGCTCAAGACCAAACATAAACAATCGACGTCGCGCTATCGCTCGAGACTTCGAACTGTAATTCGTTTCGCAACTTTCCCTAGACAATGCCGAAAGACCGAAGGCTTGAGGTTCCCGGAGCTCCTGGCGATCGTGCGACGCGAGTCGAGTAAACGAAACTTCTCCCCTAGGATGGTACTCGACTCCGTCCTCAAGACCTTCAACCCCGTCGACGTGTTTTGCTCGTTCGTCACGTGGTCCTGGTACATCATGATCACGTCGTTACTGAAGACGCCCGTTCTGCTCCTACGAGAGCTGCAAGCTCTGAATTCGCAGCGCAAGCATTGCCACCCGGAGACCCTGACGTACACGCTATGGTGTTACCTCCCGCTGATGTTCCAAGCGATGCGGGAGGCAGTGTCCATCAGTTGGATAGCCGTAACGACGCCCAAAGTCATCCTCGAGGAGTTGTTCTTCAAGCATCCGCAGTCGAATCGGCTGCAGACCATCTCCCCGTGCGGCAGAAAGGTAGTGGCCTGGTCGGAGAGAGTTGACGTCGAGCTCGTCCGCAAGATCGCCAATGTAACTGGCGCGACCGAGGCGGAGATCCTCTTGACGGCCACCGTGGACGCCCTGAAGGAGTACTTCAGGCACTCGACGATCAACATACCGAACAATGTGTTCGCGACCGTGAAATTTGTGAGCCAACGGGCGATCTTCCTGCGGAATCACGAGGCCCGGGGTATCCTGTGCCTGGCATTACCCATCAGGACGCCGTTCTTCAACGACGATCTCATCGAGATACTGCAGGTAGGAATAATCACCGAGAGGCTGCGAGAGCGATTTTCTCAACGCGCTTGTTTCCCCAAGGTTATTCAGAAGAACGTCCATGACGCCAGGTCCAGGCAGAGTGCGATCTACGCCATCACGGCGGCGGAAACGTCCCGCGGAGTGATTTCGTCCTGTTTGCCTTCTGTCCTCTTGAAGCTGCTGCTCAACCAACTCACCAAAAGATATTCTTTCTGCCTGACGCACGTGGACGGAGATTTACCCGTCGAAGGGGTAGACACCGCGGTTTATTGGCGGCCACCGCAAGGGAACTGCAGTAAATTTCGATTACTTGATATCTATGAGGCAGTTGCGAACTCGCAAACTCGCGATCAATGTTGATGCTCTTAAGAGTGCAAAACTCGGCTTTTACTTTATCACTTTGCCTTTTTTCATTGGACATCTGCTGTATTTCGAGTTACATAGTGTTCAAAATGTGTTGCTTGAAGCCCGGTTTATGTACAGACATATGTCTTTACTCGTAGATATGTCTATGACCTTGCACAAGCACGGGAACGCAGTGCGCCTCGGCATAATGGGAGACGCGCTGATCGGCCCTCAGCACTTCATCATCGCGCGAACGTTCCCGAAGAGCGTGCAAAACCTCGCTACCATCTTGGGCGTTCCGCGGACGCTCAGCCGAAGTTCAAGTCCTAGTCCGCTGAGTCCGACGACATCTCCAGGATATTGATACGACTCGTCACGCACTCGACTCGAAAGGGAAGCTCACGGGTCGTCGATAGGACTTTGGAATTTTCCGCGTCGAGTTTTCCCACAACGAGCTTCTTTCTGTCGAGTAGTAGCCGATTAGTAATCGATTAATCGCGTGTTGTTACTTGATATTTAAAGCCAATGTATTTGTCGAAAAGATAATACATGCGTGCGTGTGTGTGTATATGTGTGTGTGTGTGTGTGTGCGCGCGTGTACGAAAGAGTACGTGGTTCTAGACTCGACGGCACAGCGTCAGAATTTTTAAGTAACAATTTTGTATTCAAGGACATGCACTGGCGCGTCAACTTTTTCTCTTACTCATCCTCTTACACGTGGCTAAACGATATTGGAATTTTAAATGAGACGTTGACGTCGCAAAATGACGGGATGTGCTATACATCTTTATGTTGTCATAGAAAGTGTTCGATGTCACACAATGTTGTGTGACGCAATCCCCGGAGATATATCTCCGGAGAATCGCGTTTTTTGCACCTCGACTTTTGGATTCAATCTGATTGCAAAGTTTCGTCGCAGACGTTTGCGGTTCCCATGAGGGACATTAAAATCCCCGTTATCATTTAATCGACTACTTATCTAATCTTTGGATTAACAATGGATTAACAATGTCAACAGTTTTTTACATTTCGACGAAAAATGATGAAAAACATATTTATGCGACGGACAACGTGCAAAAGTAACACGACGCCTGACGCTTAGTTACGTAGAAGACGAATGTCACAAATCGTCAACAAATCGTCGATGTCGCCCCTGTTAAATTAAAAGATGCCTTTCCTTTTAGCGATTTACATTATTTCTTGTAGAAGTAAATTTTTCCATACATTCCTTTTCATACATTCCATACATTTTCCTTTTTCATTATAAAATATATTTCTTCTTGCTTTCTCTCTCTCTCTCTCTCTCTCTCTCTCTCTCTCTCTCTCTCTGTCTTTCTGGATTCTGCTTTATAATCCTGCATCATTAGTGCAAACTCTTTACTTGTGTGTTTTTAGAATAATTATTACTGGTTGTCTAAGTCACGAGTTTGGAGTTGTATTATAAAATTTACATGTATAGTTTAGACTATAAAAGAGTTCGTAAAGTAAAGTTTGTGCGTATTCAATAGTGTATATATATTAAATGCATCGTCATGTAAGTAATGGATCTATTCGACATGAACGATGATTAATTTAAGTACAAAGAAAATATCACTGCATGCATGCAGAAAGATACTTGGATACTATATGGAGAAATTTTCAAGGTCTCATTATATGATAAGTAATCTACATTTTCTATGAAGCACTGCTCGTCCGGTGTGACCGTGGTGAGATTCGTAGGTTGAATAAAAATTTGCCTGAGTAAACAATCGTATCTCATGCTAGATTTTCAAGTAATAATACTCGCGCTTTTAAGCACATTGAGTATACTACGTCTTAGGCCAAGCTATCACTGCCATTCGTTCGCTCCATCTCGATCGGTCCGTTGCCGAAAATCTTTCGGTTCTTCGTGTACGGTATAATGCCAATCAAAATTCCGGAGAGAATGATCCAACCGCCAGCCATGAAAAAAGACAGATTCCAAGACTCGGTCAAGTCGAAGAGCCATCCAGCCAACGGAGGTCCGAGAAGGTTGCCGATTCCTTGACACAACAAGGTAAGGCCGTAAGCGGTGGTGAACCGCTCCAAGGGAATCAGCTGCACTAGTATAACAGGCGTAAAGCTGAAGTTGCTGGCGAAGAAGAGGCCAAAAGCTGCCGTGCTGGCGACTAGAAACGTGTAGTGATAAGTGAAAAAGGACATCAATATAGTAGCCGCACCGCAAGCTATCAGGCACCATGTATACGTCTTGCTAACGTTCATCCACGATTGATCACCGGCCCAACCCAATCCAATCTGAGAACAATAACGTTACGTGTGAAAAGATTCATAGTTCGAAGGTGAAACGTCATCTGACATTACCATTCCAATTGTATTGGTTATGCCAATGATGCTGAGAAGATTAGCGGCATCGGACTCGGAGTAGCCGTTTCTAGTGAGATGTTCCGCTAGGTAGAAATATGGTACGATAAACCAGGTGAACAGCAATATCGTCGACAACGACAGCAGCAAAAAGTGCAGCTCGAGGAACATGGAGAAGTCCATCATGCCTTTCAGCAAGTCCACTAGCTCGTCGTACCATTTCTATCGAGAAACAAGGCGTACGTTATTTCAAGCCTTTTTTTCCAATGCTTCACAAATAATACCTGTTCGTTTTCCTTAGCCAGGGTAATCATACTGTTGGTGTAGATGTCCGGGCAACTGCTCGCCTTCAGCCTGTATTTTCGTAAATTCAGGACGGCACCGCGATACATGACGGAATTTCTGTGCACTCTGATGTCTTTAAAATAGTGAGTGTTGGTGCTGAACTGTCGTCTGAGCCAAGGCAACGAGTCCGTCCTGACAACGCCGCCATCATTGACGATGTTACGTTTCAACGCGGATTTCGATTTTTCCACTGGACCGGCGGTCTGAAAAATTCTCGCATGATACATTGCGACGAGTATGCGGTCAGCACTCAGGAACCGCTCTTTGTTACCATCTGCGCGCTTTCTTTTGCTATTAAAGGATCATTCTCCTCTGAATCCTTCCTAGACTTGCCGGAGGGTCTCGTTGAGACCTGAGGAGGTGACGAACGGGAATCTTTACTTTGCTCGATGATCACTTTCGGTTCCGTCGCTCGTTTAAGCCTTCGCAAAGGGTAATAAAGATTACGTGACACAACTCAGAAGTTGTAATATTCCAAGTGTTTGACACACACACATACACAGAAAAGCGTTTGGTAAGAAAGTTTTGCGGAGAAGTTTCTGCAGCGAAGTATTTCAAGCTAAAATCTGCCACAGGTCTGCGCATGTAACTAACTAAATAATAAACCAACCTCATGGACATGGTAATGCCGCTTTTGGCGGGAATCTCTCCGGTCGAGTCGTGCAGCTGTTTATCGGACGAACTTCTACAAAGTAGAAGACTAGGATAATTCTCCAAGATAACAGTGTAGAGTCTAGAATTGGACAATAACAGCTCCAATGCTTCCAAAGGCACCTGCAATCTCGAAAGGGAACATTAATAAATTTATTTATTCGTAAACCTTGTTAAGAAATGCGAGACGATCGTCGCTCTACGACAAGTAGAGTCAAGGTCGAGCAACGAGGAAATAGGAAATAGGAAAATCGATTACTCACCTTCTCGCTTCGCTTGATGAAAGTCGGCAGATTAACAACGCTTCTAAAAGAGGCCTTCCCCTTCGTGCCATCGACGGTCGCCGCTGTGGTGGTCAAACTCTGTACGAAATATTCAGGCACATGTTCGCTTCTGAGCAGCCTTCGGAGCTCGTCAACACCCGGGAACTCATCCGGCGGGCTCACTTCCGACTTGGTGTCATCCGATCTGCAGTGGGACTTCTTCGGTGCGGCTTGCTCCTGCTTACGTTGCTCTAATATCCACCATTCCGGATCCCTCATCACGGCACCGGCAACGATCATGTTGAAAAACGTGCCAGCCAGAAGCAGACAGGTGCCTCGCCAGCCGTACTCCTCAATAAAGTACGTGGTCATCGGAGCGTAGACAAAGGTACCGATGCCGGTGCCGCAAGCGCCAAGACCCACAGCCAAAGTCCGCTTCTTGTCGAACCAATAAGCAATACTAACGACTGCGGTGACGTAGCACAGGCCGAGACCGAGGCCGGCGATCACCCCGAAAGTCAAATACATTATCACGATGCTGTTGCCGAAGCTACTCAATATAAAACCCAGGCCCGATATCAGGCCGCCGGCGATGGTCATCTTGCGGCATCCGTAGCGGTCCACAAGGGCGGACATGATCGGGCCGGATAAAAGAGGCACGGCCATGAAAAGCGAGCCGATCCAGGCGGTCTTGGCCTTGGAGGCACCGAACTCGTGGAGGAACTCAATGTAAAGTAGACCGAAGCTGAAGGAGATACCGTCGGCTATCATGGAGATAACCAACGACGCCAACACGACCATCCAGCCCCAACCGCCGTCTGGCACTTTCGGTTTCTTGCGTTCTTTCTCTTCTATCACAATGGAGCACTCGTTCTCCAGATTGTGGAAACTCTCGGAGTCGATGGAATCTCTGTCTTGTTTACTCGGACCCTTGTCGGTCTTTAAATCAGAGAGATCCTCGCGAGGAGACAAAGTGTTGTTCGGTGCGCTTCGTTCTGAATTCAGCTCGTTCAACATGATCACTTCGCTCAGCTCCTCCTCATGCGTCGGGTCGAGCCTGGCGAGCTCGACATAGGCACTGTTCTGGACGGAACTCGGGCATATTGTGGGACTTCCGTTTCGCCAGCCGACTAACGGCGCCTTCTGCGCCGGTTGGCAGTTATTCTCTCTCTGGCCCTTCGCCAGACGATTATAACAATTGTTGTTGCCGTTGCGCTTGCTGTCGACGTTGTTGTTCCCGTTTCTGCGGTGGTAGTCGCCACCGCGATCTACTTCCCTAATATCCCGCAAGGAAGAAATCTCATCCCCGCTGTCCATCGTTCCTCTAGATGTAAGTGATTGCTGAATGGATCCACCGACGCAGCCAGCCCTTCAGCCTTTGGATCCCGCTGGGGAGATATCCACCTTGTCCGCCGGTTACCATAAGGACCTTCGGGACGATCCTGAATGACTCACGGAACGTCGACCGCACGGGACTCAGCATGCACGCACCTTCGGCTCGCTTGTTCGGCTGCGAAACGATTTCAGGAACGTGTGATTACTTGTTGAAAATTGTCTCAGAGGTCGATTAGACGACTGCTGTGTAAATAAATAATCAAATTTGTCTGATCAAGGTGCAGGTGCTCATTCCGTTTATACGAGGAACGCCAATATTTTTTCAGATGGCGAAAAAGAAGCGGATCAGGAAATTTGAAGACCAAGTAATCTCAAGGACGAGGAAAGGGAACCGCCTCTGAGAAGATGCGTAAGTATAGAAGCGCGCGCGGGTAAGTGCTCGAATTTAGTGCCGGCGGAGGACTTCTCCCTTGAATTAGATTAGAATAGAGACAAACATCGTCACGTGCTGCGTGCCAATTCTCGCTGAGGATAATTGCCCGCTAAGGTGTTATCGTTGTGGGAAAGAAGTCGGTTACATTGTACTTGAAGTGTCGAGTCATTTTTGTTCCGTGCGACTTCTCTACAATCGATCATCGATCGAAAGAGCTGCAGGCAAAAAAGCGCAGAAATAGTGCGCGCGTGCACAAATCCCCGGAGAACGAGCGAAATGTTAGGAACCGTGTTCGTTGTTGAAAACCGTGCGAGAATCGCGCTAATTAGTAATATTTCCCTATAACACACCGAGACGCGCTTCAATCACACGTCTGTTGGCGTTAATTGGTCACGCGACGCGTTTCATCTTGAGGTTCCGCCGCAACCGCCCGGCACAATTATTAAACGCGCGAAAATTCACCGCGAACGGAACCGAGAACAATGAGACTGCCACGCGGGATTATGATATCTCGTGTTTCGCGTATTTCACGCGATGGACTTTCTCGCGAGGGTTGTGTGCGGTAACAAGGAGAATTACGCGCGCGTCATCTGCTCGTACGCACCCGACGTCTTTGTGAGCTTTCGGAGCTTACTTTTACTCCTCCTTTACTCACTTTCATCCCGCCGCTTCGGAATTTTATTCCGTCGCGATTTTCGCGTTTTATGACAACGGCCGAACAATTGGCGAACAGCACGCCGGTATAATTACTCACACGTGTGCGCATATGCGCGAGTACACCTACGGCGAGATCACGCATTATGGAGCGAGAAGGAGGAAGTTTATCGTGCAAAGAAGAAAAAGGAGAGAGAAAAAAAGACGGAATGCGCGAGCACTGGCGGACGTTCGGAAACTATCAAAAGTAGACGGTCTTATTATTAGAAGTCTCCCGTTGAACGGTGGGTTATTAATAGTCCGCTATATTGCATAACTGTCGACTTTCGACGTAAAGCTGAAAACTTCTGACCGAGTCGCTAATATTTTATGAGTATGCTCTTTCGAGACGTCGGATCAAAATACCTGTCGTGATAAGAACGCCGGCGACGGCGACGAGGACGACGTCACAGAAATCAACGTCGGTTATGAATATTATATAAATACACCGCGAGAGAGGAAGACAATCATCAATCGTGGCAGGCCGTTCCGAAATTTTTCCCGCGATTCCTTCTCGAACACTCTCGCGAAATGAGATCATCGCAGCAGACTGAGGAGCTGCGATGTGTTACACACGTGACGAAGGTCACAAGCTTCTGACGAGCTTGTCGTCTTTACAAGGTTACGCAATAATCCGCCAAAATTTGCAAAATCTCCGTACGAAAAGCGGGCGGCGGCAGGTCTGAAATGCGAGCCGCGCGCGCGGCGCGATCGTTAGTCTTTTCCTTATATGGGTTTTGTTAACTCGCTTATCGTGAACCCGTGGAGACAAGTTAATTCTAATCGTCATCGTGACTTTGCACACGCGAGCGTCCTCACTCGCGAGACGACGCGAGACAGAGAGGAAGAGAGCGAAAGAGGGAAAGGCGGGTAGGTGGCTAAGGGCCATATAAGAGTCGGCGGAAGGGTGTGATCACCATGGAGACCGACCGGTCGATTTCCGCGCGAATGTCCATCCGCGAAATAACATTGTGATATTAAATTTCCACGATGAAATTCGGCCGCCCCGCGCCGATCCGAAGTCACGACGAGAAGATGCGATCCGTGCTGCTGTTCCTACATGGAACGTCTCGTCTCGTTCATCGCTCGCTCGAATCTGCTCGAGAGTCTCGAGAATGTAAGTCTGAAATATCAGCCTCGCGGCGGTTTGAAACAATTCAGACCCTCGACACAGAGTTTTGGCAATTTGTGCAAATCATGCGCGTACGGCACGCCGGTTGAATGAAACAATTACGCCGAGCGCTGCGAATCGATACGACAGGACGTTGTTGGCGGTGCGTATCGATAGTGCGTTTGCGTTTGCGACATGCGAGCGTTATATTTCGTGTATAAACCTGCATATTTGAAACGTACGAATATTTGCTCGAAAAGGATAACATCTAATCGCCCGGAATCAAGTATCTGCTTGATCGTTCTTTAACCCTTTAACGCCTATTAACTAATTATAGTTAGCAGAAACGCATTTAAGAATCCATAACTTAGTCGAAAAAGGAGATATTTTCGGTTTCTTTGCACCACCGTAAAGGTGAATTCTTCTTCTAAAAAATGGTATATATCATAGATCGTATGTAGATTCGGTTTAGTCTGTTTTTAGCTCAGTTTTAATGGTAATATGTTTTGTCAAATTCCAAGCAGGCATAGTTAGCATTATTACTGACATCTAGAAGTGCGCTATAAATGAATAGATTGGTATTTGTTATAATTTTATACACCTGGAAGCTCTCTCAGATGTAAAATGTGAAATTAAAAGTATACAGAAATTCAAAATGGCGAATCCAATATGATGGACACGAAAATCGAGAAATCAACCTATTTTCGTGAAACCTGGTGACCTACAGTTTTTTATGCGCCGAAAAATGAAGGGACAATTGACTATCTAAATGGTGATCTATAAGATATTCTTTTGAAATAGTAAGCTTGATGCTCTGAATGATAAACTTCACTCACAAATATAGTAAAATTTCAGCTCACAAATGTCAAGCTGATTATCAGAGTTATGTCGTATAGATTATTCTTCATTTTCCTCTGTATAGGTTGCTCATTTCGTATATGCTTTTAGGATCCAAGTCATATTTACCAATAAACAAAAAATGAACGATAAAAAAACCAATATAAAATTCTGATATTTTTTTTTGGTTATCACTACTTATGGTCTCAGTTAAAAAAAACTCAAATTTCATTTTTAAAACACTTATAAAATAGTCGGGCGTTAAAGGGTTAATCGAGATGCGTCTGCTGACGGTTCTCAATGTTAAGCAGCATCTTTCATCTAGATAAAAGGAAAAGCCAGATAAAGAGAGAAAGGAAGGCAGTAACAATAAAATACATATTATGTTTTGAAGAGAATGGGTGTCGCGCGCGCGTAATGTAGGCTACGTCGAGGAAAAATGTTGAAAAATTTCCTGTGATGAAATGTCTATTTATGTAATAATGAAAGAACTAGAAGTATCGTTTGCGAGATCGACGTGTCGATAACATAATTGCACAGTGTTATGTGGTTTTTGCTTATTATTTTTTCTATTATCTTCTTTAACCTTATGTCACAAGCCAGTAAAAAAATAAAGAATAAGAAACAGATTGCAGAGAACACATTGTAGAGATCAGGCTTAGAGGAGTCGCAGTGGGAACACTCGAACATTTGAGCACTCGAGAATATTGGCGAAAATGCTCGCAGATAAAAGGAAAAAGCAATTCCAAGAGCGTCTCGTTATTAATAGAGAGAACGAACATAGAAAGCGAATATAAGTAGTATCTGAATGGAAAGTCGCTCGCGATAACAATTCGCGAGTCGAGGGTATCGTGAATAATGTTTCGGCTCTTTGATAATCCCGATACGATTAGCGATTGTTCGTCGAATTTGCCAAAGATTTGTGCCAAAGATAAATTTATCCCTTATCTTACCTGTTGAGCGAACCACAAAGTGGATGACGGCTCGTAAATTTTCAATGAATCATGAAACGTTATCGCGCCCGATTTGCATCACGTGCCGTTCGGCGAACGAAATTACTGCAAAAATTAGACATACGCGAGGAACGTAAGCAGACACAATTCTGCATTGTCGCTCGTAAATGTGCACGCGCATATATGTGTCCACTTGAAAATTCAGATCCATTAATCCCGCAATAAACGGGACGAATAAATAAACATTCACACACGACAGGTTATCGCGATTCATTCAACTTCCTTGAAATGCAGCGCTTCCGATAAACCGCGTCCGGAATAGCGATAAATTCCGGAACGCGCCTTTAAAGAACCAACGCATTTGGTTTGGTGGAAACAGCGCATTTGGAAATATGCACAATTCTTTTTTTACGGATTTAACACGCGTGGAACATCATCGCTTAAAATGAAAGGGCGTTTTCTCACGCCGCCCAAGGTTCTCCGGCGCTGCGCCCGAGCGAATGCGAAAAAAGCCTTCGCAGTGACGAGAGAAAATATTAATAATAACAATGACAAGGATAATTGCGACATTAATTATTAATAGTAGAGGCAGGGCGTCACAACATACACCGACGTGCGCCATTTGAGATCTAGGCTATCTTTTCTCAGACGAAAGCTTGAAATAAAAATTTACTCCAACATAAAAATATATATATACCAGAGACTATTTCGCGTCTCAATTGTTTCTAAGTGTCTCTCGGAATGTCTATTTCTTCCTAGCTCTTAAGTAAATCGCTTATTTCGAAAACGAACTCGAAGAATAACTGGACGTCGTGTTGAAATATTATCAAAAGAAAAAATTATTGAAGGAAAAAAATTATTCTTCCTAAATCAAGTTATCGTCAACTTTCGAATTTCAAGAATTTCATATAAATTGATGCGGTGCGAATGTGAGGGGAATGTATATACATTTTTTACAACTTTTCAATGACTCGACCGGATAAACGTACCACGTTCACGTTGACATTCGACAAAGCGCAATTCTCAGTTTTCGAAGAAGAGGAAATTGCATCGAGGAAATGTACGTTTCCTTTCGGCGCTTTTCCTCGACGAACTTGACCGTCAGCTCGCGATCCTGTCAGACAGCAAGTGCTACCGCACCTAACCGCAACCACGGTACCGCCGAAAAAAGGACCAAAAGACAGCAGCAGAAACGGAAGAAGATGAGAAAAATAAAGAAAGAAAAATTAGCGTGCGCGAGACGCGTCAGGGACAGTGCCTCACATTTACGTTCCACTTACCAGAGAGCAGCTCGCCTTGCGAATTATGGATACCAAAAATCTTGCGCGGTCCGTCGTTGGTCGCAGCAGTGCGTTGCCTCGCAGTTGTCCGCTCGCGAAGACGATTTCGTGCATTCGCTGTCCGCTTCTTTTCCGTCGCTTTCCCACGGGCGAGCTGATCACGAGCGCCACGACCGCCTCGCTTGAGAACACCCGGTACACTGAGAGAGCGAGGTTCAGAGGGGCCTCGAATCCACGTCATAGAAAAGGATCTCTCGCCGTACCTGACCTCCCACTCTGACGAAACGCGCGTGTCAGCTGCGCCGCGCCGCGCCGCGCCTCGTCTCTCGCTTCGCTTCGTCGCGTTGCGTCGCGTCTCGTTTGATCTGGTCTCTGCTCTGGACCCGTCGCGAACAGCGTTTTGAGATCACCTCGTCTCGTCTGGTCACGAGTCGAGCCTCGCCCGCGATCTCGTCTCTCGAAAGCCAGCACGAAAAAATCGCGGGGCAAATCGTACCTCGTATGCGCGCCAATGCGAACGTGGGCACGCCTCAGTAGCGTACACACTTTACATAAGCCCCGCGGGAGAAATGGAGAATGTTAGTTCGGAAGAGTACGGAGGGAAATTATACCGGGAGTGCGGGTGGTCGTTGCACCGGGAATTGAAGCAGGGACCTTTCGCTCGCCGGGTGACTTTTCTATCAATTAAGCGGCTCGCGTAGCGTAAGATGTCTGGACGGCAACCCGGATTAGTGCTCGGGATCAATTAGGGCGACTTGCGTTATTTAAGTACCTAGACGTCGGATATATTTCTCTCTTATTCGTAGTCTTAAGCGTTAAAGTGCGCTAACTTCTCCGGTTGAAGTACTAAGCATGATGGGAACAGAATTATACGAGCGCCCGTAAAATATGACCCTGTGAATTTTCGTCTACGATCGATGGCTCGTGACGGGATGTTTAATGTACTTGATATAAATTACGGCGAATAAATATTTCATAACCGAGAAGTTGACCTGTAAACACAAGTCTATCGAAGTCGATCATGTATCCAATGACGTCACCGACGCACGCGCGCGCAGTCTTCTCCATCGTCACAAGATTTTAACTCGCGATCTTCCTACATCCGTTTCCCGTCGATCTCGTCTTTTCGTCCAGCCATGCCTCAACACACCCGTATCGATCACGTCTCACGCGTATAATTGACAAAAACACGAGAACGAGAGGTCCGCGATAAGCCGGCGAAGGCGCGCGTTGCCGGCCACAACGAGAGTCGACGGAAACGCGCGCGCGCATATTTCGGAGAGATAAAACGCGAAGAGAACAGCGAGTCTCCGAAGCAGCTTGCATTTTCCGCCATGTCGGAGGGTTATACACTTGCGCGGAAAAGGTGCATGATTTAGCGTTGAGGGGGGGCGGGGGGAAGAAACGATATTTCGGCATGGCGTTTTCGGCGGACCCGACGTTTTCGAAAACGCACGCGGAAGAGCGCGGAAAATGCTCTCGCGGGAAAATGCAACACGCCGCCGACGAAAGTTTCACGAAGAACCGGCGCGGCGATTTCACGCGAACGAGCACGTGCGCGCGCTCGACATTGAGACAAGCGTTAATCATGAGCAGTGATAATGTTATCGGACATTATCGGACAATTATCGCGACGAAAATGAGAACAAACACGCGAGCGATAACATTGCCGGCGTGGCGGAGTCGAAAATTCGGAGGATTTCGCTCAACGCGATCGGGCGGTTTCCCGCCGAGGAGAATTTTCTTCCCCGTCTCTCTTTCTCTCTCGTGATCGACGTACCTTTCGCCACCAAGTCCGTCGCTGCGGTTCTGTCGCTGCGGTAGACGGGCTTTCGCGCTGAGATTAAAAATACTCGCGAACAAACGACGAATCGATGAAACTTTATCTCCGCCGCGCCGTGTCGACTCGATACGATCAATGTCAGCCGGCGCCATGCGACGTCACTCGACGCCATCGGACGTCACCCAGCGAAGCGACGATCGTGCGGACGTAACGTCCGCTCTCGGCTGTCGGTAATTGAACGCGCGCATGCTCCGATCGAATCGAAAATCGACACATCGACACACGCGACGCGCGATACCGAGTATCGATCTCTTGCTGTCGAGAGTCGGCCCGTTCGAATCGTACGAATTCCAGACAGCGCAGCCTTCGAAAGGACATGATCGCCCGGAAGGAAGACGTTGATCAGAACCCATACAGCATACAAGTTGCAGCAATATTGCTTCAATATTGTTGCAACGATATTGCAACAATTATTGCAACAATATTGTTTCAATGTCGCAGCAACGTTTTTTCAACTTCGTGCGCTGTACGAGAAGCTTGCGCCGCAAATAAACATCTCCGCTCTCCATTATCCTTTGCTTTATTTCTCCTCGTTTGCTTTATAATGCACAGAATGCGCAGAGTCGGCTTTTTTAAGTCGCACGGTGCGGGGATACCTGTCGTTTAAACGTGTATGTGTGTGTCTATGTCAACGAACAATATATCGCGGGGTAACAATAGTGAGAGAACCGAAGCCGAAGCGAGAAAGCCAAATCGGATGTTTTTCGTTCTTGACAAACAGCCGTCGCACAACTGTGTAGACAAGTTCGAGACGCGCACACGGAGAAGAAAGGAATAAATTTCGTTGCCCGGTCAGAACTATAACGTTGATTCGACGTTAAAATGATCGATGAAACGTTGAATCGACGTTAAAATGCAATCCCCTCATCGACGTTAAATCAACATTGTGCTTCTGACTGGGTGGTGTAACTGAGTTTTCAGTCGCTTGGGATATAGGGACCGCGAGTGGACAACTCGGTTATCGGGAAAAACGGGAAGATTCCGTAGGTTTTTAATCGGTCAATTATCTTCAGACAAATTGTTGTCTCGGTCGCGGTCTAATAGAAACAGATCGCTTCTCGTCACCGAGCTTTCACTACCATTCAGTCACACACGAATCTTTTTTTTTTCTTTTTCCGTGGAGGGTGCGCGCGCTGTCGCGTGCGAAAATAAACTGCAGCGACGAGTGTATCGTCGAAAAATCACTACGACATTTATTCGAGTCATCATGCTCGGATATTTCTTTCCGATACACACGCAGATGCACGGGAAAAAAACCGAATCGACGCGTACTTCGTCCTCGAAATATGTACGGGGGATCGCAGCTCGTCGGCTGTAAGTGAATTTACGTATACATTTAAGACTAAACGTAGAGATTCGTCTTGCGTAATATTTAAGAGAGTCAACAAGAACGTTCAAGTTGAAAAATCCGCAACGATTTTTTACGCCAATAATATCGGTATCGGAGACAACGTTAAAAGTATATGCTGTAAATTGATAGTTGGATTGCAATGCGCAATACGGAGTCACTAGACCGATACGATGCGATCTAATTGAATAACGGTTAAAATTGTCATGAATACAATCGATAGAACCGGGGATAGAATTGTCCCAAGACTCGTCGGAATTTCGTCGTAAGAATGGCAAACTTCTAAACGACCTCGCGGTCTCTTGTATATAATATATAAGTGGAATGCTGATTGCGTTATCAGCTAAAAACGTCTACACTTGGCTCCTTTCTTTCTTTTCGTTTTTTTCTTCCTTTTAATTAGCCCTTCTCTCTCTTCTTCTCTCTCTCTCTCTCTCTCTCTCTCTTTCTCTCTCTCTTCGCTGGAAGGAATCACTCACAGGATTCTACATCGATTAATCTATTTGAAAAGTCTTCGTTCACTCTTTCACAGACTATTTGCGTCCCGTTCCTCGTCTTAATAGCTATCGCTTAAATACTACCGATAAGTCGTCAGTCTCTCGCGAAGCCCGGCGACCCAGTATCGTAAATACGAAATACGCAATTCTTATACATCTTTTGTTCCATTTTTTTTTTGTTTCTTAAACTCTCCCTTTCATATTAAAATATTGCTTTATACGCGCGCGCGTGTGTGTGATTCGTAGAACGGCCGTACGTAAGGCTGCGTACGTGTGTGATGCTTGATGTCTAATTGCGAGCATATGTGCTGCGGAACAAGTTATTACACTCGTATAATTTAGACTTGGCACCGGACACGATTAGTAATAAGACACCGATCGACGCGCGTACACGTCTCTCCTTTAAAATCTCCGGAGAATACGCGTTTGCGATTTATACTTTCGAGTACCAGATCACGCGCGGTCGGCACGGCACTAATCTGAAGAATTCGAAACGGCGTTTTCTTCCTCTTTTCTTTTGTTTTTTATTAGGTGCCTAATCAATTTAATTTCTTACCCTCTCCCTCCCTCTCTCTCTCTCTTCTCTTCTTAATATCTGAAAGCAGCAAATATTCTCCGTATTCTTGTTTTGTATAAAGGCCTCGTAATGTTATACTTACGTGTATTCCTATGGCAAGATATATACTATGAGAAAAATCTTTGTAATATAAAATTCTGTGGAATCTTTCATTCTTTCTTTCTCTCTATCTGCGTCTCTGTCTCTGTCTCACTCACTCTCTCTCTCTCTCTCTCTCTCTCTCTCTCCTCCCGCTCTCTTTCTCTTTCTTACGATGTTACCTAAAATATTCGTAATCAAATTGCGATTGTGTGACTAGCCTTTTTGTTTCTTTTTAAACTTCTACTTCGTTCCGACGTCTTCGGTCTTCGTTGGAATGCAGGGCAAAGTTTTCATTTTCCTTCGCAGCTGACGACACACGCGATTCGAAACTCTCTCCAGTGTGCTTATCTCGTAATGACTGTTATCGACAATATCGGTATCATAAAGCGCCGTTGCACGGCTATTATATGACCCGTTATATCTTGCGCAACGACACGTGACGAGAAAGTTATTATCGTTAGAAGCTTACAGAATAACAGCACACTGGGGCGATCGACTTTTCGTTACCGACGCACTCTCATGCTGTGCTGCTTGCGTAAAATCTACAATTGGTTTTTTCTTGTTCGTTCACTCTGTCCGTCCATTAATACATCGACAGAGCCGAAAAGCTTCCAACGCTTGTGTCCATTCCTCTCTTCTTTAATAATATAAACAAAAGAGCGACTGTGTGTATGGGCGCGCGTGTATGTGTGTGTGTGTGTGTGTGTGTGTGTGTGTGTGTGTGTGTGTGTGTGTGTGTGCACGCGCGTGCGTGCGTGCGTGTGTATATGTGTGTGTGTGTTGCATGGCTGTATGTGTGGTGTGTAATCTACATGCAAACGGAAACGACACTTTACAATCGAGAAGGACGAATATTCACGTACACACGCACGCATGTACGTAACGGAGGTAGTAGTCTATTTGTAGCTCGCGAAATTGATAAAGAGGCAAGTTTACGATCACAGAAAAGAGCTATACGCACACACGTCGTATTTTCATGGACGTGTACCGTCCAAACGAAACGCGTTCGCCGCACTCTCTACCAAACGAGAACTTTCCATTACGTCGAAACAGCCAATTTCATTCCCTCGGCTTCCGCATGATCAGTCGCTAATTACAGAAAAAGAGAAAACAATGGAAAAAAACAAAGAGGAAACGCGACACATACACTTTACGTTCGTTGTAACGTAACGATGCGTCCACGACTATGTCCGTCGCAACAACATAACGATGCCTCTGCGCACTCGCACTCACCGCGGAGAGCGCAAAAGGGAGAATAAATAAAATGTCGAGTATGAATTTTCGACGTTGGCGAAACACTAGCATGTCGCGCGACTTCGATCAACGTCGCGCTGCGTGACGCGGCGCAATGCCAACATAACGATCGGCGATTAAGCTATACTACGTAACGCGACGCCACGTGATCGCTCGATTAAAATTACACGCGGCCGCGTGCGTATTTACACTTCATCGGAAAAAAATATAATACGAAATTGATAAATGCACAGAGGTGACGTGCGCGCGTGCGCGCGAATCTTCGCAAGGGATGCGCGACGACAATTACAATGTGACTGAGGATATAACGGCGCACGGTAAACTAATTTACAATAACTTTGGCGTCATGAGGCAAGGGTGAGGGAGAGGAGAGGGAAGAAGGCGAGTGATATTTTTTCAGTCGTACGGCCTACCTTCCAAGGTACACTCGGTGGCAACGATACCTTCCGCTTGGCGGACCTAAGACCTTCTACACTCGACCCTCACCTCACCTGTGTTCTTTTTCCGGGTGATTGGCCAATCGAACGAGTTGCTCGAGCATGGACAAGGCAAGTCTGCCGATACGGGTTGAGCATGGAAGAACGTGAAAACACGCAAAGCGGAAGGCAATTACGACTGCCACCAGCGATACTCGACTTTGCTCGACAGAGGAATTAGCGGTTAGAAGCATATATAGAATCCGTGCGATTTCTTTCTCTGTACATGTAAAGGGCGAGGACACCGGCCATGACGATTTTTGAATTTATACATATATATATATGTGTGTTAATATATATAAATGTGTGATGTGAATATATATATATATATATATATATATATATATATATATTCATGTGTGTGTGCGTGTGTGTGCATGTGTGTGTATTGTAGTCGGTATATCCTGAGATTCGAGAAACAATATACTTACAATCGATGCCACGCTACTATGGCCGTTCATCACCCCTTTTAAGAGCAAGGTACAATCGATCGACGGCGATTCGCGCAAACTCCCGCGTGCGGATTTTATCCGGCGAGAGTTCTCCCGCGACTTCGTAAAATTTCTCTTGCGAGCGGCGTGTGTGTGTTTGCCTAATTTGTACATGTACATATTACTCGTTATATCGTAATATCATCCTACGCTACATATCGTAAATAATTAAAATTATGTTCACTCATTTTCTCTCTCTCTCTCTCTCTCTCTCTCTCTCTCATACATGCATACACACACACACACGGAATATAATCCCCATCTTGCGCGACGATTTAAAAGATTTAACGCTGTGATTCCGATTATTTCCTCGCGCGAAATTTTTTGGCGAAAGTGTCGATTACTGATAATTATGCGGAATCGCGGACCTTGTCACGATCTATCTTACGTAAACATTCCTCGGGTGAGTCGCTCGATCACTCGCTCGTTCGCTCGTTCGTTCGTTCGCTCACTCGTTATTTAGTCAATGTGGTCGGGGGAAAAAGTCGACGGAGTGACTGACCGCAGAAGTGGTGGATGGGGGGAGGGTGATGATAGTGGTGGTGGTGGTGGTGGTGGTGGTGGTGGTGGTGGTTGTAGTAGTGGTGGTGATGGTGGACATTTCATCAAACTTATAATTACGTAATACACCACAGCCGGCTCGAGCGACTCGCGTATGATTATTGTACGTCGCGTCGCGGAGCGATACTGCTATGAAATTAACAAGTGCCCGTTGGCAATTCCCGCGAGCTGTCGCAATTCCCTCGTGACACCGCGATTACCAACTGCAATTGGAATCCGGCGCGCCGCGGCCGCACGCTTGTGGCGTCTCTGGCTGGCTCCCCTCACAATAAATTTCGGCGTATTTACACGTTGTTGATCGCAGTAAACTCCTTGTCGGTTGCCTCCTCCTTAGATCCATCCCGGTATCGTCGATACAAGCCGAATAGAGGCATCACCAGCAACAGCACACCACTCAACGCGATGAATAACCCGGCCAAGTAGAAGGACAGGTCGTACGTACCCGTGATATCGTACAGCCACCCTGTGGAGGGTCGGAATACAAAGTTGAACACTTTCGCTTCGAGATATCGCGTCAATATGACGCACTGATATGAAAAGATAACTGACTGTGACGAATATGTACATGTCGTCAGGTCTATTAGACTAGAAAAATTCGGATCTGCCAAAAGGACGAGATCGTGATAAAATGTCCCAAGATCGAACGTTTACCAGCTAGCGGGGGACCCATCAGATTAGCGACTCCTTGCACCAGTAACAGAAGGCCGTAAGCGTTCGTGAATCTTTCCAAGGTGATCAGCTCGACAAGGATGATGCTAGTGAGGCTGTAATTTGCTGCGATGAATAATCCAAAGGCACCAGAGATTGCACATAGAGTATAGTAGTCGTTGACAACTACGGGTATCAGAGCGGTAACAGCACCGCAGAGCGCCATGCACACCGCATAAACGATAGACGCGTTCACCCATGCCCTGTCGCCGGCCCAGCCCAGAATAATCTGCAAACGAGCGAGAGCGAAAGTGAGAGAGAGTCCACAGTTTTCATCTTGTTGCAGTGATTAGAAAGCTATTTGGATAATGAAATTCAGTTGACAGTGCTATCGCTATTGCACTGGGAAGAGACTTTCAATGTTCTCTCTATAGACTACATCTACATGTTTTAAAATAACTTTCATGCGTTATAATATGTATTTTTCTAAACCAAGTGAGAAACATCAATCTACAGTAAAGTAAATCTTGTCGAGCGCGACAATTTAGTCCAACAACGGCAGGATAAAATACATCAATTAACGAGTCGCACACACGCCGCTCACCTCGCCGCCCATGTTAGTGATCCCGATCACCGAGATCAGTATAGACGCGTCGGTTTCGCTGAATCCAACCTCGATCGCGTTGTCCGTCAGATAGACATAAGGCACGTCGTACCACGTGTGCAGGAGAAAGTTGCTGATGGCGAACAGCAGGAATCTCGAGTTGGTGAAATATGAAAAGTCCAGCATGTCGACGATCAGGTCCCAGAACTCCCAAAGCCCGGCGTACCAGACCAGCTTCGTCTTGGCGATCGTGGTCATCGAGTTCCGGTAGATATCCGGGCAGCTCGAGGCCCGCAGGCGGTACCGATTGATGTTGAGCATGGCGCCTCTGTAAGTCAAGCTGTGCCTGTGCATTCGGATGTCCTTCAGGTAGGCAGTGGGCAGCCTCCTCGGTTGTTCCAACGTGCTAGAGCGTCTCAACGAGGCGTCGGGATCGATCTTCCTCAACCACCATAAGTACGACGGTTGATCCGTCGACTGCTGCTGTCGCTCGCCGCCGCGGACGTTGCCACGTTCGTCGTTGTTGTGCGGACACTTGTCCTTGCCGTCTTCGCCCTTCAACTCGGCCAAGGGGCTCGGTGTGGGTATGAACCGAGCCGACGGTGTACTCAGCTGGTCGTGCAGCGCGCCAGAGTCGCTGAAGCTCCTCGACGATATCAGCAGACTCGGATAGTTCTGCAGCAGGACGTTGTAGATGTTCTTCCGTGTACTGAGCAACTCCAGCACCTCCAACGGCACCTTCTCGCCGTTCTTGACGAAGGTGGGCAGGCTCACCAGGCTGGAAAACAGCTTCTCGCCGTCCCCGTCGCCGTCCTGCGAACGAAGGTTCTCGATGATCATCGCGTTAGCCGATGCGAAGCCTCTCTTCGAGCCGCCATGAGGGGTCTGCGTGGTCGTGTTCGCGGAACTGCACGCGGAGAAAGAGTCCGCGCTGGAGCTCTGCATCTTGGATATCTTCCTCTCTCGATTTTTCTTCCTTTTCTCGGTCTTCGCCTTTGCCCTCGTGGTGGTCCACTCGAGGTCTCTCATCAAGCAGCCACATACAGCGAGATTCAAGAATAAGCCGGCCAAAATCAGCGTGGTGCCTCTCCAGCCGTACTCGGCCAGAAGATACTGCGTGACAGGTGCGAAGATGAAGGTTCCAATGCCACTACCGCAGACAGACAAGCCTGTGGCGAAGGATCGCTTCTTGTCGAAGTAGTACGCGACGATCACCACTGCCGCGACGAAGCACAGGGACAAGCCGAAGCCAGCGACGATACCGAACGTCAACACGAGCACCGCCATGGAGTTCGCGTAGGAACTTATGACGAAGCCCGCGGTCGCCAGTATGCTGCCGGCTATCGAAACTTTCCTGCAGCCGTATCGGTCGGTCAAGAAACTGGCGACCGGCCCTGACAACAGCGGCATCGCCATGAAGAGGCTGCCGATCCAAGCGGTCTTCGACTTGCCCTCACCGAAGTAATTCAGGAACTCGACGAATATCACGCCGAATGAGAAGGTGATGCCGTCCGCGATGAGATTCACCATGAAGGAGGCCGCGACGACGACCCAGCCCCAACCACCGTCGGGCGGCCTAGCCTCGCAGAACTGTCCCAGGCTGGAATTGTCCTCGGAGCTACTCGACGTGGTCGACGTGGAGATTGACGGGCTCGGATGCGGCCGTTCCTCGGTCGCGTTGCGCAGCTGTTGTTTCTTGGATTCTTTGTTGAACTGCACATGGTGCTGCTGCTTGTCCTCCTTGGGCGACTTGCCATTCACGAGCTTCTCCGTGCTCTTTTCCGTCGACGAGTGGCTCTTGGACGACAAGATCCTGGTGGGCGGACTGGGCGCGTCCTCTTTGTAGAGGCTGTTGGGCCTCCTCGGTGAATTCTGCGGATTTTGCGAGATTTCTTTCAGCTCTTGACGCATCTCTCGGCGTATCCCACCACCTGACTCCTCTGTCTTGCCGTCTGCGAATCTATTGTCCTCTATGAGTCTATCTTCTTCTTTGTCTTCTTCTGTTTGTTGTTTTCGCGAATTCTCCAGCGGCTCGGGACTGTTTCGAAGCTTGACGACGTTCTCCGATTCCCGGGCCGAGTTCGAATTCTCGACCGTTTCCTCGTGATCTCGATCGTGATCACCTCGATCGTTCGACGTACGTGACTCTCGTACGAGCTCTTTGCGATCTTCATCTTCGTTCGCTTCCACGGCGTTCAATTGGCTTCCGATCCTGCCGTTGTTCGCTCGTTCCTCGGTCAATCGAGTCAACTTGTCCTCACTGTTGAATTTGGTCCACTCGGCCATGCTGATGGGACGAAGAGTGCCGGCGGCTCGCACTTTCGGTAATCACCTGCGGCGATGGCAGGCTTCCGGGCGATCCAACTATTCTCTCCTCGGCGCCACTTCCGTACGATTCGCACGCACACGCACACATACAAACGACAAGCACACACGCGCGACAACAAAAACTCGGGAAATCGGCTCCCTCTCTCTCTCTCTCTCTCTCTCTCTCTCTCTCTCTCACTCTCACTCTCTCACTCTCTCTTTTTCTCGTTCTCCACGGAATGATCGACTCAGCAGAGATCTAGTTTCGTCCTTGACTTAAACAACGGTAAACAAGGCCACTCGTAGAGCTGCCTGCTGAACTGACGGCGCAACGGTAACAAGGATGCTGACGACCAAGTCGACGTGAAGCTGCCTGTTGGCGATTGATAGTCGGCACCCGGTCGACCATGCAATGCTCCACCACCATTGCAATCGTGACCTCGGATTCTCCAAGTCCAACTGGTACTTTGATCACTTGGGACCGTCTCCTCCTCCGCGAAACGATCGTCAACCCAGGCACCCATGCGGCGAAACGTACGTCTTCGGTTCTCGCGTTGTATTCTGCGAGAAAAAGCCAATCGTCAGCGATAATCATCAATTAAATGGCACCGCGTAGCCATTTCGGCATCAACTACGCAGTTTACAGAGCTTCGCGAGTTTGCGAAAAGGCACTTCTAAAAAGGCACCTGAGTGTCTCGCGCGTCTCTGTATGTTGATCACTGCGACGGTTTCTCCGCTCTCGAAATTTCTCGTGAGGCGAAATCTCGTTGAGAATGCACTTGAGACGAAGACGTCGCCACTTGGAATCGTATAAGAATGAACGTCTCGCTCGAGCTTAGAATGGATTTCAACTTTGCGCAAGCGAACGTCTCGATCGATTGGAATCAATTTGTTCCCGCGAATCCATTTGTTCCACTCCTGGAACACATCAGGTTCGCTCTTGAATCTCCGGCGAAAACATTCGCTCGACGATTCAGATCGAACAATTTACTTGGAGGTTCACTCGGCCTGTCACTCTACCTCTCGAGCGAAACTCAAGGAAATTTCGAGAGCAGTTGGAAGTCGGGATATCACAGAGAACCGTGATGTTGCATGAAATGAAATGATATCGCATGAAAGTATTATCAACACGAGAAAGGATGTAGGACTATCGTTTCTCGTGCGACAACGTTCGATGTGACAAAAGCAGATTTCGAGAGTGTTCTAAATCGAAACTTTCCGTCGAGCAAACGACTTATCTCGCGTCCCTTTCCGCCACCTGAAAAACATATAACCATCTGAAGCGTAATAATACGCGATTAGAGTGACGCACACGCTTGCGGAAAAATTCTCCGCGCGGCTATATTTACTCGCTAAAGCGAGACATTCCCGAACATTATTAGACGCTCCAAGTTCGATGTTTGGCAAAGACACTCGACGACGTGACTCGCTTCTGGCATTTCGTAACCAGCCGAAGTAGCTCGAGTTAGAGTCAGCGATTATAAATGAAGCTCATTGTGTATGAGTTGCTATCAATTTAAGGATTCAACGGTGGCCACGATGATCGCGCGTGTATATCGCGCGATCCGCTATCTTTTCTTCCTCTTCCACAGCCAACCGCTGCGCTCCCGTCTCGCCGTCACCGCTGGCTCGCGCCAGCTCGTTCCTCAAAGTCGAATTATTAACGAGCGAAAATCTCCCAAGTGCGCACGTCTGCCGAAGGGTCAGTGTCGATTCTCGACGCTACGTCAGGCCGCGACGCGATGCGACGCGATGCGACGCGACGCAACGAGGAATTTGGCGTGCGTAGACGCGCGCGCGCGCGCGCGCGTGCGACCGTCGCATATCGGAGCGACGCGAAACTCACAGTTCCAGACTTAAACCTCAAGTTTAGGACTCGAACTTGAGGTTCAAGGTCGCCCGGTGTTCAACGTATACATACACGCACTGATAATCAAAGATTGACAATAAAATCGCGTGAGATCTACATGGCGGCTCTGTCGCTGGATTCGTCGAGTCCCGAGGAATCGATTTCGAGATTCTTCCTCGCCGGGTATTTCTTGGACTCGTTTAGCTCCGCTTTCAAACGCGGCGATCTTGCGCACGGATTTGCGCACGGTACAACAATCCCAACGTTAACAAGCCGGTTAATTGCGTTGCACTGCAACTATCATGTCGCAATCGCGCGAGCGCACGCGCGCGGCCACTCTCGTCTGATTTATCCTCCGCTGTGTTTGTTAAAATTAATTCGTGGATTTAACGCTGACCTACATCTTGCGCAGGTTACTTAACTCGAAGGAAGACGGTCATTTAACTTTTTACGTGGATCTTTGCTACACGCGAACGCGGACGTGGACGCGGACGTTGCGCTGCGCATTGCGCGCGTAAATAGCGCGCGCAACGTAGATGCGGGGCGAGTGCGCGCGATGAAGAATCAAATTGTGTCTTAATATGGCGTAACACAGCGCGATACGCGTACTAATATATTTCCGTGTTAAAGGCGACGAAACGCGATAACATTCGCAGATCCGACGAGTATCGTTTCAAGGATCATCCTAATAGCGTCTCTTATCGATGACATCTCTCCGCCTAGGGAATTATCCGTATCCACTTATTAAACGCGATTGGAAGAAGGAAACGTCTAACGAAGTAAAAAGTCTAATTAGAAGATTAGAGACGATTTTTACGAATTTAACGAGATTGACGTCCGTTTCCGTTATCCGCACGCCGAGGCGTATTATTCGCGCATTAAGATGCGACGCGTCTTAATGCGCGAATAATACGACGAAAACGTCCGTCGTACGAATTCTTCACTTCAACGGATACCTCAAAATATCGCTTCCAATCAATGTAATCCCTGTCGAAACTAACGTCGACTCTCGGCATTCCCGACAATCAGCAACACGGCGATTAGAGCTGCCGGTGGATGCACCAGGTCGCTCGGCGTTTCCCGCAATTCCCACAATATTATTTCCGTCCAACTGGGCGTTCCTTAAGTCAAGCTGTATCCTCAAAGCCCGAAAAGTGTTTACACTCGTCCTGTTGTCCCCGAAACTCGCTCGCGAGCGCTCGCGAACGCGGGAGCGAAAAGCTGGATGCCTTTGGCTGAGAAAATTTTGCGCAATCCTGGCTACGTGCCCGCGGACGGGTAAAGCGGGGCACGTTCTCGGTCTAAATTCAACCGACACGCTGTTTCATCCCGTTTTCTCACTCCTCTCTTTTTTTTCTCCTTCCTCCACCGCCCTCGCCCTCGTTCACCGTGTAAATCCGGACTGGCGTTAACGTCGAGACGTCCGCGGTAATTTAATTAGTCTCTCGGCGTTACGTGATTTACAGGATAGTAATTATGTGTCTGTTATCTAATCGCTCGCTATCATCGCGCTCGTTGTCATTGTAATCCAGTTGAAGCGACATATCGCAAATTACGAGTAATCTCTCGAGAGCGAGTATATGGGGGAAAGATCGAGCGCGCACGTGTTCGACATCACACACACACACAGAGAGAGAGAGAGAGAGAGAGAGAGAGAGAGAGAAAGAGCGATCGGACGTGAATTTCCTCGCCCGGGGGATCCTCGACGAGTCAATTGCGCGGCGGTCGATTTTCGCGGACTTGTCGGAGCGAGGCCGGTGAAAAAGCAGCGGGAGAGACTCGTTTCGGAGCACTTTGAGGAACAGCGACGACGACAACGGCGGCTAGACATTTATCGACTGATCAAATGATGTTCGTACAAACCAGCAAACTGTAATTTTGTTTAATCGCTATCGGCGTCCAAGGCTGACAAGCTGTGGACTGATAATGCGCTCGCTCATGCGAAACGTCCTCGTGATGAGCGCGACATCCCACATACCTCTGTGTTTCTGTCTAACAACGTCTCCGCAACACCCTTTTTAATATCTTGCCTTATAACCACGACGTCATGTTTGTTATGATTTGCTATCGTCAAATGCTGCCGCCGATGTCAAGAGGTATTCCGCGAACGCGACGCGCGTCTGCCAAGGCGACACTCACGCCCGAAAGAATGTGCGATTAAGAAAGTGCACCGGGGAAGTGACGGGGAAATACAAAATGAGAAAAACACGCTGCACAGCGAGCTGGCCAATTAAGCGACGCGCGATACTTTATCGTGAGAAAAAAAGAGATAGATAGATAGATAGAGAGAGAGAGAGAGAGAGAGAGAGAGAGAGAAAGAGAGAAAGAGAGAAAGAGAGAGAGAGAGAGAGAGAGAGAGAGAGAAAGTTTCTATAAATTGCTCTTCGCAGTGGAAATTTCTAAAACCCTACAAATTGAACGAATCGTTAGAAAGACGAGATGTATACAGCTGTCGTTGATAAATCGGAAATGGCCTGTATAATTAACAATTGGATATCTAACACTCGCTCACATTTATAAATACAAATTGCACTGTCTCGTATTGTATTATCTTCAACGACGCTGTCGCTCAAAGCGAAGACAATGAGTCCCGTATTATATTGAACCCACGCTTCGCTCTTCTATCACGTAACTGCGATGGAGCACGCTTGTATGGCACCTTTAAGTGCGTGAATCTATTCATACATTGATCTATACATTGATAACAAATAACACACTCCTGCCTATTTCATCGCGATCACGACCGTTCGCGATCTTAACAGGTCCGGGAAGCAGTCGCGTGTTTAGGGACTCACGAGACGAAGATTCTTTAGCGACGAATTTCCGACCATTCCGATCATCTGTGATCGGAGTCTTTCGACATCAGCGGAACTCTCAGCACCGGCGAGAGAAGAAAGCTTCGGCGAAAGCGTGGGGCAAAGTATAAGACAAAGCTTTGACGAACCATCATGGTCGACCGTGTATCGGTCCCTCCGCTGTGTGTGTGTGTGTGTGTGTGTGAAGCTCTCGGTGTGCCAGCCTCGGCAACAAAGTTGAACTAGCGAAGGTAGTCGAGCAGAATCGAGCTGTCCAGAAAGCGGTCCGGTTACGGAACGAGGAAATAGCGCGGCGAAATTTGGCGCCGAGCGAGAGTGCGATGACACGCGATTATCACAAATCCCTTCGGATGATCCCGGAGAGTACCAAGCAGCACTAACATCAAACACCACAGCCGCGAAAGGTGCGCGGCTTGTTCGCGCTCGACGTTTGCACGAGGTCGAACCCCGCGTCCGCGGGGCAGCGTCCCCAGCTCCCGCGAAATCTCATCGCTCGGCGGGGACAGACTAGTGTTGTCACAATTGCTACGACCACGACGATGATGACGATGAAAACGTTAGCGTGTCCCGGTCAACATGCTACGACGAACTTTGCCGTGAACGTCTCGCGACTTTCTTTCTTTCTTTCTTCGCTCGCGCTCGGGGAACGAACGCGGCTGTCGTCAGTCCGCCCGACGATCCATCGTTGTCGCCGAGACAACAATATATTTTTCTGCTTCTTCTTCTTCTTCTTCTTCTCGAGGCACGACGTGACTTTTCTGCACGCACAAGTATCGAGGATTGCTCTCGCTTGCTCTCTCGCTCTCTCTCTCTCTCTCTCTCTCTCTCTCTCTGTGTCTCTCCTTTTCTTTCCTCTTGTTGCTCGGCTCAACGAGGAGATCGCCGCGCGATCGGCGTTGCGCGCTGCGCGTTGCGCGCACAGGAGGATGACCGGGCTAATACTGATAGCCGCTGGTACCGCTCTCGTAGATACATATGACCATTGGCTTCGAACGTGTTTCGTCATGTATATACGTCCCGATCTTATAAAGCGATGCTACGCGCCGCGCCGCACCGCGCGGCGCGGCGCGGCGCGGCGCGACATGACTCGCCGAGGATTCACGACGTTGCTTCTGACGCGAGTGTCTTCCTATCAATTCCGCAGAGATTTTTCTCGTTTCCCCGCAGGTCTTCCTCTTCGGCCGCCTCCCGGTCCGTCGATCTTCTCGACTGGACACGATCTTTGTGCCGTCGCTAATTTTGCACCGTCGCTCCGTCGAGGGTGCTCGAGAGCGTGCGGGAAAGCGGCGGCAATCGAAGCTGCAAGTTTCAAGAGCTTCTCTCCCCCCTCTCTCTCACTCTCTCGCTCTCTCTCTCTCTCTCTCTCTCTCTCTCTCTCTCTCTCTCTCTCTCTCTCTCTCTCTCTCGGTCTCTCGGCATGAAAAGAGCGTCCCGGTCTCTTTAGTGGAGCACACGGCTCTAAAATTGATTACGTAAGGTCAGCTTACATTCGTTTGCACGATCGCACACGGGAATTCGTTGCGTCTCGCGCGCGAATGTGATGAGAAAAATGTGAATTTCTTCGAAGCGCTTTCCGGCGCGACGACGTGACGACACGAATAATTATATCGCCTTTCTCCATGTGTAGAAACGGCCATCGCTGCTTATCACGTGTTATAGGACTGTAGATAAGGAACACAGTTTTATTCGCTCTTTCTTCCTCGTGACGCACGTCTCCTCTCGCTCTTGCGTTTTATATAGTTTTATACAGTAATCGCGCGCACATTACACAAGTCGAAGTCCCCCCGTCGCTGTTTGGCTCGGGGAAATTTTCTTCGCTCGACGAATTCGAGCGAAATGTCTCCGTGGGGAAGCGCAAAATCGTGCCATATGCGAGCAGAAATTACAAAGCGCACCTTGTCGAGTGATAATGGCGTTTACGCACAATTGCTCCGCTCGGCGACTGTCACTTTCCCCCACCGCGTGCGTTTCTGCAACGATATTGCGAAGTAACGCAAGTGAAAAATTCGGAGGGTAGAGGGAGAGCGAACGTGTAAAAAGAAGAAATGAAACCGTATAAAAGAATAAATAGTGCAAGTGACAAAGATGAGTTTAACGGTACTCGCTCAGGCCATATTATTAACCTATCGATAAGCGACTCTTGCGACGTCAGCTATGTGGCGAATCTTATCGCGGTTTCTAACTGAACGTTAGGAAAAAATCCAAATCTCTATTGATATCGCCATTATTACACGATGCCAGCCGAGTCATCGGCACACAGATACCGTGATACCGTTTTTCTCGCCTTTCTTCTCCAATATTTTCTTTCTTCTCCAACCCGACACGTGGCCGTATCGCTAAGAAAATCCCGTGCGATTAAAAGGTGAACCGAGCACGAGCCGCGACATCCACTACATCCTGCTCACGTATACGGCAGGCGGTCGTGAGGTTCTTTTTCAAGAGCTTGGCGCATCCTCGAAGAAACGCCGTTTTACTTCCACGTAAAACATTTCGCAAGAGGCGGAAGAGACAAACAGAACGATTAGCATGCCGCGCGTGGGAAGATTTGCCTTCTTTCCTAAAGAAATCGCCGTTTCTGAACTGTCTAATTACTTCCTATTCAATTCCGGGATCGAATTTGCATTCCTCAATTCAAGTAATTTTCCGTCGATAAGCCGAGTGCAGAAATTTCCGATTTTTTCCCGTTGAAAACAACATTGAAGGAGGCGCGACTGCGACGCGGAGTAAATACGCGGCTAACGAGCCGGATTTTTATCCCTGACGATTCTCGCGGCTCGAAATCGCGGCAGGAAACTCGCAAAGCGCGAGGAACACGCGCCTAGCTCGACGTGGCTGAAGTCACGACGCTATCGCGATTCTAATTAGCCCGCTTAAGCGCGAAAGATGGAACAATGCTCAGTGGCCTTATTCCGCGCAGAGAGAAGAAAGTTTGTTGAAATTAACGCGACAATGAACGAGCCAACGGCGTCTTGGCGCAAAGGAAACCAGAATTTCCGCTTCCCACGAAATTCGACTCTAAACCCCGGGAATTCCGTTTCCCCTCGCGAAAACGCGCTTGGCTCGTTCACGATCGCGTGAAAATTCAACCGACCTTCTCCTCCGTGTGGGCGCGTGAACGTGAAGTATGCCCGTTTCTATCTTTTTCTTCTTAGAACAACGTCACGTCATAGCGTCGCTGCAGCTTGATAATCAGCGAGGCATACTTAGCGTCCGATACGCGGATCAAAATAGGGCCCCAGGAGTGCTCGGCGGGAACTGCACGGGACGCTTGCGAAACGATTGCGCCTTTAATCATGGATAATGCTGCGACAAGCGCATTATCTAAGAGCCGTCTAAGACGCAACATTAAGGCGCACGTGTACATGCAGAAACAAACATTACGCGAAACGCAAAGTGACAAACATTCCGGCGCTTATGAGTGTTTAATCTTCGTGTTTATACAGACATCAAATCGAAGCATTCGCTCAAGCGATAACGATCCCGCGAGTACACACACGAGACAAAGTATCACGGCGAATTCCGCTCGCAATATGTGCGCAAGTGTGAGTATCCGTCCATTATCGCACTCGCGAAGGAAAAACCGTGCGACAAAGTGTTGCTTTCTTTCTTCTCTCTCTCTCTCTCTCTCTCTCTTTATTTTTTTTTTTTTAATATCGTCTGACACATTGCTACGATCGCATCGAGCAGCGGAATCGCCGTCACATGTGACGGGTCGTCCACCTAATAAGGTCTGCGTTCGACCGACGTTTATTAGTCTGATCGCGGTAAATATAGAACGTAAATACGACCCCATTTAAATATCGGCCGTATTCTGCGTCTGCTGCGAGCGAGTGAGCGAGCGAGAGGAAAAAAAAGAAAGAGAGAGAGAGAGAGGGGGCCGGCCACGTCAGTTTCAATAAATATCAGATAACTGCGATCGAACGCGAGGAAATCGACGAGCCGTGTTGTTGCGTCGCTGTGCCGCGCTATTGATGGATCTGGTCGATCGCGAGTCGAAAATCCATGATTAAACAATTTACCGCGGCGGACGGTGTAATTCCGTTAATCGCGACGGCAATTAACCGCCTGCGACTGTCGAATAGCGACGGCGCTTAATTGGCGTTCCGGTTATCAGGACGTATCGAGGAAATATCAGATGCAAGACATAAATGCCGCAGAGCGGACGAGCGTCGACGCAGCCGCGCGCGAAACGGAATCTTCCGTGGACCGGGAAAGCAGCAACGTAATGCAATTGAAACGTAAACTTCAAGTGCACCCCTCTCACGACACACGACTGTCGAGAATTCACTTTGCGAATAAACGCGTCCTCTTTGCGCGCCGGGATCGCCGTTTTCTCGGCTGCCTCGTCGTTGCCGCGCAACGGGCGCGATGTGTGTCCAACTCTTCCTCTGTGACTGATTAAATTAACTCTTCTCCATACGCACGCACACACAGAGAAGGAGAAACAGAGATAAGACATCGAACATTGCACATGCGGGAATGATAATGCACTCGCCAGTGACACACTTTAGAAAAACTCACGGTCGCTTGTATATCGCGTGACAAATAATAAATTAAGAAATCTTTTTCGGCTATTCCAGTCTCTGAATATGTTTGCGAAAGAAAAATCTCTCTGTGAGACACATTTGACACAAATTGTCACACTCGCGGTCGAAAAGCGACCGCGAGAGAGAAATAGAATGAAAAATAGACAGATGAGAGAGAGAGAGAGAGAGAGAGAGAGAGAGAGAGAGAGAGAGAGAGAGGGAGAGAGAGAGAGGGAGAGAGAGAGGGAGAGAGAGAGAGGGGGGGAGAGGGGGGAGAGAGAGAGAGAGAGAGAGAGAGAGAGAGAGAGAGAGAGAGAGAGAGAGAGAGAGAGAGAGAGAGAGAGAGAGAGAGAGAGAGAGAGAGAGAGAGAGAGAGGTGGACAGCTAGATAGATGCGAGTGTTTTCGTAAATGTTGCGAAGTTGCGGAGCGAAGACAATCGACTCTCCTGTTCGCTCGCATCCGACTCGCGTGACATCTCGTGCGAATGCGGATCCGCGAATAACGCGTCGTACATCGCTGCCAATGCTGCGTCAATCCAACGGCAAATGAGCAAGGGACACGACAAGAAACGCACGTAAATAAAATTTAATATCGGTCGATCAGCTGGTCGCGCGTTACCATAACCGCAACGGCTGTTATTGATCCGCAGCACAGCAAGCTTCCGCATAACGTTCATAGCGTGCTCGCAGCGTGTGGCACGTCGTCTCCGCGATGTACGACATCGTATTCGTCGTCCGCACATCGCACGGAATTCTAAAACTCTTAAATAACAACAACGCGTGATTCACAACACAGATTCACAAGGGCGATGCGCGCCTTACTCACCGATACTTGCTCTCCGTCCTGGAACCGATGCTAAAAAACTGCGGTAAGTCGCATGGTACGCGCGGGAAATTAATTCACTGCCGGCAATCGCCAAAGGAGTATAAGACGCAGGGAAATTAATAAGCGCGCTCGCGAGACAAAGGGCGAGAAACAGAGAAAGAGAGAAAGACAGAGAAAGGAAGAAAGTGGCGGACCGGATAAAATCGATATACGAATTACTCGGACACGCGATCCGACGACTGAGAGAGAGAGAGAGAGAGAGCGTACAAGCTGATTAAAGAAGCGCGGTTCGCGCGCACCAGAAAACTAATATCACTGCGCTCGATATTGCTCGCGCGACAGCTAGCCAGAAGCAGCAGCAGCAGCAGCAGCAGCAGTAGCAGCAGCGGCAGCAGTAGCAGCAGCACGAGTCAAGGGTGAGATTGCCTGCGCGCGCACCTTACGGAATACCCTCGTCGCCCTCTTGTCATTGTCATCCCCGCCGACGCAGTCGACACTGACGCAGCCGCAGCCGCCGCCTTGTTTATTACTGTTATTCTCGTCCCAACTCCAAATTTTCCCGCAACAACTGTTTCCGCGACCGCTCTGCGCGTTCTCCTCGACCAGAAGGAAGAGCGCGTTCAGCTTCTTCCCCTTTGTACCGCCGTGTTCTGCAAAACGAAGGCACGTCTATAAATGGAATTCGGAGGTCGGAATAGTGAAGAAAAATGGACTTTTTTTTTCTTTCTTGTTCTTTTTCTCATTGTCATGTGCTAATACCGAACGCTAGCAGCTCAATTTGAACCTTGAAACTATGCCAGCGCAACGAGACCGGGCGGTTCATTCAGTGTAGATCGAGTAATCGCGGTGTAAACATCTTTTTATGAGTCACGATGATCCTACGCGCGAAAATGAAGCGTGCGAGATGATTGACTTGCAAAGTTCAGCTCGTCTTGTGAATTTCGCGTGACAACAGTTAAAATGAAATTAGGGTTTTTAACACGTTCATTGCCAAAGTGAAAATTTGAATTTCGTGTGGTGGCCAAAGTTATTTTTTCTTTTATTTATTTTTAGTCGTTTTTTCGCACGATCTGGCATTGAACTGAGTCTTTTCGAGGGTCCTGGTTTGTCACTCATAATAAAAAACAATCGCGTGAACGGCCGTTTGGTGAGGGGCCGCAACACGCGATATCGCGTGAACGGCAATGAACGTGCTAATGGTCATTGCATACATCCTCGTAAAGATATCAGATTTGTATTGTTTTTAGAAACGCTAAAACAACTTCGCTAATCGAAAGAGATCTTTTAAGAATGAACCTTTGTACAGCGCAAGTTTAACTGGCTCTTTGACGTGGGATGAGCCGACTGACTTGCAGCAATTAGACGATGTACATGTAAACGTATACATTTGACCTACAAATTTATACATACATGTTCAAGTGATCTACACTCTGTATACAACGTGTCTCAATTATTACGGATACTATGCTGAGAATACTAATAGGATTGCAGTAATAACATTATTAAATTAAGCACATTAAAGTGTTTTAACTTGCCGCTGATTTTTCTCATTCGCGCCGACAGTTCGAGAATGACCTCCAACCCGCACAATTTTATATTTTTCATCATCACTTCTGACGTTGAAAATATCTTTGAAAAAGACACTCTTGTATCATGGCGCTGCCTCTACGATTTCTGTTAAAATAATTGCAATATATTAATGTAACAAATACAGTAGAAGAAAGAAACAGTCAGAAATTATGATCTATTTTATTATTTTATTAAAATGAAGTAACTTACGGGAGGAAATGTCCGTTGAGAAACGACGAGTTAACAATCGAAATCGGCACATGTGGCGCCGAGAAGCGCGGTGCGGTTTCTAATATACCGCGTCTCGCGATATCGAGCGTTAAATTTCGTCTCTTTTGAATATCATTAAATATCGCGATTGAATTAATTGGCAGATTTGTCTTTTCATAATTCCCTCGATCGCCATCTGATACGCTAATTTCACAATGCAGTGCTCATATCGCCAAGTGCGCCTCGCGATTATTCATATAAAGTATTAAAACATAAAAATGATCGACGATCGTTGTTGTCGATAAACTTTGACTCTTTGTTGTCGCTGAAACAAGATAATTAAAAACATATCGTATATGTAACTTGACAAAAAAAAGGCAACATGGCCGGTAGTCATCATCGAACGATTCATTGCACACAAATATTGTACACTCTGTCGATTAACTTCTATCTGTTAATTACTTCTATCGGTACAACATTCGCCCAGCATCGTTTGATTAAATAATATGCGAAATAATTATAAAGATAAGATGTTAAATCGTGTCGTTATTTTGATCGCGCAGGGCGAGAATACGATTTGTGAGGTTGTACATCGCGTTTGTACTTTGTGGTCGGTTTCACACTTACTTTTTCCAGTCTTCCCGCCTCATCAGATCTCATAGCATTCCTTTTTCGAGAGTTGTCACTCGTCGTGTTTGTCACATTTCTCGATATTTTACGCAGAGCGGCATATTCACATATTGTGCAGTCCTTCTTGTGCGCGAAATTTCGAAAGGAGAAGGTAAGGCTAGGTGACATTGGTTGCGTTCAGAAAACAAAGCGCTCAGTGAGCGCTTAGTAACTATTGGTCCTTACTGTTAGATCCTTACATTCAGACCAATAACGTTGACGAATTACTCAACCGTTGTGTAACCGTTGTGTTTTCTGAACGCAGCCATTGTATACGTTGAAGATGGCTGAAAATGTCGCGCATCAGTCCGATATGTTCTCGAAGAGAGGGACGATGCTGTAGATATGTGCACGTGAGACAGTGCGAAACGTTCGTTTCGTCTTACATAGTCAAAATCCGCATTTACGATGTCAGATGAGTCCGAGTATGACGTGGAGCCGGAGGAGTTTGATATCTACAAGAGGAAGTATCAATTGCTGTTAGAAAGATGCGAGATTTTACAGCAGGTCAACAATTCTGTTCCTACCCATGAAAAATCACCGTAGCGTATCTAATAGGATGATTATCTCAAAACTATTGTTTCTTCCAACTATAGGAGAATGAACGATTGGTCTATAGAATTCAGAAAGTGAGGAAGCTTCTGCGACGCACGAGAAAAGAGAAAAAGTTAGTTTCTAGGTTAAGACGGTTTGCTCACTGACCTGAAATACGCGTAGGTTTTGATTTAAATTTGTAATATTGATAAATAGATTTCTGATCGATCGATTGGACCAACATGGAGATCGCTGGCGCGAAGTACCAATGGGTGTCCTTGAGGAAAATAGTGTATTCCAAACAATTCCAAAATCAGAGAAAGGTGGGAAAGGTGCTTCTCATAATGCCAAAGAGGAAAAACCCAAGAAAGGGACCAAGAGAAAAGGTGCAAAAGCTGATCCAAATGCGCCAAAACGACCTGCTAATCCCTTTTTCCAGTTTTGTCAGGAACAAAGGCCACGTGTAATGGAACGTTTGGCCGGAGAGCCGGAACCTAGTAAACAAGAATTAACTAGACAACTTGCAACCACATGGAAATCTCTTAGTTCTGAGGATAAAAAAGTACAAAATCTCCTGATATTATTTATAATAGAATTAACTTTTATAATCACCTCAAGCATCCAATATACCTACAATATATATATATATTTTTTTTTTCTTTCAGGTATATTACAATATGTACGAAAGATCCAAAGAAAAGTATGTCGCTGAGATGCAAATATACAACAAGAAAACTGAAGATGCACCTTATCAGGTGCCTTTAAATATCACATAATACTTAATTGTGACAATATCCATTCATTACAAGATAAGTAATTTATGGTTGTACTTTTTAACATGTAGAAGCAGGTTATTGTATGTACATTAATGTTTATAACTTATGTAGAAAGTATATACCAAATATTGTATAATTTTTTCTTACATATGTGAATATGGAACAACACTTTTAGCCCATGTATCTCTTAAACCAGAGCTGGCCACGATCTGCACATTTCAGGTGAAATTCAGTAGGTGACGCTTACCCTGCCCCTCGCACCACTCCGCGCTCAGCGGCCGGGGTGACGATCGCGGTATACTCAGGCCTGTCGCTATATAAGAAATCAGCTGAGGCGTCACATTATCATTAAAATTGGTTCCTCGTTTAATAATTTAACGTTTATCGTTTAATAACTTTAAAATATATATGCTTACATGTTTAATACATACATATGTATATATGCATACGTACATATATAATGCATAAATATATATATTTTAACGTGATTATTAAACGAGGAAACAATTTTAATGATAATGTGACGCCCCAGCTGATTTCTTATAGAGCGACAGGCCTGAGTGTACCGCGACTGTCGCCCCGACTGTTGAACGCGGAGCGGTGCGAGGGGGACGGTAGGCGTCACCTACTGAATTTCGCCCGAAATGTACAGATCGTGGCCAGCTCTGTCTTAAACCATATTTCAGAGTTATATTGAACAAATCTAAATAATCTATAACCAAATTATGGAAGATATTCTGTTTTATTGAAAATTAAAGTCTAAAAGTGTCCTTTTCACATCTTAGCTGCTTCATTGTTTGAATATGATCATTTTGTTTCGTATATTTCATAACAGACGGTTCATGTACTCTCATAAACGGATTCGTCAATTTCTCATCTTTAATTGTACTTGGCACAGTTGGAAGACAATTAGAGCTTTGCTTAATTGCCCAATCGCTTTTTTCTTTAATCGCCATATTGTTAGGTTCCACTTGCAAACCAAATCTCAGATTAAGCGCTGTATACTCGTGTCCGCAATACACTTCCTACAAGATATAAAAGTTATTTGTTATAGAAATAAAATTACATTTTAAAAAGTAACCCCATATTTTTATGATTAGAATTAAGTAACTTACTGTTTCCTCTGGTAAAGAGCCTAGAACTTCAATAAGTGCCTTGTACATTTCATCAGCAGTACCCTCGAAAAATCGTCCACAACCTCCAATAAAGAGAGTGTCCCCTGCAACAAAAAATTTAATATTTAATGTGAATTGCTTTATTTTCATATTTAATATTTTTATATTTCCTGATTATATATTTAGCTTTACCTGTGAACACAGCTGGAGTGTGTCCTCCCGTAACATAATAACAGATATGGCCACGTGTATGACATGGTGTTGACAGACACTTTACAGATAAATTACCAATATTGAATGTATCGTTATGAGTAACTTTCTGATTAATAGCTTGTATTCTGTCATCTCCACCATATACCATAAGATCAGCAAATATTTTCAGTAATTTTGCATTTCCACCAGCATGATCCCAATGATGATGAGTAGTTAAGACTTTTGTCAGTTTTACGTTAGTTTGTTTCACAGTATCAGTTACAAGTTTTGTATCAACAGGATCCACAATGGCAGCCTCTTGTGTTGCTTCATCCACAATCTTGCAAAATTGTAAGAAATAAATTAAGAAAATTATGCATAAGTTTTATAAAAAGTTTATTTTATTGATCAATAATCAATATTATATAGCACACATAATTTATATTGTTTCTATGACTATCTTTGATAAACGTTATACAAGTTTATACCATCATTTTCAAATATTGAACAAACATAGAGGTTATTCAAACTTGAGTAATAACCTATAAATGTTACGATAAAAAATACATACCAGATACATGTAATTATCTTGAAGCACTGGTAATATATGAATTTTCATGTTTCCACGATCCATCGTTGCGTTCTCCACGTGAGGTCCACTTCTATTGAGAGACATGCTTTGTACTGTAATATAGAAATATAAATATAGGAAACAGACAACATATATGTAAGATGTAATTTATGCAGATTAAATCTCATGTGATTGAAGTATTGCTTATCACTTGCGTGCGGTATGAAAATTTACTCTAGATTAACAAAAGAATGGTCGAATAGATGAATAGAAAGAATGGTCACGTCGCCACGTAAGAACTATGTACAAAGCGCAAGCAGACGAATGTAAAAAAAGATACCCCTAAAGTATATGGACGTGAGTTTGCTTTCAAGCCACGTTGGGCATAGACGAAGTGCGGCTTGACGGAGCATAACGGCCGAAGTCTTCTACGTGGCACTTGATTTTTTGTGTGCGATTTATTTTTTGTGCGTCTCAAACTTACTATCCACCTGACTTTTTCCGGTCACTATTAAGAGAAAGACGAATGTACTGGTGGCAGTGACGTATACTTGCCTGATAATATGCCAGTGTGGTATTATAAAAAAAACTTATAAAAATAATCGAGTCGTTCAAAAGGTCTGTTCTTTCCTCTGCAACGCTGCATTAGTCAGGGGTTATAAACCAGCACTAGTGCCAGGGGGTACAAACTCCCTTCTTAGAAACAGAGCGACGGGTTTTTGAAGTGCCACCATGATACGTACCGGAACTGGTGGAACTAAAATGGGTCACGTGATACAGAGTGGGGATACGCGCTACATTGAAATCCAGTACACAGATATATAAATATAAGGCCTGTTCTTTTTCGCTGCACTCATTGAATAAAGAATACCAGGAAGGAGCATGTTGCGATATATCGTAGGCTATCGAAAAGCTAGACTATAGAGATTAGTTTAGTTTTATGACGTCACAAGACAAGAACGTCATAAAATTAAACCGCAGGAAGCCATGTCTGGCGGTATTATTGAAACATGTTGGAAATGTGTAGCAAAGAAATATTTCCTTCAGGTGAGTAATAGAAAATTTATATTTGTATTATTGTTCATAATTTTAATAGTAAGAAATATATAAACTTATTGTTTTTAATAAATAAAAAGTTTGAATGTAATGAGTAACACACGTTTGACTGTAAATTTTAGACTTTTGTAAGTTATGAATTGAATACATATTGAAAAAGAAAGTCATATACCTACTGAAAATCTACTAACATATTAACAATAACATAACATCAATGATATAATGCTCCATTCAATAATATAAAATATAATCTAGACAGATTTCCTAAGAACATGCCGAAAATATTTTGAGACCATTCAACATCCTAAGAATATCACCAGGACATCTCTTGAAGATTTTATGCTGTGTGTGTTTTAACAATTAAATTGTTGAATGGGAAATTGTAAGATTAAGATGTTACTGTTAACTAGATATATTTAATTCATAACATTGGGATTGCTAACATTGGTATTGCTAATATTGAATATTCATAGATATATATATATATATGTGTGTATATATATATAAAATTTATATATATATGTATATAAAAATATTTACATCATAAATGTAAAGCAACAGTCAATTGTAAGAAAACTCTTGTAAAAAGATTTTTTCGATAAGGAATGGATCAACATATATAATATTTGTATATATTTATTTATATGTAAAATATAATAAATGTATTTTGTACATAATACAGTATATAATAAATATATAATACTTGTATGTAATGAATGTACAGTATATAATAAACGTATATGTAACATAAATGCATAATACTTGATTGAACTGCGTACAATATATCCCTTATGGAAATATAATCCCAATATAATCCCTTACGGAAAAAACACTAAGATATTGAGTGTTAACACTCAATTGTTTAAATTTATTCTCAAATGTAGATATTTATATTCAAATTAGAATGTATATGTTCATATTTGAGAATTTTGAGAATTAATTCGAACAATAGAATGTAAACACTCAATATAGTTCAGTGTTTATCTGTATAAATATATAATACTTGATTCGACAAAGTATACTTAATTAAAAGTCATACATTTCACTCAATTAAAGTATATCATTATAATTTATGTCCTCTAATAATTACTTAAAAAAGGATTACTTACTTTTATTTATTTTGTTTTACTTTAAACATTGAGATAGAAGGAACCACTGGCACAATATGTCTTCTTGCTACCTTGATTACCTCTGAATAAATGTCATCATTCTTGCAGGCACTTGGTAAGTTGACTTGATGTAGTTAATGACAGGAATTTAACATTAACATGTGTCCAGTTTTACTGTAGAATGTGCAGATTGATTTAAGATGAGGAAAATAATTTATAACAGTCTATATATATATATATATATATATATATATATATATATATATATGTATACATATTATATATATAACTATTTATTGTCCTTTAAATAAGACTAGTTTGTTATAAAATGTTCGAACATAACTTTCATTATTTCCGTGTATTGCACTTTTAGAAATATGGTGCGTCCTCAATTTATAAAACTCAGCAACAATTTTTGTAATTAAATTAATAACATGCTCTTCGAAAGTAGTTTGATCATGATTCATTGATAACTCTAAAAAGATTTGCTTATCTAAAAATTTATTTAGAATGTCTTGTTCCAAACTTTCTTTCAGCGATGTTGCTAATAACCCAGATAGCCAAGCCTGCTAATGTCAGGTTTTGCTAAATGTGTGCCGCAAGTCATGCTGTTATAATTGTAGTATTAGTAAAGCATGATCAATGTCAGACGATGTACGCAAAAGTGAAACAGAAATATAACAGGAAATGCATCATGATATGAAAGCAAAATTACCGCAAAAATTAGGTACAATATGTCAGCATAGCAAGATAAAAATTTAAGCACTGTATGCTGACATAGTATGTCCAATAGCAGCAGCACAAAATTGAATATAGAATGACCTTACATCGTGCGAACAGCAAGCAGTTAGAAATCAAGCTGAATGGGTAATATTTTGTGACAGGAGAAATAAGGCAGAAGTCGATCACGACGCGTCGTTCGAACGTAACAGCAGAAACACTGCAGAAATTGTTCACGACGTGCAGTTCAAACACGACGACAGAAACACGGCAGAAATCGTTTACGACGTGCCGTTGAAACACAACGGCAGAAACAGGGCAAAAATCGAACGACGTGCCATTTGAAAGTAACAGCAGAAATGCAGCAGAAATAGGGCACGAAATTTTGCTTTTTAGCGGTGCCTCCTTCACGATCTATATATATATACTTACACACACACACACACACACGCACACACGCACGCGCACACACATACACACACACACACACACACAATTCATTTGGTGGATTATTTTAGAGTAGGTATTATAAAGATTTACAATAAATTTGTATAAAGCAATTTATTTTGTACACGGTGTTTCATCAACATACAGTTCAGTACGACGGATGGACAATCCATCGTATTGAACTGTATATCGACGAATCACCCTGTATGTGTAAAAGTAGCATAACTTATTTTATATGTTGTAAAATTTTACAAAGTTTATTATATAATATAGCTAATATAATATTACAATCTAGTATAATTTTACTATGTTTACTATGTTTACTATATATCTAGGTAAATGCTATCTAATTACGTGCTTGCGACAGGGTATGTACATAAAATGTTATTAAAATTTACTTTGATGTTTCTTTTCTCCTATCTCTCTCTCTCTCTCTTTACTTAAAAAATCATATTTATAAAAAACATTCTCTTCAGATGTCATCTTCAGATAAAGATCCGTATGATCTTCCATTATATATCATGAGAGAATATACAGTTAAAAGTGGAAGATCTGGTATAAAAAATAGAAAAACAAAAATAGAGAGATGGTAAAGAGAATATTAAAACAAATATAAAAAGTCTTTCAAAACATTGACAGAGAAAAATTAAAACTTTCATGTTATTAATTACATAAAAAAGTAAAAAAAATCTTGACGTGCTTGATGCTTCTTTATTCTATGCATTTAATAAACAAAAAAAGGGGAAGAATAGGAATATTTAAAAACTTAAAATTTTTGTAACTGAAAACGAATCAGAAGAAGTTGTGCCTGACAAAATCGAAAACATCTGATAAGAACTGAAATAAAAAATATGAGCAAAATAAACGTTGTTCAGGCACGTAATTAGATAAATCTTATGCTAAACTTATTCTATCCTGTATATTTATATATATCCTATATATCCTATATATATATATATTTTTTTTTATACCAGATCTTCCACTTTTAACTGTATATTCTTTCATGATATATAATGAAAGATCATGCGGATCTTTATCTGAAGATGACATTATCTGAAAAGAATGTTTTTTATAAATATGATTTTTTAAGTAAAGAGAGAGATATATATAGAGTAAAGATTTTTGAAGTAAAGAGAGAGAGATATATATATAGAGTAAAGATATATATATATATATATTTACATATGCATGCATGTAATACTTATGTTATATATACTTATTTTCTCTCTTTTAGGTCCATGACTCCACATCTTGCAAGAAGTGTCATCTAGCGTATATGAAAAATACACTTTAACATAAAGATATAATATAATCAGTGATATATAATAAAACAGGCACTTTCATTTAATTTTGCTATTCTGTTCAAGTCTATTTAAAATATCATTTTTATCTGTCTATTCAATTCTTATGCGGTAAAAAAGAATTCTGTCGTATATATATTAAGTAATATTCTTGTGCTGTGAAACCAAATTATGAAACGTAAGAACGCTTACTCTCCACTTAACAAGGTGTAACAGAGAAATAAAAATAATTTTAGATGAATAATTTCAGACCCAAACAGTACAGCAGAATTAGGAATTAAGTAGTAGAAAAAGTAATAATAATTTCCCAGATAGAAAACATACGTCATTTTAACGTTATTTTTTATCATGCTTTGGTCATTTTTTGGTCCAAACTGACCAGATTTGAACGTCAAAGTGAGTATGCTTGCTAACTTATTGGGTTATTGACATAATGAGGAAATTATCTAAATAAAATGTAAACACGTACTTAATTGTTTTCATTAGGCGCTTCTATAGCTTCATCCTGCGGTTCGCCCTGCTCGTCATCCCATAACCTGCGGGCCATACGTCGCTCACGTGGCTCGCGGATATTCATCCTATGGCGTTGTTTTGCCGCCCGCAAAGCGTCGCGCATACACATCTGGAACTCCGTCCGGCTAGGTTTATTGAAGTGGCGATTATTGCTAACAGCGTCTGGGTAAAATAATATACATTTCATTTTTTCTTAAATTAAACGTATTATCGTGCATTTATCATAATTTGTGTTTGTAAAGTGACTTTCCTCAGGACGAGCAATTTCAAATTCAAATTTATAATGTAATATGTAAGCGTTACCATAAAAAAAAACTGCAGTGCTAGAGAAGAAGTTTTTGATATCAATATTACAATTATATATGCATACAGTCGTGGGCGATAAGGTTGTTTGTTTTTTTTGTTTTTTGATGCAGTTTGGAACACAGCTGATAATCCAATCAAACAACTCAAATAGTAAACATATGTACATTTTGACATCAAAATTTGGTCAGATCAGACCAAAACATGACCGACGAATGACCAACATGACGTGTGCCCGCTGCTTGAGATTTCTTATTGCACAATTCGGCTACGCTCCGAACTGCTTCGAAAAAAAGCAGTCCACTTTACATATACAGGATGTCCCATTTTAACGTCCCACTCCAAATAACTCTTCAGTATTGAAGTTTCAAGGAAAATAATCCAAATAAAAGTTGATTTAAGTGAGCTATCTTATGATGACCTTGACTTTGACCTCTATTTTCAAGGTCATTTGGAGGTCAACTTGCGTTTTTTAAATGGGAACTCTTATTTTTTATTACACTGTTTTCTTCTACTAGTTAATTTGAACAACTTTTGTCTGAAACATTTTTTTATTTGTCTAATATTTTTTGAGACATTTGAGGAAAACTTGATAACTTTTTTCAATATTTAACTTACGATATCTCGCTAATTATTTGTCGGAAGAAAAAGTGGTACTAGACTTTCATGCTTTATTTTGTCTCAAGAATATATTGTTATAATAGCGCCCTGATTTTTGTTAATTCGATGATTTTGAAATTTCCAATAATCAGTAAGTTAACAAAAGTCAAGGCGCTATTGTAACAATATATTCTTGAGACTAAATAAAGCAAGAAAGTCTAGTACCACTTTTTTTCCGACAAGTAGTTAGCGACATATCATAAGTTAAATATTGAAAAAGTTATCAAGTTTTCCTCAAATATCTCAAAAAATATTTGACAAATAAAAAATGTTTCAGACAAAAGTTGTTCAAATTAATTAGTAGAAAAAACAATGTAATAAAAAATAAGGGTTCCCATTTAAAAAAACGCAAGTTGACTTTCAAATGACCTTGAAAATAGAGGTCAAGGTCAAAGTCAAAGTCATCATAAGGTAGCTCACTTAAATCCCTACAACTTCTATTCAGATCATTTTCCTTGAAACTTCAATACTGAAGAGTTATTTGGGATGGGACATTAAAATGGGACACCCTGTATACGAGTGTAAAGAATTAATTTTTTTATGGTATGCATGTAGTTGCTTAAATTTGAATTTAAAATTTCTTGCTTTCTTCACAATGATTTTACGAGGTCAAGTATGATTTTTATAATTAAGCAATATGACTTTTGCTACGATACTCGAAAGTAAAAAGGTTGGAATACTTTTGTCGATGATTTTTTCCAGCAATCACAATGTAACATGTAACATACCTGTTAATTGTAATTTCCTACTCAACAATGTAACTATACAGGGTGTCCGGGAAATGTTGGAAACGATAAATTATGAAGATTTATTTATCAGGTCAAGCTGAGAAGAAAAGTTATATACCATTTGGCAAACATCGCAACAGTTATCAAGTTATTAATGATTGAAGATGGCTACATTTGGAGACTTTTTTAATTAATTATTAATTTGGTCATTTGCGCATTTATTAGAAAAATGGTAAGGATCTTATTGTTCCGAATAAACCTAATATACAATTATATATTGGCTATTGTATACCTAACGATAAATTCACGATCCAGGGTTCAAAGTTCAATATATTCATATCTATCGCTAGGCAAAGTAGTCGTTATATAATTGTAGATTAGGTCATTCTGAATAATAAAGTCCTCTATTATTTTACAAATAAGTACGCAAATAATCAAGTTATTAATTTAAAAACTTCTAAATGTGGTCACTTTTAATCATTAATAACTTGATAACTATTGTGAGTTTTGCAAAATGATACATGACTTTTCTCCTCAGTTTTACCTGATAAATCTTCACAATTTTTCGTTTTCAAAAGTTCCGGGCCACTCTGTATAACGCGTGTGTTATACGACATTTACATTTTTTAATAGGACACGAACAGTTACGTTACATTCGAATAAACACGTGTATCTAAAAGATATCTTAGAGATATCTTTAAAATATCTTTTAGACACTTATATCTAAAAGACCTCTTAAAAAACTCTTTTAGACATTTTTTTAGACACGCATATTTATTGGGATGTTATTTTATGTTTGTTGGGTTTGAACAAATTCCGGCATCCAATAGGAGTTTGTCTGGTAAAGAATCAGTCAGAAACGAATTGTTCTATTGGATACCAAGATTTCTTTCAAACTGCATAAAAGAAGGGGAATGGTAACCTTTTTGTTTTTGAGTATACATCAAAATTACATTATTACCAGTGTAATGAATGCTATAAAATATAGCCGAGTCTACAATAGGTGTAATAAGTCTGAAAAGTCATAAGAAATTTATTGACTTATTCTTAATTATGCTCCTCATATTCGACTGTTAATTTCTTGCGGCTTAAGACTTACTACTACATATCGTAAATTCGGTTTAATACAATGCGTGTTAAATAAAAAGAATAATTGTATCAATCAGAGAAATAGTAAAATATGAAATAGCTTTTTCATCTTATTTTAGCAATCAATTCTTTTGATTGCGTTGACTAACATGACGTCAAAAATGCTTTTCCACTTTTAAGCAACGAATCGCAATGTTAATGTATGTAATGTATGTCGAATAGGTCAACGCAATCAAGAATTGATTACTGAAGCCATAAACCAAAGTTATATCATATTTTGTTGCTTTTTCTAGTTGACTACTATTTTGTATTTTCTGTCGTGCGTAAATAATACTTACCGTAAATTGCCAGTACTATACGCTGTTTGTACAGTGCTCGTTGACGGCCTTCCTCACGGCCAAACCATGTGAACGCGGTTGCCACACTGTCCTTTATAGCTTCTTTGAAACACAGGTTCACCGACTCTTTGACGTTGAATCCTCCTATGTATTCCAAATATTCCACCTGTATAAAAAAGACACAAGAAAGATAAATATATGTTATTGTTTATTTAAATTTACCTGCAACATAACTATTAGTTACAATTTCCCACTCAATAATGTAACTGTTACATAAAAAACGCGTCATATTGCATTTGCATTATTGAGTGAAAAATAATAACTAATGGTTAGGTTATATAATGTTTTCTGGGATAAGACAATAACTATATAATTTTTTCTTTATCTTACCACTTGTTTATACGTGTCTTCGTTTGCCGACTCAAAATCCAACATCTCTGCCTCGGTAGAAATGGGCAAGCAAGTTGGTTTCTCCAACGCACGGCGTCGATTCTGATTATTTTGCATGGATCTTAAAATACGCTCCATCGTATTGTTTAATTTCCTGAACACAATACATGCATTAATTTACACACGTGTACAAATATACGCACGGCTATGCATTAACATATTGTAATCAGACATCAGACATCAGTTGGAAATAGATTAAAAAAGTGTGCGATAGAACCGGTATGCTGTCGACAGTGCGTAAGAACTAATTTAATAACAGTATATAAATATCATACCATCAGCCAGATGTACGTTTAATAGAGCGTACCGGCTCTATCGCCCTCTTTTTTAGACTTTGGAAATTTACGTCGTTTACCACTGACATTCCCAAGCGCTTGTTAGCCATCGTATGTATCGTATCGAGTATGGTAAATATGGTAGTGCCGTATGCCGTTACGCCGGTCTGGCGATAAGAACAGGATGATGTAGGAAATAACACAACGTCGCATAATACCAAAATACCTTTTATTATTACGATTGATTATATAATCAAACAATGAAGCGGATTTTAACACCATGAAACGTTGTGTTACTTACTATACCATCCGGTTTTTACTGCCAGACCGGCGCGGCGGCATATGACACTGCCATAGTAGGCGCTTGACAGCTAACGAGCGCTTGAAGTGGAGAAGCTAATCAGATAAGTGGCGCAAATTTCTGAAGTCTAGTTATAATATTTCACTCGCCTCAATTCTGCCTGTACGTGGTCAAGCCGATTGTGAATTTTCCTGTATAAGAAAGATTATAATTAAATTAAAATACTTATCACAGTTACGTTACTTTATTCGCATATAGATTTATTTACAAAATTTCTTTCAATAACCGATACACTCACCGATTTTCCGTTCTATCGCCTTTATCGTCCTGCATCTCTTGACCTTCAGCATTGCGACATTCATCCCAACTTTGATCCTGAAACTTTCGAACAGCATTAGTTTTTGTATGGATATTTATTTGATTATTACTAAGTATAGGTAAGGATGTTACAGGTTGATGTTCTATGTATGTAGAGGGTGTAATGTGGGATAATTCTGGGTATGATTTTGCACGTGTTTGTAATTGCATGTATTCATTTTGTCTTTGTGGCGATGTGTAAAGTGTGAATATAGGTGTAATGTCTTTATGAATATTTTCTGAAGAATTTTCTTCTAAAATTCTTCTCAACTCCCTGATATCTTCCTCCACAGCCATGTTTCTCTCAAAAATTTTTCTTGAAGTTGTGGCAGCTTCATCAAAAGAGGTCGTCTGGTATCTCTGCGGTTTTGTTATTTGTCGTTTTGGGCGATCCATCTGCGAAAATTTTTTATATAATATATATTTACACAAATATATATATATATATAGGTAGTATGAAATATTATATAATAGCTAAATGACTTTCTCTAGCATCTGCAATACATGCACATTAATATAATAAGCATTTTTTATCTCCATACACGATAGCTCATGCATATGTGCGTGCATAATCTTTCTTGTATAGATAATGGAAATGCTTATTACGTGTATGTACATGCGTTAGTTGCTAGTCCTTAGAGTAAACAGTAACATTTCAGACATGGAATATGTATATATATGGAGAGACATATAGGTGCATATGTTCTCCATGTACCTTATCTTCTTGCATGCGTAGCGTACTACTCCTCGATGCTAAATTCTTTTTAAATTGCGTATGATACGCAACGTCGCAACTTTCTACGCGCCTGTGTATAAATTATCAGCTATTTCAAAATATAATTAATGCACAGAAACACGCATACACGCACGCATATTCAATACAACCCGGGGCAAACACAATGTTACATACAATGTTACGTACATATTAGTTATAATTTCCTACTCGACAATGCAACTGTTATATACTACGTGTATTATATAACAATTACATTGTTGAGTAGGACAATACAACCAACACGTACGTTACGCGTGACACTGTGTTTGCTGGAAATATACAACATAAAAATTTCGAATCTGTTTCCGGAAATGCGCAAAAAAAGTTTTCTTAACAATATGTACACACATAGCTCGTGGTCAACAATTTAAAATTTATCGTAATGTGTTATAGTTGCGATAATACACTCAAACGCAAAAAACCCGGTACACTAAAAATTTGGGAAAAAATTACAAAATTTCAAATGATCATAACTTGGTAAATAATGAAGATACAAATATGCGCAGAAATGCAACATGAAGCTTGAAACGTCCTCTTTAAGAATATCTAAATTGCAATTATGCTCGGCCATTTTTTTAAAAATGGCGGATGATAAAGTGAGAGGATGCAAAATTGATAATCAAAGGTCCGTGTTTGCGATGGTGCATGGTGTGCATCAGGTATCGCAGCGTAATGGAACCAAATGCACATGAAAGTATAGAGTGTTATCTTTAAAATGCTACTTTACCGAGCTCGATATGATCATTTTTCACTGAGTTGTTCCAAATTTTGCTAAAAATGCGGTTTTCTTGTTAAATTTGCATAATTCAATGAATAAGTATCGCATCAAGCTCTATAACGAAGTATTTTAAAGAAAACATTCTATACTTTTAGGTACTTTTCGTCCCATTGAGCTGCGACACTTACTTTGCTCCATGCGCCGTCGCACGCTCGAACCTTTTTTTAGCAACTTTTCATGTTCTCCTTTTTATCACCCGCCATTTTGAAAAAATATCGTTGCGCACAATTTCGATAGATCTTTCGAAAAGTACGGTTTCAAAGCTTTCAAACCGTTTTTGAAATTTGCTGCTAGGATATTTAGGTGTCGAGATATTCAATTTCGAATTTGCAACAAATGTCGATTCAGCGAGGCTTAAGGGGCTAAGAGGCTCTGCGGTTCGTTTGGCTCTTTCATAATTTCAATAGCTGTGTTCATGTTTCTCTATATAATAATTTACATAACCTTCACAATATATTCAATGATTTGCATTTATTATTTTGAAAGCCAGGGAAATGAAAATAAAAATCAATTTAGGTTCTTCATTTTACGTAATCGATATTACGTAATAAAGATGAATTGCGTTTTAAGATACCGCTGTTATTAGCTCAATTTATGGTTGTAAGTCTTCCCAATATAAATCGCATGGAGTTTTACTGGTAGGAAAAGTCACATTGTATGTAGTGTGTGTGTGTGTGCGTGTGTGTGTTTGTATACCACAAGGATAAGGACCCCGTGGTTCGTCAGCTCCACAGTATTTCAAGATTTCACATCCTCCTTGTGGTGTGTGTGTGTGTGTGGTGTTACAGCAGAGATAAGGACCCCGCAGTTCGTCACTCCTGCAGTAATTAATGACTCCAAACCCTCTCTGCTGTGTGTGTAGTGTGTGTGTACTAATAGTGGGTATGACTGCCTCGTGCGCGTATTACCTCATTCATATGATCAGGCACACTCCTTATTAGTCTTTTAATTTCATCCTGCGTAATTGTATTCCATTCGTTTTCGAGAATTATTCGCAATTGCTGAGGAGCAGGTACGTGATTTCGTACTTTCCTGCCGAGGTTGTCCCATAAGTGTTCGATTGAATTTAAATCTGGACTATTTGCTGGCCAATCGAGTCGATTTATGCCAACTTCATCGAAGAAATCAAGCACTCTTCTCGCAGTGTGTGGTCGAGCATTGTCTTGCATAAACAAGAAGTTCTCTCCGATGAAGGGTGCGTACGGAACAACATACGGAATGAGTATGTCTTCCACGTATACATCTGTGTTCATATTCTTGTCAAAAAAGTGCAGATCTGTATGAGCATTAGCTGAAATTCCTGCCCAAATCATTACAGAGCCTCCATTGTAACTATGCCTCTCACTTACCGTACAGTCTGCAAATCGTTCTCCACCGCGACGATAAACTCGTTCTCGTCCATCTGGAGAATAGGCACAAAAACGAGATTCATCGCTAAAGAGTACTTTGCTCCAGTCTGCGTAAGTCCAGTCTCTATGCTCAACTGCAAAATTGAGTCGAGCTACGCGATGGTGACATTTAAGCAAAGGTACAGCTGCTGGCCTGCGCGAAAGCAGATTTTGTTCCTTTAATCTTCTCCGAACGGAGAATGTTAACGGATACATTAATGTTGCGGACATCCTTTAAATTGTTTCTAATTTGAACAGATGTTCGATGTCTGTCTCTTAACGAATTTGAAACAATAAATCGGTCATCATTGTGATTGGTACATCGAGGACGTCCCGAACCAGGCCTTCTATGGAAAGAATTGGTTTGTAAGTACCTGGCATAAGCACGTTGCACAGTTGACACTGACAAATCAAGTGCCTGAGCAACGTTCGACTTCTGCCATCTTCAATTAAAGCAATAACTTGAGCAGCCTTTTCAGGATTTATCGTCGCCATAATCGACACAATAATTTCGATGCGAAACAATCAATTATGGTTTAAATTGATGAAGTTGCACGAAGCAACGCGCCTCGAAAGGAAAAGATCACGGAAAAAGAAAAGTCGCACGAGGCAGCGCTTATCGGAGTGAACACATTCGGAAAAGGAAAATTGTTTGTCTTTGTTTATTGTCTTGGTACATACATTTAAGAAAAATTCAGTCAAGCCAGGCGTTAAAGCCCAGCGCACCGACAGAATCTCAGTCAAGCCAGAACGTAAGCCCGGCGTACTGACAAAACTCGCGAAGTCCAGCGTACAACAGATAGTGCCACTAGCGGCGGTGGACCGTACGAAGGCCAAAAGCTGTACGAAGGCAATCTCTGATCGTCTCCGCGGGCACTCTTATATGCCCTGAGCAGCTCGAACTCGCGTGCGAGCCAAGGGGCTCGCGCGCGCGACAACCCAGATCGCCGCGTCGCGGCGGCTCCGTGGACTAGGAGCGCCAGGGAATTTCGACGTTCAGGTGGCGTCCAGCGACTCGGCATCCCGCGCGCCGGGTCACCGCGAACTCAGGCGCGATCCTGAACAGCATATTCAAGCTGTGTACCATAATGGCCAATCGTACGGAGAAGGTAGAGAGCTAGGGACAGCTTCGCGAAGTAAAGTGTATACCACAGTGATCATGCGTAACTGAAGGGTAAAGAATGATAACTTTTGATAAAAATTAAATTTCCAATTCGCAAAATTATGTAAATTATTGTATAGAGAATAATGAACGCGGCTATTGAAATTATGAAAGAGCCAAACGAACCGCAGAGCCTCTTAGCCCCTTAAGCCTCGCTGAATCGACATTTGTTGCAAATTCGAAATTGAATATCTCGACACCTAAATATCCTAGCAGCAAATTTCAAAAACGGTTTGAAAGCTTTGAAACCGTACTTTTCGAAAGATCTATCGAAATTGTGCGCAACGATATTTTTTCAAAATGGCGGGTGATAAAAAGGAGAACATGAAAAGTTGCTAAAAAAAGGTTCGAGCGTGCGACGGCGCATGGAGCAAAGTAAGTGTCGCAGCTCAATGGGACGAAAAGTACCTAAAAGTATAGAATGTTTTCTTTAAAATACTTCGTTATAGAGCTTGATGCGATACTTATTCATTGAATTATGCAAATTTAACAAGAAAACCGCATTTTTAGCAAAATTTGGAACAACTCAGTGAAAAATGATCATATCGAGCTCGGTAAAGTAGCATTTTAAAGATAACACTCTATACTTTCATGTGCATTTGGTTCCATTACGCTGCGATACCTGATGCACACCATGCACCATCGCAAACACGGACCTTTGATTATCAATTTTGCATCCTCTCACTTTATCATCCGCCATTTTTAAAAAAATGGCCGAGCATAATTGCAATTTAGATATTCTTAAAGAGGACGTTTCAAGCTTCATGTTGCATTTCTGCGCATATTTGTATCTTCATTATTTACCAAGTTATGATCATTTGAAATTTTGTAATTTTTTCCCACATTTTTAGTGTACCGGGTTTTTTGCGTTTGAGTGTATATTGAGAAGTTTGTAAATAATCATCTTCATCACTACTCTCGTCTGCTATTATTGGGTCACTCCAGAAGGGCATTCTGTAACATTTACTACTTGATCTAAAGAAACGGAAAATATGTCATTACTTAATGAAGAGCACATATAAATATCTATCGCTGAAGATGATATACCGATATCATAGAATTTATTTACTTTTAAGAATTTCCTCAATGTTAAATAATACGAATTTTGCACAACCAGGATATTAGTAACAATGCAAATGGATCTATCACGTAAAATGCAACAGTTGTCACGTGTTTCGCAAGAAAGCAACATTTCGTTGAATATGATTTTACGGTATTGCAAAGAGTTAGAAGATAAATTACATGGAATTTAACCCGAAGTATGTTTCATTGATACATGAACGGAAGATCCCGTGCTAAAATGCTGACTTGTGTTACAAGCTTTTATTTCTGCCATTCTTTTAAAAATCTGTTGTAGAGGAAGATTAGGCTTTCTGCAATATTTCCTAAAGAATGTCATATTATTTTCATACGGAAAAGCTGAAAATGAGTCCAGAGGATCTAATTGTCGCACATCATCGGTAAGGTGAAGAAGACCGTGTATATTATACGAATTAAATGTGGCACCATATAGACTTTCTATCAACAAATTTTTTTAGCGCAAGATCTGCAAACTTCAAATATGCTTCAAATGCTTCTGACGGTGATGTGGAAACTAAAATCTTTATTGCTACATGCAAAAATAAAAAATGCGTGTATAATTGTTGATCAAGGATACCATATGTCACAACAGGACCTGTATGTAAAGAAGAAATTGACGCAAATCCGTTGCTTTATATTTTGTATATGTATCGAGAGACTTGGGACGTCGTGCAAAATCAGATGGACAATATGTCTTTAATGTTTCCAATCGTTTAGACATAATGGAGATAGATTTTGCTGGTAACTTGGATAGACGTGAATACTTACCACACGCCCATGCAGATAATAATTTTTTCATTACTTCTAAACATACTAGATGCATGTATTCAAATGGTACTTGGGACACCATACTAAATGGTAATGATTCCAATGGACTCCTACCATCTTTATGATGATCCTCGTCATTGCATGTCACATATTCTTCATTAGTTCGTAAGAGATGGTTAACACCACGGAAAATGTTACGTCCTTCACACCATGTATCAGAAACTTTACATTTAGAACATGGTTTATTAGAAATATGGCTTCGATGATTAAGTATAAATGCACGAGCTGGAGCATCTGCTATAAAACATGTTAAAATTATTGAAAATTTTTTTCCACGGGCACTTATACCTCCGTTATTGAATATTTTTTTAATATCTGTAATAAACTTTTCAAAAAATGTATTTGGATTGTTTGGTTTTGAAGCACCTCTATATATTCCTACTATTATTGGTTTTGTGTGTCTGATATTTGCAAGTCTACATTGAATTGGCCAAATATGAATGTTTCCTGATTTATCTAAGTTGCATCCATCGGTATTGAAATCAATTTCTAACTGATTTGGGAGAGATGTATTTGGAAATTGCAAAAGTACTTCTATAATGCTCTCTTCCAGGCCAAAGTGAATATATTCACCTGGTTCTACTGTGAATATAAAAACTTTATGGAGTTTCTATAAGTGTTCTGACGTCCTTTGCTAAGTTATTAAAGCAAGCATGCGTACGGAGAATCGATAAAATGTTATTACACTGAACGTGAGTTAAATTATTTTGTACGAAACAAGACGCTAAACTTTCTTTAAACGATGGTTCATCCGAGGAAATACTTAGAGACGACGAAGCAATCTCGCTATCAGAAAAAGGATCAAGAATATTATCACTAACGTTTACAACGTCTGTACTATCAAAAATGTAATTGTCGAAATCAGCTGTAAAAGTACTACATTCCGCGTGTACAGGGACATGAGTGTTTTGAATTTTAGTTACCACATCACACCGTCTTACATCGTTCCCTATATTAGCTTTGAATCGCAAATTACATCTAATTTCACACGCGATTCTCTTGTACTGTCTTATACATAACTTTTGCGAACGTTTTCGTGAGATAGAACGTTTCAATATACGATGTTTATTCATAGTTACGCTTTTTCCGTTATAACTTCCTGCTTACTCGCCTTCTTCTTGCTTCTTGCCTCGTAATAACTCGCCGTCCTCCTCTCGGTGCACTGCGATATCCGAAATTATCCTTTGTCACTAACCGACAATGGCACGCACAGTCAACTAACAGTGCAACGTATTTAAACATAGGACGATCGACACCGCCACGACAGGAGCGCTATCAATTGTCGTCCACCAACCACAACGATAGGAGCATGCGCACAGTTCATACTGAGACTATTCATTTATCTTACGCATGCTCCTCGGTTTGTGCGCTCGATATTGCTCGCGCGACAGCTAGCCAGAAGCAGCAGCAGCAGCAGCAATAGCAGCAGCGGCAACAGCAGCAGCAGCACGAGCCAAGGATGAGTTTGGCGATTGCCTGCGCGCACACCTTACGGAATACCCTCGTCGCCTTCTTGTCATTGTCATCCCCGCCGACGCAGTCGACACCGACGCAGCCGCAGCCGCCGCCTTGTTTGTTACTGTTATTCTCGTCCCAATTCCAAATTTTCCCGCAACAACTGTTTCCGCGACCGCTCTGCGCGTTCTTCTCGACCAGAAGGAAGAGCGCGTTCAGCTTCTTCCCCTTTGCACCGCCGTGTTCTGCAAAACGAAAGCACGTCTATAAGTGGAATTCGGAGGTCGGAATAGTGAAGAAAAATGGACTTTTTTTCTTGTTCTTTTTCTCATTGTCATGTACTAATACCGAACGCTAACAGCTCAATTTGAACCTTGAAACTATGCCAGCGCAACGAGACCGGGCGGTTCATTCAGTGTAGATCGAGTAATCGCGGTGTAAACAACATCTTTTTATGAGTCACGATGATCCTACGCGCGAAAATGAAGCGTGCGAGATGATTGACTTGCAAAGTTCAGCTCGTCTTGTGAATTTCGCGTGACAACAGTTAAAATGAAATTAGGATTTTTAACACGTTCATTGCCAAACTGAAAATTTGAATTTCGTGTGGTGGCCAAAGTTATTTTTTCTTTTATTTATTTTTAGTCGTTTTTTCGCACGATCTGGCATTGAACTGAGTCTTTTCGAGGGTCCTGGTTTGTCACTCATAATAAAAAACAATCGCGTGAACGGCTGTTTGGTGAGGGGCCGCAACACGCGATATCGCGTGAACGGCAATGAACGTGCTAATGGTCATTGCATACATCCTCGTAAAGATATCAGATTTGTGTTGTTTTTAGAAACGCTAAAACAACTTCGCTAATCGAAAGAGATCTTTTAAGAATGAACCTTTGTACAGCGCAAGTTTAACTGACTCTTTGACGTGGGATGAGCCGACTGACTTGCAGCAATTAGACGATGTACATGTAAACGTATACATTTGACCTACAAATTTATACATACATGTTCAAGTGATCTACACTCTGTATACAACGTGTCTCAATTATTACGGATACTATGCTGAGAATACTAATAGGATTGCAGTAATAACATTATTAAATTAAGCACATTAAAGTGTTTTAACTTGCCGCTGATTTTTCTCATCCGCGCCGACAGTTCGAGAATGACCTCCAACCCGCACAATTTTATATTTTTCATCATCACTTCTGACGTTGAAAATATCTTTGAAAAAGACACTCTTGTATCATGGCGCTGCCTCTACGATTTCTGTTAAAATAATTGCAATATATTAATGTAACAAATACAGTAGAAGAAAGAAACAGTCAGAAATTATGATCTATTTTATTATTTTATTAAAATGAAGTAACTTACGGGAGGAAATGTCCGTTGAGAAACGACGAGTTAACAATCGAAATCGGCACGTGTGGCGCCGAGAAGCGCGGTGCGGTTTCGAATATACCGCGTCTCGCGATATCGAGCGTTAAATTTCGTCTCTTTTGAATATCATTAAATATCGCGATTGAATTAATTGGCAGATTTGTCTTTTCATAATTCCCTCGATCGCCATCTGATACGCTAATTTCACAATGCAGTGTTCATATCGCCAAGTGCGCCTCGCGATTATTCGTATAAAGTATTAAAACATAAAAATGATCGACGATCGTTGTTGTCGATAAACTTTGACTCTTTGTTGTCGCTGAAACAAGATAATTAAAAACATATCGTATATGTAACTTGACAAAAAAAGGCAACATGGCCGGTAGTCATCATCGAACGATTCATTGCACACAAATATTGTACACTCTGTCGATTAACTTCTATCTGTTAATTACTTCTATCGGTACAATATTCGCCCAGCATCGTTTGATTAAATAATATGCGAAATAATCATAAAGATAAGATGTTAAATCGTGTCGTTATTTTGATCGCGCAGGGCGAGAATACGATTTGTGAGGTTGTACATCGCGTTTGTACTTTGTGGTCGGTTTCACACTTACTTTTTCCAGTCTTCCCGCCTCATCAGATCTCATAGCATTCCTTTTTCGAGAGTTGTCACTCGTCGTGTTTGTCACATTTCTCGATATTTTACGCAGAGCGGCATATTCACATATTGTGCAGTCCTTCTTGTGCGCGAAATTTCGAAAGGAGAAGGTAAGGCTAGGTGACATTGGTTGCGTTCAGAAAACAAAGCGCTCAGTGAGCGCTTAGTAACTATTGGTCCTTACTGTTAGATCCTTACATTCAGACCAATAACGTTGACGAATTACTCAACCGTTGTGTAACCGTTGTGTTTTCTGAACGCAGCCATTGTATACGCTGAAGATGGCTGAAAATGTCGCGCGTCAGTCCGATATGTTCTCGAAGAGAGGGACGATGCTGTAGATATGTGCACGTGAGACAGTGCGAAACGTTCGTTTCGTCTTATATAGTCAAAATCCGCATTTACGATGTCAGATGAGTCCGAGTATGACGTGGAGCCGGAGGAGTTTGATATCTACAAGAGGAAGTATCAATTGCTGTTAGAAAGATGCGAGATTTTACAGCAGGTCAACAATTCTGTTTCTACCCATGCAAAATCACCGTAACGTATCTAATAGGATGATTATCTCAAAACTATTGTTTCTTCCAACTATAGGAGAATGAACGATTGGTCTATAGAATTCAGAAAGTGAGGAAGCTTCTGCGACGCACGAGAAAAGAGAAAAAGTTAGTTTCTAGGTTAAGACGGTTTGCTCACTGACCTGAAATACGCGTAGGTTTTGATTTAAATTTGTAATATTGATAAATAGATTTCTGATCGATCGATTGGACCAACATGGAGATCGCTGGCGCGAAGTACCAATGGGTGTCCTTGAGGAAAATAGTGTATTCCAAACAACTCCAAAATCAGAGAAAGGTGGGAAAGGTGCTTCTCATAATGCCAAAGAGGAAAAACCCAAGAAAGGGACCAAGAGAAAAGGTGCAAAAGCTGATCCAAATGCGCCAAAACGTCCTGCTAATCCCTTTTTCCAGTTTTGTCAGGAACAAAGGCCACGTGTAATGGAACGTTTGGCCGGAGAGCCGGAACCTAGTAAACAAGAATTAACTAGACAACTTGCAACCACATGGAAATCTCTTAGTTCTGAGGATAAAAAAGTACAAAATCTCCTGATATTATTTATAATAGAATTAACTTTTATAATCACCTCAAACATCCAATGTACCTACAATATATATATATATATTTTTTTTTTTCTTTCAGGTATATTACGATATGTACGAAAGATCCAAAGAAAAGTATGTCGCTGAGATGCAAATATACAACAAGAAAACTGAAGATGCACCTTGTCAGGTGCCTTTAAATATCACATAATACTTAATTGTGACAATATCCATTCATTACAAGATAAGTAATTTATGGTTGTACTTTTTAATATGTAGAAGCAGGTTATTGTATGTACATTAATGTTTATAATTATGTAGAAAGTATATACCAAATATTGTATAATTTTTTCTTACATATGTGAATATGGAACAACACTTTTAGCCCATGTATCTCTTAAACAGAGCTGGCCACGATCTGCACATTTCGGGCGAAATTCAGTAGGTGACGCTTACCCTGCCCCTCGCATCGCTCCGCGCTCAGCGGCCGGGGTGACGATCGCGGTATACTCAGGCCTGTCGCTGTATAGGAAATCAGCTGAGGCGTCACATTATCATTAAAATTGTTTCCTCGTTTAATAATTACTTTAAAATATATATGCTTACGTGTTTAATACATACATATATATATATATATATGCATACATACATACATACATACATATATAATCGATAAATATATATATTTTAACATGATTATTAAACGAGGAAACAATTTTAATGATAATGTGACGCCCCAGCTGATTTCTTATACAGCGACGGGCCTGAGTGTACCGCGACTGTCGCCCCTGCCGACTGACTTGCAGCAATTAGACGATGTACATGTAAACGTATACATTTAACCTACAAATTTATACATGTCAAGTGATCTACACTCTGTATATAACGTGTCTCAATTATTACGGATACTATGCTGAGAATACTAACGCGGAGCGGTGCGAGGGGGACGGTAGGCGTCACCTACTGAATTTCGCCCGAAATGTACAGATCGTGGCCAGCTCTGTCTTAAACCATATTTCAGAGTTATATTGAACAAATCTAAATAATCTATAACCAAATTATGAAGATATTCTGTTTTATTGAAAATTAAAGTTTTAAAGTGTCCTTTTCACATCTTAATTGCTTCATTGTTTGTATATGATCATTTTGTTTTGTGTATTTCATAACAGACGGTTCATGTACTCTCATAAACGGATTCGTCAATTTCTCATCTTTAATTGTACTTGGCACAGTTGGAAGACAATTAGAGCTTTGCTTAATTGCCCAATTGCTTTTTTCTTTAATCGCCATATTGTTAGGTTCCACTCGCAAACCAAATCTCAGATTAGGCGTTGTATACTCGTGTCCGCAATATACTTCCTACAAGATATAAAAATTATTTGTTGTAGAAATAAAATTACATTTTAAAAAGTAACTCCATATTTTTATGATTAGAATTAAGTAACTTACTGTTTCCTCTGGTAAAGAGCCTAGAACTTCAATAAGTGCCTTGTACATTTCATCAGCAGTACCCTCGAAAAATCGTCCACAACCTCCAATAAAGAGAGTGTCCCCTGCAACAAAAAATTTAATATTTAATGTGAATTGCTTTATTTTCATATTTAATATTTTTATATTTCCTGATTATATATTTAGCTTTACCTGTGAACACAGCTGGAGTGTGTCCTCCCGTAACATAATAACAGATATGGCCACGTGTATGACATGGTGTTGACAGACACTTTACAGATAAATTACCAATATTGAATGTATCGTTATGAGTAACTTTCTGATTAATAGCTTGTATTCTGTCATCTCCACCATATACCATAAGATCAGCAAATATTTTCAGTAATTTTGCATTTCCACCAGCATGATCCCAATGATGATGAGTAGTTAAGACTTTGTCAGTTTTACGTTAGTTTGTTTCACAGTATCAGTTACAAGTTTTGTATCAACAGGATCCACAATGGCAGCCTCTTGTGTTGCTTCATCCACAATCTTGCAAAATTGTAAGAAATAAATTAAGAGAATTATGCATAAGTTTTATAAAAAGTTTATTTTATTGATCAATAATCAATATTATATAGCACACATAATTTATATTGTTTCTATGACTATCTTTGATAAACGTTATACAAGTTTATACCATCATTTTCAAATATTGAACAAACATAGAGGTTATTCAAACTTGAGTAATAACCTATAAATGTTACGATAAAAAATACATACCAGATACATGTAATTATCTTGAAGCACTGGTAATATATGAATTTTCATGTTTCCACGATCCATCGTTGCGTTCTCCACGTGAGGTCCACTTCTATTGAGAGACATGCTTTGTACTGTAATATAGAAATATAAATATAGGAAACAGACAACATATATGTAAGATGTAATTTATGCAGATTAAATCTCATGTGATTGAAGTATTGCTTATCACTTGCGTGCGGTATGAAAATTTACTCTAGATTAACAAAAGAATGGTCGAATAGATGAATAGAAAGAATGGTCACGTCGCCACGTAAGAACTATGTACAAAGCGCAAGCAGACGAATGTAAAAAAAGATACCCCTAAAGTATATGGACGTGAGTTTGCTTTCAAGCCACGTTGGGCATAGACGAAGTGCGGCTTGCCGGAGTATAAAGGCCATTGTACGTAAAAAAATTTAATCGTAACCGTAAGGCCGTAAGCAAATTGACCAATCACAATCCAGCATCTCGAAATATACGAATTGTGATTGGTCAATTTGCTTACGGACTTACGGTTACGACTAAAACTTTTGTACGTGCAATGGCCTTAACGGTCGAAGTCTTCTACGTGCACTTTTTTGTGTGCGATTTATTTTTGTGCGTCTCAAACTAAGGCCTGGTCTACAATACGTGTCGTAGTTGTAAGCCGTAACAATTGGCGAACCACAGTCGATTATTACAAAAATAATCGGCTATAATTGGTCAGTTTTTACGGCTTACGACTTACGACACGTATTGTAGAATGAACTTTTCTATCCACCCGACTTTTTCCGGTCACTATTAAGAGAAAGACGAATGTACTGGTGGCAGTGACGTATACTTGCCTGATAATATGCCAGTGTGGTATTATAAAAAAAATTTATAAAAATAATCGAGTCGATCAAAAGGTCTGTTCTTTTCCTCTGCACCGCTGCACTAGTGCAATAAGTTCGAGTGAGACAAGTATATATTTGTCTCACTTTAACTTATTGCACCAGTGCAGCGGTGCAGAAGAAAAGAACAGATCAAAAGTACAGTGTGGTGCATCATATCGTGACGCCTGTATTTGTTGAAAATTACCTTAAGCTAGGTTAAATACCTAGCGCTATCTGACATGTCGGCCGGCATCATCCGGCTGCCTGTATTTGAAAATTCGGTTAGGTAACTCGCGGTGAAGTGCTGGGTAGTACGGTTAGGTTATATTAATGAGCATCCGCTATTTGAAGCAGACGCTATTAATCGCATTCGCGAAACCTGTCTTATACGTGAATAACGTGATTTTAACAAGTAAATCTGAATAGCCGGTCGAGATGTCCGCTGGTGGGACGAAAAATGTGATCACGATAGATGACGACGATGAGTATCAAGGTTAGTTTGACTAAAAGATACGATCCGCTAAAACTGTTTTGTATCATTTTCCCTGAGTCTCTATTTCTCGACCTCTCCTTTCAGTCACGGAGAACGACGAGATAGCTGCCATCGATTACGAGTTACAGCAAATAGAGACTGAACTGCAAAAACTCGAGGACCGCAAGAAAATATTGACTCAACGCAAGGAGAAATTACGCGACGACGCTCTTTTGAAGAAGAGCTTCTCTTTGTCCAAGAAGAATTGGAACAACGAGGACTTTGAGTGGTCTACCAAGCTGAAGAAAGCGTTGAAGACTACCTTCAAGATCGAAAAGTTGCGGGACTTGCAATTACCGACGATGAATGCCATCATGTCCAACGAAGATGTTATATTAATTATGCCTACAGGTGGTGGCAAGAGTTTATGTTACCAGTTGCCAGCTGTGATCAGCAAGGGTGTAACGATAGTGGTATCGCCATTGGTGTCTTTGATGGAGGATCAGTTGCATGGTTTACGTAGATTCAACGTCAAAGCTACCATGCTATGTGCCAAGGCTGACAAAGATAGCGTCAAGATGACCATGAATGCTCTAGTGGATAAAACTACTGATCTTAAACTGATTTATGTGACGCCAGAGTACATGGCAAAGTCCAATCGTTTCATGAGCAAACTGCAGAAGGCTTATGAGCTGCAGAATCTTGCTTGCTTCGCCATAGACGAGGTGCACTGTTGCAGTCAATGGGGTCACGACTTTCGGCCGGACTACAAGTTCTTAGGGGTGCTGAAGTCCATGTTCCCCAGCATATCGCTTCTAGGTCTTACCGCTACGGCACCGGCTAAGATTATTGTGGATGTACAGAAAATGCTGGACATCAGCGGCTGTCTGGTGCTGCGAGCTTCGTTCAACAGGCCAAATTTGTTCTACGAAGTTCGTCGTAAACCGTCGGACAAGGATACGTGCCTGACGATGATCGAGAATCTGTTAAAGAACAGATTCGCCGGCAAGTCGGGTATAATCTACACTACTACTATCAAGGACGCCGAACAATTGACCACAGACTTAAGGCAGAAGGGTATCAAGATCGGCTGTTACCACGCGATGCTCGAGGCTGAATATAGGTCAGAAGTCTACTCTAAGTGGATTTCAGGCAAGTATCAAGCGGTGGTCGCGACCATCGCATTTGGCTTAGGTATCGACAAGCCGGACGTACGGTTCGTCATTCATCACTGCATCTCCAAGTCAATGGAGAACTTTTACCAAGAGAGCGGTCGAGCTGGCAGAGACGGCAAGAAGTCAGTGTGCATCGTGCTCTACAGACTGGCGGATGTGTTCAAGCTCAGCACCATGGTGTTTCAGGACAAGGTCGGGCTGCAGAACTTGTACAAGGTGTTAACATACTGCCTGGACCAGGTGTCCTGCAGGCGAAGCTTGATCGCGACGCATTTCGAGGAGACCTGGGACAAGAGTGACTGCGTGGAGATGTGCGACCACTGCAGGAAACCGGGTGTTGTCAAGGACACCGACGTGGCGTACTACTGTAGACAGTTGTATCAGATCATGACTAAAGCGGTGCAGAATGAAACGCGATTGACCGCGTTGAAGCTCGTGGACGCTTGGTACGGCAAAGGTGCTACGACGTTGCGAGTTGCCAATGTGCCCGTGCCGAAGTTCACGAGGGAAACCGGGGAGGCTATCGTGGGTCACCTGCTGGCGAACGGTTATCTACAGGAGGACTTTCATTTCTCAGCGTATTCCACGATCTCGTATTTGAAACGTGGACCCAAGTCGGGACTGGCCGCCAGTCAGGATCACAAGATACTCATCAACTACGACTTACACTACTAACTCCAACCAAACGCACTGATAACACACCATCGACTGCGCGACCATTCATGCGAACAATTGTCCAGCTGCACATGGTACGTTATCTCGCTCTTTTATATCCCCGGCCATACAACGGGTGTAAAATGTATGCTTGCGTTCGCTTTGTTGAAGAAGCAGTCACAAAGCGACGTGACGAGTCGTGTCGTGCGCGAACACTCTCTTCGACCGATCGACTCATTCAAGTGTGATAAGGATCACACATGCGCGCATACACACACACACACACACACACACACACGGACGGGTGGCCGATCGAGAAGAAACTTCTTGCGCGGGACGCAAGAATGCATGTACACCCGGTATAGCCAAGCTGCGACTATGCGATTGAGAAACGGATACAGCGGATGATCGATAAAAACTACCTAGGAAGTGCGACACACGGCGAAATGTCGGCGGCTCGGGTAGTAGTAGTAGGGCAGGAGGCGGCAGCGGGTGTCGCGCGATCGTGGATGGGAATATTGATCTGGCACAGGAAATATCCGTGGCTTCGTGCGTCGATGCTGAGCGACGCGGCGCGGCGCGTCGCGTTGCGTAAGCGGATCTGCACCGCGAGGAGGAAGATCAGCGACTCCGACTAAACCCGTAACTGCAACTGTGTATTTTAGCGGATTTTCTCGAGAGTCACGTACCTGCGCGGCGGCGGTGACGGTGGCGACGGCGACGGCGACGACAACGACGACGACGACGACGAGGAACACGGTAGAGGTAGAGGTGGTGGTGGTGGTGGTGGTGGCGACGACGGCGCCCGCGCAGCCAGTAGTGACGCGTGAACGCAGCAGCGCCTCGGAAACGGGGACGTTGATTGTCGTGCGGCCGAATAGGATTTTGTTGTTTATCACACGAGGCGACGATGTCGCGAGAACGAAAGCGGCGCGACCATGACGACGACGACGACGAAGACGAGGACTGATGAGAGGACCGGGAGAGCGCAGCCGGGAGTTCTCGGGCCGACCGTGGGGTTCCTCGAGTACGACGCGCTGCTGCACCATCATGGGACTTAGAACTTATCGCCACACGTAAAAAAACGCGGAAGCGCGTTATCAACACTCCTCTGTGGAACTGGGTTAATCCAGGTGATAAGGCAATCACACGCCTGAGCGCGTATCTGCGACGATACGCAGCGCACGGAAGGCAGCAAGAGGCAAATTGCCGCCACCGTTGCGACTCGGACACGAGTCAATCCCGAGTGCAACAGTGCTCTTGCGTGATTATGCTCGCCCTCCGTCTCACCTTGCCTGGCGATTCGCTACGTTGGCGCGGACGGCGGTTGCAGCGATTCTTCGCGGACGAGGACAGCCCGGGTCGAGGTCGAACGATCGCCGAGAGGACTGCGAGCAGACGTGCCGCTGACACTCCACGCCTGGACTTCTTAGCACCCTGAGAGACCTCGGGATGATGGTCTAACGATACAGGAACGTAAGGTTCCTCGCAGCAGGCTCGTCCTCCTCGTCGGCCGAAGACGACGCGTCATGATCCTCCGGGAGATAGTAGTAGTAGTAATTACAATAATAATAACAGCGACGACGACGACGACGACAAGAATCGTCCAGTGATCTCACGGCGAGACGACAATGCCGCTACCGAACATTCTGAGGAAAGCGAGCAGCTACATCCTCGGCGACTGTGGCCAGGACAACCGGCGCGTCATTTACCAAGACGGCGAGGCGTTGTTCTGCAAAAACAACGTCTGCGTGCACCCGCCGACTCTCATGAGACAACACGCCGATGTGGTGCACCATCCCGGCTACATGACCATCACGTGTAAGTTGAACAAAAACTCCAACTTGCCGACCCTGCACCTCAGCTGGATACCCAACAGCACGTTGCGCAAGCATCCCACAACGTTGGAGAGTCTAAGCGCGAGGAACGTCGCCGCGGCTCAACGAGACTCCATCGACCCGACCTCTCCGCGCTCGCCTCGCTCGGAGAAGACGTGCGAGCCACTGAACGCAAGGCACGAGCTGGAGAACGAGAACGAGAACGAGAATGAGAACGAGAACGAGAACGAGAACGACAACGGGAACGGCAAGCTCGACGTGTGCCTGGAGGCGAAGGAGCCCGTCAATTGTGGCGACTGCGAGCGTGTTTGCTCCGGCTCAGGGTGCAGCTACGGCTACGACTTCTTACGCCGTCGAGATCCGATTGGCACGACTAGCGACGCCGAGAGCCTCGAGACCGAGAACCGTCCGAACTCGGGCTCAGCCGAGTCGCGCAACGAGGAGAACGGGGATGTGAAGGAGCGAAGTAATGACGCCGACACCAGGAGCATCGACGAGGAAGCGCGTCTCTCGTTCCGCGACGACGTCAGCGTGAAGAGCCGCAGTTTGTCGTTGACCTCGACCTGCAGTCTGTCGCTCACGGTACCCACTGACGGTACGTGGAGGTGCCGGGTCAGTCGGAGAAGTTTGGCTCGATTATTCATAGGCAAATTTCAGCGGGTTGAATCCCTCGTGAACAGATCGTCCGTCGAGTCGTTAACTGAATAAATGTAATTGTTGATCATGCTAGTCAAGTTAGTCATGTATTAGAATTGTTGGTCAAGCAGTTGTAATCGTTGACTCGAGTAGTGATCACCGTCGTCGTTTATGATTCTTCGCCAACGTCCTGGCAGGATATCTCTCTGTCATAGAAGACGGTCAACTTACCGTCGAGGTAGGGAGAAGAGAAATTCGAGCCGAACTTTCCGATCGATCCAACGCATATCCATCAGAGGTTTGCTTTTACGATTAACGCGAGCGATCACGCGGTTCCCACAGCCGAAGAGATGCCCACGTGGATGAGATCTCCGGAATTGCTGGCCCTGCAACACAATCTCGCCTTTCCCGAGAGCGCGACCGCGTCACCGGTGACGCTGCGGCGGGCGCATCGCTGCCGGAGATTCTCGGTGGACCTCAGCGAGATGAGGTCTCTCAGGCTGTTCTTTGCCGATCCTGCCTGCACCTGCGGCCAATTGGTGGTGGCAAGCAGAGAGAGCCAATACAAGATCCTGCATTTCCATCACGGTGGCTTAGACCGACTGGCCACCACTTTGCATCAGTGGCATCAGTTGCTCTATCCGCGTTTGAACGCGGATACAGAGGAGAGTCTGCCATACAGGTACCTGGAGATGTTAAACTGCAGGTTTGCATGTCGAGGAAGGGTCAGTAACGTTGCAAGATTAATGGGGCGAATGCGCACAGGCACTTCATGGTGTGCAGACCCGAGGTGAGCCGGGACGAGCTGCATCCGGAGGAAGGCCAAGTGCCGATGATCACGTCATTGGCTTGGAAAGATCTGCTGAATGAACGGGGCCAAGTGGAGGACGATCTCGCTCTGCGCAAGGGGATATTCTTCGGTGGCTTAGAGCCGGCGCTGCGGAAGATCGTCTGGCCGTTTCTGCTGCACTGTTACTCGTACCAGAGCACATACGAGGATAGGGAGCAGATCGATGCGATCAGGCGGCAGGAGTACGATGAGATACAGAAGCGCAGGCTGAACATGAGTCCGGAGCAGGCCGAGCGTTTCTGGCGGAACGTGGTATGCATAGTGGAGAAGGACGTGGTCCGCACGGACCGAGGTAATCCGTATTACGCCGGTGAGGGTAATCCTAACATCGAGGTGATGAAGTAAGTCGCTTCAACGCGTTCGTCTCTTAACGTCCTCAACAATCTCAATAGCCGGCCTTTGCTTGAGGTTGCAACTGTTCTTCTCTTGGCGTTTTCAGGAATATCTTGCTTAATTACGCGGTTTACAATTGCCGTCTGGGCTACACTCAAGGGATGTCAGACCTCTTGGCTCCGTTGTTGGCCGAACTCAATTCCGAAATCGAGGCCTTCTGGTGTTTCGCGGGACTGATGCAGAGATCGGTGGCCGTGTGCACTCCTACCGACACGGACATGGACAGAAATCTGTGCTACTTGCGGGAGTTGGTGAGGATAATGGTACCGGACTTTTATGCACACCTTCAAAAGCACGCGGACGCCTTGGAACTTTTGTTTTGCCACCGATGGATACTTCTGTGAGTACGGGCAAGCAAAAGCGCTTCTCATTTATCACAGCGCAGCAAGTTGAATGTCTCGATTAGCGATCGGGTAACCTCATTCTGCAAAAGTGAATTAATGAATCGGCGATGTACATGTTAACGCTGCGTACGTAAAGTTAATTTAAGAACGCTTAGAGAGAAATATTAAATATGTGGATTCGTATTAGTTGACTACTTAACAAACAAAATAACTGGGACATTCATCTTCAGCTTGTAGAGTACGCTCGTCATCGCTCCTCTCTTCGTTGCAGGTGTTTGAAGAGAGAATTCCCCACGGAGATAGCGTTGATTATGTGGGAGGCCTGCTGGGTCAATTACTTAACGGATCATTTCCACTTGTTTCTTTGCCTAGCTATAATGTGTGTTTACGCGGACGACGTGATCGCGCAGGATCTCAGGACGGACGAGATGCTGCTGCACTTCAGCTCGTTGGCCATGTACATGGACGGGAACGTGATAGTGAGGAAGGCACGAGGCCTGCTCCATCACTTCCGTCAGCTCGTGCGTTTGCCTTGCACGCTGGCTGGCTTGTGCCGCCAATGCGGCCCGGGGATGTGGGACAGCACGCACGATCCGGTGATAGAGTGCGTGGGCCACGAGGATGCGCACTGTCCCTATTTGAATAATTACGAGTAACCTTCTCGTCGTTCATAGGGAGAAGGGAGAAAATCAGTATTACTTAACGCGTGGATCTATATCTTATTTCGTCGGCTTATTCAATTGTAAACCCTTGTTCTCTCTCTCTCTCTATGTGCATGTATATCCGTCTATTTCTCTTTCTCTCTACACGAATCCTTCTTTGTACTCGTAGCTATAAATTTTGTACAACCAGACGGACATTTGTCGCGATCTAACGTACGACGTTCAACCACGCTCCTTGGGTTTACATGCAAATAAGCTGAGTCGTCGCGAGCGCGACGGCGCGTATTGTGTTGTGCGTCTTTGTTGTTGTATCAGCTGTATTTAGACACTCTGTGCATTGGCAGGAGGGTGAAATTGATTATCTATCTCTACATTACATTACGCAACGTCGTTATCACGCAGTCCAGTGTAATTGCTGAAGCGTTCCAAGACATATCTCGAGATCCGATTTCCAGATGAAATTTATTGTCGATCGAAATCAAGAACTCGAAAGACTCTGACATAGTTGTACGTATACAGATTCGCGATGGCGTGACACAACGCGCGCGCGCACGCGATGTTGAAAATAGATGCTCATAGTACTCGTAGTGTTGAAGACTGAAAAACGAAAGGAGATAATTAGCATATGCGTCCGAATGTCCCAGCAGCGGGGCGAGGGAAGATGATATCCGTCATTTAACGTTATCTTTGGTAATGTAACAATCTGAAAATGCGACAGAGAGCGAGCTCGTCCGCGCGGAGAACCAAAGAAAGAAATCAAATCACACACGATACGAAATAGCTATGTATATACACACACACACACACACACGCACACACGCACACATGTGTGCACGCGCATCATAAATTAACGACGTGTATACTTGGTTTCAGTACGATTCGAACACTCTTTTCTCTCCTCGAGCAGCAGTTCGGAACGAGTTGCTGATGACTCAATGAAATTGAGCGCTTGTTCTTGTCCTCTTAATTTTTGTGCGTTGCGATTATGTCTTAGAAGTTGAGTTCTCCAGTCGGACTATCGATCGCGTGCTACAAACTGCGTGGGGAGAAGAATAAAAGTATTCAAGCCGTACTGAAACCAAGTTTACGTTCACTCCGAAGTGTTCACTTATTTTCGCGTGTATACACGTGATCGCATTTACTTGTCGCGTAGATTTAGTATACATCGAACAACTATTTTTTCCCACGTGCGTAGCTTTTGTCGATCGCGATGTCACCCGAATCGTCATCGCGCTTCTACTATCGACACTTGCGTAGAGAACTGCGTGAGTTCCCTGCTTGTCACACGCGATCGCATGTTACCTGTTTCCATCTCGGGGGGAAAATCCACTTTGAAACAAATAGGATTTATCGAGATAAGCTGGTGATCTCAATGGTACTTATAAGCGAACACACACATCGTAATTTATATATTCCACGTTTCTTTGTTTCTATTTCTTTCTCTCCCTCTTTTTTCCTCTTGTATCTCTCATTGTCGCAAACACACGTGAGGGCGATGCCCGCCATTTTAGCCGAAGTCTCACAGACACCGTGCCTATGCAACAGAGGCGATTGTAAACGCATTCAGCGCGCTAGTCTACTTGATCAGGGACATGGAATTTGATCGGAAATAGCTTTTATCGCTTTTATCGTGCTATCTTGTGTCGTTGGAATCTTGAAGAGAAATCTATCCGTGTTAAGATCCGCCTCGCGCGCGGATCTCAGTACGAAATAAATTTAAGGAGCGTAGAAAGGGAGAAGAGAGAAACACAATGTGTGTACATATACCGGTGGGAATAAATCGGCAGAGACTTGTATAATCAACTATTTTATTATTATCCGTTTCTCAATTGCTTTTGGAAAATATATATATATATGTATATATACATATACATATATACACACACATATACCCGCAACGTTCTTCTTCATTGTAAACTACTACACTTGTACAGGTACACAGGTATGACGGACATGTTGCGAATACCATTTCTCTTTTGGCAGTTTTATATCCGTATTCTATACAAAAATCCTATATAAAAGGGATTCAAAAATAAAAGAAACAACATTACCAGCTATCGCTATTAGCGCTTGGCCATAAATGCACAGTATATACAAAGAACGGGCCTACCGCGTAAAAAAACACAACAATGATTAACATCATGTGGTTTTAACGAAACTACGCCACATTCGTACCGGAGTAAGCCTAGAAAAGTAAAATGTAGATACAAAGACAAATGAGATTCTTGCTACATTAATAATCTATATATATTAATCCTATCAATAATCTTTAAACTTATCTAGTATTCGACTTGTACACGCCGACTTGTGCCAGAATATTGTCGTTTCGTCATAGACACGTGTGTTAGAATACACTGCCACAGATGACGATAGTCTTAAATTATTAACTTCAGCTAAAAAACATAAATCCTCGCAACTCGCGAACCAGTCGCCAGTCGTTCCGCCCACACGCTCAACGTCTGTACAACATTCCTCGAGACTTATCGTTATAAATTTCGGGAATCTAATAAATCGGACAATCCTCAATAAAGCGAATAATCTAGAGCGATACATTGCAAGATGCGTCGCTCTTAGGATATGCAGTCGACTCTCGCAAACATCCGTCTCTGCCAGCTTTTTCATACAATATCACGTCCGAAGAGCGACAAGCTTTGTTTTCTTTTGATTATGCACGACACAAACGATGTCCATGTCGTTATCCACTATTCGGTACAAGATGTATCTGTATGAAATTGACCGAGACCAAGATCATGCAAGTGATCGCCCATATTACGACGAAAAATAGCCAACACCGGCCGGAGAAAGGACTCGCGAATTTGTTAACGACACCGAGACCAATGACCTTATTAGTTTCCTGCCTGGCGTAATAGACCAAGAACGTCGGTATCAGATATTGAATACCTGCTCCAGCATATGATCCTGTGATGCTAACTAATATCGACAGATCCTTGGTGCTCATCGCGATCAGATACGGCGGTATCACCGCCAAGATGGGGAAGATGAGTTTTCGAAGACATAAATTATAAGACGTGTCCTCGTTCAGAAAGAGCGATTGCAAATTGTTTCTGAGAGTAATCGCTATAATGGGAAAACTGGTACTCAAAGTGAACACAGGGAAGAGCGCTAGGAAATACTCTATGAGGAGCATGAAAATGTTGTTGCTCTTGGAGCAATCACCTGACCCACGTGGCCCGAAGTCCAATGTGTAGAGATCGTCTAAATGCTTGAAGGCGAAGGCGCCAGTCAGTGCCAGCAGTAAGTAAAATAAGGCGATCAGCATGTAATCGAGCGCAAGGAAACGATTTAGCATGGACTTGTTCGCTATCGGTGCAACCAAAGCCGGTAACGAATGATGACACATGAAGGAATAAACGCAAGCACCGAAAAGACTAGGAATCCCTAAAACGACACGACACAGTTATTATTTTACACAATCCCAATCATATGCTTAGTAACGTTAATGCATTTAAGAGAATATCACGAGTGTAAGATAATCGCAATTGTTTGGCTTACCAGTTATATTTGCAACAGGTGGGTCGCCCCGAATGCCGTATTGAAAAAGTTTATTTACAGCATACACAATCATAATGGTAAATGCAAGCCATCGCATTACCGAAGTCAGTAGCTGAAGATACTTGGTTTTTTGAACATTAAAGAATACAAACGGCCCCAATGATAGCACAAATATCGTCTGAAAGTATAGACCAGAAATTATTATCATATCATATAATTTTCAGAGATATTTTTATTTTAATAATTATTCCTGATTTAGGAGTAAAATGTATATTTTCAAATCAATGACATACCAGAAATATCCTGTACGCATCCAATCTATTTAACATAAGACCCTCCCAACAAATTTCAATGTCTGGTATGGTATCGTTGCATGTGAGATTGCTTGGCTGATAAGTACAGGCAACGTCCGCTAACGACTTTGCAACTGCAGCACCATAAATACTCAGATCTCCATATAAATATATAGCCAAACATAAGTAGAATAGAGTAGTGCCAAATTTGTTGAAGAAGATGGATGCCATCTGGCCCATCTCTATCCTGTCATGAATCACATAATATCTATAAGTGTTATCCAAACGTTCAGGACTAGTTGAGAGGGGAGCTACCAGTGGAGTGTCCTCAGAATCTGAGTTGGAAGGACCGGATTCACCCAATGTTTGCAGAACCTAAAAACGTATTTATTGTTAAACATATTGTCCCTTGTATATGAATTAAATTAGGTTTACTTTTTACTTAAAATTACAACACAAAGTTGATTAAAATATGCTTACACGTTTTCGATGTTGAATGTGTCTCCATGTAACTATAGCATTAGCAGATGCCATTGCTTCTATGACGAATGTAACTGTGACGAAGCTAAACAAAGAAAGCTCAGTCAGCCAGCTGGTCATTGACATCTGGACCTGTCACAGTTTATGGATGTTTCAACACAGGAGTGAAACTTTTTCAACTTACCTGATAAATGATAACACTAAGATGACGCTCAATCCAAGTCCCCATCCTGCACGGCTGAAAACAGCAGGTAACGTCAAAGCGCCTGTACCAACGATAAGATTGAAGATATACACGAGGCCAACCTACAACATTGTTCTCTTTTGTTAGAAATGTCATCCAGGTTACATACCGCATTATATATCGATACAACGATAATTCAAGCTCGAAATTTTCTTACCCATGTCGAATATTGATCGCTGATTTTTGATTCGTTCATTTCCGGTGAAGGCTGCATCTAGCACTGAGAATATCTCAAGAAATGTCTCACGTTCCGCTTCACTGTCATATATACGTCACTGATAATCAGCCTAAACACTGATGGTCACATATGTACAGTCTTGTACTTTTCCGTCGCCAGTGACTAACTCCAGATCAAGATAATTGAACATTAATACATCTATATTAATAATATCTCATTCATATTTATCCATTTATGCGATTTTCGACTTTAATTCAAAAACCTTAACGCGAATTTATCGGCAACTTTTCGTGACAAGAAACGAATACTGACAGTCATATGGTGAGCATCTTTCACACTTGCGATACAAAATCAAGTTTCCGGTGTTAAAATTAATCATTTAATATATCTCAATATTCAAAATGTCAATTTAATTTGAAGTACTTGATGTATGTCATATACCAGTTTTGAAAGAACGTTATCAGTAGTATTTATTAAGGGTCTACGGGAGCCAAGAGCAAATCTCAATTGATTTTAGCGGCCTCATGCGGTAAAAGTACGAAATAAAACTTCCATATGTAGGCGAATGTCTATGCGGATGTGACTCTACATTCTTTTTAAATTTAGCAGTGACTCGAACCACAAAATTTTTAAATAAGGGATATAATAAGTATTGACCCGTTTTGGCAGGCCAATAGAATAGAATAGAAGGTTTTTTTAATGGACCAATAAAGATACAGACCCATATTCGGAACATACTTATAACTATGTTAGTGCACTGTTAACTAATCAGTGGTGCGATTCTGTAACTTGTTAAGGTGCCTTTACATGGGAGCGTCGAGCGTCGAGCGTCAAAGCGTCCAACCAATCAAAGTTCCTTGTTTTTATCCCTGAAATAAGAAATGAAAAACTGATTGGTTGGACGCTTTGACGCTCGACGCTCCCATGTAAAGGCACCTTTATTGGAGTTAACGACACTTTCGTTATCGTTGCGCAGCTTTTGTATACCGTAGAAAAGCTGCGCAACAATAACGAAACTGTCGTTAACTCCAATAACGAGTTACAGAATCGTAGCACAGAAGGCATATTGCGTGGCTTTTCATTGGTTAACAGCGCACTGACATTACAAGCTGAGTTACAAGCGTTCTGAATATGGGCCATAGAAATTAGACCCGTTATTTCTATTCGTCACTAGACCCATTATTTCTATTTGTTACTAGACCCTTTATATTCTATTCATCGATAGACTCGTTATTTCTATTCGTCAGTAGACTCGTTATTTCTATTCATTAGTAGACCCGTTATTTTTGCTCAATTTATAAACCCTTTATTTTTATTAGTTCTAAAATCTGCGCTACGAGCCGCCATCTTCCTTACTGACGAATCGAAGTCTTGATATATGACTCAACGACAAGTTATGCATATACTATATGGGTTGAAAAGTCTTTGGTCTGACATATAGATGGCGCCACAAACTAAAAATCCTTATATTTCCTATAGAATACCAACCTTAACTTAGATGCTGTAAAAATTTCATAATATTTCGTTGATAAGTTTCGTGTATAAGTTATAGCTTTCGAAGTGACGTTACCTCTGAATTTATCTTTACTATGGAAAAAAGTGAATTTCGTGTTTTGATTAAACATTGCTTCCTGATGGGAAAAAACACTGTTGAAGCAAAGGCATGGCTTGATAAATGTTACGGCACATCTGCCCCACCGAATTCAACCATCAAATATTGGTTTGCTGAGTTTCGTCGTAACCGTACGAGCACAAATGATGCACCACGTTCAGGAAGGCCAAATAAGGCAGTTACTCCAGAAAACATCCAGAAAATCAGTGAAATCGTGTTGAATGACCGCAATATAAAATTGAGTGAGATAGCTAACATCATAGGCATCTCAAAGGAACGCGTTCGTCATATCATTCATGAATATTTACACATGTAAAAGCTTTGCGCGCGTTGGATGCCGCGTTTTTTGACAATTGAGCAAAAAGCGGAACGTGTTCGACTTTCAAAGCAAAATCTGGCCCTGTTTAACCGCAATAAGAAGGAGTTTTTGCGTCGATTTGTCACAATGGATAAAACATGGATCCATCACTACACACCGGAGTCGTGTCACAATCGGCAGTCAGCGGAGTGGTTATTGCCTGATGAAAGCCGTCCGAAGCGCCCGAAGACACAACAATCAGCCGGCAAGGTTTTGGTCAGTATTTTTGAGATGCGCATAACATAATATTCATTGATTATCTTGAACATGGTAAAACTATCAATAAAGAATATTACTGTACATTACTGGATCGATTGGACGACGAGGTCAAGGTCAAACGGCCACATTTGGCAAAGAAAAAAATTTTGTTTCACCAAGACAATGCTCCAGCTCACTCGGCTCGCGATACGACCGATAGATTAAAGAAATTGCGCTATGAATTGGTCCCGCATCTCCCGTATTCTCCAGACCTGGCCCCCAGCGACTATTTCCTTTTTCCCCGACTGAAGCAGTGGCTCGCTGGTAAAAGATTTTACTCGAATGAGGAGGTCAAGTTGGAAACAAATGCCTATTTTGAGGGACTTGACACCGAGCACTATAAGACCGGCATCGAAATGTTAGCGGACCGTTACACTAAGTGCATTACTCTAAATGGAGATTATGTCGAGGAATAAAACACTTTTTTCATTAAAAAAGTCGTTTTTTCATTGTTAAGCCAAAGACTTTTCAGCCCATGTAGTACATATGCGAACTTTTATTTTTCACATAATATAAATAATAGTAACTGGCTAATTTAATTATATGGAACAATTTGTTAACCTGTAAACATATTTATATATTTTTTATATTTGCATTTTTGTGTATTTGGTATTGTATTATTATTTATTTAATAATATTGAAAGTTATTTTTTCGATACGAAAGTTTCGCCGAAATCATTTCAAACTAAATTGACATTTCGGGTGAAAGCGTTTTTATATCGCGGATTCATTTGTATGAAGAATTATATGAAGCTTGTACAATCTTCATATAGTTAAAAAAACATATTTATTGCTTCAACTTTCCTGAAAACGCGATAATCTGTGCTTTATCACTCGAATGCGGAGTGAATCTACATATCTTATCAATCATTATATGCTTGTCACTCGTACAATTCTAAGCATTTTCTGACTTCAATCTCTCAACTTTTTACACACGTCATAGCGTATTTATCCGTTTCACGGAACTATTGAAAAATACAGCTAAGAAGAAATAATCCGTAATCATCGCTGATATTACGGACGTCATCGAGACGACTGCTAAAGCTGATACCGGGAACTCGAAATTACGAATGTGAAATGTGAAATTACACACACGCGTGGCTCAGATCGATAAGAATCTATTATCTACGTCGACGCAAAAGAGACGCAGCTTCATCCTCGCGACCGCGCGCGCGTCCTTGACTTTTTCCGTCGAGAAATGCAAAAATGCAGAGATCGACGTTACAAACGAACGTGACGTTGCGGGTATGAAGAAGCATGCGCTTGATTGAAAATAACTTTTATTTGACTCAAGATATATAAACCTAAATCTTAGAGTAATGATCGTTCGTTAATCACGTTATCGGTAATCAATGCCGTCGAACGTTATAGGAGCTACATTTACGTATAAAAAGGGAGTTCGTAAACTGACACACACTAAAGGAGAACGCGAGGAGAACGGTTATACAAATCCAGCCGCGTGTCTGGGCTCGTGAAAGGACAAGAGTACGTGGAAATATGCGTGATGCTGGAATGTCACGGAGAGCGATGAGAGGATGCGGATGATTGCTTTTTCTTTTTTTCTTGTTTCACTTCAAAAAGACACAACACACTGACACGAGACGATCGTGATATTTTTTTTCAGACTTTTATTTTATAATCCCATAAGTCTAAAGTAGTCTTTAAGATGTGTACGTGAATGGTCTTGCGCAATACAATGGGAATAAATTATAATACTTTGGCTACGCTTGCGGGGTCGGAACCGTGGTGGTGTCTTTCTTTTTGCTTCTTTTTTTGTTTGAGCGAGCGTTCGTAGGACCTTTTTCCGGATCAGCGGTTTACCCCATCGTGTAAAAAAAAGAAAACAAGAAAAAGAATTAAAAAGGAAACACGCAAAAAGAAAGAAAGAAAGAAGACGCAAAGGCCACCTTTTCCTACGGGCGATAGGCGAGATACGAAATTGGGCGATAACGAGAATCAAAGTAAAACAAGGTCTAGAGGCCTACCTCTTTCTGCGCGGAATGACGCGTGTGTATGTGTGTGTGTGTGACGTGTAAAGTTCGAAAGACAGCTTTGACGCGCGAGAGCGTCCTCTTATTAAGAATACCGCACACATCAATCGGAATGCATTGAACGGCATAAACGTTGGATTGCCATGTGGGGGGACTCCACCGTCTCTTTTTCCGCGGCAAGAAGCTATACGACGATCTTGCCCGCGAATGTTTCTTGCTCGGATACTCTCTCTCTCTCTCTCTCTCTCTATCTCTCCGAAGTAGAATAACGACGATCGGAGCGCGTGTGCATACACGGACAGTGTGTATTAAAATGCTCGCGTTGAGAGAATGAATATTTTTCGCGAGAAATATCTTCGCTAAGCGCTAAATCTCGTAGACAAGTTTTTACGCGAATATATATATATATATATATATTTATATATAGTTATATATAATACTTGGAACGGGCCCGCGCGGGCACGCGTTACAGGATCATGGGTAGAAAAGTCACTTAGAGTAATCGCACGTGTGAGTGTATGCGCGCGTGTATGTGTGTGTACGTGTGTATGTGTGTGGTAGGAGGGCCACATGTATATAATCACACAATAATAAAAATATCGTCAGAATCGAATAGAAAGGATGTGACAAAAGTTACAGAGAAATGATCGCGCTTAAACGAGCAAGAATGAACCGCCGGTTTATATTGGGTTGCCGCCGAGACCGAGGAACAATCGCGGGAGGAGGGCGATATACCGTAAGCTCCTCTCTCTCCGCGCTTAATCGGACACGCCAGAGCCTCGCGTACCTTAAACACGTACATTTGAATCGAAAGAAGCTACCTGCACCCCGGAGGAACCAGAGGGCGGACCAATCGTCGCGGAAGTTGATGTTACGTCCGCCTGCGAAACGAGACAGAAGCCGCTCTCCTCTCTCTCTCTCTCTCTCATTCTCTCTCTCTCTCTCTCTCTTTCTCCAAATCTCAGGGATTGGGGAATGATAGCAGAATGTAGTCGGAGACTAAGCGCTTAGAAGCACTTCCTGTGGACGATGGAGGGTCCGGACTCGTCGTACTCCTGCTTGGAGATCCACATCTGTTGGAACGTGGAGAGTGAGGCGAGGATCGAGCCGCCGATCCATACGGAGTACTTCCTCTCGGGCGGCGCAATGATCTTGATCTTCATGGTAGACGGCGCTAAGGCAGTGATCTCCTTCTGCATTCTGTCGGCGATACCCGGGTACATGGTAGTACCGCCGGACAACACGGTGTTGGCGTAGAGGTCCTTACGGATGTCGACGTCGCACTTCATGATCGAGTTGTACGTGGTCTCGTGGATGCCGCAAGCTTCCATACCCAAGAACGACGGCTGGAATAGAGCCTCCGGGCAACGGAATCGCTCATTGCCGATGGTGATGACCTGACCGTCAGGAAGTTCGTAGCTCTTCTCCAAGCTGGACGACGAAGCCGCTGTAGCCATCTCCTGCTCAAAGTCTAACGCGACGTAGCAGAGCTTCTCCTTGATGTCACGGACAATCTCACGTTCGGCCGTGGTCGTGAAAGAGTATCCTCTCTCGGTGAGGATCTTCATGAGATAGTCGGTCAGATCGCGACCGGCTAAGTCCAGACGGAGAATCGCATGCGGCAGGGCGTATCCTTCGTAGATCGGCACAGTGTGCGAGACACCATCGCCGGAATCGAGCACGATACCAGTGGTACGTCCGGAGGCGTACAGCGACAGCACAGCTTGGATCGCCACATACATGGCCGGGGTGTTGAACGTCTCGAACATAATCTGCGTCATCTTCTCGCGGTTAGCCTTGGGATTTAGAGGGGCCTCGGTGAGGAGAACCGGATGTTCTTCGGGAGCCACTCGCAGTTCATTGTAAAACGTGTGATGCCAGATCTTCTCCATATCGTCCCAGTTGGTAACGATACCATGTTCGATCGGGTACTTGAGCGTCAAGATACCCCTCTTCGACTGGGCCTCGTCACCGACGTAAGAATCTTTTTGGCCCATACCGACCATGACACCCTGGTGGCGCGGCCTACCGACAATCGACGGGAAGACGGCGCGAGGAGCATCGTCTCCGGCGAAACCGGCCTTACACATACCGGATCCATTGTCGACTACGAGCGCGGCAACTTCCTCGTCACACATGTTTGCTTTCTTCGTTTATCTGCAAAAACAAGACTCTTATTAGTATCGGGCATATACAACATATATATATATATACACATGTATACATCATATATCAGCGTGTCAGACGCGGGATATACATCATACGAGTGTGACCCTTTACACGCGTCTATTTCCGTCCCGTGTCTTTTCACCAGTAAACAATTACAAAAAAAAAAATCTCGACTCGCGGCGGTAGCGCTCGGCAGGAAGAGCAGCGGAAACCCGTCGGCCGAGAGATGAACAGGCGTGTTAATAAATACCCCATTAGCCGGTGAACCGGTGCTCGCTCTTTCGAGACACGATTCAAGATGGCGACGGACGAGACACGTAACGTACAGGCACACGTCGTCGCGTATTCACCGATCGGCTGAATCACTCGCTCCGAGTGAGTGGCGAGCTAGATGACGAAAAGTGGCCCACGTATTCGTTCGGAAGATATGTCGGAGGCAGTAATCGAGGCCGATCGAGGAACGACGATGACCACCGAGTCATCCCCCCTTCGGGCGGATATGCGAGAGCAACGTTATCGTTAATTATCGGGAACCGCACCCTGTCCCGTCTCGCCCCGCCCCGCCCTACCGCGGCTGCTGCAGGAGAGCGAACATGTCGTCTCGCTGGAGCGCGACGTCTTCGAGACATTTCGGCTAGAATTTCACGGTTCCTCGCGCGATTTCGCACGCGACGCGGCGACCGCCGCCGCCACCCGGTGTTGCTCTTCCCCGACGGGATCCCCCGATCGCTCGATCGGCGAACGCACTCGGAGCACTCGGAAAATGCGACGGCCTACGTCCCCGACGACAGCCACACAACCGTCACTCGATGGTACGCACTGCTGAGACCGGTTACAAGTTCGCTCTCGCTAACGCACTATTTCCCCTTCGCTATTTTTTTTCCTCCCCACTGGACGAGACAAATACGCTAAAAGTTGAGAGATAATACGCTCTCTCTCTCTCTCTCTCTCGCGGTGATGACACTTTGGCGAACTTACGTCTTTTTTCCGAGTAAAAAAGGAAGTTATATACAAGTACGCAGCGACACTGCCGCACTGTCGACCGATCTAGCACCGAACACAGAGTGTAGTCGACAATCGGCTCGCGGTGTATTATATGAACAGATTCGTTGTGAACCTCGACCCCACCACTCGACACTCGGCCAATAAGGGTGGGACACCCTCGACCAATCCCGGCTTTCTTTACCATATATGGAAGTACTCTGACACGGAGGGGCTTCCCGCTCCCCCCTTCACCCTTCGCCAGTGGCGACCCCACCTCCCCGCCCGCCCGACGCAGCATGACGACGGCGAGCCGGTCGGTCCCACGATACCCGGTGTGAATGCATCCGCTAAATTGACCGTCGAACTTCGCGTGCAGGTCTTACGATCGAATCGACGAGATTGCTCCTTCTTCGTCGTCGAGAGTTCATTCGCTCGAATGCTGCGGATAAATGTCGACAGGGTCTCTTTCTCTCGCGGATTCGCGCGATAGCCGCGGAAAGCGAACGAGCGAGGAATAGGAAGAGAGGGAGGGAGGAAGAGAGAGAGAGAGATGCGCCTGCCCGGTTGGAATTCTCAGCGATTCCATGTAACTTCCTCCGGGCGTCCTCGACCTCTCGCGACCGGCCGGAAGGAAGCTCGGTCGATCGCACGGTTGAAAAAAAAAGAAAAGATCACGAGGAGAACCGAGAGACAAAGAGCCGTAAACTCAAGTGGTGAAAAACAAGCAAAGACGTGGGCTGCGGGTTAGCGAGGAGGGCTCTCACACATCGCGCTATTAATAATCGCGACCACCTGTCCCGAGTTACCAGCCGACGAGTGCGGCAACCACTTGACGACGGCAACCTGTCGACCGCCCTGACGTCGCTGCCACGAGCGTAAAGAATGCTTTGTCCGATTGGAGCACGAGAATAGTAGCGAACGGCGACGCGCGTCCGTCACACTTCGAGCAACGCCCTGGCTGCTATGGCGGCCGCGGCGCCGGTCAGCGAAAAATGCAAAAACGCGACATCGTCGTCCGGACGAACGCGAAACGTAAGCGACGCGTGAGCGGTGACGGCCAAGACGCGCCGCGCCGCGCCGCACCGCGCCACGCCACGCCATGCCACGCCGGTCGGTCGCCCTTACCTGCTGGCTCTCTTGGAACGAACGTCGCTCACGATCGAGCACAGTGAAACTGACGATGAGTACCGGGGAGCGGCAATCGGCCTCGGCGTCAACCACCAGCGGCAATGAAACGAGCACTGTGTAGCACCGCGAACGTTGTGAGCGAGATCGTGCGCGGCTGGACAACCGTGGAGCCGGTATCGCGCCGCCTCGCGTCACGTCACGGAACATGGACTCGTCCACGGAGGTGTGGCCGGCATACGCCGACGGCCGGGAGATCACGTTCCGGCCGCCACCGCCGCCGCCGCCGCCGCCGCGGCGGCATAGGGCCCCCTTGTTCTTTTCCTTTCAGCATTTCGTTCGACCCTCTCGCTTTTCCAAGCCGACCGACCGACCGACCAAGCATCGTGCCTTTCAGCAGAAAGCCCGGCGGGATTTTTCCCGCCGCGTTTCCTGCGCGGAAAGAGACAGAGAGAAAGAGAGACAAACAGGGAGAGACGGACGAGACAAAGAGCGCGCGTGCGAGAGAGAGAGAAGTCGCATGCCATTTTATTGCTTATCATTTCCTACGTGTATTGTTGGCAGGTCTGGCGCGGTAGCCGCGCGGCGGCGGGGGGAGGGGGGATAACCGCGCGCGCGTACCGGTCTGCGTGGCACCCCCTAGCCGTGCAATAGACTCGTCCACCCGGCTTCTCCCACCGCGCGGATTCACAGCTCTTGCCATATATGGGCATAAAACGAAAGCGACGCGGCGATTGGTCCGCCGGCCGGCTGGCGGCTAGATTCTCCAAATGCCGCTTCAAATCGTACGATACAGAGAGAGAGAGAGAGAGAGAAAGAGAGAGAGAGAGAGAGAGCGTAATGTCTCCTCTTGGAAGGATACACCGGGGCGCGAGGGCTCGCTCGACTAACCGTCGTCGCGGCTTGCTACCTACCTGGCTCGCGGCTACATGCGACGCCTATTGCCCGAGCGATCTATGCACTCGCGACGGGATTTCAGGATTCCGTTCGGCGCGGCTGCTCCTCGTCCTGGCGAAACAACCTCGCGCTATCGTGAGACGAGGTATCGCATCATGTCTCTTTCTTCCCTCTTGGTACCTTGATTTCTTTACGTACATGCGAGTATTGAAACATTGAGAGTTATGAAACTTTAATTCTCATATCTCTCTCTCTCTCTCTCTCTCTCTCTCTCTCTCTCTCTTTCTTTCTCTGTCTCGCTCTCGTAACGATGGGCGCGTCCGCAGACGATTATCGGAGCGCACTTTGTGTTCGATAATCACGTTTCCGGCGAGACGATCGAACGAGAGACGAGAGGAGAGGCGCGCGCGCGCGAAACCGCAGGAGGCTCTCTCTCGAGACGTCTCATAAGTGCGACATCTCAGAAATAGATTCAAGGGCAGAATATACAAGGGTGCGTTGCACTTTTGCCACGTCACACTGCGTGGCCGACGTTCACGACGTTGCGAGAGAGAGAGAGAGAGAGAGAGAGTGAGAGAGAGAGAGAGAGAGAGAGAAAGGAAAGAGAGCGCCGGTAATACCGGACAACACGCGGCTATACAGATATATCAGCCGGAGGCTGTGAACGCCGGCTGCTACGTGGGAGAGAGAGAGGCCTGCTTCAAAATCGATACGCTTCTTCTCGAAGCCGTCTTCGTGTAGCCGAGAGCACGTGACCGGCGGACGAAGACATGAAAGGACGGGCCGTTGCTGCATTCTTCCGTATTCGGAAGAAATCGCCGCTCGAGTGCGAAGCGCTCGTCTCGTCTCGCGGGCGCTGATAACCGCGCCGATGATGATGCGCCCTGACGGGTCCTTAGGTTAGGTTAGGTTAGGTTAGGTTAGGTTAGATTAGATTAAGCATGATTTTCCGACACGTGCGCGCCTATTCGATGATTCATCCGCAGCGAGTACGTGTCCCGATCGTCACGACGAGAGAGCTCGCTCGATCGTGTACGCGATTTCATGTGATTTATAATGAATGCCTCGCGGTCTCGCGTTGCACGATTCGCGCGTAATCGTTACGTCTCGTCCATTCCGGCGAATTCGACGCTCGTCGATGACTGAGTCGATGACTGTTCGTCGCGCGACGCGATCGGCTCGCCGCGCCTCCGGACGAAATAATTAACGCTCTTACCGTTCGTGTCCCGCAGACCCAATGACCTGAGATGCTCCGACCTTGTCCACCAAATAAGGTCCTGCGCCAAGGCCTCGGAAGACTCGCGTAAGGCCTCTGAGAGAAAGAGTGAGTGAGAGAGAGAGAGAGAGAGAGAGAGAGAGAGAGAGAGAGAGAGAGAAGCCGCTCGCGCGCGCCGGTTACATCGAGTCATCGGCGCCCACCTCACCGGGCGAGCACGACGCGCGTGAGCTCTTCGCCGTGAGTTCTCATGGTGATCGCATAGCGCGGCTCTCGAGGTGGGACACGTCATTCTTCAATGAGCGCGCGAGAGTACGTGAATCGAGCCGTTTCGGAAAAGATTGGCTTGTGAACGTTTCGGATGTTTCAGACTTTGACGCATTCCGGATTTGCATCCACGTCGCGGGAACGACGTCGACGAGGACGGGGCCGGTCGGCCGGCCGGTCAGCTGCAGTGAGCGACTCGTCGTCGAGAAGAGGTGGGCGTGTGTCGTACGCAGCACCGTGCGTACCGGTACCACGGCATGCACGTGGCCTACGTGGCCGCACGTCTGGTTCCGCCGTCTGGCAGTGCCGCTGAAATCGATATGAAACGTACAACAACCTAGGTTCAACGTATCCCTCCCTCCGCCTAGATACGTCGTTTTCGAAAGGAGCTCCCACGACGGAAAGGATGGAAGGACCATGCGCGCACGGAACGAGCACGGGGACGGCTTTATTGCTCGCTTATCGCACGTCCGGCTTGCGAATGCGAGCATCGCGAAAGCAGGCGAATGCAGAAGCGAATAGCGTGGCGACGCGACTCGACCGTTAACGCGATTTCATGCGATATCGCGGTAACAGAGCCGCCGATCGCTATATTTAGTGCTGACTTGCCTCGCCGTAAAATCGACAGGTCGATTATACGCGTCTCGGCGACCAAATCGCGCCGCATTCCGATCGTATCGCGCGATCACCGCGTCGAGTGTCTGCCAAATAATTCTCGTCTGAACAAATATTTTCGTTTCGCCGTCGCGGAAGATTATTCGGATGAGCGAGCGGCTGGCCGGGCGAATGCCGAAGCCGGTTAATGAACGGCGGCGCGTGTACGCCTCGCGGGGAAAAGAATCGGGCGCGCACGATCGATCGATCGGCGATATCCCTCCGCCTGCGGAGAACATGACACATTCGCGCGGATTACTCATTGTCAACCCCAAGCAACGCGTCGCGTCGCGTCATGCGAATGGAACGTTACGCTAAGCCAGCTCTCTCTCTCTCTCTCTCTCTCTGTCGTCTCAAGAATCCGTGCTCGTCGTAAAACGCGCGACGCTAATGTCGATAATGTCCAAGAACCGGCCCGTTCACTAACGTTTTCTCCGAACGAGCTCAACGAGCCGTGCCGGGGATCGCGGATGAAGACGGTACATGTTAGATGCACTCCGGCCTAAACTGTCGAAATTAAAAATTTCTCTTGATATTTATGCTTTACAAGCTTTGGTCGTGAATTTGTATTTCTCCCCGCAAACTTCAGCGAACAATAGTCGCCATGTCGAACGCGCAGAGACTTTCCGTCGTGGTCGGCGCGCGATCCGCTCGGAGGAGATTTCGGACGGCATTGGCTTCCCGAGACACGCGACCTTGCCTCTACTCCACGCCACAGGCCATCAGAGCAGGTAGACAACCGGCGAAACGAATGCACTCGTACACGCTTACGTGCGGCCGGCGCGGCCATTCGCGCGTTCTTGACTCTCTTTCCAGAGGCCGCGATCAACGGGCTCTCGCGCGAAAGAGTCAAGGATTCGAAACGCGGTCACGGCTCGAAACCCGCTGTCGTCGTCGTCGTCGTCGCCAAGATCCATGTATACGGACTGTGTGTAGCCGAGAAAGAGCGCGTTCTTTCCCTCTATGTAAATTTCTCCGGCGATGCCAATCACGCTCACGCGAGGCACTGGCGAATGTTACTCCGCTACATCGAGGCGAGTCGCGACTCTTCATCAATGCGAGCGGATAAGGAGCGATAAGCGCCGCGCAAATACGCGCGACGGGGTCTATTTATCGCGCGCTATTATGCGCGAGTTTGCGTTCATCACGAGGATTAAGCCAAATACGGTGTCCTCGATACATACGGCGATAAAGTGGAACAGGTGTCGACTCGTAGGAGTCGACTCGACGGTGCATAGAAAGGCGGATGGTCCTCTTCTCGCGCGTTGCCCGAGATGCAACTTTTAGTCGCGGCTTCTCGACTCGTCTCGACGAGTCGCAATCGTTATCGATAGGAGCGGTATTCATGATCGGCATTTCTGACATTTAAGGTCGTCTTGCGTGTGTGTGAGTTCATCTTCAGACACCGCATGAATCGCTGATTCGGCCATGGAGAGTCTGAAGGTCTGAGTCTCGAGGCAATCTTGAATGTAGGATCTGACTTTGAATATTTAGAGCGGAATGAGATGATCGGGTATTGAAGAAAAAAAAAAGACCAGGCAGAGCAAACTTGCAAAGGACGTCTGAGGAGTGTCTGAAAGGAATAAAACGTCTTGAAGACACACATCTCTCGGAAGTTTGCGCTGCCCGGAGGAAGGAAGAGCGCCATCTTGGTGGGAGCACCGGTGTACCTAAGGAAACAGGCCCTTGGTCCTTCCAACGTCGATGTTAATGCAGCTTTGTTTATTTCAGGGAGCGCTGAGGAAGGAAACTCGGGAAGGGGGAGACAATGGGCGCACTCCGTCCTTCATATATTTGCACGAAACGTTCGGGCTCGGGGCGCGCTTTTTGTGGAGTCCGCGAAAATGAGTGAGTCATCAGCCGAGTCGTCGGGAGCGAGCGATCGAAAGCGGCACGAAATGCGCGAGAAAGCTCTCGGACGTTTTGCACGGCCGCCGAGAGAAGAGTGCGGAATCGCCGAGCGTACGGCGACGGGGGTAATGCGATAAATAATTAGTTCCCGATTCCACTCAACGGATCGCTGTTACCGAACGAGACAATACGCCGCTGAATGGAACTGGAAGCAGGGCCTGCCGCTGCTGCCGAGTGAATGGCTGGGACACACGGCGCGCGAGTGTACGGTTTCCGCGTGCACGCTGCCGTGGAAAGAAGTTCGTCTCGACTCGTCGCCGACGCGCGTCGGCGACGGCCGGGACGAGACGGGAAAAAAAGGAAGACGAGCGAAAAGGGGACGAGCGCGTAACGTGAGATCGTCTCTCTCTCCGATGGCTTCTCGATGACTTTCGCTAAATTGTTGTCTCTCGGTGCGTCCAATGTCTAGCTACTTTTCAGGAATTTTTCTCGGTTGAGGGAAGATTGATTGAACTGATGCGACAATGAGCGAGCCACCTGTGCATTTCGGCCGACGGAGGTGGAATTTCCAGGTTGTTTTAACTCCGCTGGTAAGCGAACTGATGGTTCAATTATATGTCCGTCTTCGTTCAGATTGGAGGAAAAACACAGATTGAACATACGATTTAATTATCAGTTAATTTATCAAGAACAATCGGCCCTAAGAGGCAGAAATCGTCGGTTTGCCTCGACCAAAATGTCCGAACCGTTACGTCGATTCAGGCAATTTCTCTTCGGTGGCGTTCCCGTCGATGAATAGCCTACTATTAAAATCTGTTTTGCAGCTGTGAAGACTGTCGATAGAGCGAGTGCAACCCAGACTTGCTTCGTACTCGCGTGGGCCACGTGCGACTCCCCGAGTGCGTTGCACTTTTGACAGCGAGCGAGTTCGAAGCGGATAACCGGCGCGCAAGCCTCGGAAACGAGGAAAATGGATCCATCGGCGCGTCGTGTCGAAACTACGAAATATCCTTCGAGCTCGTAGGTGGAAGTTATCGCGCTCAAGTCGCCTCTCGCCCGGCTGCCAGTGTTCGTTCGCGGCTGATCGTCGCAGCGCGCCGCTAAATCACCGCTCGGCCAACGCCAACGCGTCTCACGGCTCATCCGCTCATTCGATAAGTTCGATATGTAACAATGACCGCTCTCTCTCTCTCTCTCTTTCTCTCTCTCTCTCTCTCTCTCTCTCTCTCCCCTCCCCCCTCTCTCTCTCTCTCTCTCTCTCTCCTTCTCCCTGGGATACACGAAAAAGTGGATTGGAACGGTTTAGATAGCCGATGTCCGAAGGAGGCCACCACGGGGGGATCGACCCAGAAGAAAACCTGCTTCCACCGTGACACCTGTCTCCCCGTTATATACACACAGGCATCCCAACAAGAACGCAAAATGATGACGTAAGGCAGCCGCCGCCGCGTGCGAGTGTTCCAATGTCAGAGCGAGTAATGCGCGCGCGGTAGCCGTTTGCGATCGAAAAAGTAATCGCGATTACACATTCGCCGGTAAATAAGGAACTCGCAATTAAACGCTCACGCTCTCATTCATTAGCGCGAGCCTCGGGCGCGCGCGTCATTGTAAGCCACCGGCGCTGCTTCGCAGTCGCGGACGTGGGCACGGGGCGCCTCGGCGCGGTCTTGTCGCGCTTAATCGGCGCCCTTTCGATCGCCCTGACGCGGTAATCGCGGTCGTTTATAATTACGCGGCTGCCGGTGCGTTCAGCAACGCGTAACTGCATAATCAGGGATTTTCAGCGAGCCGGCGCTTGTGCAGCGGACAACAGCGACGTTCGCACCGGCGTCTTGCCTCAACTTCATGGTGTTTGGTGGCCGTGGAGAAATCGATGAGAGACGTCTGCAGCGGGCACCACGCCCAAAGCGAGGGAGGATGGAGGTGCACCGCGACGAACCCCATGCAGAGGCTCACGGAACAACGTCCATGGCGCTGTTATACGCGTCGAACAGACACGCTGCGACAAGGTAGCCGCCCCACCTCGATCCACAGCATCTATAAATGACTCGACCTAACCCAATGGGTCGTCTACATTTGTGAAAGGGGCATCCTTGCGCGTTTCCTTGCGCGACGGACAGCTCCGCTGAATTAGTCATCATCCTTACGCGGAATCCTCGCCGAGTTTCGCATTCACCGTTTCGAAATCTCGGGATAATTTCTCCTTGGGAAATTACGCCGAAGCCGACTCGACTTCGCCCGGGAAACGGCAGGATATCTACGCGTGTAGTAATGGCACTTCTGTAGCCGAGTCGACTTTGCTAACGGGAACTCGCTCGTCTGTTGTAAAGTGAATGTCGCGGTGAAGCCGCGACGATGGTTTGCGCCTTGCACGAGTAATAGACACTTTCTTGTTTTACATAGCGCTAAACAAACGACCGAATGTGGAAACGACTTGGTTTCACGCGCGTCTCACGCGCCGCACGCGGGAGAAATTGGCCGCGCGAACAAAGTCAGTGACTCGGTGGCTTGGTTTAATTGACCCGAGGCGACGGCGAGGTGTTTTCACGGCTTCAGAAATCAAGGTCACCGTACGCGCGCACGTTTCACGAACGTGTTGAACGTGTGTAGCGCGTCGCGTGAACGCGAACATTTCTATCCTCCTTCCTTCGAGTTGTTCCCAGTTATTCGGAGAATGTAAATCGCGCGCGAGGCCTCGGTGTATGCGAGCATAAATCAGTTTTTTAGATTCGAAACTGCAGGCTCAATTAACAGGAATGACACGGACGGATAACATTTTTATTTAACGTTCTTCTACGACGAGATAAGGCACTTACGTGTCTCGAAAATATTCTTACGCGTCTAATGGTACGCTCGTTCGCTTTAATTTCGATTTAATTATTTTCTAATACGTTCGAATTTTCCTGTACCTTCAGGATCAATCGTTACTAATAGCTGAATACAGTCTCACATTAGCGTCTTCGTAGACTTTTTATCCAGGCAAATTTCGCTCTCTTCGAAGCGAAAAACGGAAGATTTTTAGCCGATGCCTTGATTACAAATGTATCATAAACACATGGTTTATGTATCTATCGTCATCGTTCGGGCTCGTTTGTCGTCATTGTTCCTCTTGTTGTTACAGTCGAGAAGATCGGCGCGATGATGTTCCGGGAGTCGATATTTTTGCAAGACACTTGCGCGAAAAAGGAACTTGAGGTAATTTCTGTTTTATCACGACTCGGCGATAACGCGGATTACTGGGAAACGAGACATCTGTCGGTTTCAATCTAGGATAAGGATAGGGTTTCTCCTCTTCCTGTGGCAGGATGTCATACACCAAGGTGATATCCTCCGGACGTCGGTATCCTTCGTGATAAGGCTCGGACGAGATTTTTCCGCGTCTGATTTTACCCGCGCCGTTGCAGCACGATTATTTACCGGACGATAATCAGTCTCATCAGTAGACGCGCAACGCGATGCAATTGGAGCGATCCGTTTGGCTTAACGACTAACGAGGGTCCGTTCACACCCACGTATCGAGCGCAGCGTGCATAAACGACGCCAAATATAGGAGGCTTCGCGCACTTTCCGTCAAGCTGCGAACTTCGCCGTTCGCTCCCAAGTTCCTCGTACCTTCTAATTGGCGATGCTAATGCATACACACGGCAAACGCGATAGACAAACGTAACTGGTCATCAGTACAGTAATTATGCTAATTATGTCATTCGGCAATTATGGAGGTGTAGCAGAGTTTATCGTGGGCATTTCTGCGTCGACGCACCATGTGGTCTCTTCTTTTTCTTTAGAATATTCACGCTTTTACCTCTTTTGCGAATTTTAGCGATTCGCAGCGACGCTGTTAATTGGTCGCGTAGAAAGATTGCGGAGATACACATGTATGTATAATTTAAGATTTCAAGTGCGAACATAATTCGAGCACAGCTTCTCACACGCGACCTTCTTAGACTTCCTCCGTCGCGCAACTATACTTGGTGCTACATTCGATACTAGCTGGCTAAATACAGAGCGTGCTTCAATATCTCTCCATATGCGAATACGTGTCAGGGTTTCCGTGTGAGTTGCTTTTTTCGACAGAAATTGTTACACCGCGAGAAATGTGCTAATAGATCGAGAGACCAAGAGGCATTCGCCGAAAAGGCCGCGTCGCCTGGCCTAAAATCCATTTTGGGTCTCAGCAATACGTTTCCGTCGTTTTTGCTTACTTCGATTCTACTCGTATTTCGATTCGTCGAACTGAGATCCGGGAAAGTGCGAATTCAGTCAATGCAAATCTGCTTTCTCGTCCAAGTTTCTACATTAATTATTGTCCGCGTGCTTGCATGTAGATATCGAATTGAATTAAACACTACGCTGTAACAAATGGAAAATTTTCAGGTTGACATGGCCGAAAGGGATTGGTCGAATTAATAGTGAATTAAAAATACGTGTCTTGGCTGTGAGAAATAGTACTTCAGGTTCTTATGGACCGAATCCGCGTGTAAAAACTAAAAGTTCCGTTTCCTTCGACCAAAATGCTCGTTTCGCTCGTTTATCGTCATGTTAATTCGAACTTTTTTTATGTAGCACACGTCCGAAAGATTAATGGATTGTGACGGCACTGCGCGAGCGAGAGAAGCGATAAAATTGCATTTAAAAGGAAAGTTTTTCTAGTCCGATAATGAATTATACCGCTGATAAATAAGAACTCCTGTTTAACTGGTTGTTGCGAAGGAACCCAGATAAGAAGATATTGAACAGAAAATCGATTGATTCTATTGCAGGCGATATAAATCGAAACTCGATTCATCGTTCGGTCATAATCGCGGGATATATGAGGTCTGTTCTTTCTCGAAGAACTTCTGCACTAGTGCGATAAATTAGAGTGAAACACAGATAAAATTTCTCTCGCTCTAACTTATCGCACTAGTTTAAAAGTTCTTTGAAGAAAAGAAAAAGAAAACAGACCCCCGTAAGTCTGTTTCTTACCGCTGAACTAATGTACACTCGCGGAACTTAAAAAGAAACAGATAGTTGAAACTTGGTGAAAGAAAGAGGAAGAGAATCAGTACAAGTTAGTGCAGTAATAGAGAACGAACCTAACCTAACTTCCTTTCGTTTTATTAGATCGGCCTGGAGCCGAGATTGAACGAGGTACTACTAACCTCAAACAATTTCCGAGCAGAACGTCGTGCATCTCGTATCCGAATATCTTCGTTAACCTAATAGACCAAATTTCCGCGGAGGAAACATTGTCTTGAGTCATCTCCGAGCGGTTCGCTCATGTCATAGTTTGTCACGATGAGCCTTTTTGTACGGAGGTTGTGCCGGCTACGGTGCGCGTATTCAACGTTGTTGAGGTTACCGGAGAAACGCGAACATCCGCGGCGGTTGGTCGCGTTGTCGAAATGTAAGTTCAGCACGCATGTATCTTCCTTGTTCGAAGGTTCGAACGATCAGAATGACACGGTCAACGTGTCGGAGGCAATGAAGGAGAACGAGTACGCTCGCAATTTATTCTTGAACTCGTACAAGTACAGGAAGAGCATAATGCGACAAAACACGGCTCACGCTCATGTCACCAACGAGAAAGCCACGGAGCTGTTGAAACAAGACTGGACTTCAAAGACCGACTATGAACTGTTGTCTGCTGTTAAAATGCTTAGCTACAACATCCGTTACAGCGATGAAAGGATCGACTCGCTTCTGTATGAGAATGTCTTCACCACGTCACGTGAACGTCATCAGAAGCTGAGCGATGAAAATCTGATGACGTTAATGCGGCACCTGGTACCGTTCCGTGAACATTTCGCACAGCACATATTCTACAAGCAGTTTTGCCGTCAACTGAATCTCGAGTGTGTAAAACGCTTCATGAATTTGCCCATTGACAGGATGCTCATGCTTTGCGACATGCTTCATGAGATGACATACACGCGTGATTCCGAATATATCTGGCATTCCATGAGGAAGATAGGTAATAAGCCTGGTAGGCTAGAGCCTCATCATCTGGTTCAGGTTCTGTTCTTCCTGAATGTGTGCAGAAAACCACCTGTCAATACGTATGAACTAGAGTATCGCTTGCAACAATGCTTTGATGATTTGTCTATCAATGAGATAGGTATAGCAGCATTGGGTTTCTTCAAGACTGGCTCGCAGATTAGAAGTACTGATCTGTTGAGGAGCATCATGAAAAAAACTATAACTAATATAAATGATATAGACAATATTAGTATTGGAGCAATCGCAAAGTTGATACGGTAAGATGAGATTTGTCACATACAGTGTAATAAATGATGAATTTGAAAGGAAGTATTCTTATTTTCTAATATAAACTTTCAATTGGTAAGATTTCTTCATCAGGCCATAATAAAATGTTTGTTATGTTATGTTATTAATTATTAATACCAATAATATTAGTACCATTATTAGTACCAATAACATAAAATGATTGTCAGTGCAAGTTCTGATTATAAAGAAATGATTCCCTTTGAAATTGATGAAATTGACTTACATTATACAGTGTGTCTAATATTCTCTTTCTAGATATAGTATGCAACTCACAGAAATTAACTTGCTAAAAAAATTGATAGATGTTACCATGTCGATCGAGTTTCGTTTGACGCTGATGACTCTGAATCATATCGCGCACGCCAGCACGAGGGTGGCGCTGTATCACGAAGAGTTGTTCAATAAAATAATCAAAAGGTACGTCTTTAACTTTAAAGGTAACTAACTTTAAAGGTAACGTCCTGTAACTAAGTCATAAATCGAAGATGTTGAGCTGATACTAATGTGACTGTGACTAATGTGATTTCAGGGTAAACAACGAGTTGACGTCCGCGAGAATAAAGGACTTGGAGAGACTTATATTTTTTTGCACCAGTTTTAACATTGACTCGAGCAACAAGATCTATCACAACGTGATTGAGGAACTGCGAGACTCGTGGTACACGAGAAGAGCGTATGAGATAGATCAGTAAGCATGATTCAACAATCGAGTCGAATTTTCAAACTGAACCAATGCGTCTTGATGAGAGAATGAAACGTTTGTCTTTTTTTTTTTAGATATCCACACATGTTTTCGCGCATTTTAGGGTATCTGTCCCTCGTGAATATATATCCCAAAGATTTGATCGAACGCATCATGATGCCTTCGTACATACACAAATTGGTCTCTAGAAAGTACTATCACGTTTCACGGGAATTCTTCGTGTTGAATAACAGTCTTCGAGTGGAGGTGCCTGATTACAATGGACCGTTTCTTCAACCTTCATTGCACAATTACTTGTTAAAAGTATGTAGAGTTCCGTCCTTTCACAACGATTAGTAGTCGATACAGATCTCTTGTGCTTCGTATCAGTGATGGTTTTCGGTATTTTGAATCGTTGAAAAACATCATTTGTGATATAATTTATATGATATGTATGACTTCACACCTGCATTGAGACTAACCCAAAATTTACTTTTCCTTCATCGATTTGCTACTATCAATATTCCAGGTGCTTTTTTAAACATGAGATGCCAATAATATCGTTAACGATACGAAGTATTGTATTATTATTATTATTATTATTATTATTATTATATTATTTACAGATCGAAAATGAAACGACAATTATTATCTTTTATTATCTTTCAGAAATACTTTCTGAATTTACAATCTCCGGAATCGAGTAAGGGGAATATGCTCCTTATGCACGTATTGCAAACGTGTCAGGTACAAATATTATTGCGTGACAGTCTCAACGCTGCTCCGGGATGATTTTTCTTTGTCAAGATATTCATACGATGCTTTTAAACAGGATATGTTCAACAACACGTCGGACATAATGCTCTTTCAGCCGTTACCGCACTTTATGATATCGAACATCATCATATGCTTGGATGAGCAGAATCAACTCGTACCCGTCAAGGACTATCTGGCCAAATTCGAAACTGGAGAAATTAAATGGGTGGACAAAAATCAAGAAAATATTAGATGGATTGCGCTCATTATGGGGCATCATGGTGTTCTAATCAAGGATACAAATTTACCCGTCGGCCTCTTAGCCGCAAAGATGAGGCAGCTGGTTAAAATCGGATATATACCGGTCGTGGTAAGCTTTTTCAAAAGTGAAAACTTATTAGATTAGTGCGGTTAATTGCACTGACTAGGATAGCGAATATGGTAGCAAATATAGAAGATAATATAGCGAAAATACGTATGCTTCACAGGTATCGTACATTGAATGGAAGAAGTGTGAAACACAGGAGCAAAGGCATGATTATATGAGACAGCTTCTATTTCAAAATAAGGCAGTAAACTCAATCACGATGTAATATAAAATGTACATAGATTATCATGTCATTCGTTCTGTCATATAAATCGGATCTGTTTATAAAAGCAACAAAGAAATATAGGTCGATTTTTAAGTACAATCTTCCTTCAGCGTGTACATACAATCAAGATTTTTTTATTGCATACTTTATATGCCCTTTAAGATATATTTGCAAAAAAACAAATATTAATATTTCTTTATTAATATTATTAATATTATTAATATTACTAATATTAATATTACTTGGACAATATTAATATCTTTTGTGTGTAAATATTTGTATTCAAAATATATGCTAACATATTACTTTTTCCTATCTACATTGAATTTAAAAATATTTTTGTTTTCCACAAAAATACCTTGCGACAGAAATTTCTGTCGTACATATGTTCGACATTGTTCTCTCGTACGCAAGCATTATATTTTTATGGCACATGTTTTATCCGAATGTTTGGTGAAAATATTTGGTTACACATGGAACATCAAGTTCACTCAATGCCATAAAAGTCCAGCATCGAGCGATCGAACTCAGAAATAATTGTACATTAATTTCTTCGTGTACTCTACTGTGACAAACAACGTGGCGGTCGCCGGTATCGTTCGTATCAGAGTTGGCATCAATCCGTTGTACAGCGCACCGATACCCTCTCGCCTCGCGATGTCTTTGAAAACTATCAACGCCGGTGTCGTGAGATTTTTCACCTGGAGAAAAGATACCTCGTTAGAAGCCACAAGTTTTCACGCGCTATACTTTCCAACAAATGTGATGTCCTATTTTTTTATTTTATAGTTAAGGGGATTGGATCAAATTCTCTGTACGTTTCATTTGTATATTTACAGCGAAGAAAAAGAAGTCCTCCCTTTCAGAATATACAGAATGTTCTAAACTACTTGGATTTACCACAAGGACGAACCTACCTGTATTCTGCTTTTCACCACGTCAGCAGGGAATATCACCAGCCAGAGCACCGTGCCCCCGACCGCGCCGGCCACCATCGTTTTCTGCCAGCCGATGTCATCTCTGCTCTGACCAGGCGCGGCCAGTAACTGCCGCGTGGCTTCATAGCCGCCGAAGAAGAAGAAGTAGCCGGGCATCTCGCGGGCTATCGTCGACGAGAGACCTGTAAACAGGCCTCTTACACCTTGCTCCCTAAGTATCTGTGTCGTCAATTTCCACGGTCCTACGCGCTTCTGAGGGAACAACGACGTCTCGTCACTTTAAAAAGTTAACAATTTTTTGCGTTAGAAATTGCCGGACGCATCACGTCGGCACCGTGCTATTCACCCTAGCTTTGCCCGCGACGTTGTTGCCGGCCGCCTGTGTCTCTTCCACCTCCCTCATCGCCTGCAGCTTGCACTTTATCAGCTCGGTCGGGCACAACGTCAACGAGGAGAAGAACGCGGCGAAAAAGCCGGCCCAGGCGTTGCTGATGGAGCTCAGCTCCTTCACGCTCTGCACATCTGTATCGATGAGGGACAAGTGACGCATGATAGATGCATATATTGCGCAAGCTGCGAGCGACTCAAGTGACGTCATATTTGACGCCATAGTTACGTTGTAGCTTGCTTAAGGTTCCATTAAAATCTCGAGTAAGTTGTACCGTTATAGTTCTCGATTCGGAGGGAAGTATATACCCGTGAAATGAGCGATCGTATTTTGGCACACGCCGTATGCGGCGAACAACACGGAGTTCTCGGCGACGTTGGCGACCACAGCCGGAATTGTGCCGGCGTACAAACCCCTCGCGACGCCGTCTGTCTTCACCGTGCGCACGAGACAATCCACCATGCCCTTGTACATCGACGGGAACGTCTGCATCTTCACCTTGACCGTGTCCAACGGTTGGCCCACGTAGACGAGGGCTACGCCGCCTGTGTTGAAGAAAAATCTCATTCAGGAGGTTCCTCATTCTCTTGGACACGACGATCCGAGTGTCCTTCTTCCTTCCTTTTTGCAGTTTCTTTTAAGAGAAGATAATTCTTATCGCCGTTATAAACGGATAGACATTGATAAATTTTTCTAGGAGATACGCGATATTGTGTAATTATCTGTAAGAGCGTGTCTGGAATGACTCAGATAACACCTTAGAGAAGCACTCCGAACGAAAGATATTCCCTATTTCTTCGGCTTTCTGTGGCAAAGTCAAAAGATCTCAGATAAGAGTTATTTGTCTCCTTGAGGAGAAACAGGCGGGAGGTGAAAGAATTGTTATTTACTTTTTAATCGTCGTTGCGAGGAGCAATTATCGTAAGCTACATGATCTTTTTGAACGACGCCCAAGCGTGTTCGTCCCACATTTCTCAACTGCGGGAGTGCGGGGGAGCGTGATCTCTCGCACGCGAGACATTCAGTTTGACTTATCTCAGTTCGTCACTCAGACAAAAGATAACGTTTCGGGACCGCTATCCCCGCAAATGAATCTAACGCGGATGATTACGACCTCGAGAATCAACAAGTCTCGGGACAATATGACAATTGGTGACAGTTTTTACGTTCGGTAGATTACAAATTGCCGGAATAATAAATTATTCCATCATTTTAATCATATAGGTATTATATAAGCTATTTTCTATTCCTGCCGAGCTTAACACACTCTCGATTAATCCGTTTCTCTATTTTTCATCCCGAACAAATTTTACTCCCTTCCGCGCGCTCTAAAACCTTTTTTATTTTTATACTTGTAATTCCATAAATAAATCTTTCCCTGATATCGCTCTGGAATGTCGATTTGGAAGATCGTCACGATATTGTTCTTCTAATTATGATGCCCCGTTTGCGCGATATTGCGTTATGAATGTAAACGCTACAGCTCAGCTACAAATAACGATCGTTATTTGCAATAATAATTGCGGGTGTAATCAGCCGGCTTGCTGTAATGTGCATCGTCGCTCAGGTAACTGACATTTATCGTAGTGCTTCTCCAGACATTCTCGACACGGCTTGGCAAGTAAATGACAAGATTTTATGTCAGGAGCACATACCGAGCGAGCCGGCCACGAAATCAATCAAGCCGCTCTTGAAGTTGCCCGCACGGCAGTTCCCTTGTTTCAGCGACACGTGGTGCTGCTTGTCCGCCCCGATCGAAGCTGTGTCTCTCCCCGTCGTCATTGTTTAACGTTTTTCCGGATTTCAGGAAAGATTTCACAGTCATATGCGTCTAAGCATCAAAGCGAATCCAAGAATCACTACACGTCGCGTGCTACTGGCGGTCGCGTGTTTCGCAAGACAATATATATACACACACACACACACAACACACACACACACACACACACACATATATATATATATACACGTTGGAAGGGGAAAGCCACTATCGGCCAGCCATTTCTCTTGCACGTTGACACGAGAATGCATCAACAGGGCCTGTGATGTACAAAGGAAAACTGAGATAATTAACATGATGTTACTTATCAATCAATAAAACGAAACCTATTATCTTTTATTTTATTGCAACTAGTAGATTGAGTTTAAAAGTGATTATGAAACTTTATACTCTTCCTCACATCCTGTGTATGAAAACAAGATATTAAATTATAATTATATGTATCTCATTTTATATCTCATATTATATATACCATGAGCAAATCTTCCTGTTGAGATAACGGCTTACTATGCCATTGTACTAGCTCAAGATGCAATTTCATTTGCAAGTTCATTTCATCTGCATATTTTGGTTATAGGATTTGCTCATGTTGTTCTAGATTTTCTTGCATCAAGTGCTACAGTCTTGTTCATGAAAATATTTGCGATATTTTATACTTTTGCAACTCATTGTCACGGTAACTCTCATTGTTGGTAAAGTGCTTTAGATTTAAACTCTTGATATTGGAGATGGATATTTTTCTAAGTTTTTGGGAAACTTGTGTGATAGTACTTCCATCCAAGATTTACATCCATACATGCATCATTCTTTCATCATCTTTCTTTCTTTTAAAGTAATTCTCGATTATTATTCTTTGATTACTTTGTTCGTATATGAGAAGTCAGTAAATAAAAAATCTGCATATATATTGTAATGTAAATTGTAAGGACATTATATAGGAGGATAAAAGTATCTTATAGGTTATATAATACTTCACTCATTTCTTTCTCAAGATCATCCGATGTATCAACCTTCCCTTAAATAGACTTATGTAGCATAAAATTATATCACTTTACCTAAGATGTAACGTCAACATTTATATGTCCAATAATACAAAACGCAAACGATTACATCTATGGCTTCTATTTTAATACCGTAACAGAATGCCAAAATCTTAAAACGATAATAGCATGCTTTGCAACATGCTCTGAGCAAATGTTCAAGAGACATATTCGCTAATGTCTATTTACAGAAATAACGTTAACGATAACATTAATAAAATTGCACTAATTAAAAGCCAACACCACAACGTCGAATATTTGATACTTTAGCGGACATTTTGAGACAGCAGATGGACATTCATCCACCGATAAATCGATGTCTGATTTTTTTTTTCGAAAAGTCGATTACTTGCCTAAAAAAAGTTTTTCGGATTCGATTGTTCCCTACACATCGATAGTTCCTTTTACTTCGATGTTACTAAATTTAATTATCAGAGGCATCGCATCTTTGTTGCACAAGTCTGATCTTGTATTTCAGATCGTCTCAAACTCATCTTAAATGTTGCAAGGGTTGCTTAATTTTTATTTAATGTCACGCGCCGTAATTATGCTGCATTAAAATATATGCAAAATGTATCCGAAGATCGCACACTCTCGTGTACCTTAAAAACCAGAAGGTACCGCAGTTGCCGAAAGTACAGAGGAAGGTGCGCTTGGGTCGCCATGGGAACGCGTCCGAGTCATCGGCGATCTTCGGCAATCGTCGTGATCGGCGTGGGGCTTCGCGACGACAAATTCCCTAGGACGCGATGCCCGCGGTCGTGTGCGCCTCCGCTGGAACGGCGACACATATGCCCGACGGACACGACGACGTGCGCGACATTGTGCGACATCCCAAAATATGACTTCGCCCCGCGGCCGCGACTGATAGCCGTCGTCGGCGCTTCGCCGTCGTGTGGTCGTTTCTCTCTCTTTCTTTCTTTACCTTTTTCCTTCTCTCCAACTCCTGGAATTCTCGCTCGCTCACTCGCTCGCACGCACGCACGTACGTGAGAGAGCGAGTCCGAGAACGCGTCTTAGCGGACTGACGGCTTCGTCGCCGTCGTCGTTCGTTCTCGACCGATCGAGAGTGCAGGCAAGCCCGCGAGAGAGCCGAAAGCGAGACAACAATAACAACTACCCACGTCTGAGGAAAAGTGCGCGCTACGTTGCACAGCGCAACGTGTCGCTGTGCTGTGCGTTCCTGCCCTTTTGTACCTTTGGCTCCGCTGCGAAACTGCCATGATAACTGCTGCTGCTGCTGCTGCGCGTCCCTATATCGCGACACAATAGGCTCGTCGCTAGTGTCCTAGCTCATAGGCTGCCCGACCGTGCAAGATGCGAGTGGTTTATTCTCCGGAGAGCATCCTCGCGGTAAGTACACGTGCTGGCGTCGCGCGACGACGCGTCGGCGTCGCGGCGTCTGCTCTCGCGACGTCGACGACGTCGACAACGACGACGACGATGACGAGCACGACGACCACGACCATACACACACGCATCGTGCACGCACACATACGTGCGCTACTACTACTACACACACACACACACACACATCATACATACACACACAGGCACACATACACGCGCGCGCGCGAGGCTGCCCCTTGCGCGATTCAGCACCGTCGTGAAGCCTGTGCCTCTTCTTCGTCCCCCGCCATTAAACCTGCCCGCGACGCGTACGCTAGGCCAACGGTGACGACGCTCGTCGTGGCCCCGCGAGGATCGCGTCGGCGACGCCGTTGTCCTCCCAGCGACAGTGGACCGTTATGTCGACGGGCCTGCTTGGCGTGTCGCCCATAGGTCGCCGCCGTCGCCGCCACCGCCGTGGCGATCCGGTCGATACGACGACACCCGACGACGCTCGTCCTGTCCGTGGCGCTGACTTCCAAGCAACGGCTGTCGACGAGCCTGAGGCGACGCTCTGCTCGTCAGCCAGCCGAGCTTCGAGGAAGCGTGCGGAGGCTCACGAGCTCGGTCAATAAGACGAGGCAGGCTGCGCGACCGTCTCCCCTTTTTTTTTGTGACAACGAGCTGTGGCATCGTTGCGACGGGAACTCGTTCTGGGGGTTCATTGTCGAGCAGCTCGTCCATCGGTGCGGTTCACATCGTGTTTCTTCGGTGTCGTCGGAGTACGCAGTGTACGGGTCGTTTGTGGCGAGGGAGGGAGAGAGAGAGAGAGAGAGAAAAAGAGAGAGAGAGAGAGAGAGAGAGAGAGAGAGAGAGAGAGAGAGAGAGAGAGAGAGAGAGAGAGAGAGAGTGTGTGTGTGAGAGAGTGAGTGAGTGAGTGAGTGAGTGAGAGAGAGAGAGAGAGAGAGAGAGAGAGAGAGAGAGAGAGAGAGAGTGGACGCGATCTTGTCGAGGACCGAGACGAAAGTGTGTTGCACGGATTGTTCCTCCGAGTCGCGACACGGGATGACACGTGTGTTTGGAGTCTCGGCGAGAGCTTCCACGGGAAAAGTGCTCTCGCCGCGGTATTTGACATTTTGATGAACAGCTGAGAGCTACGTCGGCGATGACATCGATGGTGTAGATAAGCAATGTGCGGCGACACTCGGGACGATATTTCGTCGGGAAACGTCACCGTATTCCTTTCGATGGATGGACTTGTCGATTGAGAATTGGACGGTACTATGTGTCCCGTGCGGTTTGCATCGCGTGCTTGCTGCTCTCGTTGCACGAAACAAGGGTGTCTGATGGGCTTGGTTCAGGTTCGAGGATGATACACCTCTTTTATTGCCGTTTCGTCCCTTTGGTTTATTTCTGCGGAATGCGGTGTCGTGGTTTAATGTTGATAATGACAAATCTGACGATTCAATAGAATATGTCGTTCTACAAATGTGAACAGAACCACGATAACCTTTGACAAGAATATGTTAACCTGAATTTGTTTAATAGAACCCATTGTGCCGATTGTGCTAAAGCAAATCTTTTCTCATGGAGATGCTATGTGTTCTTTTCTTGCATTTTCAGTGAAAGTCAGTGTCGCAGAATGGTGGTGGATTGCTATTCGATTCAGGCTTCAGCAACTATAGGAAGAAAGCAGGAGCGAAGGTTAGGTTGCACAGTGGGTGCAAAGATGCAAACGAATACCGGTGGTGGAGGAGGTGGAATGACACCTAAAGAGCTTTGCGATAATGATGACCTGGCCACGTCTCTTGTGTTAGATCCCTACTTAGGATTCGTCACACATAAAATGAATATTAGGTACTGTGAAGTCATTCATCTATATATCGTGCATATATATATACTCATGTCTTTTTACTCGCACTTATATCATGTATGCTCGTATACATGAGACTGATCTATTGAATCATTGATTTGCATAATAGATATAGACCATTGAAGGCAAACAAGGATGAACTCCGGAAAATTATCTGTGAATTCATCCAGAATCAAAATTATGAAAAGGCTTACAAGAAATTGATGGGTGGGGACTGGGGTGCACGGCTTCCTCATACAAAATCCAAACAGCAGCAAATCAATCTGGAAAACCATGTAAGTGTCAAGCAGAAATACATTGATTATTTTATGTATAATTCATCACTCACTGCTCTTTGTTTCACACTTGAGCTAAACTTCAAGTTTGATTGTGCGAGGGCTTTATATATATTTTTTTTGATAATAATAAAATTTACCATGGTATAATAGTAATGCTCGCTTTTGCAGGTTAAGAGATACTTGCGAGTTTTTGACAAGGAATCTGGATTCGCAATAGAGCCATGCTACAGATACAGTTTAGAGGCACAAAAGGGTGCCAAAATATGTGCCACTCGCAAGTGGCTGAAAAACGAGAAGATTTCTTGCCTCGTCGGTTGCATAGCAGAGCTTAGTGAAAAGGTTTGAAGATGTCACGCAACACGCATCAAGAAGTCCGTTCAATTTCATTGAAAAATTGAATTCGGATTTCCTTTCCTCTATGTCCGTATTTTCATTCAATATCGCGTATACTGTTAGGAGGAAGCCGCATTGCTACACCCTGGCAAGAACGACTTTTCCGTAATGTTCAGCTGCCGGAAAAACTGCGCCCAATTATGGCTGGGACCTGCTGCCTACATAAACCACGACTGCAGAGCAAACTGCAAGGTTGGTGATATCTATATGAGATATGAACGCAATTTGAAACTCACTGCTACGTTATCGCGCATACAAACACCAAGATATTGATTTCATTCACGGTGCTGCTTGTAGTTCGTGCCGACGGGAAGGGACACGGCTTGCGTCAAAGTGTTGCGCGATATTGAGGTGGGCGAGGAGATCACTTGCTTCTATGGAGAGGATTTCTTTGGCGACAATAACTGCTACTGCGAATGCGAGACATGTGAGAGGCGAGGTACCGGCGCGTTCGCGAGTCAGAAGCCGGGCGAGGAACTGTCGTCAGGTACGAACGCGACATTCACCGGAAAATCCCGGAGAGACGAAACATCATCGCGAGCTTCGTCGCTAATTCGAGTTTGCCCGTAGGTTACCGCTTGAGGGAAACTGATAACCGAATCAACCGGACGAAACATCGGCAGCAACCGTTGAACAGAAACAAGCAGCAGGCCGATACCGCTCTCACCGAGCGGAACGCAGTTTTGGTCGGGAACGTGGCGGTCGCACCGCAGTCTCTCAGTATGAAGGAGCTGCGGCGCAAAGGACTCACCAAGTACGACGCCGAGTTGCTGATCGCGCAAGGCTGTCGCTTCTCGGACATCAATCAGCAGCAGCAGCCAGCCATCAACAACGGCGAGAATGTGCTACAGACCAGACCTCACCCCTCCGCTTTGACCAGCACTTCCGTTACAAGGAACCTCCGGAATAAGCAGATGGGCAAGTTTGATGGCAGCACCGCTGACGGGAGCGCCATTAAAACTACTCAGCCGCTTAGAGCGCCTAGGTAAGGTAGACCCGTCTTCATAATCGCGATTGAAACTTGTCTCACGTAGGATACTCAGATTTGAGTATAGAATTAAATCTGAGTTCTTTTTTAAGTTTGCACGTATGTTAACAATTTAAAATTTGTCTCGTGTAAAATGGGACACACGAATTATAAAAAAAATATCTCTATATCCAACCAATCAAATTCTTCGTACTTAAAATTTATATCTATGCCTCTTACATGAAGATAGGTTTTAAATAATTGTTATTGATACGTGTCTTAGTTATAATTATATATGATGAATATTACATTCGTAACGTCGATTTAGTAAGAAAATCTTATATCTTATTCCACCTTAAAAATCCGATTATTTCATATGTAAGACAAGTTTTATATAACGATTATTAATACATGCCTTAAATCTCTCGGACGCTCCACTTTTATCTGAACTTTTGCACTGACGACTGTCGATTTTGCAGGCTTCACAAGAGAACGGAATCGAAAAAGGGCAAGCTCACCGTAAAATCCCGGTCCCCGTGTCTCAGCAATTCGGTAATCAAGGATACGGAAGTGGCAGACATCGGTCATCGTAAGGAGGACTCCGACAGAGTGCCGGTGCACGAGGAGAGTCTGTACTCGCGATTACAGAAGCAGATCCACTCGTTGAACGCGGAGATGGAGCACGGTTTCTGCGTGGAGGAGCCGCGGCGCACCGTCGTGACGGAATCCTCGAGCGAGGGTTCGTCCTTCCAACGAGAGTGTCCGTTGCGACTGACGGAGGTGTCGGAGAACACCAGCGAGTCCAACGGCGACTCGGTTGAGGAAGAGCGGGCGATACCGGACCTCATCGCGGAAGTCGACGCTCTTAAGCCAGTAGATAACGTTAATTCTTCCAATTACAAAAAGGGACATTATAGTACAAACGCCTGTGATTCAATCCGACTTAGTTCCACGTCTCAAGTCCACGTACAATGCTTACACACTGCAGAACTGTTACCCGAGGAGGGCACATCGTGCCAATCGAGGGACAGTCGCGCTTCGTCGCCCGTGCGGGATAACGAGAGCGAGAACGATTTACGCGGCTCGACCGAGCGAGCGAGTTGCGTGAGCAAACGTTCCAAGTCTCACAGCAGGCAGTTCGTCTCGTCGGACGAGCAAGAGAGTCGCAAGATGCTACCGAGCGAGGAATCGTCTTGCGTATTCCAAGACGAGGACACCTCACCGTCGATCGGCGAGAGAGCTTCGCCCCCCCAGGTGGACTTTCGCGAGAGCGACGCGCGAGTGGTCGAGACGAGTCGATCGGACGATGAAGGCTGCGACGAGACGAGCCCCGCCAAGGTAATCGTGATGCAGAAGTACACTGTGGGCCGACAAGTGGAGAGTGAGAACTGCGGGAGCGCGATCGTCGCAGTGGACAACGCGAATCCGGCGGCTCGCTCGGACAGTGTCGAGTTTAGTGGACTGAACCCCGAGGGAATAGACATAGAGACAGCAGCGCCGACCGGGAACGTTTTCAAGTGCCGTGATAGTTCGATGCTGCCCAGCCAAGAAGGGCAAACCTGCTTCTTGACGAGAAGCGACGACGCGTACGTTGGCGGCGGCGTGGAGACATGTGACATCGTGGTCAAGCCCGACGCGACGGCGTTACGTTCTGCTGACGACGTCGACGTCAGGCTGAATTTCAGCGAAGGCAGTGGCGCACCGGCGGACTTCGGGAGCATGCAAGCTGCGAACTACAACGACTTGACCGGTCACACGAGTTTGGACGAGAACGTTCGCGAGTTCAGCTCGAAGAGGTCGTCGTCCAAACGGAAAGACGCGTCGGACGGCTCCTCGAGATCTCGCAAATCGCAGAAGAGACTCTCGAGCGGCAAGTCCAAGTCCAAGCACAGCGTGTTGTTGGACGATGCTGGTCAGCACGCAGCAAGCGACGGTGTGAGCGTCAAGAGTCACAGCAAGGCGAGCAAGAGCAAGAACCGATCGACCAGAAGCCAGAGGAGGGATCGCCAGAGGTCGGCGACCGCTGAGATCGGGGAGGCCGACGACGACTCAGGTATCCAGGGCGACATCTACGAGTTCAGCGAGAAGGAGAGCAACCTGGAGGACATCGGTATACTGTCCATCATAAGACGCGGCGGCAAGCACGAGACTCGTCATCATGCCTCCTCGATCTCGTCGCATCTGCAGGAGATGCAGTGCAACGAGGACTATAGCAAGACCGAGCCGCCGGTGCTCGTCCCGGAGGAGCCGTGGCCGCCGGCCACGGATCCGAGTCGAAGCGAGCACCACGCCACGGACACCAATAACGGTGTTCAGTCGGGAGCGAACTGCGACGTCGAAACGAGCCTGGACAGGTAAATTTGAGATAAGATGATCCGAAGCGGTTTCCCAGCGAGACTACGCTGCGTTTGGCTTCTTTTGTCTTGGATTTATCTTCAACGTTTGCGAACATTTCCGACCACTTCGTCAGTGGTGGAGTTAACATCAGGTTGCTCCTCTTTCTGTGATGAAGCGGAACGAGAAATGTTTACGGAATGTTGAAGAGCAATCAGATGTATCTTCTTGCTGCGTGCTGCATCAGCTTGGTGCGCGATGCAGTTTGCAAACATCGTCGAAATTAAAGTGATCTGTTCATAGAAGGATATCTCTCATTACACGCGTATTGGTGTAGCCAGACGAAACAAAAGACTCTTTCTCTTCCAGACTGGCAGCCTACGACGAGAACAGCAGAGCGCGCAAATCCTCGACCCCATCCGAGTGCCAATGGCGAACGAGCAGTTCCGACTGCCGGGTTTGTCCCGTCACGCCAGAGAGAACCGGTGGGCGGCTAAAGCTAACGTTGCGCATGAAGCGGTCGCCGGTGCTGGACGATATCGCCGAGTCCGGCACCAGCCTGAGCGAAGACAGCTATGAGCCGGAGTACGAAGTATTGCGCGTCGAGGGGGTGGAAAGGAGTAAACGCCGGAAAAAGCATAAAAGCAGAAGCCACGAGAGGGGGCATAAGAAACGCGACTACCCGCCGCCCATGAAGAGGTTACGCCTGATCTTGGGAAACGAGACACACACCATCGACTTGCCGCACTCTTAACAGCTATAATTTCTCTCCCCCTTTTCCCGCTCCCCCGCATCATCTCCCGTGTCCCCTGGCCTAGTCGTGAGGGTGCACGTGTAATATCAGTTTGTTTACGGACGAGCTACCTTTCTAAGTATAATTAAAAGAAGATTACACAGGACACACATACACATGCAAAACTAGGCCTCCTCGTCCTGCGACGCATGACAGCGAGTTCTCACGTCGCACTTGAAAAATACCTTTCGCGAACAAATTCGGTTTAGAGGTAGAACTAGCTGCATTTCCCTTCTCTCTCTCTCTCTCTCTCTCTCTCTCTCTCTCTCTCTCTCTCTCTCTCTCTCTCTCTCTCTCTCTCTCTCTCTCTCTCTCTCTCTCTCTCTCTCTCCCCCCCCTCCCTCCCTCCCCCCCTCTCTCTCTTCCTCTCTGTCTCCTCTCTTTTCGACTTTCTCTCTTTCTCTCTTGTAGTTCTCGTTATTTAAATCTAGTGATGTACACGTCTTATTCTTGTAACAACGAATCTCTGAGGGCCTATATGAGGGAAGCGTTAACCGGGAAAACACGCGTAGGTAGGGTTTTTTTTCTCTAGGTCGCGCTTACATGTTTTTCCCGTTAGAGTTAAAATCGCGTACGAGAGGCGGGAGAGTGGCTCGTACGCGACGCACGATGTCGCGAATACTTAACCGAGCGTCATGCAGTTCCATAGAGATTAATCGTTCGTGGACGCTCTAGCTAGTGCTAAAACAATAAGAAAGAGAGAGACGAACTTTGCGTGCAAATGACCGAGTTCAGTTCAACGTTTACGGTGAAATTATTCGAAGAAATCGGTCGTTCGTTGCGGGGGGCAGGGTCGAGCGATACATCCGGACCGTATGATCTCCAAAAGAAAAAAGAAGAAAAACAAAAGAAAAAAAAAGTAAAACCGCCTTTCTCCTTCTTTTTTCGCGTTCTTTTCCCTTCGACTAAGCTGCTTGCTAGCGAGCTACCGTACACGACAAATCGTTGTAACGATTTCATGCTACGTGTGAGATAGTTGCACGCAAACTATACGTCTTACACGAGTTAAAATATCTCTCACTCGAGTCGTTCCCCGAGGAAAGAAAGGAAGGAAAATGAGTGAATCCATCTGCTCGCGCCGCTTTCCGTCTATATGGTCTCTCCGGAACGGAGAGAAGGACGAAAGAGGAAGATCCCTATACTTATACTATGTATAATAATTATCTAACTGATTAATCTTCTTAGCTAAATATTAGTTAGCACTATAATAATCGCTATTCTCGGACGAGAAGTCGAATATCACTGAAGAACCTTGTAAATAATGCTTATATATATATATATATATATATATATATATATATATACACATATAGATATATATACATACATATATATGTATGTATGTATGTATATATATATATATATATATATACATATGTGAGGTTTATTATATACCGTATTATGTATTTCGTCGGTGTATTACAATGTCTCGATGCGAATCGACACGTCAAACAGGCGCGTTGCACATACCATTGTATACGGAATACACATCGTTCACGATTGTAATAGCGAAGTATTATACGGGGGGGGGGGGAGAGAGAGAGAGAAAGGGAGAGAATGTTTCACTCTCGGCTCGTTGATGTCGTATGTGCCGTTAATCGAATATCCAGATTGTGGGCGAGGGCCCAGGCGGGACCGTATCGAAACACGCGTTTCGCGCGTAAGACATCGCGATCCGTTACATGTCGTTTTGGTTCACCGACGAGCGTACGCTGCGTGTTAATTCTCGCGTCAGCGATTTTTTTCTCGATGTTGAGCTCGAAGCGTAACGCTCTGTATCGGATAAACTGCTAGAGATGTTCCTGGCCCGTCATCGAGAAAAATTCGCAAAGCATTCTCGATCCCATCAGGTTGGAGAAAGAGAGAGAGAGAGAGAGAGAGAGAGAGAGAGAGAGAAAAAGAGAGAGAGAGAGAGAGAGAGAGAGAGAGAGAGAGAGAGAGAGAGAGAGAGAGAGAGAGAGAGAGAGAGAGAGAGAGAGAGAGAGAGAGAGAGAGCGAGCGAACAATGCCGTTTCTTCGACTTTACTAAAATGCGCCGATAAAATCTGCTGAGTCTCTCTATAATACAAATTTAATCGAGACTGGTTTCCTCGGCACGTTGAAAAGAAGAAAAAAAGAAGAGATGGTCGAGAAGAACCGCGCGTTATTTTGCCAACCTGATGCATCTGTCGCGCGCAGCAGCTCGTGCGTCGTCTCCGTTGCCGGCGAGTCGTCGAGATTCTCAAAACGAATGTGATATCGCACAAGTTTGAAGGAAGCATCGCGCACGAGTTGAGTCGAAATGCGAGACAGATGCGTGACGTTCCTGTGTACGTGGCGCGCATGCCGAGATTTTCTTGAAAATTTGCCGACCGAATATGGGCCGTTACTCATGTCCAACGATTCTTTTTATACTGCGAATAGCGAATGATTTTTCATTCACCGATAACGAACAAGTGTTGTAAAAATTTTTGTCTTGTACTCTCTCGACCGTCGCAGTCACGAGCAATATATCTTCGATCGGGCGGCGTAGCCCCGTGCATATTATCGCGAGCGAATTACCGCACGCGATTTATGAAAGAAGAAAAACGCAAAAAAAAAGTGGCGCGGATCGGGAATGTCGCGCGAGCACCGTTATGTTTCGCACGACGACGACGACGAAGCGTGTAATTAAAATTACAACCGCGAGTGTAGGCTAATGGTAAAACGTAGGCTGTACAGTTCACACACCGACTTACGCCTTTTCATTTCTGTCTTTCCTTTTAGAAAGTGTTCGAAGTGCAATATTTTAGGCACGAAAGTTAGGCGAAAGAAATCAACTTGTTGACTATTTATTGTAAAGATAAGGAATAACACACAGAGCGTAGACTTACATGTCGAGGGTAGCGCGAGAGAGAGAGAGAGAGAGAGAGAGAGAGCGAGCCAATCCGTGCGCGTGCGCGCGCGCGCGCAAGAGTATTTTATTAAAATCGATGATTTCTCTCAGTCTATATTTGCAGTTTTTACTGGATTTCCAAGTGCGAGCGACCCTCTCTCGTCAGCCACGAGAGTCGTCTGCGAGAAGGGAACGGGGGTGGAAAATTGTACGTACTCGCGCGAGGAGAGAGAGACGCGCGACCGTCGTTTCTTGTTTCGCGCACGCGACGAAACTCGAAATTTGCGAGCGTCTCTCCGTTCCGTGCGGGAACGACGCGTTCGCACACAATGGCGGTTGCACCGATAACGCTAATTAACGGCCGATCGCCGATCGACGAAGAACACACAGTTGGCAGATATTGTGGAGGAGGAGCAGTATTAACCAACGGCACACTATCGATAATGAGAACCGTTATTAACGACCGGGAGGAGATATATCGGAGCAGCCGACTCTTACTAATTACTAATTAGTAAACGATCGGTCATCACGGTTTGCGCTCGAATTGATTTACCCGTCGATGACGACAACCGAGACGGAGCAGCGATATCGGGATGCACGGATACACGCATCCTTGATCTCTTGATTCTCGCTGAAAGGAATTCGAAAATAAATTATGCATACATACATGCATACATGTACATATGTATGCATATATGTATGCATATATGTATGTATATATGTATGCATACATACATGCATACATATATACATATATACATACATATATACATGCATGCATACATACATACATACATACATACATACATACATACATACATACATACATACATACATACATACATACATACATACATACATACATACATACATACATACATACATTCATACATACATATATCACGTAAAGGAAGATCAATTTTTATCGTATTAATTAACGGTAGGATTAGATCCTATTTTTAATATTCCAAAATCGTTTGTGAAAATGCGAAGAGAGAGAGAGAGAGAGAGAGAGGGAGGGAGAGGGAGAGAAAAAGAGAGAGGGACACGCGTCACAGATATCTCGTAGACGGGCAGAATATCGTTTGTACATAAATATAAGTAAAATTATTATTTAACATAGCGCAATATAATTCGATCCGATAACACGGGCAGAGCTCCGCCGGCGCTGCTTCGCTGTGTAATCGCATTAACGTAATGATCCTGTGTCACGTGTTGCGTGATCGTAGCGGCCCATTTCGAAATATTCTCTACAAGGTGCAAACGAGGGGAGGACACACACACACACACACACACGTCGCTCGATGTATTTTTTTTCTTTTCTCTTCTTTTTTCCAACCCACGTGCCGACGAGCAATCGTGAGCAATTCGAATCGAGCGTGATCGGCGAAAGCGAGCGCCTTCTCGAGTGACGGAACAGAGATAAAGAAGAGAAAGAAGAAGAAAGAGGGAAGAAAGGGGGAACGGTTCTTTTCCGTAGAAAAAGATTACTCGAACGCGCCGGCGAGATGTTCGTTGGTTTCCTCGTGATATCTTTACATCCCCTTCCCCTCTTGGTTATCGGCAGAAATTGTCTCACTGCCATTAGGAGAATGTTACACTTCGATTTCGTTGTCGTGACCGTAAGAAAGAAAAAGAGAGAGAGAGAGAGAGAGAGAGAGAGAGAGAGAGAGAGAGAGAGAGAGAGAGAGAGAGAGAGAGAGAGAGAGAGAGAGAGAGAGAGAGAGAGAGAGAGAGAGAGAGAGAGAGAGAGAATGAATGAGTGAGTGAATGAGTGAGAGCCGTCGTTGTAATCGTTGTCGTCGTCGTAATCGCACCGTGCGAGACGCTGTGAACGATCATTGTTATAGATGAATTTTGTGTACGACGTTGCGGAGGAGGAGGAGGAGGAGAAAGAGGGCGAGAGTGAGGATAAGAATGGGGATAGAGATGAGAACGGACCATGCGGCCCGGAAGTGAGAAGATAACGATGGACTTGTTTCCCTTCTTCTCCGTAGACTCGCGGCCGCGCGCGGCGTACATTGTAATTACGTTACTTTCTTTGTTGAGCGGAAGAATATATAGAAATGTACATTGTCATTATTATTTTCTACGAATTAAGGAATCATAATAAATGAGTCGCATAAACGTAATCCACACCGTCAACTCTTCTCGCTCCTGCTTTCTTCTGTTACCGTTTTTCGACGTTAACGAGCCGAGCGCAGGACGATCGTGCGATTCGCACGACGCGACTCTGTATCGGCGGCCTGAAGATCGTTTGAAAGCGATCTTCCTGCCACGTGAATTGTCAAAGAAACAAGAGAAAAGAGAAAGAGAAAAAACCTCCGCGGAGGAACGCGCGGAGGTCTCGCTGTGTGAGAAGTAGGTGAATTGAAATCAATATTGCAAGGACTTTTTTCCCGTTCTGGATCTGT